CGCCAAGAAGTGCTGCGCCTAGCAAATGACGACTCTCCATATATAATTGGGAAGGATGAAATGGACAATGTCGAGCCCGATTATGACCTCGAGGATCATGCCAGTCGCTTCGAATCAAACCCCTCCGGACACGGCAATTACGCTCTTATCCTACGACTTTCGTCCGATATCAAAAACCCAGCATCTGGTTTCGCCTTCGGACGAAACACCAACAGGTGTGATGTCGTGTTTACCCACGACCCCTACAAGCGTGTTAGCAACATTCACTTTCGGATATATGTCAACGAGTATGGTAATGTCATGGTCGAGGACCAGTCCACGAACGGCACCTTTGTTGATCGGACACTGCTGCTCTCACGCTCAAAAGACCCATCAAAGCCGCCCATCACACGGCGGGTTTTGACCTCCGGCTCCCTCATCAAAATTCTCCTGCACAATGAGTCTAAGGACCTCACCTTTCGTGTCCGGATACCACGACGAGACGACGAGTACGCAGGTGCTTACAACACCAAAGTCGCCGAGTACTTTGTTCGAAATAAACTTGCCCGCGAATCAGACACGATACGTCCAAGTGATAAAGGCCCTCCTGATATCTTCCGGACGGCTGCCGAGAATGCGGGCGGCGGGCACAGGCCCAAGGAAACCACACCAGCCCGATCCATCAACAAACGTGGGGAGACCATCCGGCCTGAGTGGAATGGTTCTGGCAAGTACAACCGAGTCGGTATGATTGGCAAAGGAGCCTTTGCCGTAGTTTACAAAGTGACTTCTAAATACGACGGGCGACCCTATGCTGCAAAGGAATTGGAAAAGCGGCGGTTCATCAAGAATGGCGTTCTAGATCAGAAAGTCGAGAACGAGATGAAAATCATGCAGCGGGTCGAACATGTATGCCTTCCTTCGCCCTTTTTCTTTCACAGGAGCGTTTTCGCTAACACTTGTATTCTCTAGCCAAATATTGTTCGGTACATCGAGCATTTTGACTGGGATGAGCGCCTTCTCATCATCATTATGGAGTATGTTCCCGGTGGTGACCTGGGAAAGCTCATCTCGGAAGAGGGCCCCTTCGAGGAAGATATGGTCAAGTCGATGGCCAGGCAGCTTCTGGATGCCTTGAATTATCTGCACACGAAGAACATCACCCATCGAGATGTCAAGCCGGACAACATCCTCATCAACTCTCTGGAGCCCCTCGAAGTAAAACTGACTGATTTCGGCTTGTCTAAGATGGTCGACAGCGAGCAGACTTTCCTTCGAACGTTCTGTGGAACGCTTCTCTATTGTGCTCCAGAAGTATATACAGAGTACGCCGAGTACGATGAGAATGGCTACCGTAACAGGGGCAAAAAGTCACGCCGAATGCCAGGTCAGAGGTACAGCCACGCTGTAGATATCTGGTCACTTGCTGGTGTTCTTTTCTTCACACTAACCAAGTCGCCTCCCTACCCCGTGAAGACCGGCATCAGTCACTCAGAGCTTCTTCATAAGATCATGACGACTCGGTTGGGTATTTCGCCACTTCAGGAGTTCAACGTATCAGAGGATGGAATTGACTTCTTATCCCGCATGCTGCAAAGAAGACCAGAACAGAGAGCGACAATTGAGGAGCTAGCTGAACATCCCTGGCTTGGGGGTCATGGGTCATCTATCCAAGCATCTCAATCTTTTGACGAAATAACCGACGATGAGGATATGGCAGCGCAACTAATTGATCTACCTTGGAACGATCAAGGAAGAATAATCAACGTCTCGGACGACGAATCCGAAAAGGAAAACGGGGCCGACTTTCGACCTGGACGCCGGCCACAGCAGCAACGTCTCTTTGGTGAAGTCGGCATCTCGGCGATCGGCAGCTCGGGAGTCATTCCAGGCGACTTCCTGAATCTACCAGACGACGATACGAGCATGAGGGAGACAGAGATTCTAGGCCCAGATGGGGATGAAGCATATGACTCGGGTGAGGATATTGCACGAGCTCGTGCTCTGTCGCACTTCCACCAATCTGCAGATCAGCTGCAAAGCTTGGTGGAGAACGTGGCCTCTCAAAGTCTCGGTGATAAAGAGAATGAACCCGCACAGCCAGATCTATTGTCCTCTCGGTACCAGTCAGACTATCTCAATGGCAGCAAGAGGAAACCCCCTTCTCAGGAATTGAGTGACTTGTCAGACGAAAATACCCCTACCGAAAAGCCTTTCATAAAGCGACTCAAATCGGAGAGCAACATAGAGGAACTGTCTGAAGGCGCTATTGAGGAGCTTAGGCTACTGGCATGCATTCCTCAGATTAACAGACTAAGCTCTGGTCGACAGCTAGATGAACCAGTTGACAAAGTCACGTTCTGGGAGCAGGATAGAACAACATGGCATCTGAATTATCCCGAAATGACCCAGTTGCAGTATGATGCTTTTAATCAAGCCGCTCGAGATAGAGGAGAAAAGTTCAGACCCGGTCAGACGCCGCTCTGGGACTTGGCCAGAAGATATTTCCCACCAACCCCAAGGATGGTTGAGCAGCCAAGACAGGACGCGGCTGACTTTCCTCCGACGGCGATGCCAACTGAGTCCGAGTCTATTCCAGACACACTGCAGCCCGATCCTAAGATTGAATATACCATTCCTGCGGTCAACGCCAGAGCAATCGGTCTGATCGAGTCCAGCATGACTTCTCTTATCAATGGTGTCTCCTTTCCAATTACGGACTCCCTTGTCTCCTTTGGACGAGGTCCGGAGAACACGGAGGTCTTTGAACCTCCGTCCGAGTCCCGCATACCGAAATATGCGTTCAAGATTTTGCTTTGGAAAGAAGGGTATGATCCCGCAAGAGATCCCAACAAGGTGGCCCCTCCATGGGTGCATTCGTCAGCGGCAGATGAAAGCAGCTACGGTTTCTATCTATCCACAAAAGCAACTCTTGGTATCCGCGTAAATGGTCAGGCGGTCCCCTCATCGGATGCTAAGAACCCGAGCGGGCCATCACGATACTGGACGCGGATTCACGACGGCGATGACCTCGTCGTTTGGGGTGGTCAAGAACCCCATAACCAAACAAGCCTAACATTTCGCTGTTTCTGGGGTTCATCGTCAAACCCCCGACAGGACAAAAGTAACGCCCTGGAGTTTGCGCCCGAGGAACTGGCTCAGCAACTTGACCTTGCCTGCCAGAGAACCGAGAAACGCATCCGTGATGCAGGTGAAAAACGGCTCAAGAACGGCGCCGCCATATCAGATCTCGAAGCACGCACCCGCACGGTCGACCTGGAACGTGCCAGAAGCATAGAGTTTGAGCAGAGAAGGCAAGAGGCCATCGCCTTCATCCAAGCACGCCAACTACCAAACTCAAGGAGGTCGTCACCCGCCAGCGCTCCACCCACAGTGACGATTGGAAGGGTTCCTCCGCAACTGGCATAAGGAGGGAGCCTACTTGACATGGGGAACGAATGAGAGTATTTAATAGAGGGCGCCTTGTTTTGGGTGTCGCATGATGGGACCATTTACACCATTTACAAACCTGTATGAGTTGGTGTCACTTGGATTGTTAGTGGTGATCTGAGGATGAAAGGTCGGATACGATTGGGAAATCTAGCAACTCAATGATATAGTATAGCATGATAAGCAAGCCTAAAACAATATGATTCTACACCATGTATGGTTGATTCCAGTTTGTTATCAGATGTTGTCACGTACCGCTCTAAGGCGACAGAAAGGATGTCAGTTTTCGCAGGTCTCATTGAAATAGCTACGTAATGCTAAAAGAGTATTCGATCTAGACCTCCCTCTTGATCCTTCACATCTCCATTCCATTTCAATATCACCTGCAAGCCCAAGGCAGCAGGATATCAACATTCAGAAAGAAACCACTAAGTAATGAGCGTTCTCCATCTTCCTCCGGTGATGATAGACATCTTTGAAGAGATGAAGACAGTTAAAGGGTAATGCTGAGCAGAAAGTCGAGTCGTGATTCGTTGAACATGATAGGCGGGTTGCGTAGACGTCGTAAAGGTAGCCCAGGGCAAGTCCGGTTGGGTAACACCCTGTGCCCAAAAGCAAAGAAATACATAAGGAAGTAAGGACCATGTAGCGAATTTCATATCGGTCGTTGGTCTCATTCGGTCATTGACGGCATTCGATCGTTATTGGTGTGCGTACATGTCGCATGTAATGATAACACAAAGCGCTTTCTTTTTTTTCGAAACCCATCAGTTTTTGGCTGTTGTGCTTCTCTTGCGATACTGCGCTTGCTTCGTTGACAGGCTGTTGTGGGAAAAAAAGAAAACCGGAAACTCCAAAAGGCATGACTTCACTCCATATATCCATTCATCTCACTATATTCATGTTAGTTCGCCAAGACAGTGTGTGTTTTTTTTGTCTGCTTCTTTTTGGTTTTTTTTGCCTTTGGTTTTTTGTTTTGTTTTGTTTTCGGTCGAATCCTTTGCTGGGAAGTAGTCTCAAGCATTTTTGCCCCTGCACGAGAGTCGGCCAAGGGCAACTTCATGAGATGTGTGATTCGTAGCTTGCAATATTCCCGGTCGGCTACAGTATTTAACAAACTTGTTGACAGATTGCTCGATGAACCCTACTACTTTGTTAAAATCACTTCTAATATATCGTGATGGTCAATGTACTCACCGAGTAAGAGGCAACATAAGGCCCACGTCACTCTCGACATCCGAGTCAAGAATCTCCTCGATGGGAAACTTGGGAAACTCATACTCCGCATAGTTTTCTTTGTCTGCCTTGTTCCAGGTACCTGTGTCTCCGCAATTCTGAGAGTTGTATGCATCAAAATAAAAGTGGTTTGGCTTTGGCTTCGACTTTGAGTCTGGGCCTGGAACTGAGCCGTGATACCAGTTGTAACTTCGTTTTCCCTCGCGAGGATGTACCGGCTCTTCATCTGAAGAGTTTGCACTAGCGGACGGACTGGACCCGAAAGGGGATTCGGCAAACCAAGTACGATTGCGAGGGAAGTTATCGCGGTCGTTCTGTTGAGGGCCGAATCGCTCCTAGTGATTACGAGCAGTCTCTGGGAAGTGGTGGCCGCCAGGAGTGTTGGTAGGATATGGCGGCGATGGTTGGTCCCCTGGGACTGATCCAAAGTTGCCTTGGTCTCGAAGGAATGGGCTTCGGGGGATCTGTGGCGTTCGCGGGGGTCCATCCGCCTTTTCAGACTTATGGTAGTCTCTCTCAGAAGACTCCTTCATTCCGAACTGGTTATCGGGCCGGGAATCACGGTTTGGCGATGGGTTGTGGCTTTCGGACTTTTGTGTTCCCCTTGTTGCCCAAGAAGGAGCAGCTGAGAAGTTCCACGCAGTCGGATCGAACCCAGCATCAGCACTGAACGCACCACCAGTAGTTTTAGGCAGTATGTGTTCCGTCTTTGGGGATCGATGGTTCTGGGAACTGCTCACGTAAGTGGCGGGTGATGCTGCAGATGTTGGTGAAGATTGCGACTCAAAACCATCGGCGTTGGATCTGGCGAAGAAAGTATCATCTTCAGGTGTCTTGAAGTTTGGATCCAAGTTGCCCCATGAATGATAATTCATGTAGTTCGTAAATGATGAGGGGTTGCTATCATTCAAGACTTGTTCATCCTCAGGAATGTCCCGCTTTGGAGTGCCATTGGCAGGTTTCAAACCCGAGAATGAATGATTTCCAGGACTCAATTTGACACTACCACCAGTCGAATTTGGGTAGAAAGCACTCTCGGTACCTTGACGGAACATTTTTTGCTCAAAACCAAGGTTGGATGTATGGTCTTCAACGCGAGGTGGGCTGTATTTCATCTTTCTTCCCATAGAAGTCTTGTTAGAGGTTTCTGAGAAGTCCGCCTTGGGACGAGCCAGCTTTTCCTTTGACTTCGGGCCTTCCCGTACTCGATGTTCACGTGGAGGCTTCCTCTTCGATTCCTTAGAAGAGACCATCGAGTCCATAATGCTCTTCCCTTTGTTGGAAGATGCAATTTCATGACGACTCTGATCGGGGTAAATCTTCGAGGCCGATCCAGTTTCATTCGAAAGGAGGACGCGACCATGTTCTCCGACGACGGAGCAATCAACCGCTGTCTCAGAAGTGCGCATCTCGCTCACGCATGTAGCACAGTAATTCGGAAGTAGAGCTTCGCCCTTCTTCGCGGGATGAGCCTTGTGAAAGCGCTTCGACCGAACGATGCCGCACCCAAAGCAGATGTGCCGGCTGCCAATCACCCCTCTCTCAATTATGGCATCTCGGCACTTGGAGCATAAGTTTCTGATAGGACCCTGTGAAGGGTCTATCGGGTGGCTGTCATGGTACTTGGTTGATCGAACTGAACCGCAACCGAAGCAAACGTGGTACTTGACACTTGGCTCAGGGCTCTCTGCCCGTTGTCCCATGGGTACTGCCTCGGAAGAAAGCGCCTCGCTTCGGCCGCGTTCCTCATGCTGATTTGATTTCGTACGGGCTCGAGAGGTCTTGCTTTTGACTGGGGTGGAGAATTTCGACGGGCCATCTTCGCCTTCAAACGAGGCAGTGGAATGTTTGTGAGAGCAAGGCGAGCATGTTGCCTGTGGGGGAGATGCCATGGCCTCATTGAGAGTTTTGTTGATTTCATGGCGAAGAGTGTGCAGCTGGTAGTTCAAAACAACATCGTGGGGCCGAGCGGCCACTTCTTTCTCCTTTTGATCAATTTCGGACTGAAGTATGGACAGTTTTCGAGCGATACTGTTAGTAGAAGAACAAGCAGGAATTCCAACAGTAGCCAACGGGGCCTGGGGATAAGTCAAAATAGGCGCGGCTTGATGTTGCGCAGGCTGTGCAAAAACTTGAGGTGGCTGAGACAGCGGAGCAAGTATATTCTGAGTCTCTGGAGCAATCTGAGTAGTTTGTAGTTGTTGAAAGCCTTGAATGGGCTGGAGGACTGGGAATGGCGTTGTGGTGTAGACTGGCGGGTAGCCTGGTACGGCTTGCGGGACTGGATGGGAGACGCTTGGAGGCGACGTCGCCCGGCTTGACGCTGCTTGCTTCTCTTGCTGCATGTGGTAAGAGGGAGTTCTGGTTGAAGGTGACGAGTCACCCTTCTTGTGTCTTCGGTTCTTGTGCTTAACGCTAGATGAACGATGAACGGTCCGGGCAGAAGTGCTCTTCTTGGGAGAGTCCGAAGCCCGCTCTTTTGAGGATCGAGAAGACTTTCCAGGGGAAACCATCTTGGCTTTCGATTTCTCTGAAGACTTAGGGCGCGTTGTTGATCGGTTTCTTGATTTTTTCTTGGAAGAAGACTTCTCTGCCAGTCGACCAGCTCTGGGTCTGTCGCTTTCTTCATCACTGTCACTATCTTCAGACCAGGTCACGGAATCGTCTTCGGTAGACGATTCTTCTTCGCTTTCGCTGCTCTCAAGATATTCATCAGACTCGTAATATGGTGATTGGGCTTGCTGCTGCTGCTCTTGACGCCGGATGCTTTCTCGAGTCGGCGTGCCAAAGAGAGCCGCCATGAGATCAACACCGTGAGGCTGCTGTCTCTCTTTTTGGCGATTCTGCTTCTTCTGCCGACCCATTGTATTCAAGCAAGGAGATACGGGTTCAAGCCAATAACAGCGAGTTTGAAGGAGGATTGGGGAGTGAAGCTGAGAGAAAATCGAGATATACCCAAGTAAGCCCAAGGAAGGAATCGGTTTGAAGGAGGGGAAAAAGAAAAGTCAAGAGAGGCTGAGAGAGAGAAGCTGGTTGTAGCTTTGTGGTGGAAAACTTGACGCGGTGCCGACAGTAAAAAGCAGGAGCGGGATGCTCTCTGTTAGATACCTTGGGTTAGAGGTAATCTACCTATGGCTCGCGCCAATGCCGCTAGGTAGATGAAGTACCGGTGAGTATGTTACTTGTTCCTCGAGGTGCGTCACGCGACAGGCGCCAACAGCTGCCAGCACTTGCACTGGTCACTCGGCCCTCAGTTCTATCTCACCTTAGCTGGGTCCTCAGTAAAGGCTGCAGAGTGTGTCGGTCCTCGGGGCCTCCACCATAGCCTTCGCTTGCGTTCTAAATATGTAGGTAGGTCTTGTTGCTCGTGTTGGTCGTCGTGATCGCCTCCTGGCTCGTTCGTCGCCTATCACGATGTACTGGCTCGCATAAGAAATAAATTCCAGATGAAACTTCTCAGAAGTTGACCGCAGATAAGAATAATAGCCCCTTTTGGATAAGAATGTTTGACTCTTGACTGAAAATGCTTCAGGGCTGCGTGTTTTCAAAGAGGACTGCCCTGAAACACGGCAGGATGATTGGTTGGTGAATTGTGAGATGCAGCCTCACTTGTTGTGACAAAACAAGAAGAAGAGGCTTATTTATTCTATGAAAGACGGAAACACTAGATGTGGACGATGATTCACGGCATGGCTACAGCCAGCCAGCTTGATTGGTTGATTGTATTGATTTGCCCCCTCCGGCTATTGTCTTTCCACCAACAATGCATCCGGCTACCAGGTGACAATCTTGACGGGTTCAGCGTCACATTGTAGTCCGGCGGCATATTCAAGGGGGATCCGTATCGCTTTTAGCTCTTTTTCAGTTCTGGGTCAAATCATACAAATTTTTGTTAATACATTCAGGCACTTCTGTCTATATATGGCGCCCTTGAGCCTGCTCTTGCTAAGGAAAATCTTCGTATAATGCTCCACGGTTGCTCGAAATTAGTCCACACGAAGGACACGGGGTCCCTTCTTCTTCGACGCCTTCTTCTTCTGACCGCGATCGAACGAAGCGGCGGCGGCAAGGTCTCGTCCGACGTTGTCGAGATCCTTGACTTTGTAGATGCGGATGATCCAGTTTTCAGTGGTGTAGGCCTCTTCGATGGTGTTGAGAACAGGGCCTTGATCAGGCAGGCGAGCACCACGAACACGGTCAACCGTTTGTCCCGCAGGGAACAAAGAGTGGTAGTTGTAGTAAGACATCTTGTACCTGCCAATTCGTTAGCATCAAGTAAATATTGGGTTTATTATGCGTTGCAGGCATCAACTTACATCAAGCTGTTCTTCATGGTGTCGGTAGCTTCGGCGTCGACACGGTATTCGCCACGGCTGGTAAAGAAATTGCGTTCTTTGACCTCTTCGGGCCAAATACCCTCAGCAATACGAACCATCCAGAGGAACTTGTTGATATCATCGCCAGAGTAGCCCAGAAGACCACCAAACACAACAAGAACGTAGTCCACCTCATGCTGGCGCATGATAGGATAGCTAACCTCCTCACTAGAGCTCATCGCCTTTCCAACGGTGGCAATATGCGTGTTGTTCCAGGTGTTGTTGTCCACCAGGGTGGGTCGGTCAGCCATACCGCCAATCTGGTAGCCGTAATCCCACCAAGACATGATCTTGGCATCCTCCTTGGTATTCTGGCGAAGCCACTGGTAGGCCTCGCGGTAGTCATCAATGATGTGCTGGCTTCCATCAGGCATGCGGCTAGCAAGCACCACTGACGGCGAAGAGTACGCATTTGATGTGACCCAGGTACAGTGGGATACAAACATGAGAAGATACACAACCATGCCGCCAACCACCAACGCCTTTGAGATAAATGTGAAAATCCCGACGGCTGGTTTCGAGGAAACCCTGAGGCCTGATGTTTTAGCAGGCTTAGTGTCGGTAGATCCAGCATCGGTAACTTCTTCTGGGTTGGGCTTCTTCGCTGACAAGTAGGTGTCGAGAATCTGGCTGGCTGCAATAGCCGCAGAAACACACACGATGGGAGTGAGGGTCAGCATCAGACGGACCATGACTCCTGCGAAGTAGCTGCCAAACAGGGCATAAACTACGACGAAGACATGCTCGTCGCGGAGATCCTGAAAGAGGAGGTATACACCAGCGGGGAACAGCCAGATGAGCATGTTGAGATCGAAAAAGAAGGCCGGCCAGGCTGTAGGCTGATGCTCGGAGACGGAGGCAATGATGGGAATGTGAATCTTGGCGTAGCCAGTATCCCACAGAGAGTAGAATCGGCCGCTCCAAGGGGCAATGTATCCCAGGGAGGTCAGGCCAACCAAACCAGCCAGTCCGATTCCAACAGCTCCAACAAGGACAGTGATGACAAAGGTCTTGAACTGCTTAGCAGACATCGACGATCGGACATACTGGAGGAGTCCAACCAGCTGTACAAGTCCAAAGATACCTAGAAAGGGGACCGTTAGTGTTGATTGAGCATGAACCGCAGCGACGACAAGAACTTACCAAGCGCCGGCATGTGCTCGCTGGTTTTAACAGGCAAGAAGCCGACGAATGGAATCTGCATGCTGGCAATTGTTCCAAGAGCATACCACGTGGTGTAGCTCACGTAAAGCCTGTTGCTGAATCGTCCCATGCCAATGAGGACAAAGGCGTGGAGAGGCAGGAGACAGGTGATGAATGCATAGCCACCCCAGGAGGCAACCATGTAGCCATAGAAAAGGGCACAGAGCGCGCCCCAGAGCATGGATCCAAGCTTGAGAGCCTTGATCCAGAGGTAGAATGTAAAGACAAGTAGGAAAATGGCGATGGCCTCGTTGTCGTAGCTGCCAGCGACGGATCGAGAAATGTATCCAGGGGTGATGCCCATGAAGGCAGCAGCGAGAAGACCAGCGGATGAAGAAGTGGTCATTTCATTGGTCAAAAGATAGGCGGCGTAGGCTGTCAGGCCTGAGAAGGCCGGGGCGAGAAGCACACAGATGTTGCGGATGTCGACGGGGACAGTGAGAGCTCGAAGCGCGTGGTAGATGATACCACTGGTCACCATGAGACCTGGGTAAAGCGTGCCTCCGGTGACACGGCCCAATGGATGCCATGTTCGGTCATCGAACCAATCCCAAAACTTGTAGAAGCCATTGGCGACAAGGTACTTGGTAGCTCGGAAGTTAAACCATGGGTCAACTGTAGATTTCGTCAATTAAGCACGATGATCGCGATGGGAGAATTCGGCGACAACATACATTCGTGGATGATACTCTCAAACCCTAAAATCGAAGCGTTAGCAATTTGCAAAGCTGTTGAAGGAAACCCAATGCCTGATTCGTGGCCAAAATGACAGTTGGCGTCATCCCACGATGGTCGACTTACGGATCACAGAGAACAAACGACTGGCGACTGCGGCTGCAGCAATCAAAAAGAGAATAGAGACTCGTAGGAGCGTCCTCGTGTTCTGGCTATTGATGCCCGAGGAGGCGCCTTGCGTTGCGACCGCCATTTTCGACCACAGTAGACGGCAATGCGAGGCCTGCTTGCTTGGCTGTGATTTAGTAGGGTGGTGGTGGTGGTGGTAATTGCAACGGAGCTCGTAAGGACAGCTTAATCGTAACGGGCTGCAGGTCCGGCAATTATCCGCCGCAGATAAGCACCACAATCCACGTCAACGCTACGCACGCCAAGTTACAGCAGCACGTACGTACTACCGTTCAGGGGCCACTCATCGCGTCTGCTTACTACGTACGTCCTATTTCTTTTTACTCTGCATAGAGGGTGATATAAAAGTGGCACACACCAAACGTCACCCTCGGCCTGTGATATGTATGTAAGTAAGGGCCGCAGTGCGCTTTGGTTGACAATAACACCAATAATAGTTCAAAAAAAGTTGGCAAAATTCCTTTGCTCTTCCTTTTCATATGTTTATCATTTATCGAACCATAGTTCTTCAGCCATCAGAATTCAATTTGCCTTCATGCGCCATACCTGTCACCCATCTGAGAGGCCACCAAACACTTATCAGACCTCATTTCCAGTCCCCTGAAGTAAACCCATTTGACGATACTGATGTTGTAGGCCTCTCTTTATTTCAATTGAACCTAGCTCATCCATAATATGCCTTGATTAGAACACAAGTAGGTACCTAGGTATGTTTCTACTCCCTTGGTAAACGAAGGCTATGGCCTAGTCTAGGACTAGATATACCATATATTACCTCTTCAACTTGCACAGTGGCTCCTGCACAGATCACAGTCATGACAGACGCGCGCTTTGAGTCTAATTTATGTGTAATGTAATTTACACCTGTACACAAAACAAGTGTGACAGAACCTAAGGAAAGTCAATGCAGCCAATTTGCTCGCAGTTCCAATCATACAACGAGGCTGCAAGTGAACCTTGTAGTCATCTCCCATGATGACGAAAAGCTTTTCTGGCTCTCCGTATAGAGCGGCTTTGCCCTTAATCTAGCTATCTTCCCTCGCCTGTTACAGCCATTACACCTATCCTAACATTGCCCCATCCCAGTACATCTATGCCTTCTGCTCGGATACCTTGAGGAGGAGCTTCTCGAGATCAAACTTGGGGTCGGTAGGGTCGGTGATCACTAATATCCTGCTATCAGTCGGGTTCTCTCTGGCCACTTCGAATTGAGCCCTCGGTCCCTCGAGGCGCTCAAATGGAACCCCAAGCGAGGGGTTCTCCAAAACGGGAGCTGACATACCGTCACTTGATGAGGCGGGTGCGGGGTTCTTCTGTTTGGCATACTCGGCCTTGGCCTGGTCGATCTTCTTCTGCTTCTCCTGGTATTCGTGCTGATCGTGCTGGGCCCTCTGAGCGGCCGTTATCGATCGCTGGTGGGAGAAACCGTAGAACACGCCCACAGCAAGGGCGGACCACCGCAGGACCTGGAACGAATCCAATTAGCTCTAAAATCCCTCCCGAGAAACCGTCGAACATGCGAGCAAGGCTTTTGGGAGCCTTTTGGGCGGCGCAAAGGGTGCAGGACGGCTAATCCGGCTATGACAGAATAACACGCACATTAACTCCGGTCGAGGCCATTGGCGCGAGGGTCGCAGGGGTTGCGACAAGTTGAACAAAAGGAAGGGACGTATATAAGGCAACGAGGGACCTGACAATGGCTGTCAATTGACCTTGTCTAGGTGGTTCGGAGGATGCTGGCGGCGTTGAATGGCAAAGATGGGTTCAAATTTGGTCGGGAAAAGTCGCAGTTAGTTTTTCCTCTCGTTACTGGTTGGCCGAGCCGGGGCAGCCACAGCAGCGGCCATCAGCCACATTCTCGGTCGAGCGCCAACCTAATTGACCCATCCGGCGCCTTACCTCAGCAACGGCGGAAGTTTGATTCACGTGAGCTGTCGATGTCTCTACTGGCGAGTCAATGAGCTCAGCCAGGTTCATCGTTCAAAAGAAATGAAGACTATTCCCAAATTTCTTATATCAAAGGAGATGGATGGCATCCCGACTTATACAGCACCTACAATGATCATCTACCCTTGAGCTGGGCAGCCTATCAGGGTGGGCGACATCTTCAGCACGGGTTAAAATGTACTGGACCTACCCCTGCAGCTGAAGCTCTCCTGGGTTAGGCTCAGACCCACATAGAGACCCCCCAAATCAAGCAGCATTAGCTGCCATAACACGCTTCCACGGCGCCCAGGATATTATTGGTGCATTGAATTGAAGGCCGATATACAGAGCTGGGCTCCCCAAATAACGGAATATGCGATAGCTTCTCCCACCATCCGCTCTTTATTCCTTATTCTCAGTAATAAATTTCAAGGGAGTGGTTTGTTCAGTCCCGGAGAATACTCAATTTACTCCTCTTTGGTTTGTACATCCACCAGCTGCGAATATCCAGATCCGCCTTGAACTTGAACAACCCCCCGATTTGCGCTCGACCCGCAATGGGAATTTGAACAAGCCGAAATGGAACAACGACGAGAGGAGATCCGCGCGAAGGCAGCCAGGCTCGCCGAGCTCAAGCGGGCGAGAGCCCTACGAGGCTCTTCAGAAAGCCGACCCAGCATAGGAGGAGATCTCAGTGATGTCCGTCTTCTCCCACCTCTCACCCCCTACTTCGTGTTGCGGCAGGATACTAACATATCCATAGATCAGAGTGGGCGGCGCCTCGAGAGCGGACGAGCGAAGGAAGATCGACTCGTTCATCGACTCACTCCTCGGTGAGAGCCGCCCGGGCTCTACCGCTCCAGGGACGGCATCGCCAGGAGGCTTCCAGCGCAGCAGCAGGCCGAACAGCATCCTCAGCGCGGGCGAATTGAGCAACGAAACATCCGAATCCGTACCCCAGCCTCCAGCGACACCTTCCGCCCCCGTCCCTCCTCCCAACCTGACTACAGCGGCGCTCACCACCGTTTTCGAGTGTCCCCCGTCGCCGGTCAAGGAAGTCTTCTCCTACAGCAAGGGTGTGCAGACAACAGAGGCGTGGACGGAGCCCGCCAGACCCCGGGCGCAATCAACAACATTTGATGTCGACGATATCCCAGGAACCCCTTTCTCGCCTAGCAAGCGGCCGAGCAGAAGAGAGCGTGACCGGGAAGAGGAGCTGCGGCAGAAGATCAGGGAGGAACTCGAGGAGGAACTCAAAGCCGCCAAGGAATACATTGCAGATGGCGTGGTGCCGGCGGCGACCTCGACCAATTATCCTTCAAGAGATCTTACGAATGAGGAGCTCGAGGCTGTAATACACTCGGATGATTTCGTGGATTTCTTGGACCGGTCAACCAAGGTTATTGAGCGAGCGTTTAACCAAGAGACATACGACATTCTGACCGACTATGCCTTGCAAGGACAGGAGGTGGAGGATGAGGACGAGGAAACCGGCAATACTGGAGGTCGCGGAAAGCACAGGGTCAAGGAGGTTTGTCAATTCTTCGACGATCGTTGGTCCAAGAAGCGAATGATCAGCGGAATCGACTTCTCTCCAAAGTTTGGCGAGCTGCTCCTCGCATCCTACACGAAGAATCCGACAGCACCACACGAGCCAGATGGCCTCGTTCAGGTCTGGAACGCCCACATGCACGAGAGGCCCGAATACGTCTTCACCGCCCAATCAGACATTCTCACGGCCAAGTTCTCTCCCTACCACCCCAATCTCATTGTTGGAGGATCATACAGCGGACAAGTGCTGCTCTGGGACACGAGAGCAAAGGCAGCGCCCGTTCAGAAAACCCCGTTGACGGGCTACGGTCACGCCCACCCTATCTACTCAGTTGACATTGTGGGAACGCAAAACGCCAATAACATCATCTCCTGTTCAACAGATGGCGTCGTCTGCGGCTGGAGCATGGACGTCTTCGCTCAGCCCCAGGAGCTCCTGGAGCTGAAGAACCCCAGCCAAGCCAAGGTCGCCGTCGAGGACGTCAGCCCGACATGTCTCTCATTCCCCCAGACAGATCCTACATTCTTCCTCGTGGGCAGCGAAGAGGGTAAAATCTTCCCCTGCCATCGGTACGACCGCGCCGGTGCCAAGGCTGGAGTGGACAAGAAGATCAGCTACAAGGGTCACACAGCACCGGTCATGTCAGTCGACTTCCACCCCGCTAAAGGTCCTGTGGACTTGGGCGATCTCGTCATCTCTTCATCTCTCGATTGGAGCGTCAAGCTGTGGAAGGTGCGCGCGCCCGCTGCCACGTCTACAATCGGAGCTGGCGACGGCAACATCAAACCGCTGATGGACTTTGTCCGGGAGGATGTGGTCTACGATGCAAAATGGTCGCCAGTGAAGCCCAGCGTGTTCGCGCTCGTCGACGGAGCCGGCTGGCTGGAGCTTTGGGATATCGCCGTGGAGACGGAGGAGCCCGTATCCAAGATCTCGCCAAGCGCCCGACAGGACGGCAGAACAATGCTCTCCAAGAGCCTGAACAAGGTGGCCTGGGAGCCTAATGAGGGCAAACGACTGGCAACTGGCGGCATAGATGGCTCCCTGACGCTGTTCGAGGTTGCCAGCGGCCTGGGCGGAAAGGAAGGACTGAAGAACGAAGACTGGACCAACATGAAGAAGCTAGTAAATCGGGTAGACGCGGTTGGGGTCAACGGAGCAGTTGTAGTTTAGCGATTTGCATTTGACACATGGAACCATTATAATGCATCAACAGATTGTTAGTTAGCCAGAGGTGATTGAATAGTATTATACCCGATTATTCATATTTCAATGCCAATAATTCGCAAGAGATGCGCTTGTTGAATATCATGGTAGTTACCAGTCGGTGGTAGGATAGACCCCTGCATTCCAGTCACGTGAATATCATCTACTAAAGATTTCTGTCGAGTCCACTCGTGCTCCAAATGTTTTTACCTTCATGCAATTGCGTACCTTCTGAAGCTCAGCTTGGTAACAGAAGGTTTCTATGGTAAGTAATGGAACTTTGCCTTTGATTCTCGCATTCACATGATGGCATTCATTTATATGAATTCTGCAATTCTGAATCGGCCTACATTTCTGTAGGCTCGACGGTCGACAACCTTTAGCTGATCAAATTCCTCCTCGATCCTTCTTTTATCCACCCTTGGTTCTAATCGCCTGTTCACTGCTAACCAGGCAAAAGAATAGTATCTAGTGATTATTCGCAGCAATTGCAGCGGCGATGATGTTTAGCGGCCAGACTTAGACTTGGCCGCTCTCTCGATTTGCCAAAGCCAGCACTGTCAAGTCTACTATCAACTTAGTAGAACTATCAGATGTATATAGATGAGAGCTCCGTATTATGAATAACAGATTCACGTTTCAGAAACCAGTCAAGAAGATTCAGTGATGCATTCAGCATATATTTGTGACTGCGTCTACTTTCTGACGTTTATGTTTCCAGATACACATACGCACGTATCTAACTACTGAACCGATGAAGAAAGAAAAAGCCCAAGGGCACGGGAATCCAGCGGAATGTTCCCAAATCCCATCGATCAAACTACCCATGCCCACATCACCGGGTGATGACCACCACCTTTTCGTTTGGCAACTCCGAAATGTTGCTACCACCGCTCCTCAGTACTTGACCAGAAGCTCCTCGTCCTTCTGCGCCCCAGATGTATGGTTAAGAATTCCGGGAGCCAAACCAGCCACAGGAGCCAGACCAGTCACAGGAGCCAAACCCTCCTTTGGCTGGTTTGCCACAGGAAGTAGGGTGCCGCTGGTCAGTGAACCAGCCGCGGGCAACGGGGCGGCGGCCTTTCGCTTCATCCCCATCGGGTTCGAGCTCCCACCCTTTTGCTCACGAGGGCCCTCCATCCCTGGTCCCCCAAATCTCTCCATCCACCACCTCGGAACCTTCTCCAGGCCGATGGCCCTGAGATCCCGTGCCGACTGCGGCATTCTGTGCGAGAGGGTGCACTTGTTCCCCCGCTTGCACACCCCGTGATGGCACCACTCCTGGCAGAGCCCGAGCCTGTTGCCCCGCTCGTAGATGCTCTTGCCATTGCCGTAGACGTTCTTTCCATTGACGTAAATCTCTGCCTTCATGGAGCTCTGGCGGCTCAGGGGGTAGTTGCCAAACTTCTGGCGCTTGTGGAATTTGTTGTTCTCGGAGCTCCGGCTACCAGTTGGGGAGCCTCGCGAGCCGTGCTCCTTCTGTCGTTTCCCAGAGGGCCTTGTAGTAGAAGAAACGACGGTGTTGGTCATCGGGGTGTCGATAACGTGGTTGTTGTTCTGGGGCAGGGCTTCGGTCGTTGGAGCAGCTTGCTGCCCTCCGCTCAGGGCAAGGTCGCCAGCCAGAGGCAGGTCAAAGAGCTGGACGCGGACGTGACCCTCCTCGGGAGGAAACCCGCCCAGGCTAGTCATCCCTGCGGTTTGCTCGATACTCAAACCGCGGGGGTATCCTTCGATCTTGACCCAGGGAGGGAGGATGTCCACCGGGATGAGTGGCACAATGGAGGACTGCTTGCCCGGCTGGGTGTCCTGGACGACTGTGCCGGGTGGTCCTGGATTGCGGACGATGAAAAACCGAGGAGTCGAATCCATGTTCTCTGGATATGGAAAAGTGTGGGTGATGGGCGACTTTGCGAGAAGAAAGGGCGAAAAATGGTGGTGAGGATGAAGTGACGAGGGAGGAGTGGCCGAGGACGAGTTGCAGAAGGCGCCTCTGGTGGGATTTTATAGCAGTTCCGGCTTGTTTGCCTGCCAAATACTACGGACAAACTGCACAGGGCCGATTCCTACAAGGTGGAATGGCTGAGCGTGTTAATACAACGGAAAAATGGGCAAGTGCATGTGGGAAGAAGCCTGAGGGACGGGAACGTGCATGCAAACATAAAAGCGTGCGATTATGCTGCGTTGTGTGAACACTCCCGCTCCGCCATTTCAGCGCAAGGCACTCGTCGCTCTGCTGCCTATAGTCTCGTTCACCTCCAAGTGTAGGAACTGCAAAAATTGAAGACGCCGCTATCCGTGCTCTGACTTGTTGCCGTCCGTCTAGTTCGCTTCTATTCTAAGTGTGACGTCCAGGCCGTCAACACAGTAACCCAGCTGTCGCGGTCCGTCCTTCAGCTCAACCTCACGCTTGACCCATCGCCCGGGTTTACTGCCAGCATCTTCGCTGTCCTGTTCGTTGCCATCGCCCCCAGCTCTTTCAGGCACGTCCTCTAGTTCCACTTCCTCGTCGCTGCTATCCCCCTCTCTATCGTAGTAGCCCGCAACAGGATCCCATTCGCCAGTTTCCCATACTATCCGCAGCTCCAGTGGTGTTATTCCGAATAGTTTTCCAGCAATTCCTTTAACAGCGTATATGTCGTATGATTTAGGTATCTTGGTCGTCTTAGAACCCACGCCTTCCTGATGAAAATTCACAGCAACAAGCCGTGACTCCAAGAAGGCCGGATTAACCTCCTGCCTTCGAATAATATCGGGCTCTCCATAGATTTCGCAGAGTTCTGCATAGCGCGGGTGATTTTCTAAGACTGTCGCCTCGTCGGACTCGGGAACCGCAGCCAGTTGCTTGGCAATGCGGGACAGATAGAACATCTCGGCGTTTCCACGATCGGAGTGCGATATTTGGGTGAAGTTGAGCGTCTTGAGAGCCCCAATACGGGCTATTACAAACATGTGTGCCTCCTCGGTAGACGATGAAGACGCCTTTGAGCTAGGGTCTGGGGTCTCGTACACGGGGTTGTGGGAGATGCGTAGCCCGGTGATGCCAGGAAAGTGCGTAGGTACAGCATCCACGAATGCCCAGTCCTGGACATCATTGTATGAGATGTCGAGATACTTTAATGCTGGTGGGAATATTGGTGCCTTGGTTCCTCCCGGTGCCATTTGGAGAATACTGTTTCCCTTGAGGTGAAGATTCCGAAGGGCTGTCAGAGCTGTAAGGCTTTGGAGGGCAACAATAGATTCAAACTCGTTGTACTCGAGGTTCAGCGTCGTCAGTGTGTTCTCTAGCGAGCCATATTCAACTATGGGTAGATGTGACAGCTGATTCAATCCGACATTGAAGATCTCAAGGGACGGGAATTGGCTCGCCACATAGGAAAGATCCTCCCAGCTTAGGAGGGTTTCTGCAAGACCCATCTCGCTGACACCCTGGAATGCTTCTCTGCATTCACTTATTGATTTCTCACTCAATAAACTCTGGTAGCGATTCGTACTGGGAAAAGGTCATCTCATCAGCTCTGGGTTCATCCGCATATTGAGTGTCTAGAGGACCAACCTGAGACCAAGATTACGGAGCTTTGGCAAATTGCGACAAATCTCAACGACAGGATCAATACTTTCAATAAGATTCCGAGTCAAATCCAGCTGTGTGATGTTGGGGCACGTCTCCTTGATACCAGGCTCTCCCTCAGCCCAGGCGGTGGCGATGCACATGCCATCGAGAAGCACCACCTTGAGCTCTTGGAGCTGGGCCATCTTACGTCTGATCTTGTCGAAACCCATTTCCTGGGCCGCTTTGGTACCAAACATGATGATTTTCGAATCTGCCGGCCTCGTCTCGCGCTGCGCTCCTTCAGAACCGTACTTTTCCTGCAATGCTGCGATAAAGCTCTGGGGTTCCTGAGCTGGCCGCGTTGGGCGCACAAAAGACGCAGCATGAGGGGATTTCGAGAGGCCTGTCCCATGGGTCAGGAATTCAAAAAATCAAATAAATGAGAGCTTCCCGTACTCACATTTGAAATACCGGACTCCCTTGTGAGAGCCATCATGCTTGCCACGAGAGGAGTCGTCCCATTCAACGCCCAACCAGGCACCCGTCGTGCCAGCGACCTCGCCAATATATCGCACAGTGCACAGCGCGCCGTCATACGACACCCGCTGCCCTAAATGGTGAGTCTGCGACATGGTCGAAGGATCCCTCAAGCTGGGCAGAGGGAGGTTCAAAGAATGAACGTGGTAATTAGATTCATTATCCTTACTGGTGGCTCCCAGATTGAATGTGGGGATATGCACGATAGTGAACCAGGCTTGACGACTAATAACCGATATTACAGTGCTCGTCACCACAGCATTGCTTCAACATTGCGATTGAGGAGAACAGCAGGGACGAAGCAGACACTCGAATCAAATTGCAAGTAATTAGTGAAAGACGAAAATATATTCTGCACCCTCAATTCAAACCTTGCGAATAGATGTGCTTCGCTCAGAGAGATAAAACAAACCAGGCAAATGCCAGTAAATACCTTCATTGTACAAGGCAACTAACTAAATGCTTAAATTCTTTCCAAATCGACTCTTTCATGTAGAAAGTGAGAGAAACATGCAATATACACCACCCAACTACAGCTTGCTCTGGTCACCACCAACCACCTTGATAAGCGCACGGCCATTGCTCAAGCAGACCTTGCCGCCGGCTACCTCGGTGGCGAACCGGATCTCTTCAAAATCACCCTGCTTCTCTCCGGTCCTCCAAACATGAGTCACAAGCTTGTCCCCGGGCTTGACAGGGCTGGCAAACCGCGCCTGGTACTCCTTGATGTTGGCGGGGTCGCCTCCGCCGACCGCCTTGAGGAGCGCATGGCACGTCGTGTTCCACGAGTAAAGTCCGTGGATGATGGCGCCGCCGAATCCCATCTTCTTTCCGGGCTCGGGCGTCGCATGGAGCGGGTTGTAGTCGCCGTTCAGGCGGTACAGCAACGCCGACTCCTCTGTGGTCTGGTGCTCCAGGACGTGGTCGGGCTTCTTCCCCTTGGGTGGGGGGAAGCTCTCCGTCGCGGGGCCCTTGGGTCCTCCCCAGTTGCCCTGGCCAATGTAGAAGCCGCTCCCGATCACGCGAGTATATATCTCGCCATTGCTGACGTCCACGAGATCGGTCTGCGTCTCGACAACGGAGCCGGGACGGCCCTTGTCGTAGACACCAAGCACTTTGGTGCGGATCTCAAACTTCTTGCCCGCCGAGGAGGTGGGGAGGGGCTTGAAGAACTCAATCTTGCGCTGGCCATCGACCACACGGCGGGCGTCGAACTCAGGGACGCCCGGGATGGGGTTCTTCTTCTGTGAGCCGTAGAAATCTACAACCTCCTGTGAATTGCCCTTGAAGGCTATCCCGTGCATAAGTTTGTCAGCTAGCGGTTTCTCAATTCTTCACTCTGTTGGGGGTTCAGCGAGCTCTTACGCAGGATGATTGGGTAGGTTGGGAAGACGGCGAAGTTGGGATGGAGCTCCTACATTCCATCTATCAGCACACTGTGTCTCCGGCTTGGCTATGGTCAGATGAGCCGAAACTTACGTAGAGGAAATGAAGCTCGTCGGATTTCGCGCCGATTGTGTTTGCGAAAAGCAAGACATCACGCTGCAGCCACGAGACCTCGGCAGCAGGGTACTCGAAGCCAACACCAGGTCCAGACATGATGGAAGGGATGGAAGGTACACAGGGCTTGCTACTAGGAAAGAATACAGATGCGATTGATTACCTGGTGATGGAATGTATGCAGAATGAAAGGGGGAGGAGTAAGAGCAGAAGCCCGTTCCCCAGGTTTACATACCCATGGCTTGCCGAAGCTCCAGCAGCGATCCTACAGCAACGAACGTGACGTGCCGAGGTTCAGCGTGTCTAAAGTGTGGGGGAATTGCCACAGCAGCCTATCCTCTACCTTAGCTCCTGTCGCAGGTGCATCTCCGCCCCTAATTTTAGGACCTTGATGCATTGGCCTACCCTAAACCCCACATGAAATCTGCCCACGGCCAAGAGATCTCCTCCTGTCTCTACAACCTGATCACCAACCCATAATCACAAGGGTGTAAAGCAGGTTTTCAGAGCCTCGGACTATAAGTATGGATTCATCGAATTTTCCGCCTTCTTCTACCTGCCCATCGACCTCGACCTCCGCTGCACAATGTGAGAAGCATTGCGCGGATATGTTCTCCATGGCTATTTTCTTGCAACAACTAAGCACTCATACGAACTACCTAAATACATCACAGAGCCGCAGCAGATTGAAAGACAATCATCTTGGCTTACAAACTAGCGATGCCAACCGGGAGTCTCGGTAGCCAAGACATGAGATCAGTGATATATGGCGTGACCCTCTGAGAGAATGCGATTTATCTAGGGCAGCCCTCCTCTTCTCTCCTTTTCCAAATAAACGACACTCATTTATTTATTTAGCATCGGTATGTTTTCAACCTTAAGACCAAGTTCACATACTCAAATGGTTCGAAGCTAACATGAAAACTACTAGGAAATGGTATTCATGAAAAGACTGGCTAGCTATTGGCTATATCATACATAGCCTAATATTGTTTGGTATAAATGAGTGTAGTTGTTCATGATCAATTTGTTTCATACACCTCCACGAATGGACTGACAAAAGAAACCTCCCCTTCCTCCCGTGATCTCTTAGCGGACCCTGGCCTTTGCACGATCACACTCCTCAATGAATCGATAAATGCCTTCGAGACCCTCAAATTCCGTTGAGCAGTGATCTACGGAGCTCATCGGCGGAGACAAGCTCTCGTAACCTTCCGGTTCAGAGAGCCATGGATTCTCCGCAATCTCTTCGATGACAAAGGCCTCTTGGAGGAATGAGTCATCGCCAAAGAGTGAAATCTCCTCGATTTCGTGTCCTGTAAGAGACCGAGCGGAACCTCCCGGCGATGTCAATGTCTTTTCGGCATCCGGAGCGAATGGGAACCTAAGCGCGACGGGTACGCCGGCGGACAGGTCAAAGTCCGGATCCTGACGTACCACTCCACGCTGGATGCCAATGTCATCGCAGAGACGGCAGACCGTCTCCGCGTCAACACCAGGGAATCGAACACGGAGGGAGCCGTTCCCTTCTTGCGTTATAGGGAGATCGCCTAGAATTGACAACCTACGCAAGTCGGCGTATATCGTCGTCAGGTCCTGGAGGGCACGACCAAAGTCGGACGACAGGACATCAAGGAAGCCCTCAGTGTTGAGGTTTGTGGGTGATACAACAGCCTCGGCCTTCAATCCGGAGAGCTCGGACACTTGAGTGATGGCAGCAGCCAGAGGGCTCAGAGCAGTGAGCGTTGGGCTGAGCTTGAAGTCGATGAAGGAGCCGGGGGTGAACTTGGGGACGGCCGCAAGCTTGTTCATAGCGTCGTCCTCAAGACCAGAGACTGCGCGATACTGGCGCTCACCACGGCCGTTGAGGCCATCGTATCGAAGCTTCTGTCCTGAGAGAAGGAAGCCTCTCATGGCCTGCGAGACGTTCTGGACGACCTGGGCCGGGGCTGCCGGAGTATGGGAAAAGTACCGAGCACCGCCTCCGAGGCTATAGCCACCAGCAGTTCGGGGCATCGCTCCGCCGGTCAAATTCGGTCTCAATGTAGTGGCAAAAGGAGCCCGGCCGGAGAATTGTGCTACTCGTCGCAAGGTGTTCGATGATGGGATCTTGGAGCGATCGATACCGTGAGATCGGGCAGCGGAGGGCTGGGAGCTGAAGTATCTGCGTGCCACATTTTCGACTTTTCGAGCGGCTGACCTGGCGAGTCTTGAAGAGAAGCGTCTCTGCTGTTTCAAGATTGCGGACGGGTGAATCGGGTGTCGTCGAGCGAGCCCATTCCGAATGGGAATCAAGTGTAATTGACCTTTGAGGGGCCTGACCGCCTGCACGACCGAGGCACGAACAGCTTTCGCTGTTGTAGCCACGGCGAAGCGCAGGAGTCTTAGGGTCGGCGGACCCCAAGCTGTCCCCACGGACGCCATGTTGTTTTATTGAGCAATCCCAAAATTCTTGGTGAATGATGGGATAATGAGTTGGTCGAGTATAAACCGGAACGCCGCGAATGACGACCCCAATGACCCTTTATCAGTCAAAGTGGGGATGATAAGATTCGCCACAGATTCGCCACATTATTTTGTGGTGAAGCACAGCCACACCTTGAGATTTGAGATGTGCGGAGCATGCGTCCATTCTCGGACTAGCGTCCGTGTACCTATTTATTTGCCGAAGGAAATTTTTCAAATCGTTTCCTTCACTTTTCCATCCTCCCATATCAACACCTACCAGAGGGAGAGCTGCACGCGATGGAATTGTCGCGCTCTCCCCTCTGGTCAGACTCTCTTTGGTAAGATTTTCACCCGCTCTCTTCATACTCAATTCTCTGTGATGAATATCTTTCACGAACAATCCAATGCCGACCTTTCTATGGGGACCCATTATCTCTAGAATTACACTGATTTGATACCTTGTCAATTTTTACGCTTCTGGAAGCGCTTGGGAACAAAATTGCTAACAGAGTCAGCTTCTGGATTTGCTATACCACTACTTATACCGCGTGTAAAATTTTCAAAAGGTTCGTGGCCTCAATTTTTTTTTCTCACGCACCCAATGCCCTCTATATGATGATCAAAACGACACCTTAGGGATTCCTCATACTTAATATATCATGTGGATTACGTTGTAACTAGTTTCAGCCTTGTCTGACCAAATTTGGGCTTCATCCTTTTTTATCTTCTGGAAGATATCTTGCGTTCATTGCCATGCTAACATGCAATTTGTCACAGGTAAACACACACTCGGTTTCCACTACCAACCCCCTCCAAATATCATGATGAAAGTTTGAACGAACGGGCGGACATATCGAGCCTCAACCTCGACCATCCTTAGACAGCAAGGCGTACAAACCTTGTGGTGGAAGGGGGAGAGATCTCTTGATGACATTTCGTCACCTGACTTGTGTTACCTCATTCTCAAAGGATGACTTGGACTGTTGATTTGTTATGTACATGGTAACTAACAGCATCAACATATAGGTAAATAATTGATGCCATCGTTCCCTGCTCAATAACATGCTCGCTGCGTACTGTGATGAGATGTCCAAAATTGTATTCACACTGTTTGACTCGCAATCTTGTATTGTGGGAAATGAACAAATTTAACACCTTCTGATATTACGGTATGTTCCCCAAACTTGTCGTCCTGCTATCGGTTCTTGGGAAGCTAATTTTGTTATTCAGTCACGAGCATTGTTCAACCACCAAATGACACCCGTGCTGGCCGAATGCATTGCTAACGTTGAAATCAGGTAGGAATTACTGACATCAGAACCGTGCCGTCTTGCACTGAGGGTAAGCTAATTCATTTCCTTGTCCTCCTACCATAACACTTTTCACACATGCCATCTCGGCCATGTCACATGATGATTCCTACCTACATATCTATCAACCTTACTGAGTTCATCTTGATGAACAAATTATTCACCTTGGAGAACTGATCTCGTTTCCACTGCACTCATGCACAATGTCGATATCCAAACATGGAAAGTAGAAGCTAACACAAGCTTTACCAGAATTACCCTCAATAAGAGCATCACGGCTACTGGGTTTACAGAGACGGCGTCTTGATGATAGTCCTCCGTTTGATTTGATGGCACGGCAAACTACTTAGTTTGCTTCCAGTACAGTTTTGTTGATCCACTGGTATCGTCGACTGCTAGTAGTTGGGATGTATATATATATATATATTGGGGGGAGGGGAGTGGGTTTTGCCGTATGCAAGGGGTATATCCCATGATCAGATCAGACATAACATGATACACACATTTAGTTTTCAACCAAATTCCAATTCGGACCGGAAATTGGTTAAAAACTAAATGTAATATGTATCATGTCACCACTGGCCTTATCGTGGGATATACCCCTTGTATACGGCAAAACACCCCCCTCCCCCCCCCTCTCCAAAGAAAACTAATTTCCAATCCGTATCCAACCTTCAACTCTTATTTTCTTTCTTTTTTTCTACAAAAGCCTACTTAGGTATAGGTAACAGCAGCTCCAAAAACTCTAAGAAGGGCTTATCAAGTATATCAAACTTAGCCATGGGCCCCGAGGGATGCTCATCATCCATAATCAACTACAACCACCTCTCTCCAAGCTAGAACTTATTTTCACCAACCGCCCAAAGCGCTAATTAATGGCTTTTTCCGACACGATCAAACCTAGCAGCCAGGACCCGGTCGCAGCGATTGACCGGGTCTTAGAGCGTATGATGAAAATCATCAGCGATGACCCTCACGGGCGATATTCAACAGTTGGGATACATATAAAAATATAATTGTTCCTATTATCTTATCTTCGTTTGGTGTATCTGAGTGCATGTCACGCTGTCCCGTCCTATAAATCATATCCAATTCAAGAGTCCAAGCCCCCCCCCTATTTCTTTTGCTAAGAGTCACCTGGTTCATTGACTGTGCTGCAACTTGGCGTTCATACCGACAATGCAGCGAATCAAGTCCCAGTCTCCGTTGGCACCAACCCAGTCGGTCACCACCACACCCGTGCCGGCAGCACCGACGGGCAGCTGCCTGGGACCCTTGCCCTCCTCGCCGTGCCTGATGCAGAGGTACTCGACGATCGCCGGGTTCACCTTGGCGGCGATGCGCTCGGGCCAGCAGCTCGCGTTGAAGAAGTTGCTGGCGCTCAGGAAGTTGACGAAGATGGCGGGGAGGCCGGCGCCCTCGTCGCCCAGCGGGTAGTGCTGCTCGGCGGCGCGCTCGAGCTGGCCCCGGGAGAATTCGATCTTCTTCTCGACGTTCTCCGTCTCCGACACCTCGTAGAAGTCCTGCACGCGGATGAAGCCGTCGCCGATGTGGCCGTCCTCGCAGTTGTCGGGCCAGCCCGCGGCGTCGATGCCGAAGCCCCGGCCGTCCCACTCGTGCTTGAGCTCCTCGTCGAGGTTGAAGCGGCGGACGAGGACGATGCGGCCGCGCACCTCGCCGAGGCGGGGGACGCGGGGCTCGGTGGCCCAGCGCTCGGGCTTCTTGTCGATGTAGTTGCCCTTGAGGTGCCTGCTCATCTGCTCGTCGTTGGCCTTGCCGTTGCCCTCGCGCTTGACGCTCATGATGACGGTCTCGGAGCCGTTCTGCTCGAGGAATTCGTAGATGTCGTCGAGCATGTCGCCAAAGTACTTGGTGCCCGTCAGGGAGACGGGGAAGGCGCTGTGGACGAGGCTGAGGTTGGGATCCTCGGGGTCTGCGGAGACGCGGATGTCGAGGAAGCGCACACCGTTGTCGAGTTGCTCCCGGACGCTGACGGCCTGGCAGCGGACAGAGGGCAGGGCCTTGTGGCAGGTTGGGGAGTTGTGCGTGCCTGGGATGGAGAGACTGCCGAGGGGCCAGTCGTTGTGGAGCTTGTCCATCCAGGAGTTGAGGCTGGAGGAGGAGTAGACGGCGACGAGGGCGCCGTTGGGGACATAGACCGCGGTGAGCTCCTCGTGCGTCTCAGGGTCGATCCTCTTCATTGTGCTGGAGCGCTGGTCGGGGCTGGGGATATCGACCTCATGGCGCTTGTCCTGCCACCTGAAGATGAGGCGGAGGATCTCGCGATCACCGTCCGCGGTGCGGATATCAGTCTCCTGAGTGCGGAATGGCTCGGCATGGAAGCTGACATCGTGCTGTTCCCGGGAATCGCCCGTGACAAGTCTGCTGGACTGATGCTTGGTGGCGTTGAAGAAGCCGGAGATGTGGCCGACAGCGTTGCTGACAACGTCACCTGTGCCCTCCTTCCTGGACTCGAACCTCTCTACGCTGACGAGCTCAATTGGGTGGATGGTGAGATTGCGAATGGTGAGGTTGGCCATGGCTGCGGATTGGAAGAGGGGCGGCGGCAAGGCTGAGCTTGAGAGGTCGAGCTAGAGGAAAGCTGTCTACACAAGAATGCAGCTGGGTGTGTCGCGACTTGGATTGGGGTGGGAGAGAGGCGAAGGAGGGGGAGGGGGTGTGATGAGAAGCTATCTATATACAATCTAGAGCTAGGCTGCTCGCAAATTTAGCAGAATGCTGTCTCGAGGCCAAGCCTGACCAGTGTCCATGCCGCTGCGGGACACGCGGCTGGAAGGAGGGGCAAAGGGTCCTTTGGGCTGGCAGAGCTGAAAGTGGAGAGACCTGTTGCAGTTCAAGAACGAGGGGTGGAGACTGTGCCGTGCCATTGAGCCTGTCTGAGGGCCGTCCGCCAGCTCTGAGAGGGAGGACTCAGCAAGGGGGAGGCGGTGGAGGATCCGGTCAAGTCAGCCTGCAGCACATTTGAAAACTGGATGCGGCAGAGCAATGTGATAGCACGTAATATTGCACTCGGCGGTCACGACCATAATGGAAGTCTTACAGGCTGGGGATAGGAGGATCTACGGTGGGCTGTCAGAGGAGTGCTAGTCGATAAGGTAAGCACATTGCCCCGCGTCCATTAATCGAAGCCATCAGCTCTCTTGAGAGGCGTGATTGAGAAGCTTAGCTCGAACCGATCATTCGGCAGCGAGGTTCCCATGCCAGGGGACAGCCAATGGGCTTCCCTCTGTGGTGTCTTCAATAGACCCATAAGGAATGCCCATCATCCATCCCTCGCCCCATTAATTGCAACCCTACTTGGCTGCCTCCCTCTACAGCCAGCCTGTTTTGGATCAGTGGTATGAACGCCAAGTAGTTTAATCTCGATGGCTACAAAACGGTCCTTTTTCAATTAGTTAATCATCTGAAAACGGTAAACTGTATTAGCATTGCCATGGTTCCTGCATGATCTTTGAACATGCGATTGGCGAGGCTACATGAACTACTTGCCGAATATCTAGCATATTATGGGCCATGCATGTTCCATCAACCAGCCAACACTTCTCAATAGGTTGGCTGGCAGTGTGACACCGACAATTACTTGATTCATTCATGCAGAGGATTGAAGTCGACCAAGTACATGCATTCGCCAGATGGGAGCCCACCTAGTCTCCATCATTGATGGTGTGCCTTAGAATTTGGGTTTGCCTAGGGAATGGGAATAAGCAGAGGAGCGTGCCTATTAGTGTAGGGCTAAGCACGCGGCCGTGGGGACTATCCCAAGCTAATTTACAAACGCGGAAGCGCTAGACAACTTGTATTAAACATCCAATGCATTCCTTGAGTTGCTGGAAGGACAGTCAAGAGAGTATTCTTCGGAGAAACAGCTCCTTGATGGGGTGGCAAACAAATGATGGACATGAAGTTGTAGATAAATTATATTTTTAGATTTCATCTAGTTGTATATGGATCTGCTGAAAGTACTTGCGTTTGGAGCACAAATGAACGACTTTCGTATATTGGTAAAGTAGAGACAGATTATTTCTGTGATATTCTCATTCCAAACGATAGGCCAACTCTCTCTGGTCCTGCCCAAAACGTGGAGAATTCCTAGCACCCCGACGATTACATCCCGAGAAAAACGCCAACACTTTCAACGTGGGATTGAGAATCATTTGTTGCTTAAAAAAAAACAATGAAAAGTTAAAAGGGAAAAGATAGAGGCAAGGCCATAACATTCTTTAGGACCCGAGGTGAAGCATTGCATAGATGATCGGATTACTCAGATCGCCTGCGCTTGGCGCCGTCACTGGACGACTCGCCCTCTTCGTCCTCGGCCCGGGGTCGCCTCAGGCACACCTGTTTTTGCTCAAGCCGCTCGTCACGCTGGCGGATAGCTTCAAGAATAACGCTCTCGCTACCGATGATGTTGCCTTCGCCTTCAACGACGAGACCGGCGTCGACCTCGAGCCTAATGGGTCTCGGGTTTCCGTTGCCATCAATCATGGGAAGTCCACAATTGCCTGAACTGTGCTTTTTGATCGCTGAGGTCATGGCTTCAGCGATGGCATTGGCGTGGCTGGATGGGTTCTCCGACAAGCAGATCAGGTTATTGCTCTTGTTGATGGTGATTGAGGTGTTGATCCGCAGGTTAAGTGGTGCACAGGGCTCATCATCATCATCCATGGTCTCGTTTTCGTTCATGAGTTGGGCTTGGATGGCGCGTGACAGGGCTGCTGTAGAGGGTTCCAGCGCCAAGCGTTGAGCAAACTGGTTAAGCTGAACGCCTCTGGCTGTCAATGCCGACAGATTTCTTCCCGATCTTGGTGAGTAGGGAGGAGGGGCATTGGTGGGAGCGGGAGTATCCTTGGGAAGGTCGTGTCCTGCGTTTGGCCGGCCTGGTTGAGACATGTTGTGTGATGAGGAGGGATAGTCAAGTAAGAATAGTTGGAATAGGTGAATGAATGAGGAAAAAGAAAGCACGAGCCAACCTGGTGAGCCCGAAGAAAGTAAGAGTTTGGTCTTAGAGACAGCCGGGGCTTGGGAGATGGAGGGAAATGATGAAGATAGTGGTTATAAAGTTGTTGGTGAAGCGTGTCGGCCAGGTGGTCTTTTATATGTGAGGAGGGGAGGTTGATATGTGTGAGGTCGGGAAGTTGAGAATGTCCGAGACTAGTCGCCGGTGGAAAGTCTGTTTCTTGCAGGCTCTATACGAGACAGGCACGAGAGAAACAAGCCAGGTCGATGTCGTTGATTGATGATGATACCGTTGCCGACAGGGTGGGTTGACACGCGGGTAAGAGAATTAGTCTGGCCGCTGGGGCTATCAGAAAAGCTTTGCGCCACCAATCTCTCGAACCACGCGGGTTGGATGGAGGGTATGTGGCACGAGTTCGTGCTGGGGTTCTACCCAATTCAGGAAAAGCTGGGCTGGATTAGGAACTCCTGGAAGGTAGGTTCACAGGAGGAATGGCGTGGAAGAGTGATCTATTGATCAATGCAACTCTGAATCGAAGCAGTGTAGAGAAGATATTTAAGCTCAAGTAATCTCAATGAGAGAGCTGGATGTTGAGGATGTAGGAGAGGTAAGAGAGGAGGAATGTGAACAGAGAGGGAAAGCCACGGTTATATATGCATTTCCCTCACCCTCACACCCCTCAGGTCGCACAGAGGGACAGGAAAATGAGGCGAATGAGCCGCTGTATCACACTGCAAAAGGGGAAGTGAATCAGAGGGCATACGCCATGACAATACCCAGCTTCTAATCTATTCTGCAATGTATGGGCCCATTACTCATGCAGGTGAGATCGCCAATGGAGAGATCCCGGGGGAGTGAACGCAGACATGCTTGAATGGGGAGGCCGGCTGGACAGGGGTCGCCAATACCTCTGGCGCCGTTGAATCAATCATCACACCATCCCATAAGACACACCATCGTCACATTGGAAACGTTGTCTCATGGTCTCACTCGAGACGTGAGAAATTTCTTCGCTTTTTCGCGCAGGACCGTGCACACAGCCGGAGAAGCTTGTTGCTGGCAGCGTTTAAGGTTGCCCGCTCGGTGGTCCAGGCACGTAGAAACCGAAAGCCAAGCGTCACCAGGTGGCTTTGGAATGAGGAAACGGCATCAATGGAGGAGACACACACCCCCTCCCTGTCTCTCAAAACACCATGGCGACCTGGCAGGTGAGAAAAGGCGTCCCCACCCTCAATGTGTATAATGGGATCAATGAAGCTCCAGACCAAGGATTCGCTGCAAAGCCGTAGTATTGTTGATCGACGGTGAGACAGGCCAAGGCCAGGCCGACATGGGCCCAGCCCCAAGCCAAGTGGATTGTGCCCAAGCTTGTTCTTCGACGTCGATTCCTCTCATGCACGACGTCGGGCGAAGAGTGCTCATCTTACCCCAAAGCAGGCCGCTGCCAATAGCGCCAAGCTCACATGCGAAACTAATGTACCGCGTCGGATGAGGGTGCGGCGCGGCAATGAGCTATGTCCAGCTTCTGCCTCTGGCCCCCGCCGGTGGTTGGGTCCTCCCCTAGCAGCTCTCCGGCTTCCTGGGTACCCGAACCCATCCCAGGCCGGGTCCAACCTGCCTTCAACTGCCTGGCACTTGCCGTATGCCCTCAAAACTGTCCCTTCGCTCGCTCCTGCTGAAGGAGCAACGCAGGCGGAAATGGGCAGGAGGCCTCCCGTGCAGCTACGCAATGACACCCCCTTTCCTTCTTTCCTCTTCTCCGCTGGGCCACGAAACTCCATGCCGGTGACCCAGGTGGCTGCTACAGCTGGTGGAGACTGCGGAAGATGGAAGCTATTGTCAACCGCAGCCGTTCCTATTGTTCTCTGCAGGTGTGGTGGGTCCGACTCTATTCATCACCCACCAGGGCTTAGCGGCCGTCTCCCGGGTCTCCACCCCACCGAGGACTCGGGGTATTTCCACTTTCGGATCCCTGAAGGTCCCAGCCAGCTGAAGCGCTTAGGCCATTCAACGTCTCTTTGGGGTGGTTGCACTTCTGCAACGATGAGTCGCCATTGAGATGCCCGTCCTATTCTTTCGTTTTCAACCCCCCGTCATTCTTGCCTGACCGCATTTCTATTCATTGAATCATGCGCTGCCGGCCGGCAACCCTCCCCGCGGTTGTCGGGATGGTAACATCCAGCATCCGAGTTCATTGTATTACTCATTCCACGTTGCATCGAAATCTCTAACAATCTATCATGCAAACACAAAGGCAAATATGCATGCACATGATAAGGGCATGCAAAGAGGGTGACATGGGCAAAAGAGCATGAATGAGCGCAACCTCGAGATTGTCCAAGTGCATAATGCAGTGTCTCACGTAGACCAATCATGAGGAACCAGATAACACGATCCGACCGGTCAACTCACCCTTCCGAAACATCTCTCTCCAATAGCAAGCTCCGGAGCGAAGAAGACGCTTGTCATATGTCACATTATTAACTTTGAACTTTTTTCCCCAAACGAGGTATGCGGACGAGGGGGCGGTTAGCCTCTAGCCGAATTCCTCAACGGACCAAAAACATCCAAAGACGCTAGAGCGAGGCTTCTTATCTGGACCTGAACCCTCTCGGGTCGAAACACCCTTGCAGGCTAGACACACGAAAAACGAGTATATTTAGAGAGGTTTACGCGGACTGGAATGGAGGGGCGTGGTCGAGGCTGCGGCACCAGACACTAGATTAAACCCCTCCCCCCATCACAATCATGGGAGGGGGAGGGGGCCAAAGTGCAGGACAAAAGCCCGGAACCGACATTATGGGGAGGGGTTAATAACCTATTGTTCTTATTTACGGCAAATCAATCACGGCCAGGGGCTGCGTCTAGCCCCATACTTGGCTCTCCTTGGCTCTCCGTTGGGCGCCCATCCTGCTTGGTGTCGCCATACTTTCTCGCCAAAATCCCTCTCTGTTGACCCATGGACGGATCTTCGCACCCCTAGCAGGAGAGCGCCAGCAAGCGGGACCAGTCGCTCGGGAATCGTGAATCCCAAGGTAGTGGTAGACAGGACGGTCCGCCCGCCCAGCTTTCCCAATGCTCTGGGAAGAGTAGCCACCAACGACTTCATCTGCCACGAGCTTTGACGCTAGGCCGCCGAGCGAATGGGAAGAGATGGATGAGAGTGGGAATAAGGAAACAGACGACATCGCCCCCTCTCAGGTCAGAACAAAACGCCACGTCGTTTATATCAATCTCCTCGACGTATTCCCGAGTCCGTTCTGGGGCAGCCAACCAGCTGAGGTAGCTCGAACCCCTCCCACATCCGTCTCAGTCGGTCACCGACTGTGGCTCTCGAGACCGGGGTGCTTCTGGGTAGTTCAACTCTGGCGAGACCGGCCTCATTATCGTGTCTGGCGCTGGGCTTGTGCGCGTGGCCTCCCGACTTATGCTCCCGCCCGCATACGTAAGTGCGGTCCCTCCTGCGGACCATCAGATCAGATGATACTTTCAGATATCCGCGTGAAACATATTCGTAATGTCCCTTTGCAATAAGAAGCCAGAGCAGAAGTCTTGTACTGGTGGGAACCAACACGGTCTCCCGACTCAATTGTTCTTTAGATCATATGTATTGTGCTTGAGAGGTGAAACGCCGGGGCTGCAGCCTCCCACAATGTCGTCCTCCCCAGCACGGCATATTCCGCCAGCCACCAGTGAATGGACCATCTGGGAGCTTGCAAAACAGTTGGGCATCCCAAAATATTACTTCACGCCAAGGGCGGCAAGTCCAGCCTAGGAAGACGCTTGGACTCGAGTGCAGGTCGCTTACGAACAATCCAAGTGAGACAGGCTCATCTACCTGCCGTATCGAACTTATTCACATCGTAGATTCTATTGTGTGCCGCAGCAGGTGTCACAAAATGCAACGACATGTGCCGTAGCTTTGCTTTTTTCCACGGCTGGGTCCAGCCCGTGGTCGAAAACCTGACGGAGCCCGCCAAGTCTTGGAAGCTCGTAATTGTTTGATAGTGATGCTGCATTAGCAGCATAATACAAGTGATAGGTACACCGCCACAAGCATTTCTTGCTGCATGGTTTACCGTCACTTTGACAAAAACAAAAATGCAATTTCATGCATAAGTCCGTTCGGTTATGCTCGAATTTGTGTATTGTGCGTCGATTGCGTTCACCAAAGGAACGATGTGGTTCAAGTCTCGGCCGTCTTTTGAATTGGGCTGTGCTGACAATGTCATCGGTTAGCCGGGTTTTGTGTAGACAATAGGACGATGACGTGATCTCCTTTCGCTGTGTAAGTTAGAGGTTAGTAGTCCACTTGCTCATGGGGAAACGTGCAATAGAGGTCGAGGGATGACGAAGGATGGGTGCCAAGGCTGAAATGCATAGTCAAGGCAGAAAAGAGACAAAGACACTGAAGGGGACTGATCTTTGAGCCAACTCATCCCCATCATCGGGAAGTGAATTAATTATTATGGTGCTACCAGTCTGAGATCTATCATTACGATAACTATACTGATCAGAAGCATCCGAAATGACTTCCCGAGCGACTCATGTGCTTCGATCCTGCCCATCCACCTCCGCTGGGGCCATAGATGTCGCAAATGCAGCTCGATGCGAGGTTAGGAAGAGATGTTGAATATCTCTTTCATCTTCGCCCCTAAAGGCGTGAAGCGTTCCCCACTGAAGCCTCAAATTCAAAGGGTATCTCAGTGCAGAGTTGTGCCTCTATTGGACCGGACCTTTTTTATCCATTCCTCCGTGCAGGGAAAATAAACACCTGCCGGGGTAACCGAACTCCTGTCTCTGTTGAAAGACGCCGCTCACTCCGTTCGCTGTGTATCATGAAAGACCGAATTGGTCCTTTTTGGAGTATCGTTAAAACAAGAATGAGAATTTCATGTCGAAAACCGACGTGACCACATCCCAGTGCGGGGTATACAAAGATTCGTTGAGAACCGTACGCTGTCTATGAGCGCATCGTAACGAAAATGGAGTCATGTGGAAATAATTTCACATTATTATCCATGCGAAGAGCTGTTGAATTACTCTCCGCCATTTATTAGCTCATTTAGAACTTGAGCTCCTTGGGCTGTTCCCAAGTGAAGCTCTGGTTGGTACCGAAGTGACCGTTCTTGGCGGTCTGGAGGTAGATGGGGCGGTCCAGGTTCAGCTCACGGACAATAACACCGGGGCGGAGGTCGAAGTTCTTGTTGATGATCTCGACCAGCTCGGCAGAGCTCTTTTCAGAGGTACCGTAGGTGTCAACGTTGATGGAGAGTGGCTCAGCAACACCAATGGCGTAGGAGAACTGGACGAGGGCACGACGAGCCAGCTTGGCGTTGACCAGGGACTTGGCGACCCAGCGGGCGAGGTAAGCAGCGGATCTGTCGACCTTGGAGAAATCCTTGCCGGAGAAGGCACCACCACCGTGGGCACCCCAACCACCGTAGGTGTCAACAATGATCTTGCGGCCAGTGAGACCGGCGTCACCCTGGGGACCACCGATGATGAAGAGACCAGAGGGTTGGATCTGAAAAACGAATTAGTGTCTGTGTTCGGACCGGCTCCTGAGTTGCCCACGAGGAGCAAGAAAAAATCGAACTTACGTGGTAGATGGTGTTCTCGTCAAGGTACTTGGCGGGGATGGTGGCCTTGATGATCTTCTCCTTGATCTCCTTGCGGAGCTGCTCAGTGGTGATATCAGGAGAGTGCTGGGCAGAGACGACGACGGTGTGGACACGCTGGGGAACAACGGCACCACCGTCCTTCTTGTACTCAATGGTGACCTGGGTCTTGGTATCAGGGCGGAGCCATGGCAGAGAGCCGTCACGGCGGGCAGCAGACATGGCAGCGTTCAGCTTGTGGGCGAAGAGGAGAGTGAGAGGGAAGAGCTCGGGGGTCTCGTCAGTGGCATAGCCGAACATGATACCCTGGTCACCAGCACCGAGCTTCTCGAGAGCCTCATCGTAGTGGAGGCCCTGAGCGATATCGGGGGACTGCTGCTCAATGGCGACGAGAAGGTTGCAGGTCTTGTAGTCAAAGCCCTTGTCAGAGTGATCGTAGCCGATGTCCTTGATGGCATCACGGACGGTCTTCTGGTAGTCAATCTGGGCGCGGGTTGAGATCTCGCCGAAGACCATGATCATGCCGGTCTTGGTGGCGGTCTCGCAAGCAACCTTGGAGAGGGGGTCCTGAGCCAAGCAGGCATCGAGGATGGCATCGGAGACCTGGTCGGCAATCTTGTCGGGGTGGCCCTCACCGACAGACTCGGACTGGAAACAAAGTGCGCGTGTTAGAAAGAGGGGCTGTCCTCGGGCCAGAAATTCGTGCTTGGTTACACAAATGGCGGACTTACGGTGAAGAGGAAGTTGGGCTCGTCCTGGTGGACGCCGTTGGTACCGTTGGCAGCCATTGTGAATAGATTATGTGATTACGGAGAGAGGAGTGAGGGAAGAAAGGTTGCAAGGCTCTGGGAGGAGGACCGCTTTGCGAGAGACCAACGAGGGGCAATTTCGCTGGGAGAAACTACAATGGAAAGAATTGAGTCAGCAATCGGGAACGAGAGGTGGTATGGTAGCAGCTGAGAGAGAAGCTGAGGCTTGGATTGACTCACAAGAAATGGCTGGAGGTGGAAGAAGTGCAAAAAGTTGAAGATTGAGCAGGAAGAAAGAAAGCAAGAAAAGTCGCGGTGATGATCCTTTTTAGGACTGGTGGGGGGCGGCAACGACTCAACAACAAAACCACCGCCTGCCCCTCGCAGCCCCTGGTCAAGAGCAGCGAGAGGGCGGTCGGCAGTACCTCTTCGCTCATGGTACCTCTCGCCCACTCAGACTGGGCGGCTGCCGGGCGCTGTGGCTCGGGTCACTCCAATGTACACACGCACTAAAGGCGGGGGCCGGGATCAAGAGGGGACGGTGTCAAGCTTCAGATACGCTGGTCACTGCTCATAGGGCAGTACTTGCTCTGGATATGCACCGGACAGCAACAGTTCAGGTAACCCCGCATCCTGAAGAGCTTGGCTCACCATGCCCGTCCCGAAATTCGCAACGGGATTGCGCCATCGGCTAGAAACCCAACCACGAAATTTTTTCCCCTTCGAAGCCAGACCCATACCTGCCGCTTTATTTGATGGGACTATGAGTCTACGACAGCTAGGAAGTACTTCCTCGCACGAACCAGCACCCCACGCTCTCGCACGACCTCTCTGGTTGGCTGGCGGTGTCACCACTCCAGCCTTGGATGTGGTGATGATAACACCTGTCGCTATGCTATTCAGCGATAGCTCAGGCTGGTGCTATCGGCAGATACCTCCCGATATTGTCCCCGACCCCGCTCGAGAATCCTCCCTCGTTCCCAGAACTCTCCGGGGGTAACTCGCCGATGGAGAGTCATGGCTATCCTTGTAGGTGACATTGGGCATGAAGCGTTGGTAGGATTTTTCTTATGGTATCGGATCCTTGGCAAGTCACGCCCAGGGAAGGCTATCCTCGGGCATGACGAAACTCTCCATACAATCACATGTATATATATGCGGCAGTATACGGCACCCCGTAATCATTGCATTAACACGGATGAATTGGTGGTGGGCAGCTCGGTTCTGAGGTGTTACACCGTATCATACCTTATGAAAAAGTGAGCTCTTATCTTTGGTTTCAGACCGGTACGGTACCAATTGGCAGTGCTACGCAATAGTCGGCATAACCCATAATGTGTAACCACGTGCGTATTTGGCGTAACTGCACACACGACAGCCACGCCGACGGAATAATTTTGCCTAGTACTAATTTATGAACAAGGGTCTTAGACAGGTTGGCTCTGTTTCTAAGTGCTGGCAGACATGCATCACGTGATGATAACGGGATAGCTGAAGTTAACCCGTTTTGGTAAGTGGCGGGCTAGGAAAAAAAGTTATGATGGAGCTCGGTGATGTAGGTGGTCGGTTTTTGGAGGGGTGACAAACAGCTCCTCAACAATACTTGCCTGGAACAATCAGCTCCAACACGTACAATACCAGCATTTACGTTCGTGCACCCCCTTAGCAAATTGTATAAGAGGTTGAGGGTCTGTCGCCAATCACCATGAGTAAGTTTGGCGCCATGGTGATGGGCCCTGCGGGTGCCGGCAAGGTGAGGAACAGAAATTGCGAATGCGAAACCAACCGCTCACTTATGCATCAGAGCTAACACATGTCGTAGTCAACATTCTGTGCCGCTCTCATTACCCATCTGCAATTGAACCGACGATCCGCCTTTTACGTCAATCTTGACCCGGCAGCCGAGACTTTCGAACACACACCGGATCTCGATATCAAGGAGCTCATCTCTTTACACGATGCCATGGAAGAAGTCGGGCTGGGGCCCAACGGAGGTCTCATATACTGTTTCGAGTTCCTAATGGAGAACCTAGACTGGTTGACGGAGGCCATCGACAACCTGACCGAAGACTACCTCATCATCTTCGACATGCCAGGGCAGATCGAGCTCTACACCCATGTACCCATCCTGCCAGCACTCATGAAGTTCCTCTCCCAGCCAGGCTCGCTCGACATCCGCATGGCCGCTGTCTACCTTCTCGAGGCAACTTTCGTCGTCGACCGCGCCAAGTTCTTCGCAGGTACCCTGAGCGCCATGAGCGCCATGCTGATGCTCGAGGTGCCACATATCAACGTCCTCTCCAAGATGGACCTGGTCAAGGGTCAAGTGAAGAAGAAGGACATGAAGAAATTCCTCACGCCAGACACGGCCCTTCTAGACGACGACCCCATGGAGCGCTCGAGACGCAAGGCTGGCGGGGCCGACGAGGATCTAGCCGACGAGGCAAAGCGCCCGGACGAGAAGGACCAGGTAATGAAGGGTGCCAGCTTCCGACGGCTGAACCGGGCTGTGGCCGGCCTGATCGAAAGTTTCAGCATGGTGAACTTTCTGAAGCTGGATGTGACCAATGAGGACAGCGTCGGTGCCATTTTGAGCTACATCGATGACTGTATACAGTTTCACGAGGCTCAGGAGCCTAAAGACCCCAACGACGAGGAATTTGAGGACCATGATGATGAAGCTGAAGAGTAGAGCTGAGCCATCTTGCTCATTTTGTCTTGTTTTCTTGGGTCGAGGCTATATTTTCAATGGTTGTGCAAAGCGACGGCGTTAGGGATCACATTTTAGTCGGACTTATAAAAAATTAATCCAGTCATATTTGAACACATACATCCACCTTTTTACAATTTACACCACACACAAGGTTAACAACCGTCAAGGCTCTCTTGTAACCCAATAATATTAAACATCCAAAGTTGGAACAATACCGGAAATAGCGTCGTAATAGGTAGAAGTAGACATCGGAAGAAGGACGAAAAAGAGAGACCAAGGACCAGCCAAACGCAGCCTCGATAACCTTGTCGTTTGTTTTGGCCAGACCAGACGCCCCGCGCGCGCTCCGAAACAAAAAAACTCCCCAACCCGTCGGACTCCCTATACCCTTTCACCGCCCTTCAAGTTCCCTGCCCTTACCCCCTTGCCCCCCCCTTGTCTCCTTCGTCACCGCTGGGCGGCTCTGCTCGCGGACCCAGCCCGCTGCTGGCTCTCGTACTGCCGGTACTCCTCCAGCCAGATGTCCTTGACCGCCGCGCCGAACCCCATCACCTTGCTGATGACCACCACGACGTCCCTGACGGTCTGCTCCGGCCCGCGGGACCACATGAAGGCGACCAGCGCGGCGACGACGCCCCAGAGCGCCAGGCGCGCCATCACCCGCGTCCACCACATCATCAGCCTGTGCACCCAGCTCATGACGACGAAGACGGCCGTCGCCACGGCCACGGCCACCACCAGCCCCGTGTACCCCTGGTTGTCGGCCACCAGCTCGAGCAGCCTCTCGATCAGCGGCTCGACGTGGGGGTAGACGGCGTCGTACGCGCTCTGGGCGTGCGTGAGGGCGACCTGCTTGTAGGTCTGGAAGGGCGACTGCGGGTGCAGGAGGTAGGTCTCGATCTGGTCCATGATCTCGGACGGGAGGACCATGCCCAGGAGGTGTGTGGCCATGGAGGTGTTGGACATTGTTGTGTGCCGGGCCTGGAAGGTAGGTTAAGATCCGGCTTGAGGGAAGATGGTTGAAATGATGGTTTTGCGTCGGAAGAGGAGAGGGAGGGACGAGATGTGTGATGTGGCCACAAGCAGTCCTGCCGGCGCGTGCGCGTTGGGTCGTAGAAATATACTACGTCGAGAGTTGCAGCGCACGGGAAAGCGCAAACTGCTCTTTGTGGATGGACCACAATGCGACCCTGTAACCCGACAGGCGTGTCGGGCTCCAGCGAGATAGGGGACCTGGTAGGCCTAAAAGCGGTGTTGTAAAGTGGGCCTCGAGTCTCTCTATTTTGTTGCTGTTTCAAGGGTCCTCCCGAGGCTCGACGCTATTATTATACACACTGGGAATATACCATCTCAACCTTAGGTAATTAATCTACAACTATAACCCGTAAACTGGTTTGTATATCAAGTGATTCATTGATAGAAGTATCGTGCCCGTATTTCTATTTATATACACACCCCAAAGTATATATACCTGCTAAACATAATCTCGAAAAATGTAAACCTCATAGGCTGCTCGCTCCTAAGTCAGCTCTTAAGACAACCAGGGAAACCCATCCCAAAGACAGGTAGCGGCTAGTATGTGAACAACCTAGCCGAAACTAACAGTGTATATAGGAGAAGGAAAAAGAAATCCGCAAACAAACAATGCTCATCGAAAGTGTTCTCAAGGGTATCGATATCAGACAAAAGAAAGATCACATAAGATTATGCAGCTTTTGTCGTTGTCAAAGAATCAAAAAAGAAAGGACATGGCGCGTTACCGTAGACACGACCCAGAAATAAACGATGGGAAACCACCTTTCCCGTCAGACCTGACTCCGGCAATATTAAACTCCTCGTAAGTTGGAAAGAAAGTTCAGTTAACCATTTCCTATGCCTCCCATTCTATTCGTTCCGATTATGGCAGTTCCTCGAGTCCCTCCAGAATCCGGCGGGCCGCATCGATTTTCCGCCTATACATGCGTGCTTCTGCTCCAGCCCGTGAGCTCTCCCCCAAGGCCAGGACACACTTGCCAAGACTGGCCACCAATCTCTCGACAGCGATCTGGTCCTCCTTGGCCAGACTCTGCAGCTGTGCTGTCGAGCTCTGGTCTTTTGCGTTGTCTCCATCACAAATACTTGTGGTCTCGCTCTTGAGAGACTCAGAAACCTGCACCAGCGCAGGATCAGGAGATCCGCCAGGTGTCAAAACACCACCGTTCAATTTCGCTCTGCCTACCAGAGGAAAGCTACGGCTCGTCCCCATCGACTCAAAGGATGATGTTGAAGGCCGGTGCATCCTCTGCGCGGCGGAACTAGCAGGTCGGTAAACCACCGGGTTCTGACGGTGCCGATTCGATTGTCGTGATGATTGCCGAGATGATTGGCGGGATGATTGACGGGATGCGTGGTTGTCACGTTTGGCGCCCCCTTCGTGAGCCAAGTAAAATTCATCTTCATCCGCGCTTTGGAACGCGGAACTTCGGCTTGCCCTACCTTCTGTGGCTGTAGCAAAGGTATCCACCGACGAAATCGTTTCTAGGCTAAGCCTTCTCCTCCTGGACGCTGCGGATATGACTGGGCCTCGGGTAGTTTCGACTGAGCTGTCGGAGAAGTCACTCTCATCGGAAGCCACATCACCTTCAGCCCGCCGGCTGATGCTTCCCAATGCAGAGTGCAGGAAGAAGTGCTCATAGTCAAAGGCATCTTCTCTATCCTCATGTGAAAGCTGAACCTGGGGAGCATCTTCATACAAAGAGTCACCACTCTCGCTTGTCCAGTCGGAATGATCAGTCTGACTCTCCGTCTCATGAGCGTCACCAAAGCCCGCAGCCAGCTTGATTGAGCCACCGTCCTCTCCATTAATATCATCCCCATTCTCTGTTCGCACATCATCGACGTCTTCACTTCTGACAATGGCTTGATCTTTCTGTCCAACGTATTGCGTTGGGGTCGTTGCATCAGGTGAAGGCTCACGATACTGTTGTGTAGGCGTCTCCTTACCCTGCTCATTCGTGGCAGTTTCAATTGTTGGCTTGTCCAGACCAGCTGGGGCTTCCTCTTTTTCTAGCATGTGTTCCTGAGGCTGTGGAGTCTCGGCACCGTCGCCATCGTTGATCCAAGACGCCCGGGGAGTGGCCTCGCCTGAGCGAAGAGCGCGAATCTCTCGAGGCTCCATCAGACCATGATCCCATCGCGCATGCGTGAAGGGGCTAGGGGTTCGTAGACTCTGCAAACTTCGTCTCTTTAGGCTATCCACTCTCGCCTGCTCCCTCAGACTTGAAATCTTTCCCTTCAAGTCCTGCATCTGGTCGTGCAGATCCCGCATCTGTGCAGCCGAGGCAGAGCGATTCAGCGATTTCTCAGAGTAAGTGCTCAAGGCAGGGCTCAAATACCCCGAGCCTCGGGCCTCGTTCATTGTGGGGTCGGTTTCCGAAATGTCATCAAGAACATCTTCACCTTCACTCAAAATCTCCAGTGATGTGTCCAGAGGATGGTGAGATATTGTCGGCGTTGCCCCATCTGATCGAGGCGTCGTTTCGTTTCGTTTCGAGGGATTCGTGGGATCGCGATATCCACCTGAAGAGCCGAGCGCACTCGCCGCTCTACGGGGGAAGGGCGAGGGCTTAGTGAGATCGCGTGTTCCATCTTCGCTTCTTATCCTCGAGTGGTGAGGAGCGTTGGGAGCCGGCTGATCTTTCCTGAATGAGACCGGTCGTCCAATCGTTGGTGAGGGCGTCGATTCGATGTCTGAAGCTGGAGAATAGGCGAGGGAGGTCCTGGCTCTAGTCAAGTTTCCTTCCATTGCCTAAACAGACGAATTAGAGAACCAGATGGCCCGGAGAAGCTGGATGATAAACCCTCCCACTTACCGTCAATCTACGCTTGGCATTGGCTAGGATGCGCTCAGCCCTGTCACTGATATATGCCGTAGAATATTTATCATCAGGGTCATTCGTGATCCTCTGCTCGATTCGGCGACCCTGTGGTGCTGTGCCCTCAACGTAGTATGATGCCATGCTTTCTTCGTCGTCGCCTTGAAAGCTACTGTCGCCCACACTCATTGAATCATCAAACTCCTCAAACGCTTGGTTTCCAGACGGTCCCAGCGTCGTAATCGTGCTAATGGAAGCATTCGAGCCGCGCCTTTCACGGGCTGCGATTTTTGCCCTCCATTGCTGAGCCTTGGCCGTTAATTCGCCAACCGATCCATATGTCTCGTTCTCATCCATTTGCATCGAATACCGCGAAGATGCCCTTCTTGACCCTACCCCCGCATTACTCTCCGCCTCGGTGACCTCTCCAATGTCTGAGAGCATTGTTCCGTTTCCATAGATAATTGGCGTGGATATGGGGATTGCTCGCTGGCCAAAGTTCTGCGGCGGAAGCTGGAAGTCCATGCGAGCCGCATTTGGGTCCTCCCAGATCCTCAGGGAGGACTGCGAGAGTCCTTGGGGCGAGTCCGGCATGTCGTAGTCAGGCAGAATCAAATCCGGGTTGGTTAAGGTCGGTGACCCGGGCTCAGGCCCATGCGATGGGCCGGACGACTGGTGGCGGACGTCCATCTGGCCGTTGACATAAACTGTGGCGGCCATGGCTTTCGCGACAGCAGTTGTTTCAGGCTTGCCGCGCTGCGTGGGGAACGTTGGGGAAAGCTTGTCCTACCACACGAATGGACGGTCGATGATATCAACGATTCGTCCCAACGGGAGGGAGGTATCAGTCGTCGGGATCGCTTCGGATCGAGAGGCGACGAGAGCCCCCAGTTTGCATGCGCAGGTCAGGGGGGCACGAGGTCAAGCCTACGTCGCTCAGCGACACGTATCATGGGAGGATCCGCCTCGATATCACCGATTCGCCCGATGGTGGAGTTGTTGCAGGAATTGACAAGCTGTGCTTTGCAAAGGACGGATGCAGGTTGATGCGGGAGGAGGAGGCGCAAATTGGGCGAGGCGGGAAACGAGCGTGCGAGCGAGCGACAGGTCCTGGCGAAATGTGGTACCGGCGCAGAACTGGATATCAGGGTCAGGACAGGCTGCTCGTGGTCCGTGGCCAAGGATGCATGTGCATGGACAAAGTCAAAAGAAAGCACGGCCAAACCCACGCAATGAGGGGGAGAGGTCGGTGCGAAAAGGCAGGAGTGACTATGATCCTAGACGGGATCTAGAGGAGGCGACGGCCTAAAACTTGAGCCGGCAGTGAAAATCTTCGAGAAGAACTACGACTATTTGCTGCGGCGCCGGCAAGCCACACGGGTGTCTAGGCTGATCTTGAGAGCGACAGCGGTACCTGACTTAACTTACTTGCATGGTCCGTCGACCCGCACCGGATTGACCCAGATTGAGGTGGGTGAAATTGGATTGGATGTCCTGGCTGGGACACAACGGCGCTCTCTAATAAGGTGTCTGGGTGTGCAGAGTGCAGAGGACCTGCCCGGCCACGCAGGATTTCAGTCGGGGCCATGCGATCCAATCCTGCTTAAGGTAGGTCTTTAGGAAATTATCTGGGCGACAGGGGCCGACAACGAGGTTCGTCAGGGGTTCGTGCTGTGGCCGGGACGGGTCCAGATGGAAATTGGTGGTACAGACGGGCAAAGGTTACGTTAGGTTAGGTAAGTGAAGTGCTTTCCTTGGTGGGTTAGGCGAGCGGCATTAGCTGGTCCTTTTGGGTTTGACGGCGGCTCGTATCAAATCCAAATCCATAGTTCACGTTCGCATTGTGCTACCCTACAAGTACGGCCATCACCAACACCATCCCCCTCAACCTGCATCTCCCCGGCGGCTACATAAAAGGGCCCTTCTCATGTATGCGGTGCAATGATTCCGTCGGGAGCCCAACGCGCCTAGTATCCTTCCGATAGCCCGTCAAGGTAGCATTGCAAGTCAGCTAAACAATGGCAGCACGGACGCGATATCACTAAGACCTGTCAGTCCGCCCCCACACGTCGAGCCGAGCACGTAATTACACTTGATCGTGATTTCTATTGATGCGAGTTCAGTTCTCTGCCCATCGCCGACGAATGTACCTGTCAGGGCCAGTAAAAAACAAAAGCCAAAACAGTACTCGGGAATCTATTCCTCACCGTAACCAAGAATTATATCATATGATGCAACTCTCAATACTAGCCAACCACCTGGGCCACATCGCGTCACATCGCGCATACACACCTTTGCATGATCCCTGACCGTGACCCTCCCAACTCAATACATTTCTAGAGCCTTGACCGAAGCCAGCCCAAATTCCTCGCTCATTCCGGAGCCAGCAGGCTGGGTGGCATCCTTGGCCATGGAGACCCCGCCAGGCATGAGCAAGCGCCTCTCAAGAGGCGAGCAAAAAGGGGGAAGACAATAGGTGGCCCTTGTACGTACAGGGTCCCCCTCGTAGTGCAACTCCCACTGCCCAGCAGTGACACCTTTGACGATAGGAGTCTTCTTCTTGCCAACACTTGGGCAATTATGAAGATCCCGGATATTATATTCTCCTGGTCTTAGTCCCTCTGCTTGCAGCCCCTTATTGACACAAGACACATTTCGGATGTTTGCCTATCATGGTGTGTATTTTTTTTTAAGTAAAGAAGAAAGTCAAGTAACTATTGTTTTTTTTCTTTTCGTAAACTCCAAGTCGCGTCCAGTCAAGTATCATATCAATTCGTCGGCTGAAATTGCCATTCTATCTTATTCGTTCCTTGCCCAAAATTCATACCTATTTGTCACCCTTTTTGAATCCACAGCTTTTTTGTTACTTCATTTTCCGAGGCAGCCTCTCTGTTGGCATTCCACGATCGTTCCTGACAATGTCGGGATCGACCCCCAAGCCCAAGACACCATGCAGGGGGCCGCTTGCGGCTCGATTAACCTTCAGCAAAGGCCTCGAGCTTGGCCTGAATCTTGCTGTCTGAGGCATCCTTGGCAGGACGGTTGGCAATCAAACGCTATACAATGGTTTTAGAAATCAGCTGCATCCAAGGTACAAATATCGGGTAACTTACCACAAGGTTCCTGAGCAGGATAGCGATGGTGACCTTGCCAACGGAAGGCACGTAGATGGAGGCCTTCTCCTTAACGGCGGGCCCATCGAAGTTCCGGTGCGAAGAGAAGTTGATGCACACGGCACCCTCTCGAATGAGCTCAGTGGGCACCTTGTACGACTCGACCGGCACACCAGAGATGATGACGTCGCTCAGAGGCAGGACCTGCTCCAAGCCCCAGCCCTCCTTGTCCTCGACCTTGTGACGGGGCTGCTTGATACCCTGGCCTCTGGTGAAGAGCTGAACGCCCGTGACGTCGACTGAGTAGACGGTTGCTCCGTCGTTGGCGAGGAGGGCGGCGAGTGGGCGGCCGTTGACCTCGGAGCGGTTGATGACGGTGATGGTCTTGCCGTAAAGACGGTTTCCAACGGCCAGGATGGGGTTGTAGATCTGAAGATACTCAAGAATCTTGACGCAGGCCAGAGGGGTGCATGGCAGGATGGACTTCTTGCGGTTCTCGGGGGGATCCAAGAATCGGATGTTGTGATACATGTTGTGCAAGTGCTGGAACCGCATGCCCTCGACGTCCTTGCTGAGGCTCACAGTCTCCTGCACATACTTATCGTGAGTGGGGTTCTTGGGGAAGATGGGATAGTAGACGATGATGCCGTCTACGCTTTCTTCTTCGTTTGCCTTCATGATCTCCTCCTCGAGGAGTTCCTTGTCTACGTTTCGAAGGTCAAACTTGAATCCACTGCAGGCAGATAGTGGTAAGTGCGTGCCCTACATGAGACCAGAAGGAAGTTTCGGATGCACTCTGCTCATGCACTCACTTGTCCTCGCATGTCTTCTTAGACCACTCCGCATACTTCACAGCGTGAGGGTCGCCATTGGCCAGGAAGGCAGCGAGCGTGGGCTCCCCGCTGCCAGACTCCTGGATCGTGGCCAGAGTCTCTCTGACCTCTTGCAGAAGATTCTTGGCGATGGTTTCTGCGGTGATGACCCTGCAGGTCTTGGGAACCTCGGCGGAAGCCATGGCGACGTCTATACAATCCTTGGCCTGCCTAGCGTCAGCGACTCTGCCGAATCACCAAAAGTGCCGTCTCCAGACCGCGTCTGTCTCGGGAGGCGTCCCGACTCACTCACCTGCAAAGGGACTGATGCTATAGAGAGACCCCACTACTGACGATGCAATTGTAGGGGTGTGGTGAAAGCTACCCGCACCGCGCTTGGAGGGGTCAAATGCTGGACAGAGAATCTAAGCGTCCTGTTATATGAATGAGAGAAAAAATAGGCCAAGTCCTGAGCTTCTTCAAGGGGAAGAGAAAAAACGGGGTGGAGTATGAGTCAAAAATGCATACCTACTCCTCTTTGCGATTATTTTTTTTGCACTTAGGTCATTCCCTGCTTCCAGTATGGCCCTCACTCCGAACTCGTTCTGTTGCCCGTTGTATGGATGGCAAGGAAAAAATTCATTGGATCGATACTACATTCTTGTCCGGTTAAAGTTTAGCCTGCGATAATATAAAGGGACATGGAAATTCAGCGATTGGCTGCCGGTAGTTCGCAGTGAAGTCAGGCACATGTTATTCCAGGCTGCTTAAATTACCTGCATTAACAGCTGTCACAGCCACTAATATTCCTAATTGCCAGTGTAACCATTCTATTGGGATAAAGGAAGTCTAAAAAGTATATTGTCCATATAAGTAGGTAGATGCTGATGCTGAGCAAAATGTGCAGATGTGGAGCATGTGAATAGCCGCTTGATAGCTGCTGGCCCACTTTAGATCCGGCCAGAAACCATGGCGAGAGCTCTAGATAACGGCGCGATCATTTCTAAAACACTGACAGCGGATAGTCAAAATGAAAGTGTAAATTAAGTCAAGACATGTTGCCGCTGTGAGACGTCCGCTAAGATGGGAACGACCAGCCACAGCCCCTTTGGTATGGGAAAAGCCTCGACCTACCCCAGACTCATCAAGCAAACTATGGCATTTGCTTCGAACAAGGAGTGTATCGTGGCTGCCCGTACTTCTTGAGCTGTGTGATAGTCGAATGCCCTCCGTAACTGATGTCACTTGGGTTGATAATCATATTTGGTCTCAATAAACGTTTCCCATCATCCTATGTTTTATGGTTCAATTTGGCCTGGGCATTCCTGAAGTGTACTGTCTGCTAGGGTGACCATATTACTACCACGATGATATCTTTCGACTTGAGCTGATATACCCTGTATAGTTGTTTTTCAGATGGTTGCGATGAACATGTCTACACTTTATACAACTTAGAGATTGAAATTTGGACGCTGGTATCAACCCTTGCTAAGAAACCCAGATCTAAACTTTCATAGCCGAGTTTACTATTCAGCGCGCTTCGATACGCACCTTACTTAGAAGAAGTCCCTACCTCCAGGCATATCCCTCACCCGTAGACAGTCATCGAGGAACGCTTTTGTGGTCTTGAGGGAGGGGCGCATTAGTTGAGCGGACTACAATTAAATCCCAGACTACTAAGCTCATACGCACTCAATTGAGCAACGTTGAAACTGGCACACTCAAACATAATCCTGATCATTCTTGAGTCTATGTGCATGACTGGTATTGCCATATTATTGAGCGCTAATAATAAATATTCAAGAGCCAATACATTGTTAACCATCATCTTATATTGCCGTATTGTCCCACCTATTGCAGAAAGTGCGCTGCGGATAGCTGCTGTTCAATCTGAAGGACAGTATCCGAAGCCTGGTAACGTTTCAACAAGGGAGTTATTTACAGCACGAAACGACGATTCCCTTGCTTACGGCTCGGATTCACGGTTCTCCCGACTGTTCCTATTGAGTGAATGGAACGACAGATATTACTAAAGGCGATGCCACACCTCGCACCACTTACGCATGAGTGTCTGGTGGAACTTGTTGGACTGCAGCAAGTAATATCCCCCTTTCTGCATGCACACTCCCTGCCATCATGCAGCCATGTCCCGCGTCACAGCAGGACCCGATCAATCAGAGCTGCGCGGCTTATGCCGCTCGCTCACCCAGGCACCTTTTTTGCCCGGCGGGCATGCATTCACGATCCCAGCTCAAACACCTGGCATGATCCTTCGCCCATGGCACGGCAATGTGATACAAGTAAGACGCGCGCGCAGTCCATTTAGGCCCGAGCTGCAGGTTACTCAGCGCTTGGACCGCCTTGTGAGGGCAGAGAAGCAATTAACGCGCGGGCGCGCGTACCAGCGCAGCTGGCCCTCGCTTCGTGTACCCTGGGAGCCACAGAGTCGACTATCGAATGCCTGGGCGAATAACTAACGAAGCCAGCCGCAAAGCCCTCAGAAATGTGTTCCAGCCTCACCCTAGCAACGCCCCACACCCTGCTCTCCTATCCTCTCTGCCGTCCCAAGCGTACACAAGAGGCTGTCGCAGAGCGAGACAAGCCGGTCGGAAAGGCAAGACAGTCTCTCCATGAAACGACAATGGGCGCGGGCGGCCGCAGCGAGGCCATGAGACATGCAGGTCGGGGATGACGCCCATGTCTCCGTTGTTGGTATGTTTAGAAGAACAGGCACATATGCTATGATCGCCATACAGATTCGTGCTACATCATGTCGCATATCTGAGACAGCCCAAGAAAAAGTCGATGAGGTGACGACATCATGGACTTTCGTCCCTGAAAGATCAAGCAGACATATGCTCTTTCGTCACGGCTAATTTCAGTTTTTTTCATGCCTATACCATCACACACATGCACTAACAAGGTAGTGTCAAAAAAGCCTGGGACGAGGCGGATTTCTGAGGCGAACGTACATGGAAGGAAGGATTTCAAGGATCTGGGTTGTAGAGTCAAGGTTTCCCAGTCGCACATCAAACAATCTAGGTCGAGTGACAGAGCAGCCTCTACTCAGATCTAGGCAATGGGGATTCTCACAGTGAAGCATTCACATGCGATGTTGGGACGAACCTTTTTTATATATATTTTATTATCATTGAGATATTATAGTCATTAGAAAAATGGCAGAGAACCAGACATGTCATAAGAAAAAATACGCATCATGATCACCAAGCCCAGAATAAAAGATCATATCAAACGGCGTATCCTATTGATGTGGCGGGTGTTTCGAGAACGAAGTAAGCGCCACAAAGGCCCATCGTATTGACATCCAAGAAAGAGATTCCAACCTCACTCCATTTCCAACGAAAACTATGTGCAAGAGAGACGACGTAACGCCTTCATATGCGAAGAAACGACCAAGATATGAAACCTAGCAAATCCGAACTGCAACTTCTTACAGAAGGAGAGCAGCGGCAACACCACCGAAGACGGCGACGATACCGGCACCGACGTGAGGAGCGGCAGCAGTGGGGATGGGAGCGGAAGAGCCAGTGGGGACACTGCCCTTGGTGGTGGTGGGGAGAGCACCAGTGGGCTTGTAGGTAGGAACAACGGTGGAGTTGGAGATCTTGGTGGTCCAGCTAGCAGTGCCGTTGCCAGGAGCAGCGGAGGTGACGACATCAGGAGGGCAAGAGGTCAGGGTGACGGTCTTGACACCGGAGGCAGTGACAACGGGAACAGAAGCAGAGGTGGTGACGGCGGCGGCGGAGCTGGAGGCAACACCACCCTTGATGGAGAAGCGCTGAGAGTACTGGAAGATGGAAGTGTCGGCCTCCCAGGTGAAGACAAGACCGTAAGCGGGCTTGTCACCAAGGTCGGAAGCGACGTTCCAGGTCCATGACAGATCAGAGTTCTTGACACCGGCTGCAAGAAATGTTAGCTATCTGCCTGGACAACACTGAGAACTAGACGGTTACTTACAGGCGAGGTCGCCAATTTTTACGAGGGTGTTGGCATCATTACCACCAATCAGGTGGATCTTGATGCTACCGCCCTGGTACTTGGCGGGAGCAGACCAGGTGACCTTGAAAGGCTGGCCGGCCTGGACGACGGTACCCTCAGCAGGAGTGTAGACGGGGTCGAAGTCGGGAGTCTGCGCAAAAGCAGAGGCAGCGAAGGCCAGGACGGCAGCGGCGGCAGAGAAGAAACGCATTTTGATTGATTTAATGGGGTAAATCGGGTTATTTGTCTGTGAGATTGACCGGGGCGGTTGTCGAAACGACAGAGAGAGACTGAGATTATATTAAAAGAATGTGGTAGGCAGAAGCCAGGTGCAAAGAGCGACTATTAGACAACCGGTTGGTATGTTCGTTGACGGTGAGGAAAGAGAAAGAAAGTCAGAACAAAAAGTGCGGAGGACGGCTCCTAAAAAGTGTCTCAGTCGTCACGTTGGAATGTCGAGGAGGCCACGCTGAGGCTGGCGGCCCCACCCAGAGATGCCGCATGCTTGGGAGGACTTGGGAGGAGAGAGGGGCGAGCGAGATGAGCTGACCCAGAGCGGGTCGCCGAATTGTCCACTGGGCCTGCTCTGTGACCCGCTTGGCAGGGGCAATCAATTAACTCGTCTGTACTAATTTGCAGGGGTCAGGCAGAGAGCGGTATCGAGGCCCGAAATTGGCCCTCGCATCACCTACCAGGTGTGCCAGCACCAGGTCCTTCGCCTACAGTACGTACCCGGCCTGACGGCATTTTCCAATAGCACCTCAGCCTGGCCGTAAGGCCAATCTGCAAGCAGGCAAGTGTCATGTCGACGGATGGCCCTAGCTGGGCGTTGGACCAGGCCGCCGGCCCATCACATCCTCCCCATCGTCGAGATGAGATGGAGCTGCTTAATTAGGGGGCTTCATAATTCGCCCCTGGATCGTGCCAAGTAGCTCTATTATGATTATGCTCTCGTACAGCGAGATTGGAGCTAGTTAGCAGCCGGCATGGCTCCAGTTGCGCGCCGGCGTGGTGATGGACGAGCAGTCCACAGCGCTTGCCTCGCTGGTACACAGCAAAGGTCTGGAGCCCCTCACCTCCCTCTTAGGGCATGGATCGTCAGGAACGTTTGCTAGAATCGGCGTGGGCGCCCCTCGGTTCTAGTTCAGGCACCGCACCTCCCATTCGTCAGAGAGCTTAGAGAGCTCCCCTGTGGATAGGTAAGCGCTGGTGTGCTACTGCATTGTACCTGCATCCCCCATTCCTGTTTGTAAGGGCCGTGATTGGACAGATTGGCCATGACCCATGACCATCCCAATGTCAGCAGCATCGGTTCAGCGTATTGGGCCAAGGCAGCATCAATCTTTAATTTGCCTTTCCACCCATTCACAGGGATGGGATAACAGGCTATTACCACAAGTTGGCCATTGCGGTGAGGTAGCGTCGGCGTCCCCCTCTTGTTTGCCATTCTATTTTTTACCGCTCGGCCATACCAGTGCATAATGACTTCGTACCTTCATTTGCCTGTTATCTTAGTCCCTCCCGCTAGACAGGTTGGTCTGCCTTAGCGATGGCAACATGCTGCTCATGTCAACATGGTCGGCGATCATGGCTGTGCCAGGGCCGAGTTCTCAGATGGCTGTTGATCCGAGTCGATGACCCACGCTCGATTCCATCATCTGAAAGGGGATCAATCATGGCGACACGGTGACTGGCATGTTGGCTAGTGTTGCTAGAGAGCTTTTGGTTTGATTGTCGCCAGCAACCACTCCATCCAATCCGGGCACGACATGCTGTATTGCATGACGTGACATGTTCCAGCACATGCCAGATGATGATCCTCAGAGGCTTAGATGTCAAATGATGCACGCCAGTGTGGCTTTGCTTCAATGGTTCTAAGACACTGGGCGCCTCTGTCCTTCAGTGGTCAGTCAGCCCTACCCCATCTCTGGCGATGTCCGTCTGATGGATGGAAGCCCCTGCTCACAGTCGTGTGATGTTATGCAATCCTCAACGGCTTAACATGGTTCGGATAGGCAGGTTGCCGCTTATTTCCTTTGTCGCCACTTTCCAAAAGGAGGATCCATGTACCACACAGTTCTGCCCCCCTGTTTGAACGATTTGGCTGCCAGAAAGGAAAGAAATTTCTCATTCGCCTCCGATGGCCGGTAAGGACCGATGCCCGATCCTACTGGTCCCTCTACGAGGACAGGGTGACATCGCAGGAGCCCACCGCCGACAAATCAGATTCTGGGGCTTCTAACCGACGTGATCCTAATGATCTTCGCGCGAGATACAAAGATCCAACTTAGCTGACATCTTGGAAACGCTGCTAATGCACGGCTGTGTCCCTGATTAATAGGCTTTCTATCCTGATAGGGCCATGGTCCGCATGCCGAAGCCTATCGCCTCGTTTTTCGTTATTACAAGGAGATTTATTTTATTTTATTTTCATCCCACTCGCTCGCCATCGCACGCCACGGCCGCCACTTGGATCCGGGCATCCATGTCCAGAGCACCATGCCTGTTCCATTTCACCTTGTTGCTCGAACTCTCGGTGTAGAAGCGTGGAGTGCCCAGTTCCCCATTCCATCCGAACCCTGTCCGCCCACTTGACCAGGATATGTCTCTCGACAATGGCGACCGCGCGCAATATTATGTCTCATGCCATAGGTCCCAGGACACACAACGTAAAAGATCCCACCGAAAGAGACAAAGCCCACATAATACATATCAACCACGTCAGATGTCGGATGCTACGTTGCCCTCACTCGAATCGTTCAATGTTGTCTGTATACGTAGCTGGCACCCAATATATTGCCTGAAGCCAAGCTTTGGCGGCCTGCACGGGGGGAACGGCTTGCTAGCTTACTTTCACGAAATCTAGACTGCGGAACAATTAACTTTGAAACAATGACAAACGGGTGAGGAATCTGGACCGCTCATCTCCAGGTCTTTTGCTCTGCGCTATTGGCCTTGTACATGCTCCCACAGCTTCCCCACCTGCCAATCAAGATGCTCAGCCTTAGGTTCAGCTGGACCCACCTTGGAATTCTCGTCCAGACCTCAGGAACTGCTTCAATCAGTCGCGTCGCGGGGGGCACTGCCATCCAGTTTGAACCGGCACCATGACCCCTGGTTCTGAGTCTCGCGATGCAACTCCACCATTGAAGCGTCGTAGAACTGACAGCGAGTCACCTCGATCATCCAAACCCCAAGCGACGTCCGCGCCCGAAGATGACAAAGGTCGCTCCCGCCCGACGGACGGCCCAGATGACCGCGGACGAAGCCAGGATGCGGGTCGCAGATCACGCGATCTGAGCGGCTCGAGGGGAAGATACTCGTCACGGTCTCGCTCGAGGCGAGGCGATTATTCCAGGCGCAGCTCCAGGTCGCGGTCACAATCTGGCTTCCCGTCACGGTCAAGGTCTCGTTTCGACTCCCGCTCCCGCTCACGATCGCGCTCAGGCAGCCCGAGGAGCAGACGGGATGCATCACGCTCGCGCTCCCGGAGCTCGGATCGCACACGCTCTGAGTATTCGATCCCGCAGGCCTCGCAGACCCCTCTCCCCGAGAAAACAAGGCCAAACTACAAGCCCAAGCTGGTCCTCCATGGACACACCAAACCTGTATCTCAGGTCCGGATTTCGCCAAACGGCAGCTTTATAGCTTCAGCGTCAGCAGATGGCACCATTCGTATATGGGATGCCGCCACGGGGAGTCACATGGATACGCTTGTCGGGCACATGGCTGGCGTTAGCTGCATTGCCTGGAGCCCTGATAGTAACACCATTGCAAGCGGCTCCGATGACAAGGCCATTCGACTGTGGGATCGAGTTACGGGCAGACCGAAGACCACGGCACGCAAGTCGGCGGCTGGCAACGAGATGGCCCCTCTTCGTGGACACCACAACTACATCCATTGTCTTGCTTTCTCGCCCAAGGGAAATATCCTGGCCAGCGGATCCTACGATGAGGCCGTGTTCCTGTGGGATGTTCGAGCTGGCAGGCTGATGAGAAGTCTGCCTGCTCACAGTGACCCGGTCAGCGGCATTGACTTTTGCCCGGACGGCACCCTCGTCGTGAGTTGTTCGACGGATGGATTGATGTACGTTGTAACATGACGGTCTCCTAGACAGCATGCAGCATATGCTGTCTGATTATCTTGCACATGATATTGACATTTCGAATAGCCGGGTATGGGATACATCCACAGGACAATGTCTACGAACGCTAGTCCACGAAGACAACCCCGCCGTAACGCACGTATGCTTCTCACCAAATGGCCGGTTCGTGCTCGCTTTCAACCTGGACAACTGCATTCGACTTTGGGACTACGTGGCGGGCAATGTGAAGAAGACGTACCAAGGCCACAAGAACGAAAAATTTGCCATTGGAGGCTGTTTCGCCGTCCTGGACGACGTCCCCTTTATCGCTTCAGCCAGTGAAGACGGCGGAATCGTCCTCTGGGATGTGAAGAACAAGGAGGTCCTCCAGCAGATCCCGAAACAGCACAAGGGCGTATGTTTCTGGGTGGACGTTCACGGCGACATCATGGCCAGCGCAGGTCAAGATCATTCAGTACGAGTGTATCGGCACGTCCGGAAGAACGGTGGATTGGTTACGGATGGCGATGCTGAGAATCAAAAGCCCAGCGGGGCAGAGACCGGAGGAGAGACTGCGCTGCCCATCAGGCAGGAAGATGTCAAGATGGAGGATGCATAAAATGTCCCACGGCACCACACAGTGGATTTGCCTATTAGCACCTAATGACGCAACGATGAATGAAAGAACCCAAATGACTTCTCGGATTCGAAACTTCCATCTCATTGCTTTAATTTAACGCAGGAACCAAGATTGCCCTACCTTCATTAGACCCTCACTCGGAGGATGCCATTGTGAAACTACGCTCATTTACAGTCCCCGCATAACATATAGGATCCCAATCTGGCGATGACATCCCGGGGCGGTGGGTTACCACCCTAGCCATCAGATGTTTGGCAGCATGCTGACATCTGTCAGGTACCCGAGATTCGGTACCTGTCAGCAGTGGTATTTTTCGCCTGGTTCGCCAGAGAGGGGGTGGTCAGAGAACCGTAGAGGTCCGTGATGCGTTTCAATTTTTGGATGACATTTATCTGGCCATGTGTTGCGCATGAGTTAGTGCGTGGGTGGGCTGAGCGCGGTGAGGGGGGGACAGGCGAGGGCCAAGCGCCGCCGCTCACAATAGCATGCATGTTATCCTTGACCGACGACGGGCATGACCGACGGGACTTTGAAGAGTGGCCTGGGGTCCTCACTGACGTCTGCAGCGGGGAGGAGAGGAGAGGGAATAAGTCGAGCGTGGAGTCATTGGTGCATGAACGTAGCCGACCGTAGATCTACACTGACCATCCGGTATGTTTACGTCCATCCATCAATCAAAACAATGAATTTTAGGCTTGGCCGACCAGTCGGTGAAAGGCGTGGGATCTGGAGTGCAGCGGGAAATCTGGTTCCCCCGCGCAAAAGGACTCCCCCCATTCGTGCATGCGAGGTCGGTTAAGACGTGAGTGTTTATAGTATGAATGCAGCGCATATGTGCTACAACCTTCTCGAACAGGCAAGAATCGCTATGGAATTCGGACCAGATGGTCTACACGAGTCACATTCAGAGTCCAGTTGGTTAGATATACGCTATGATCGAGATGTGGCAAGTGGCTTTTGGTGAGGTATTTCGCCGATTCCAATATTGAAGCCCAGAACCAAGGCTGAGTGCCTAGAAAGACGGGAGAAGGTGCAGTGGCTCTGGGGGGCTTGGCCTAGCCGGAAGACGGCCTAGTCTGGGCAACTTCCACCTGCAAAGCTGCCGGCAAGCACGGAAGACCGGCGCGGGAGGAGAAAACGTGCATGGTGGCGTGGCGACACCTGGTGGGGAGAAGGCCTGAGTCTGAGGGATAATTAAGTCATTGATAATCGCCTTGCGGAGGGTCTGTGAACAGGCGGTCGGGTCGCTCGCTCAGTAGCTTTTTAGACGAGGTCGGAAAGCTCAACGTAGGTAGTCCAGAGATAACAGGTGCCCGCTATATCCAGGGAAGATGGCGGATGATTGGGCCGCAAAGGAGGAGCTTGGAGCTGGGACAGTGGCGGGGATAGGGGACCTGTGAAAGGGTCTGGTCGGTCCAGCAGTTGATCAGTGGGGTCTACAGCGCGTTGCAGAACCCAGATTCCCCACAGAGGCCACAGTCCGCCAGGCTCGGATGATACGGGCTTTGGCAGGTAGTTGGCGGCCTCGAATGGGGCCAGTTTGCCACAGGCGTCGCGAGAGAATTGCTGAATGATGGTTCTGTTTCGGCCATGACCGCACTGGATGTTATTCAGCACACTGAGAAGGGGTCCATTTGGCCGGTAATGAGATCTTCGGGCACGTGTTGCTACGGGGTGGACGAGAGGCGCTGGAGCTACGGATGGGCTCAATTCCTTAGAGTACCTGACTCAAGAGGACGCCCAGCGGTGCCTGTCAGCGGGCAGAACGCCGGGCCTAGGGCCCCCACCATACAGACTATTTGCGCCACCAATGACTTGCTGAGTGATGGGGAGAGCAACGGCCAGTGTCTTTTGGTGTAATAGCGGTAGTCGCCTGTCATTGGGCCTCTTGCCGGTTACAGGCAAGGCCAGGCAGCCGGGGCGCTGAGGCAGCACGCAGGTACCTCGTCCGTAGCGGTTCGTCCAAACCTAAAGATTCGTCCGCGAGTCGTGTCGGTGAGCAGCCGGAATGCAGCATCTGTTGACATCCATCTGCAGAATGCAGGGAGTTGCTGACGCTGCATCTCGCATGTGTGTATGTACTGGACAGGCATGTAAGTAAGTGTGCGTGCGCGCACCCTTCCCATCTCCCTCCCCAGACCGATAATTACCATGAACTGCAACTGATACACTTCCAGCTTTGACCTCCGCCTCCCTGCTTCTGTGAGCATCTGCCTACCCAACCAGGCTGCATTGCTCGTCTACGATTATGCGCTTGCTTTGTTGAACCTTCCGTGCATGATCTTGGGCCTGCATCTGACTTTTTTGCTCAAAATAAGTTTTTGACGCTTTTCTTTTTTATTCTGTTGTCGCCTCACACCTCGCACTCAGCTCAACCTGCTCCACCCTAGCACCTATCGATCTGTCCCATTGTGCATTTGCTTTGGGGATACCTGTCCCATTGTTGCTTTTTCTGTTTCTCATTCCTCGTCAAGTTCCGATCTCGACTGTTCGTGGCTAGGTCCTGCCGTGCTGGTTGTCTCGCCACTGCCCGGACGCCAACACGCGCCCAGCCTGCCCCTTCTACGCTCTGCCGTAAAACGCGCGACCTAAGTACTAAAGAGAAGCTGCGAAACCCGCCAGACACCGACGTTGATCTCCGCCTCCTTCTCGCTCTCGCTCTCTTTTTTTCCTTTCTCTCTGCTGCAATCTTCTGCTACCCTGACGTCCCATTTCCTTGTGACCCCAATTGCTGTGGGCTGCCCGGTCTCTGGTGTCGTCACGTTTTGCCGAAGGGTTGCTTCCAAGGCAGCTCCAAGTTCCCACCCGCGGCCAATATCTCCTCCCACGGCACGGGGCCGCCCGCCGCTACCACCCAAGCAAACCACGACTCCATCCAGCCTCGTCGAGGGTACCCTCCTCCTGCGTCTCGTCCCTGCTGGGTCAGGTGGCATCAAATCACATCACGCCTTCTCCACAACCCCGACAAGCGGGCTCATAGGTCTGTTCACGCAGCCTATTCCTGCCTCAACCTCGAGAATCCGCCCCCATATGACCCTCCCCATACGTTAAAATGGAACCGGTTCCTGAGACGGAGCGTATGGAGGCCTTCAGGTCATCGCCCGTACCGTCTTTGAGACTCGGCACTCCTATCGCGAGCCGGCTCGAGATCGTGGTCGACCAGAAGCCAGCGAATCCACGCCGTAGCAGCGAACCGAGCCCGACCTCGCCTAGAACGCCCTCGGCCTGGGCACAGATGAGCTCGCTCCCATACCGTCCACGAACCGCATCCCCGCTCTCCCATGGCCACACACGCTCTCGATCTGCCGCCAGCATCGCCCCTACCATGTCTCGAACCCAGTCGCTGCCGGGCCTGAATGGCTCTGGCCATATCCTCATACCTCAATTACGCCGTCCCGAAAGCCCGTCCCCCGCTTCCCCTAGCCGCATCAGGGTCCCTAGAAAACCTCTTGACGAATCCTTCCCACCTCCATCCCCCGTACGATCGTCAGTTATTGATCCGGAGCGGCGGCACAGAGACCGGAGCAGCTCACCAGGTCTTGGATTTCAACTCGGCAACGGCCGCATCCAGCGGCCATCTTCTCCCCTACGGAACATGGGCAACCTGAGTTCGGGCTCTCTGTCACAGTTGCCCTCTACGCCGTCCTCGGTAGCTTCTTCGCCCTCATACAGGGCGTACGATTCATTCTCTGGCAGCTTATCTTCAGTTCCATCGACACCAACATCTACGAGATCACGAAGCCCCAGCATTTCGAGCCTCGAAACTATCCCCGATACGCCTGACGCCGAGGAAGCTGCCCTGGAGGCCGAGCGAATTGCCCAGCTCAAGGCAGCTGCTGATGCTGCCGACAGTAACGAATCCTCTGATGCCAAGGGCCGAAGCAGTCTCGATGTGCCTTCACGAGGGCGCACGATGAGTTTCGGGTCCAGGGACAAGCGCAAGCGCTGGAGTGTCTGCGGAGCCGAACGTAGGGGCGATTTGGATCTTGAGACTATTTGGGAGGACTAAAGGAAAGCTTTGATGGGTCAGGATGGATACCGGATATCCCAGAACACCCACACAAGCACATCACATGAGAGGATCAGGAACGGGTTGGTCATCTGAGAACATTCTACGGCGCATTGGTGATGTAACGCTGCAGCTGGCTTGGCAACATTGGCAGTCAAAGTATGATCGGCCTGCTCTCTTCGACGGGCTTGGCGAGTTCCTCTATCATGCTTTACTCTTGCCCTTTCTTGTTTGCTGGCTGGCTTGCTTGCTTTTTGTTTTGCATGGTTCACGTTTTCCTTCTCCACGATTTCACGTTGCCGTATGATGTTTTCATACACTGTTCACAATATTTCACGATCGCTTCCAGGTTTGATGGAGCGAAGGCGGCGTTTTTTTTTATAGCATTATCATCCCTCTTTAGATACCCTCTTTCGCAAGGCAGCAGCATATAATCAGGTCAAATTATAAGGGCGACTCAACCACAAATCAAATAGGATATTCTTACATTGACCGTCCGTTGCCAATCTGGGAAACGTATCGTGAAGAGTCCTAAGAGCAATTAATCCTTTCGTCGAGGGATATACAGTGATATTGCTTTGCCCAATCTTGTTCTCTCCCTAGCTGTAGGGAAATACAGGAGGAAGCCTCCTTAGATAGGGCAAGGCACTCATCCCTCATCCCTCGTCACAATGTCTCTCCTTTCCCGTCACCTTCTTCTGCCTATATTCAGGGCTTCGAAATGTTTCAGACGTCCCTCGGGCCATCCCTAGCCGATTTCCTTTCGGCAAACTTCCCTTCGCACTGGTAATCATCTCCATGAACATCAATATCCTTCTGATACCGTATTGCCCTCAATTGTCAATTGTGATATAAAAGTCGTCCTTGCTCGCCACAAAATGGAGGTTCATCATTCACATCAGGCTCAATCCCGCATCTCCTCCTCATTTAATCATCACAGCCATACGCCTTTTCCCCTCTTCAATTTTCCAGCGCCTTTCCATATACTGCCGCATCAATTATGCGCTTCTCACAGGTCATTTCGTCCATAGCCATAGCGGCTTCAACCGCTGACGCTGCTCCTCGGGGTTCCAGATTCTTCCGTGTAAGTTCTTTCACTTGGAAGTACAACTTCTCTCCTTCCCCGGATTCCTAGTTGACTGACACCAATTGGCCTGCAGTGGTATGGGAAGAATGGCGGCGCTCGCAACGAGGACAGTAGCAGTCTCGAGTCTGAGAACCGGGTGCTAGAGCAACTTCGCCACAACTTTCATCGAGCGATCAGACAGAATGGCACCTCCAACTCGACGGTAACATTGACCACGACACAGACACAGACACAGACTGCCACGCTCGAGTTGTCAGTTTCTGAGTTGACGAAGCCGACTGCGATGCCAGCTCAGGAGGGAGGGGATCTGGTTTGCCCCAGTGGCACGCTCTTTGTCTCGACAACTACGATCGACATTACGGTCTATGTCACTGCAACCGCAAGCGACGAGCCTGCTGCATCTCTGACTGCCAGCAGAGAGCCCAACACAGTCGTCGGCCAGAAGTTCGAGGCGGCAGCCGTCACTTCGACTCTCACCGTCTCCCTCGCCCAGAACTCGGACACATCGGCCTCAGCTCCCTCCTCCGCAGGACAGGGAGCTGGCTTGAGTCAAGCGACAGCGTCATCTCTCCCGACCTCAGGCTCTGCCTCGGTTCCGTCCTCCGTCTCCGCTCCCTCTGCTTCCGCTACCATGGCCAGTCAGAGCATGTCCGCTCCTACTCTTCAGACCCCGTCTGCGCAGATCTCTACATCAGAGCCTCTGGCTACGACGGTGGCGCCAGAGGAGAATCAGACAAGTTCCACTCCTGCCAATACGTCCACTACAGAGTCAGCTACAGAGACTTCTACCGCGGTTGAGACTCCTTCTTCATCCTCTGGTCTCATGGAGACACCTTCCGCTGCTGGAACTCCGTCTGCTTCCGCTGATGTTGAGACATCTTCTTCCGCCGTTGAAAGCCCTTCTACCTCATCGGCCGAAACTCCCTCAGCCATTGAGACTCCTTCTCCCGCCATTGAGACTCTTTCATCCGCCATTGAGACTCCTTCTCCCGCCATTGAGACTCCTTCAGCCGTTGAGACTCCTTCATCTGCCATCGAGACTCCTTCATCTGCTATCGAGACTCCTTCTCCTGCCATTGAGACTCCTTCTTCCGCCATTGAGTCTGCTTCTACCTTACCAGTCGAGACTCCTTCTAGCTCGCCCATTGAGACACCTTCTTCCTCCCCGAATATCGAGACTCCTTCCTCGTCCATTGAAACTGAGGCCATTGAAACTCCCTCTGCATCACCTGATGTTGCGTCGCCTTCCACTCCTGTGATAACCCGCTCTTCGTCTTCTGTTGAGACACCTTGTCCTTCTCCCGATGTTGGAGCCTCCGTTACCACTTCTCCCGTTGAAACCTCATCGGGGCCCCTCGAGACATCTTCTTCCCGTCCTACTCTTATCTGGACCCCCTACTCCATAGCGCCATCGCCTACTCCTGCTGAACGTGTTTCATATACCTCTTCTAAGACTTCCAATTTCCCTGCTGCTACTTCATCCTCTGATGACGTCGAGGTACCTACATCAACTCGGAAGCCTGCACCGACTCGGAAGCCTGCGCCTACCGTTGATATCGACATCAACATCCCCGAGCCTTGCATCGACCTAGACATGGCCCCTGTCACCTCCTCCAAGCTCACCGAGACACCCACTATCCCTCTGCCGGCACCAGTACAGACTGTCGGTGCAGCTGCCCAGACGCCGGGTGCTCCTGAGAAGAGCTCTACCTACTGCGGTGTCAACGGTAAGCCCGCTGGTGTCTACTTCCTGGCCGAGTTCATCGAGGAGAGATCCGGCGTTCCCGTCTCTCAAGAGGGATGCTACCAGTTCTGTGATGTAAGTATTGTTGCCCCTTTTACCTGAACACATATTACCTTCTCCCTTTCCCACTTTGCCCTGGTTCTCACCATCCAGACCGCTTGTGTGACTGAAAGCTAACCGCCCTCTCCTTTACAGAGCGTCATGGACTCGACCGAGGGCTGCCAGGCCTACCGCTTCTACCACAACAAGCTGGGCGCCCCTCGCTGCGAACTCTACGGCATGCCCGTCTCCTGGTCCGTCGACGACCTGGACCAAAACGTCGAGGGCAAGTGGTTCGACCTCTCTTGCGGCTCGCCCACCGTCAGGAAGTGGCAGTCTTCATGAGTTCCTTCTCACAACAAAGGGGCACCAGCTGCTCATACTTCTTGATAAATCTTCTTCGTCTTTATAATTCTAAACGAAAACGACAAGAAACATAGGGGGCTTTTAAGCAAAAGCTAATAACCAGACGGCATGTTATATTCAGAAACGGCCTTCGACTAATATAATAATGAGAGGCTGTAGTGGGATGGGGATCATCGAGTACAAATTAGGAGTACAAAGGGCTTGACATCATAATAATTTCTTTTCCTTTTTTTTTTAAAAATACTTGGAAATAATACAATTTTGAGATGTATCGTTTACTATTCAGTTCCTATACCGATTTCGGCAACATTTCGAATGGGATAACAGCATTTTAGAAGATGTGACTTGATATTGCTCGTAGATGATCATCTCTCTAGATTTCTTAACCCATCATCACCATCTTGCGATATTGCCCCTGTATTCACCGCGACTCCAACCCACCTGGAACTCCTCTGTATCCAACAAAATACCCAAACAGGTCACATAACAACGGGCATACTCTTTTCAAACCGGATCCCTCTCTTCTTCTCTGCTTCTCTGGAGATTAGAATGACTAGGTGGAATGCCCGGTTCAACCCATCGCTCCCGGAGCGCCAGGGGGAGGCAGTCGATCCGGCCCAAAAGACATGGGCAACAACTATGAGGAAATGGGCGTGTCAGTAAGACCAATACCGAGCAGAGGCAATCCAAGTAGAACATGGTAACTAGGGGGGATGCAAAAGAAACGGCTAGACCAACCTCTCCCATCGTCATCACCACAAAGTCCTGGTTCTTGTCAAACATGAACACCGGGATGGACAGATTGACGAACTCCCGAATACTGTTCCTCATATTAGCATACGGAAACCTGAAGAATCAAATGGTCCCATCCAACTCACAATTGCCGGCACATGCCGCACGGGCTCGCCGGCGGGCTAATGTCCGTCGACACGGCCACGGCCCTGAACTCCCTGTGGCCCTGGACGACGGCCGTCCCAAAGGCCACGCGCTCGGCGCACGTCCCGACGGGGTAGCTCGCGTTCTCGACGTTGGCGCCGTCGACGTACGCGGGGCCGGAGACGAGCAGCGTCGCGCCCACGCGGAAGCGACTGTAGGGGCAGTACGCTGTGGCCTTGGCCGAGGCCGAGCGGGCCTGGAGCTGGGCGAACTCGGCGGTCGTGATGCCGTGCTTCTGGCAGACCTCTGCGATCTTGGCGGCGTCGGTGCCCGAGAGGACCTGCTCGGGAGCCATGTTTGGTGGTTGCGGGGAGGAGGAGGAAGGGCAGGAGAGGAGGAGGGGGAGGGAGTGAGGGGATGGATCTGGCTGTGGCTTCGAAGTGGGATGTCTACGAAAGGGACCGGCTCTCCGCTCAACCGTCACAGCTATCGAAATTACAGAACCGATGATCCAAGCTGGAATGCGAACACCGGTCAGTCCTCCTGGTATGTATGTGTCTTACATGCTACGTAACCTGCTGGAGCTTTCCCCACGGTGGGACCTTTTCTCTCCGCAGCGCCCGATAAGGGACTTTCTTAGCTCGCCTTGGTGCCGTCCCAAGACAGCAGCTAGTTGGACGCTTATCTTACGAACGGGCTGTCACGGGCTTGGCCTTGTTGGTTACACGCGTAGATGTGCTTGTATTGATCTTCTGTATGTATATTACCGCGTCATTCAGGAGGTATAGGTGTATGTCTGTTCGTTCTTCCCCAGGCCTTCTCGTCATAATAATAGGTTTCTTCCGGTCATCACCACTAACTCGAACAAAGCCGTGCTTAAGGCTAAAAGGAAAAAGTAAAAGGAAAAAAAGACGAGATTAGAATAGGGTTCCTACAAGTAGCAATTTCCCGCCAACGCCATGCTCAATCATTGATGATATCCTCCTGGTTGGGAAGTTTCCCAACGACAGATATACATCAGAAAAGTGCCTGTTCTGGATAGAAACAGACTCCAAAAAATAGTGGGGGTTTAATTTATAGGGGAAAGGTTTGCAATAGAAAAATGAACAAAGAGGTTGAACCCAAGGGGCGGAGAAGTATCCTTTCCATCCGTATCCCACCTGAGTTCTACACCTCATGTTCCAGAAGGACGGATCTCCAGTAGGACAGATCTCCAGTAGGACAGATCTCCATCAGGAGAAGGGGTACCGAGGGATCTCGTTTTCTAATAGAATCCGTCGCCTCCGAGGCTACCTCTGCTTGATGCCGTTATAGGTGTAGATGTGCTGGATTCGCTTGGGGTTGCTGGCTCAACAACCTGATTGCGAATAGTGATGATCCACTCGTGCTGTAACAGCTCTACAGCTGAGGCTCGAGTTTTGGGGTCCCTGGTGAAACACCGGCTCAAGAAGTCAATGCCGCACTCGCTGAGTTGGTCTGTCGATGGTAGCTGCGGAGGGTTTCCCTGGGCGATACTATACATGATCGCCCATTCATTATCCAGGTTAGCCCAAGGTCGCCGACCCGTTACCATCTCCAGGATGACACAGCCTAAAGACCAGATATCCACGGCGCCGGCTCTGCCAGGGTTCTCGCCCTTGATCACTTCCGGCGACATGTACATCGGTGTGCCGGTCATGGACTTGTTCGGTTTGGTCGCGTGCAGATCTGCAGCGAGAGTACGTCCCTGTCGGGCGATGACCTTAGCTGCACCGAAATCAACGTACTTGATGATACCATTATGGTCAAGCAAAATATCTAAATTGGAATATGTTAGCCATATGCTCGGAGTTGTTGCTCTCACGGGAACCATGTGAAAACTACCGTAGGCACTTACTCTCTGGTTTGATGTCACGATGCGCAATACCGCTCTCGTGGAGATATGCAAGACCTTCAAGCAATTGCAAGGCATAGACCATGATTACTTGTTCGTCCTCGATACGGCCATGCTCTAGCAAAGTGGCTAATGATCCTCCGGAACAGAACTCCATAAAGATGTACACCCTATCTCGGTGTACTTCTATACCGTAATAGGAGACAACATTTGGGTGGTCCAGCACTTCTAGCACGCTCATCTCTTCTCGAATCTGCTCCGCAATGGTTGGGATCAGCTTTGGGTCCTGTAGCCGGATCTCCTTCACCGCCATCAAATGACCCGAGTCCAGGTTCATGGCGGCATAAACTTGACCAAAAGTGCCGCCACCCACAAAGTGGCCCTGCTGCCAACGCATTGTGATGTTGGTGGCGGAGGAGGACAGGTAGGCCAAAGAGCGGTCGGCCTCCGTGTTGGCTTCTAAGACGCGACCAAGAGCCTGCCTCTCTGCCTCCTTCTCTCGCCGGAATATGTCCAGCTTCTCCAGCTCCTCCAGGCGCTGCTGAGTGATGCAGATTGAAGCTTCCTCATCGTCCAACATCCTATTCTTGTCGACTTTTCGGAACTGGCCCACAAGAGCCTCGATTCGCTCCTTTTCCGCCTGCGCAGCAAGAGTCGACTTGGCCCCCATGATATCAAAGTGGGAGATGAGAAGAGACATGCAGCCTGCCACTTTGTTCCGAAGTTTATCATACTCGCTTTCTCCCAGGGTGATGATCCGGCTGCCGCGCGTCATACCCATGGCAAACTCGAGAGCTAGCACTGCCCAGCGGAAAGTTTTACGATCCGAGGCAATGCAGTCATCGCATATAAAGCTGATCCAGTCCAGCGCGAGCTTTGTCAGTTTCAAATTGTTCATCTGTCGCCGATTACTGTCCATGTAGAGCAGTGATCGTTGACCGAATTCAGTCGCAAATACAAAGCAAGTCTGGATGAGCTCCTGGCAGTCTTTTCCTTCTGTCTGCCTCCTGATTGTTTCTACACTGTCCATGAAGTTGTTGGACAGTTTATAAGCCACTCGCCGAATCTCCATTAAGCGAGTGTTGACCTTGTGAATGTTTGGTCGGGACTCTTGCACCAAGTCAACGTGCATATCCACCGCATCGAGGAAGGTCCTGCGTGTGTTCGGTAGTCCAGGTGATCCCGTAGCGCAGAGACGGGCGTGCCCACGCTTCAGGTCGATACTCAGTGGTTGCATATTCATCGTAATAGACTCCGCAAACCAATTGAACGGATCTTCCGGTCGTAGAAGTAGCAAGTACTGGTCACCTTCTTCGCCGACCAGACGTTCCTTAGATGTTATGGCCATTATGGCTTCGATGATGTCCGGCTTGTCATGCAACTCGGGAGACGCGATGAGATAAATCCCATCCTGCTCCAAAAACCCAGTCTGCACATGGAAATGGCCGGTGGCTGCCAGCTGGTCATAGAACTTCCTCATGCGCTCTGGGCCGAAGGAAATGTTGTAATCGGAGCAGTGCTCGTAATTATCGGTCAGCATCCTAGAAAACCGCTGCAACATCCGCTGCCGAATACGCACGGAATCCAAACAGGCTTTGTATCGCTTGCTCATTTCTGCCGGACTCTCTTTGGCCTTGACCTGCAGCTCGCTCTCAAAAGTCTGGCTCAGCCGGTTCAGGGCCTTGAACGTCAGCGAACTGAACTGCTCAGCCACGACGATGTGACCTCTTTCGAGATGACTTCCGATGTCATTTGCGAAATCCCACTCCTGGAATAAAAGTTCCGCCTCTTTGAATGTGTTTTTATTGCCGCTCAACTTCCAGTTCAACATCTTGAAATAATATTTCAGAGCTTCGAGAACAACCATGTCAAACGACTCATCAATGAATGGGGGGAGATCCCATCCAGGTTCGGGCTTGGCAATGGTTGCAAACTCCCCCTTGATCCGGATAGCAAATTTGAGGAGAAGCTGAAACTGCGATATCATCTGATCCTGCATCAGAGGGTTCTGCTGTGCCGTGTCCTTAACCCTCTTGGCATAGGCGAGTCGCATCCGAATAATCTCCTCAATCAAGCGCGAAGGAAAACTGATCAGTGTGAGAAGCTCTTCCAGATAGGGCGGCAGGTGGCGCTTGCGGAAAGTTGTCGAGTTGTGAATGAGTGTTTCCTTTGCCTTGCAGATAATAGCTGCAATCGGTTTCAGCATTCCTTGTTGTGTGGAGTTTTTCTCGTCATTGTACAGCGAGCGCAGGCCATCTTCCTTCATAAGGCGGTCAAGAAATGAGGTCTCGTCAGTGCTGATCCCGTTGACAGCTGGAGACCGCTGCTTAGTGCGAGTAAAGTCCATGTCATCGTTTCCAACCCATCTCTTGAGAATCTTGAGCTCCGTGTTGATCATCTCATTGGTGTTGTACCAGGAAACAATCGCTTCGTATGCCTCGTGAAAAGCGTTGGATCTAGCAGTTTTGTGCTCTGTAGCAAGTGAATCCCATGAGGGGTAGAGTCCCTCGCATTTCTCAATCTTCTTGACGACTTCTTTCACTTGCTCATACGGAGGCTTGCCCACTTCACTCTCACCCTTGACTTCGAAGTTGACGATTTCATCCAGCGTGCGATCCAACGTCGATCGTGCCTCCTCAACCATACGTCTCTGCACTGGGAGATGGCGCCCGCAGACCTTGGCGCGGATGCCAAGCCACATCTCCGACTTGTGTGCGTTCTTGCCAATTTGCTGATCAGAGGAACCGATTAGGCGCTTCTTCTCTTGTCGTACCACGTCTCCAGTGAGAACGGCCTCCAGCATGCCATGCCACTCCAACCTCTCTCGATTCTGCGAGTCCTCCAAATCTTCCTCGGTCGGCTGGAGATCGTCATTGCCGTAAAACATGATGGTTTCCTGATCATCAAATCGTTCGTCAAATGGACCTTCGGACGACGGAGTCTCCCCTTCAGAGTCTGAGTCGTTGCCATTTATGTTCGGGTATGAGGTAAAGTACTCTCCAGCATAGTCTTGCCGAAGCTTCTGCACATATGCACGCTCCTGCGCGCGAAATCGACTCTCCGCCGGTCTCGCCCTCGTTTTGGAGGATGATCGAGCCGAATCAACAAATTCCGGCGGGGGTTGTGTCACCACGGGCTTCCGCGAGGTAGCTGGGTTGTATGTATTTGAGGGCGTCCGCATCGGGCCGAGGGGACGTTGGGGTCGTGTGCCGTTGGCGCCGGAGGGAGCATCGCCGTCGCCATTGCTCCTCTGACTGCGAGATATACCGTTGGCGATCGTCTTGGCGATCGTTCCCGCGAGAGGGCCTTGGTTCACGGCGGAGTCCGGGTACGGGCTGAGAGATCCAAGCCCGTCCTGACCCTCGTGTGTAACCTCAGCCTCGTCGCCATTCTCATCATGGCCTTCGGCTGGGCTTGAAGAGTTGGTATGATCAAGGTCGTCCTCGCCGCCGGAGAAGCGTACAGTTCTAGGCGAGTTTTCGGTCATTGTGGGAGCGGGCGAAGTCGGTTGGGAAAAGTGCCGCGCTTGAAGATTCAAAGGGTGCTGTAGGTTAGAGCCGTCGGAAAGAAGCCCCCCACCACGTCAAACAGCGACCGAGCTCAAGTCGCTGGCTCCAGACTAGGGGAGGGAAACTGGCTCCAACATGGGGTTTGCGGTAGGTATCTGGCGCGTTAGGATAGCCGGTCTTGTGGATTAGCGATGGTGGCCATAGGTGGTTGCAGCTTCAAGGTTGGTTCCATTTCCCCAACTTGGCTCGCCCATAGTGGTTCCTGGCGGCAGCACCTTCCACCAATCTCCAATCTTAAAATTGCAGTCACGTGTAAAGAGCTCCGCGTCGATCTCGATTCAATCGCTAGCGCCACAAATAATCTCACGCCACTTGCCGGAGCTTAAGCCACAGCGGTGCAACCTTCCCAAGCTCAACTTCATATAACTATCCATTCGCTTTTCATGCGCTGGTGATGGCAATCCACCGCTATGGTCTGCAGATGGGTGGGCCGTACGTAGGTCATCGGTAGTCTCGCGAGTTTTGACGTAATATTACGCCCATGCTCAAGAAAGCCGCAGATTACAATCATACCTTGGCCATGTCCCTGCCTCAGTGCCGATCGCACCTGAATCGGAAATCATCCGGGTCATGGCACCTCTCCCCACGATATGATTCCGTTTCATAGTCGACCAGATCCGAGATGAGGGGCGAAGCAAGCGTGGATATGAGATTGGTCTGTCACTCGTACATTGTAGCAGTTTTGACTGACTGTTGCTAAAGGCGGGTATGTAACACTAACACCGACAAGGGTTGAAGAACATGAGAGGCAAATAATGAAATACGGCACGCGTACTTGCAACAGTTCCTGAGCAACGCCGCTTTTTGAGACTGAGCCCCGCCTTAGTCTAAGCACGTCACTTCACTTGCATTAAATTGTGCAGAATCTTAATCGCAGTCGTAACGTCGACTGTATATTACGGTAGAGCATCGGTGATGGAAGCTTACCTTGTGTAGATTTCGTGGGCCTTCCAGCTTCTACGAAAATGATGATCAATTTTGGCAGTGAATTTGTGTGCGCTCGACCTGACGAAGCAGTGGGACTCGGCCTTCGCGAATGATTTTGATAGTTGACAATTCTCAACCATGGCGTGCCAACAAAGTCTTTTCGACATTTAACCCGATGTCCTCCAATATATTAACCATCGAGGTAAGGTCTCGTGTTGAGGCACCCTTCACTGCCTCATCTCGTTTCTCCTCAGTAACTATGCATCCCTTCTCTGAAGTCGCTTGAACATCAGTATAGTCTCACCTATGATAATGTCGGTAAAAATTGCACTAGAGAGCTCGTCCGCATCGAGCGATATGCCATGACCCAGCAGTTCCTTCGTGATGACGCTTCTCCCAGCTTGAGCGGCTACGCTCAAAACGTCGTCTTCATCTTCGATATCTGTTTCCCGACTAAGAATACGTCTTCAAAATATGAGCGACAGGCTTAATACACAAGATCAGTGTATTTTCCAGTATTTCCGTGTTTGGCTTTTGAACTGATGCAAATGAGATGGCGGAGAATAGCTAGTTTTCCATGTTTAGCGTAGATGGCTTGCTATATTATCGCCGAGTTTGTATACGCTTGCCCAACTCAAAGACGCCTCGTGTGAGGATGCAATAGATAAGCAGGATCTGCAGAATCTCATTAGGTAGATTTGAGATCGACATGACTTTCAACTCGCTCAGCTCTCAGTCATCACGCCTCGAACAAATTGAAGTCACTCTCGTGAGTATCTGACTCAGTGAACCGGTTGACTAACCATCAAGGTGCTGTTCCAAAGATACCGCCTTTTCCCTTGAAACGATATCGAAGGGAATCCGTATCTAATATTGATAAAGTGAGGTCGCAGCCTGGTGGATACACGCGGGACGGAACCCGGTCGGGGCTCGGCCTTGAGAGCGTAATAGCCCGATGGTCCTGACTCCCAGTCATACACCATCAGCAGCAATTACTGTTGAGAGACGATTTCTGTGCCATCTAATCCTAGAATCCGCCGGTACGTTCCGTTGACCCCCCACAGCTCCCCCACATGACGTGCATCAATATCTCGTTGCCTTCCGAGAGCAGCATCTGCATGTCGGCTTACTGCCGTGGCTTCACCGATTCCTGAACCCCTAAAGACAGAAACGACACAGAGACAAAGGATCGCATGGGTTTGAGACGCGTCTCTAGAGAGGCATAGCCCAACTCCTAACCGGCAATGACCGTCTGCCTGCCGGAGGACACACGCAGGGTCCTCTCCTCGTCTTGAATCTGGGGTGTGTTCCTTGCAGACCTGGTGCCGGGTAGGCAAGACCCGCAGCAGAGCGTATCAAGCCGAAGCCGAAATACGGCCGCCATCAAACATCGTGACCACAGCAGAGTCGATAATATCTGAACCTGCTCAGATCATACATAGATGTAGCGAAGCGACGCGGTGAAGGCAGCGACCCGCACTGCGGTTCCGGCCCTTAAAGCCGGCATCGTTCATCTTGATATCCACGCTTCCGACTCCATTGCTCGCGTTCTGACTCTCCTCCTTTTTTTTTAAGACCTTTGTTTTTGGCAATGCCGGTCTTACCTGCAATATATTCTTCCTCATATTTTTATATCAACACCCTGATAGTCGGACTTTACAGTCGGAAGTCCAATTATCACATGGCTGGTACATCATAGAAGCTGGGTTAAGTGCGATCGCGGTGATGCTTTGCCAGACGAGTATGTTTAAATTAAATTTCGGCAAACTCTCGGTTCGAGACATGTGAGGGCATGGACACACGTTGGTCTAGGTAGAAATGCATCTGCATGTCAACCCGCTTCGCTTCCCGTCTATTTGCCACGGTCATGCGACGCCTGCTTTCATTCGCCTCTCCTATTCTTCCTTATTCCTGGTCTATCTCCGTTGCCATATAGCATGATGAAGATAGCCTCCTCTTCCATTATGCAAGTACCAATCTAGAGTTGCACCGAAATATCTACCTAGGCAATTCATGGTAAGTACTGTAGATGTACAGGTACATCCATCACTTGCCTCGGAGTGATGCACCGCCACGCTAAAACGCTGGATCTCAGCGGTCCGCCCGCTGTGCTCGGGCCGTTCGAGGATCTCCCAGACCTGAAGCTAGTACCTGTCTAAGTTTTCCGGCGGTCTGGGGGCCAAGGCGACAAAGGCCGTCCGAGCCAAACACCGTCCATGTACCTGCCGAGTGTCTCTTGTACTTTCCGTGGTAGGCAAGTGGCAGACCATTACTGAGGCTGTCGAGATCGCTCAATGGCTGATCAATGGCTGAGACACCAACCAGAGACATGATATCCTGCCCGGATCTTCACGAGCGGTGGTGATCGAAGAAAGTTGTCGAAATAGAGACGGCATATAGCGACCATGCACCACTACTTGCGTTGGCTTTTCCCAGGTGAGAAAGGCAATAGGCTCGAGCTGCAGGCGGGAATTGTAACACACGCCGTCTGAGGCTGGTCTTAGCCGAACCTCGCGGGCCATTCCCTCGCTCTATGCTGTCTGGCTAGTCTTGCATCTGACAAACCTCCGACGCCTATCCAGCGTGGAATTGCACCATCACGGATCCTGGTTGAGTTATTGGGCAAGCAGCTGCATTGGACTGGCATATACATTTGTTGGCGCGGTGGCCCATGCCACCGCTCATACTATCAGCTCTGTTCCTAAGCCCGGTGCTGGTCTATCGAGACACTTGAACTATGTGCATAGGTCGTCTGAAAGTACATGAAAATTTTTGGTGTTCAGAATAGAATACAGTCTCGGGCAAAACCTTTTCTGTTCATATAATATCAGTTCTCATTAGGTTCAAGTTTCAATTCGATGAGACCATCAGCTGCATTGTCCATCATCTATGCCGTCCTCGCATGGCGTCACTGCCTGCCTGTTAGTCACTGCGAGTACATTCTTAATACTCCTCCCCTTCCTCCCCACAGAGTCTCGTAAATATGCATGTCAGAGTATCCCTGCTTGTGCTGTATAATTGGCTACGTTGCTCACACTGCCACTCCTCGACAACCAAAGTAGAAAGGACAAATAGAAAAGAAAACTGATGGTGAAAGATGGGGGCGGAATGTAACCTGATAGCCCCAACTCCTTACTTCCTTGGTACTAGCTCCGATTGATTAATTCCTCTTCAGCTAGGAAAGAAATGGTAAGCGAGCTGGGACCGCCTCTTCTGTCTTTAGCATCTGCATTGACCTACTGTTCGGTTCACATGATGGATCTTAGACGTGTGCCCCCCCACGAGAATGTGAAACAGCCACACCCTTCCTCACGCTTAGAGCCGATCCCTAGGAGAAGTGTGTCTGGAAACTTAGCTTAGTCAACTATCTAACTCACTAATTGGCCGTTCGTACTGAGACATTCTTACCTTTCTCCATTCAGGAGTCGTATGTACTTGGCTGAGAGTACGAGCAACCCGCGTTTTTGCTTCCTGTCCATCCAACCCGAGAATGTATCCCACTGTGTCTCTGCCCAACGAGGGGTGGCGTTATTATATTGAGTTACTCGTGCGTTGTGATTTTGAACGAGAGTCAATAAAGCAAAGTGGAGAGTAAAATGCGGTGATAAGGTAGGTTGGGCTGAGAGGTCAGGAGATATAAGACGATGCTTGGCCTCGCCGTTGAGGAAGGGAGGCTACCTCCCATAGCCACATTCTCTCTCAGATCAACCACCTCTACTCATATTCACTATCAAAGCCTTTGGCACCGTTGTTATTTGACTTTAACTCTCATCTATCCTCACTTGAGACTCACTCTCCATAGAGCATTCTATTTCTTATAAACGACAAACTGCTAAATATCCCAGCAACAGGTACGGCATCGTTTCGCTCCCCCCTTATCGTCGCATTCGACTAATTCCCCAAGCCAGCCTCAACGTGAACTGTACAGATCTGCAAAAATGTGCAACGTCGTGACGAATTACTACATCTACGCGGCTTGCCGCGACCCTGGCGTCCACTTCTACGCCTCGAAACTAGACGGGCAAGACCAGCAAGTTTGCAGAACAGGCCCTCATGAGCGGTACATTGTCTCACCAGATGCCTGCCCGCTCTGTTCCGGTCATTAACGAGCGTTTGGTTCGGCAAATATGCCCACGAAAATGCGATGAAGAAGGGGATGCTTGGAAAGGAGATGGTGGGGAGTGTGCTTAAGGAACGTGCAGATGTGACCCTTCCGCGTAGACGGTAGGAGGGTTCGGTAAACTATGTTTTGGGAATGGGGCGAGAGGATGGATGGATGGGGATTTGGGAGACCAAGGGAGGTGTCATGTCGACGTGTGATGTGCTCTGAGCGTGAGATGCGCCATATTCATCTCGCCTATGGCATACACTTTGTTGCTCTCTATGCCCCCGCCCCCTCCAGTGTCATCTTTCACCCTCTGATTTCTTTTCTAATTTCCTTTCTAATCTACTATACCTGCAATATCGGGCTGGGAGAGCTGTTGGCTAGTAACAAATTTTTTTTTCTACCTTGGTGTAAATAGCTAATTTATCTTCTCTTCCGAATCCCTTGTGCTGCTTGCCACAACCATTGCCTGGTTAACATCGCCACCAAAGTCGGCTCCTCGTATCAGATACTATTACCGAGGGTCTTGCCAGGGATGCCAGCCCATTGATATTGTGAGGGTCGCGTCCTGTCATAGGCTAACTATAAAATGCTGTCTCAGCCATATGGGAGAGCAACTACCCCCAAGTTCCTACGTCATGCCCAATTCATGTCTCAAGTGCTGTGCCTCGTGAATGGAGGCATCTGAGCAGCTGGCATGGAATCAACGGGAGCGGTGTGTAGCCGAGGGGGGGGAGGGGTAAACGTCGCTTACTGGTCAATCAACGTACATAACATGAGATAGCGGTGGCGACAGATCCGTCTATTTACTTGCATCTTCATACTTGGTCGGGTAGAGATATTTTGCGGCCAGCTGTCCTGGATCGTGGGCTTTGCTCCCAATGACTGTCGTCGATGCCATTGTGCCAAGACAGGACGGATCGGTCACTTCGGCCGCCCAGCGGCAGCCAATTAAGGTATAACTTCCATTAAGCATTGAGATGGAGAGATCTGGATGACATTTCGCTTACCACCTATATCTTCCCTGGCCCCCCTTCATCTTGAACTAGTAGGGCTGATCTTGTTCAGCTGCTGAGCTGGCTAACTGGTAAGGGTCAAACGTTCAGCCATGTAGATCGATGGTGGGAGAATGCACTGCACATATGAGAATCCCCGAGATCTGGGTAGGGTGCGCCTATTTTGCTTTTATTTTTTTCTTTCTCGAAGACGTGGAGCTTCGAAATAGGGCGATTTTGCCTGTACAGGGCTAAGAAAATGTACATGCGCCAGAAAGCTTGCCAAAGTGATTGATCAGAACGGCCAGCGACCCCGCATGCTGAAGATGAAGAGCCCATCTGTATGTACATAACAAGCCGGGGTGCTCGCGTGATCATGTCCGGGCCGATCCCGAAGCAATCTGAGTCTGTCAAGTACAAGCCTTTTGCCAGGCAGGGAACGACCAATCGCAATATGTATCCAGAGCATGAGCCCTCAATTGCAGCTCACCGGTTTCCTGTTTGGATGAAGGCATGTCCAAACGTTTCAGATGCGGGGCTAACGAGGTGGAAGTCCCTATCTCGGTAACCATTATAACCTCAAAGACAACGGCTACCCATGGTAAGGCGGTGAGGTGTCTACCATTCTTCTTTCTCCCAAGCGCAAGATTGGGCAACATGGGTTTTTTGAAGAGCCCATCATCGAGCCTAATATGCATAAGAGGTGGTCTTAAGTAAGTATACATCGGCTAGATACGCCACGGAAGATCACTGTCTCGGGTTGACACGGCCCAAACCTTAGCCACGATGATGGGAAACCAACCAACCTTCTCCGTGCCCTTATTATGCATTAGTACTATTAGGCTCAAAGATGCGGTGTCGAAGAAGATAAATAGACTATTTGAGCGTGAGTCAGAGATGGGCAGGCAAGTATGATCCCGGGGCAGCCAAGCCATCCTGCTGTAGCTCAGAGCTGCCTGAAAACGCCACGTTCATGCTCCGAAAGGTTGGGTGTGTGGTTACCAGAAAGTAGGCAAGCATACACCACCACCATACACCACCACCATCACGGCCTGCAGAAGCTCAGCCGAAGCTTTAACCACGATACTTGCGGTGTGGACGATGCCGGTTGGTATTTTTCAAGTGTGTTCATAAGTGGCTGTTTATTTGTGGCGTTCTGATCTGCCTGTGGCGTCCGGGAAGTAGCTTATGTAATGCGGCTAGCCGTTTTGCTCTTAGTCATGTTTTACCCCAGATCCGACCCGTTTTTCTTGATCCGCGCGACTCCACATGGATTCGACCGAGGTTCGTTTCGTCGCATTCGCGTAACTGGACCAACGATTGTTTTATTCCTTCGGCCATCTTACTTAAAATCACCGTCTCGGATTTGGCGGATAGACCTAGATATTTATCAATTACTGCGTACGACGGCTTGATCACTTCCTTCCTCTTTTGTTCTTCCATCGCCGGAGCCTCAACTCTCCTCTAGACATCTGCTATTCCACGTGCTGCTGACACCTATCAAGTTGCGGGCAACAGACCACCAGAGACTCCAACCAGCAGAATGACGGTCCCTGAGAGCGAGTACCTTAGCCCCGTGTGGAGGGACGGAATCTTCAGTGAGTCGATCGTTCCCGAATCTAGCCCCCTATCCCCCGCGCGCCTGTGTTCCTGCATCAATCGCTGACTTTCGTCTTGTTAGATGGTCGAGTTGTGTTCGTGACTGGCGGCGCCGGCACGATATGCAGCATGCAGACCAGAGCGCTTGTGCGCCTAGGCGCCAATGCCTGCATCCTCGGCCGCAACGTCGAGAAGACTGAGGCCGCCGCCAAGGACATTGCCCTCGCGAGGCCAGGTGCCAAGGTCATTGGCATCGGAGGCTGTGATGTCCGAAACGTGAGTTACACACAGAATAGCGTTTCTCTCTTGAATTCTGTTCGTCTTGATTACAAGTCTAACGCATCTCTCTGTAGCCCGAAGCTCTCAAGGCCGCAGCCGACAAATGCGCCAAGGAACTGGGAGGCATCGACTTCGTCATGTAATTCAAACCACCCAAAAAATGGTTTATTCTTCAACTTCTAATCTTGAGCAGCGCCGGCGCAGCAGGAAACTTCATCGCCCCCATCGACGGCCTGAGCCCCAACGCCTTCAAGAGCGTCATCGACATCGACGTCCTCGGCACTTTCAACACCATCAAGGCCACCATCCCCCACCTCCTCCGCAGCCCCTCCCCGCGCATCGTCTTCGTCTCCGCCACCTTCCACTTCACCGGCATGCCCCTCCAGTCCCACGTCTCCGCTGCCAAGGCCGCCGTCGACTCCCTCATGGCCTCTGTCGCTCTCGAGTATGGCCCCCGCGGCGTCGTCAGCAACGTCATCTCCCCCGGTGGCATCGAGGGCACCGAGGGGCTCGCCCGCCTGGGGAGCAGCAAGGAGGAGGACAGGAGGAGCTACGTGAAATCCATCCCATCGGGCCGCCTGGGAACCGTCAGGGACATCGCCGACGCGACAGTCTTCCTCTTCAGCGAGGCGGGAACGTACGTCAACGGCCAGGTCATCCCCGTCGACGGGGCCGCCTGGAGGAGGCAGGGCGACGTCAAGGTCGGCTTGGACGAGAGCATGAGCTATCCTGAGTTCCTGTTGTCTGGGGACATTTCGAAGAACTTGCACGACCCTCGGAAGGCTAGCAAGCCAAAGCTATAGATGGAAGGTATAGATGTTGCTATTTAGACGGACATGTCAGAAGCCAGATCTTGTTTCATAGATATCTGCTATTATGTTCAATCTGTTGAATTTATCTTGATTAAACCCCCCTGAAAAGATTAAATTGAGTTTGAGTCGGCATGTGAAAAACATTTGGGATTGCTATTAAATGGTATTAGGTGGTATCCAACCAACTCCAACTCCAACCCATCATCAACTAGTTGCTTTTCTTTCAATTTTTGTTTCAGTGATCCCGAATAAACCAACAAATACATTCAACTAGTATGCGCTCGACAGATAGACCTCTAGGTCTAAGAGCAAGACTCCTGTAATTCAGAGCGGGTATAAGAAAAGATCAATAACGAAAGTCCCCAGAGAACGAACTAGTAGAATCCAGATGGACCACTACCGAAGGCCAGTCATGGCTAGCAAGTCATTGCGATGATAGAAGGCTCGCACCCTCTTTCCATAGATATCTAGTAACTATTAGCAACCATTGGGCTCGAAAAGGTAGGTTTGAGAAAAAATCTTACACATGGGGATGCTCAGAAGGCACACGATCACCTGAACTATTGCTGCGGCGACCATGACCTTTCTGATTCCGTTATTGGCAATCACCCAGTCATATGCACTGAAAGTGAGGCCAAAACTGAAAATGTTCTTGAAGATAATCATAATGGTGAAACCCTCAATTGTAAGGTCACCTGGGTGGATTAGCAAAAAGTGGATATCTCATCGGGGAAAGGAGAGTGTTAGACCGAAAGACTTACGGTAGGCATCTACAATGTAAAGCGAACTCGAAACAGCTCCAATGACCATACCGGCCACCTCGAGAGCAAAGAAGGTCAGCGGCACCCAGAAGGTGTACTGTTTAGTGATGACCCGGCCAGCGGTGAGGCCGAACCCGAAGAGCCCGGTGCAGCCAATGATGAGCATGGGGATGACAAGCAAGATGCGGAACTCGGGCTCATATATTCCATTGTTCCTCCTGGTGAGCCACTTGGCCAACGGGTCAGCAAGCAGCCCCGAGATGAGGTAGCCGATCAGCGCGCCAATGAACGGCCCGGTGTAGGCATATCCAGCCTCAACCTCCCTCCAGAGATACGGCGGGCCGATGAAGATGGCAGCAAGGATGACGCCGATCATCACAGTCCACCCGATCATGGTTCCTTGAATTAAGCATCCCCAGATAAAGGCTGGGTTTGCAAGGAGGGGGAAGGGCCGCAAGAGGAGCACCCAGTACCTCTCATTCGTCTTTCTACCGTCGAAGAGGGAGAGCGACTCAACAAATGACTTCTTGGGAGTGGCAGAGTTTCCAATGGGCTGCAAGGCACTGGACCTGGGAAATATGACGAACCCCCCTTGGCGATCCTCAGGTACTTCGAGCATCTGCTCCACACTACTCTGACCGTTTTTAGATTCGTCGGCAAGCGCTTGGTCCTCGCCCGTGGTGTCTGTATTCAGTTTCTGCTCGCGCCTATATGTCGTCTCCGGACACAAAAGGAACACGGCGGGAAGCGTGGCGGCCATGAAGATGGACACAAAGTAGAAGGTCCACCACCAGCCCATCGAGCGGGTGATCTTCCCCACCAATATGGGAGTGAAGAAGGCCCCGCCAAAGACTGCCAGGTTGGTAAAGGCCATACGCGAACCACGCTGGTGCACGAAATAGAGATCACCAACGGCTGCATTGAGCAAGCTCTCGAAGGGGGCAGCGCCGATCCCCTGAACAGCCCGAGCAGCAGCCAGACTTCCATAATTCTTGCCCGTGGCACCGGCCCACGCGCTCGATGCGATGATCAGGAATATTCCAATGATAAAAAGGTGGCGCTTCCCCCAAATACGGCCAGATGGAACGAAGAAGGTGGCGGCGGCACCTGCACCGAGCAGAAAGTAGCCGGTCAATAAGGCGGCTTTGGTGAGTGTTATGCCGAAAAGGCCGGAGATGGTGAGTGTGTTGGCAGCGAGGATAGGGCCCAACGCGGTCGCGAGAATGGCAGCGAAAGAGAGGGTAAAGGTGATCAGATCGCGTTTCCATAGAGGCCAGTTGAGGGGATCGTTCGGGTCATCGGATGGTTGCGGAATCTATGCAAAAGTAAGCAAACCGCGTCTTGTCGCATTCGTCTCAGCACGCACGAGAATGATAGGCTGCTTTCCGCTCCGGTCGACTTTCAGCCCTGAATGCCCATCGACGTCGATCTGAGGACGGTCGGGGCTGTCAAAGTATCTCGTGGTTCCTGGCAGACAGCGCCTGTATTAGTTGACTTCTTCACAAAGTCCGCCGTTGGCTGGGAATTCACATACCGGGCACATGCTCAACGCCCTTTGGGTTGAGAATCCCGAGCGGCATCTTGGAGGCACCTGGGCGCAATACGAGGCGCCGTAGAATATGCGACAATGGATTAGACCGAGGAGGCCGAAAAGCGCGGTGAGAGCAGCTCCGAGTCGTTGCTGGCTGGAGGTGTGGTGATATTGGGAGGGATGGGCCAATCTTTAAGCCAAGCCAAGCCAAACCAGGCACGGCATGCATGGTCTAGCCCTGGCCGCCATCCGGGCTGACCAGTATATTATTAGCTCCCCCAGGCGGTTCATTAATTAGCAGAGCCTTTCAAGAGGGGGCGTGGGACTGGAACTGGGATTCGAGACTGGGTGGGTCAAGGGTAGCGGGACTCCGTCGTCCACATTCGTACATATTTTCCTACAGACAATCCTCCATGCCTTCATCCTGCCATTGCCTCTTGCAGCTTTGTATTATTCAGATTTCTGCATCACGGTGTGAACATATATCAAGGCTGTCCGTTCCAAGATAAGTGCGTCAGAAACGTAGTATCCATTCCTCTGTGAATAGGTAGGTAGCTCAGTAACTATTTGCCTTGGTACTAAAACTTGCTCTCTTCTTTTTGGTGGGTGCAGCAACGGAAAGCTTCGTTGCCCATCCCCACATTCTTGCACGCCTATTTTCTAACTAATACCTAGTACCGAGGCTATCTGAAATATCAAATCAAGTGATGCTTTTACTCCAGAGTCTGTCGGAAATTGTTGGTGAATAACTGGTAGTAGATAGCTAACAATATACCAATCATCCAATACAGTTCCCCTCGCAGTGTACGCGTGTGCTTGTCCGCTGAATCATCGACCGACCGAGACGCCAAGAGAGAGATGATTCAATTTGCACGGCGTTGATATGGGCCATTCATCGGTTACCAGAACTTTGCTTGCATCTCCTGCACTCTGGGCCTGAGGGATAGCTCAGGCCCCACGCTGTTGTCATTGGTAGCGCCAATGTCGTCCATCTGCGATAGCATATCCAGAGCAGGACGGCAAATATCTGCCCAGATACCATCCAGCTCGCTCAACTCCCATCCGGCGCTTTCACCGAACCCCAAATTCATGTTTCCTCGGAATACGTCGTCGGCCTTGGAAGACGAAAGGGAAACCTCGTACCACTCGTCTAGACCCGAATTTTGACCTTTGTTCAGCCTGTTTGTGCCAAACCAGGTTTTTCCGCGGAAGAGGGACGGTGATTTCTGACTGGTGTAATCGGTTTTTTTGGTGAAGGGCCGTACCATTTTTACGTTGAGCTGCGGCCCCTCCGCTTGGTCGCAGCGGTATCGGGCAACGTGGTGAATGGAAACCTGGTCAATGGAAAAGCCTTGGCTTTCCTCCCCTGGAACTATGATGATAACATCTCCAGACTTCACGGGACTGTGATATATTGTGTTAGTATCCAAAATAACATTGATCGCATATATGACTATGCTTTGGGCAGGATCAGGCGCACGTGATAGTTACGGATTCGACCATTGACTTCGCAAATGACTTGCACATTTCGGGGAGATCGTGATGGACTCTGGTAGCCCGTGCTTTCATATCCCAAGCAAATTGAGGGCAGTGGACATAAGCTTTCGCTATCTCCTCAACCTCACCAAGACAGAGATGGGACAATGTTTTGACATCCAATTCCACTCTGAATGGTGCTTTGACCTCACCCTCATACAGGTGGCAACTGAACTCGTACTTCGCCTCGCTGTCGTACAGTTTCCATTTGGACCCATCTGTGAGCCCGAACTGCACAATTCTCGCTGCATCTGATGGCGATGTTGTCAAGATATTTTGGAACCCAATTGAACCTTGTGGAATTCCATCTTCGAACGAAGCCAAGAGACTCTCAATGCTCCAGTGTGGACCTCGACCCATATCAACAATCGACTCGCCAATATTCTTGAAGTAGATACGGCCTAGACTCAGTTGTAGTTCTACCTTTCCAGGTGTTAGCTGAAGAATATTGCCCATTTCCTTCAAGTCGCGCTCCAGAATTTCCCAGTGCGTTTTGCGAAACTTGAGTGTCTCGGTTCTCCCGGAGAGAAGTGCCATGAAAGAACTCGCTTGCGTAGGCTTAGGTTGAGAGGCAGCACCGCCAGCGTCATTGGATTTCGAATCACCTTCGCTGCTAGCCACGGTGCTTGGTGGATTGCTAGTCTTCACGCCAGCTGTTTGTGGCTTGAGGTCCGAAGCAGGATCATTCTCCTTAGCAGGGCGGGATTCTGTCGATTGGTTAGTCTGGTGCTTTCTCGGGAGAGTCGGCGGTTATACTGGTTTGTTGCCCTTGGCTAGGATGCTTGGGCTTTTTGCGACCGGCTTTCTGTTGCATCGTCGAGTGAAAGTCAATTAGATCCTCGTCTTCTTTCATCCCGAACTGAGCGAGGGATTCGGGGTCCAACAGTGGATAGTCAATATTCAACTCGGACACAAAGGGAACGTCCGAATCTATAAGATTGTCAGTCCGGGAGCCACCAACACCCTGAATCGCCAAGGACTCGATCCCTAGGAGGTCGGAGGCTAGCTGCTTGGATCCTGCAGCTAGTTCTCGGACATTTTTATTCTTCTCGGGGGTTGCCCCTGGACCTTTGTAGAGACTCTTGGTTGGGACCTGGGGCAACCCATCTGCCTTGCCAACCTGCGGACTGCCATACCCCGTTTGATGGTGAGTTTTTTGTTGCTGCTCGACCCATTGGCCAACCATCACAGGGGCACTTCTTTTGCCGACGGGAACCTGTGATTTTCTCGGTGATGATGCGTCACGCTCCTTTCGCTTTCCTTGCTTGGGGTTCAAGGAATTGGATTCGACAATTGGGGGCTGTGGCATAGAAGTCTGATCAATCTTCTTCTCGGGCTGCGCACGCGACACGTCCCCTCCGCGTTGAGATTCAATTGACGTGGGGGAGCCGACGACCTTCGATGGCGATGAGTTTGAAGGTTGAGCCGTCGCTGGGGGTTGTTTGGAAGTATAGGACTGCTCTTCGAAGACTTCTAAAGGCGGAACTGGCTCAAGATATCCTCTAACTCTCGGATACACTCTTGGATCAACTGCCCACTCGCCCTTGTCACTATTGAACGTTGCCGTTCTCAACGTTGTACCATTCACTAAGGCGGCGTATTCGTCTTCTGCAGAGCCTGCGTGGTTAGGCGCAAGGTAAGTGCGCTTGGAGAGCCCGATATGTGAGAGCCATCTGTAGGCTAACTTGTAGTCTCGATGATTCTCAGTGATAATTGGGATGATGTGACGACTTTTCTCTTCCATGGAGAGAGTCTCGTCTGGTCAGCACCTGTAACATTCAAAGTAGTTTCGCTTTTTGACTCACAAATGCTATCTTCCAAATGTTATCCAATCTCTTAATAGCATCGCTGACTTTCTCTTCACTCTCGCAGCTACCAATATAAAGCACATTTTGAGCCAGATTTGGGTAAATTTCGCAATTTGCGAGCTGTGCAAACTCTTCGAGAGTGACTGTTTCTCCAAAACCGGCTGCGAGGTAGGAAGCAGAGCCCAGGACGGCATCGACCGTGGCTCCTCGAAGGACCTCCGGTGCTCTCCAGATACTCTTGTGTGTAGTGGAGGCTAGAACTTCAGGGTATTCGTGTGGGATGTAGTCATTTCGATTAGAATCAAGCTCGAATTGATAAGTTCCCCAGGGCACGACGCGCGGTGTCTCTGCGATGATTTCGACGTCGATGGAATTACCGTGCTCATCTTCGTGCTCAGTGTCATCGTCTGGATCGAGGGGACATGTCTCTTCTTCGATGATATCCCGAAGAAGCTCCTCAATAAACTTGGTAACTGTGTCGCGGGCTGGAGTTGAAACGGTACACTTGAACCATGCCGCGTCTGGATCGTACAGGACCTCGAAAAGTTCATAATTCTAGTCGAGATGTTAAACCTAGGTCTCGAAAAATGACAGAGAGTTAATCACTTACAGTAAACTGTTGCGCTGCTTGTTGGATTACATGATCAACTCCTCCTGGAAGTAGGGGAGGATTGCACGCCACGTAGATTTCATTGAAAGCGTCGCCTTCGTCCTCATGTCCTAGCTGAGTAGATGCCATATTCACCGAAGGCTATTAAAGCCGCTGCTGGGAAATAACTTGCCCCAGAGGATGAAAGTTCAAGATAGAAACTATGAAATGATGGGAGGTTTGGGGAAAAGAGAAAGTGAGGTGAAGTGAAGGGACAGGAGCAAACAGGGAAGGAGCGAGCGCAGGGCTGGTTATAAAATAAGGCGTGTATATAGGCTTTTCCCTAGACAGACACCCCAGGAAGGCCGGCTGTTATTCTGTAGGCAGCCTTGAGAGGGAAATGAATGGCCAGTGATTCACGGGAAGGTGCAGATAATGCAAGCAGCAAACGTGTAGAGTACCACGCTTGTAGGCACGCATCCTGCTGCCATTGTCGGAGGCCGACGGCCCAGTTCCCTCTCAGCCTGGGCACAAATGCATCTCACCTGTTACTCAAGTTAGGCCATTAGACATTGTTTGGGGGTTGGAGAGAATGAACGAACAAGGTGGGATTCATCTATGATTTTTGTTTTATTGTCCAGTTTTACATTGATGGCGGCACTTGCCCCCAAGACAATGGAAATGGGGAGTGGAAATGGTGAGCCAAAACGCGAGCCATGGAAAATGTACGCCAATGGCAAAAGGACCATCCGAGAATAGAAAATTTGCTGCGATCAACGGGCTCATGCCTCTATTATTGTCGGCTGAGAGCATCGCGAGGCTCTGAGCACACTGGACAGCTCCGTTCGCCGGGACGTTGCATGGAAGTTAATGTCAGGTAAGCTTGTTGTGCAGGCCAGACCTCTTAGCGACTGTTGACATCCGACACTAGGTAGGTACCTAGTTCCGCCTGTATCGCATTGTAAGGTACTGGGTACGTACATTCGGTTTGTTATACAAGACACGCCCACAGAGGGGCTACACAAGCAAACGCTTGCGGACGGGAAGTGAGGAAACAGGGTTGTTATTCATAACGGAAGTAATAATTTTATTTTCCCACAGGCTCCCATACCATTGTGCCACGCTCACTGTACAAACTCCCAAATTCCTCCTCTTCTATTTTCGTATAGGAGCCGTGTGACCCAGAAGCCCGCGCTCGCTATCGTGGCTTACACCACCTCTAGCTTGTTGACGCCCACGCCCGCAAGTCTAGCCAAGAATAAGCGATGAGATCGGCGGAAACCCTTCTGGCATAAATGCCATGTAAAACGCGAGATTATGATGGGCCCGTGCAACGACCACATGCTCTCTGTATATTCTATCACATATGCAACCATCTGGAAGCTTCCACGGTGAAAAACAGGCTGTCGTGTGTGTAGCCAGGAGACAAGGTCAAAAACAGAATTGAATCCAACGCCCATTGCGCCTGGTTTATAAGCCCGCATGTGATCAAACAACAAGAACAACCATAACCCGGGCCACTATGGTGTATCAAACAGTAGCTGTGTAACATGTAGTATCCTGTCCATGGTTTTATTTGTTCCGAGTTTTAGAAAAAGGAAAGAGAGCCGCAAAGGTGTAGAGGAAACCGATTATAATATAGTAGAACCAGAATGATGAAGATGGTATCGTCGTGCGCGTCGTATCATTTGATATAGCCACTAGGAATGGCGACCTCCAGTAAATGACTTCTCACCCTCAGAATTGGGCAGATGCCACCTGGCAGGCCTAGGCGAGTAAGAGAGTAGATAAAGAACCCAAAGTGCATGGTAAAAAAAAACAAGTCGACAATGTGACCCAGCCGCGGATGAAACCAGATAACATGCTTAATGACGCTTGAACTTGAAGAAGGGGAGAGGTGAGCGGAATAACAATAACTTGTAATCAAGCACTGCCCAATTATTGGGCACCCTTGACGTTCTCCTTGACATTCAAAGCCCACTTGAGCTTATTGAGAACCTCCCGAGACTCGTCAAGTATCCGCTGCTGCTCTTCCTCGCGCGCCTTCGCATTGGATTTGATGTCCTTTAGGCTGTCCTCCTGGGCTTGCTTGTAGGCGTCAAACTTTTGCGCAATCTCCTCCTTCTCACGCCGTAGCTCTTTTATATTACTGTCCTGTTGGTCGCAAAGATCTCGAAGGGTTTGGATCTTGCTGTCGTCGCTTTTTCTCTCCTCAACTATCTTGCCGATTTCGACCTTAGTTTTGGCTAGCGCCCTCTTGACCTCGTCGCCTTGGTTCCGCCAATGTGATGCTATCGCGTTGTAACGTCCTTCCATCAGCTGTGCGTGGGTCGTTGCCTCTTCCACCTGCACCGTCGAATCCTTCTGAGTTCGCTCCAGCTCGCTGCGCCAGCCTTTTTCCCGCTCCAGAGCCGCAAGGGTTTTGCTCTTCTCAAGGTCCATTGCGGACTGTAGACTTTCGACCTGCCTCTCCTTTCTAGCCAGTAGGGTCTTGGTCACGTTTGCCTCCAGAAGCCGTCCCTCATACTCGCTCACCAGGCGCTCCATCTTATCCTCCAGCAACTTGGCGGCTTGCTTAGACTCTTCCGCGCGCAGTCGCTCAATCTTGAGGTCTCGTTTCAAGGAGTCATTGTCGCTGACGAGTTTGTTGATGACACGCCCCGTCTTTCCCAGCCCTGCTTTTCCGACTGTCGAGTCCCACTGTCCGTCCTGCTGGTCCCCGCCCTCTGATGTAAAGGAGGCGTCGTGTGAGGGAGAAGGTTCGACCACTCGGACGCTCCCCAAAGAGTTCCCCCATTTCGAAGGCGTCTCGACGTGGTTTTCTGTAGCTGTTCTTGCATTTTGGGGGGACGTCCCGTTGTGTCCCTCTCCCATCGTGGAGGTATTGCTAGTGCCGTTGCTCTGCACCGTTTTACTGCTCTCTTGGTTCGCTGAGCTCGAGTCCTGGAGTCCGACGCTGGGGACGCTTCGGATCGTTGCGGACCGTTGTAACGGGTCTTTTGGAAGGCCGTTGCCCGCGCCTTTCATGCTATTGACGGAGCCAGTCGTGGCGGGCGAGAGTGTTCTCACCGCCTGCTCATCGGAGGTGCTTTTGTCGCTGGCGGGAGGTTTTGACTCTGATTCTGAGGACGAGGAAGAGGAGTTAGCAACGGCTGGGAGACTAAGGCTAGTACATGCGATAGGTGGACATGACGGGATCTAATGGTGGAGACTGGTAAATCTAGAACAGTTGCAAAAGGGATCTCACTCTGGGCTGTGTCCTGGTGGATTTGGAAAGATCTCCTAAAGAAGCGGTTCCGGGGCATCTCGCTGCACGGTCAAGCCCAATATTGACTTCGGGACGGGGCTGAGGAGAAAAACAAAGCAAAGAAAAGCAATGACGGCTTGGACAAGAGACACGAATTGCAGATCCACGACGGATTGACAGGCTCAACTGCTTCACCAGAATATTATAATTAGCACCGTCCGCAGTACTAATAGCGGCCAGCGGCGTGCTAGGACCCCTGTCGAGGTCGACCACAGCAGGCACATGCTCCACCGCGACCTGCTAATGGTACATCTCCAGCCAGGCGTTGGGGGAGGGTACTTACTGCTACCTGATATTGGACCGACCAGCCCAATACTATCACGCTGAGTGGTAGATATGGGATATGTTGTAATTTTCCGGAAGTAGGTGAGAAAACAAGCACCGATGCCTGTTCTTATTATGAGGGGTGGCCTGTCCGCCGCAATGCTGTGCTCCTTTGTTTTGCTTTGCTTTGTCGACCGCGAAACTCTAGCGCGCATCAATTGGAGACGAGTACGGATAGACCTGGAATCAGTCCTGGGATAGAGTTGGAACGGCGCTTAACGTCAGGGCTGGTGGCGGATGATGATCCTCAACACCTCCATACTTGAGCCAAGCAGGCACGTCTACTATTTATGCGTCGCGTAATACCGCAGGTCGGCAGATTGCCAGAGTGTCGTTCCATCAGCACGTTGCGCTGCACGTACCGACAGCTCCCTCCCTGTACCTATCAAGGAGGGTCAATCTGGCTGCATGATGACACCCCTCAAAACAAGCCAAGCTTGGTCAGATCATGACCGGGGACCCTTCCTACTTCACTTTGCTTAATGGCCAGGCAACGAGCAATTCCCTCCCTTGAATACCCCGGTCTTCAGCTAAACATTTCACTCCGTATTGAACCCCAAGATAAGATCAAAAGCAGTCTGATTCCAACGGTATACGACATGTAGATCTCTTCGATTCACCCGATGCGATGCAAGAAAGACATTCATTTCCTAGCACGAATCCAAAACCAAGACCTTCAACCGACCGCCAATCATCTCTGTTACCGCCGCCTGTCTCGTATGAGTGTCTCAGTATTAACCACCGCCACCTGTCTCATTTATGTGCCACTACGCGGGTATTCTGCTTTATTCCTTGGATCTCAAACTGCCACATAAAAAGAGAACCAATCTTGAGCTTCCACTTTCTTCGAACCACATCCAACCGTTCTCACTTATGCTTTTATGTTCCGTTTACAAGCCCCAAATGTGAATGTATAGCGAACAAATGAAAATACTCTCATTTGAGCCAGACCAAACGCCTACCGATGCCCTGTTTACCAAGTAAAAGAATTGTACACCAAATCGTCTCATACAGCCTTGAAGAAGAAGCATCGCCAATTGAGTCGTTCTTCAAGTTCAAGTATAAAAGTTAAATGTCTTGCATTGGAATAATTTGCCCCCTCGATGCCGATTGGGAGTATTCGTGTGTTTTTAGGTCGCGATTGGGGCCCCGGTGCTCTGTACTGCACCGTCGCCTTCTAACTGGCGAGTTGCTTCTTCTATGAAGCCTGGCCGGTATTTTGAAAGATATTTCGCAGCCATTGGCCTTGCATCCTCATCTAGGGGGCTCAAAGTTAGTACAGATTGATTCTCAATGCACCAAAGAGGGAGAGTCGGCTCTCTACTTACAATCAGACCAGATGCCCTGGACTGTGTCAAGCGCAATTTCCTTGACGGGCGGCCTCATCATGACAAGATACAGCAAACTTGTGAGGGCTAGCTGAACGACGCTGGGGTCACGGCACATGATTTTCACACGTGACAGGATCGCTCTGTTGAGCTCCGGGAGTTCGCTGAGGAATCGGGTGATAACTTTGTCTTGGGGGTGAATATATGGGAGAAAGCCATCGATGAGCCGCAGGGCGCATTTCTCGTAGTGCATAGGGAAATTGTCGCCGGCCTTCGCCAGCATCTTATCATTGTACCATTCTTCACACAGCCACGTCACAGCAACGTCGATATGTTTGCGAAAGTCTTCCATGATGTAGCCATAGAGCACGTCTCGGATGTTGGCACCGAGAGACTGTGTCCGCGTGGTTTCATCTTCGCCCTTGACCGTCGTCTCCTCGATTCCGGCTGAAGATCGAGTTGCAAGTCGTATCAACGTCGTCACCCAGGGCTCCTTCACACCAGAGCTCGCCGCTAGTCGGGTGAAGCCGGCCTTGATCTTTCTTGCCGAGAGCTCATCTGTAGATTTCACTAATTCCAAGACCCTCGATACGGTCTCATTTCCAGCGCTCAATGCCATGTCGGTAGTGAGAGCTTGCGGCTGTGGAAGATGGAAAGATTTCAGTCCAAGGGCGGCATCCATTGTCGCCAACTCGTTTGAAGGGGGCGGCGAGCTATCGAGTTTGTTGAGAATTTGCTCGGTGTCCTCTGCCTGAAAAAAGTCTGGCTCATAATCATCGTCGTCATCATCAACGCCCAAAGGTGCAGTGTTGGGATTCAATTCTGGCACCGGAGCACTTGCAAGAATATCAAGCCTGCTACGCACGGCGCTGGTGGCTTTGATCAGAAGCTGAGGCTCTATCCTTGCGAGGGTTGTGACAGCTAGTTTCGTGATGAGATCTGGAGGAACTTGGGAAATATCGAATGTTTTCAGGCCCAAAGTTTCCGTCAATGAAAATACGTCAGCTAAGCTATGAGGCCCAGGGCCAAGCGGCGGTATTACAACTTCTGGTACCACCCGTTGCCGCTTGGCGTCAAGCCCATCGTGTTGTTGATTTTCGAGGGCTCTCTTTCTCCCAGTCTCGTCAAGCGCCTCGACAACTGCCCTCATCGTACGCTCAACATGCTGCTGTATCCTGGGAACTATGGGGTTGTGAGGATCTCTCTTGGCCAGATGGATCAATAAGAGCCTGGTCGTTTTTTCCGTAGATCTGACTGCCACCTTCATCTTGGGCGTTATAGGTGACCGTACCAGTCTTAATGGGTCAAAATTAAGCAAAGCATTGATGATTCTGTTTGCGGTTGGAGGGCGAGTTCGCACAAGGATAGATAGGCAGTTCAGTGTCGCGTCAATAATCAAAGCATCGCTAGAGATGGTTAGCATAAGCGCGCATTTGGATCACGTTGCCATTTCGGAAATAGATACCTGCTCTCATGAAGAACGCTCAACATGCGATCCAATAAACCCATTCCTTCGGCTTCAAGGTGTCCTGGGTCCAGGGACTGGTGATTTGGGGGCACCTTATCCAGGGAAACATCCAGCGCACCGCCGTACTATTTACAGTATGTTAGCATATGTTCTACGTCTCCAGAGTGGTAATAAGGGGGGCGGGTGGCTCGTACTCTTGACTCGGCACCATTTGATGGAGTCTGTGCTAGAATCACGCGCTGGGCGAATTTTATGCAGCATATCTTTACTGAAGGAGTGGCCTGGTCCCAGGTTCTGAGTATTCTCTGCTTTATACCCACCATCCTTTCCCAGGTAACAGTATCATAGCCATTGTTGATTCTAAAGGCAGAGAAAACCGCATCGTTGTGGTTAGCCTCCATCAGCTCACTTCTTATTATGGTGTTACTTACATCCAGCGCATCGCCAGTGGGTAGATGCTGGCTGCAGTCTGGATCACACTGCGTAGGACCTGTTCATCTTCTGCCTCGTTCTCTACCAGCGACTCCAGGGTCGCCAGCACGAACGGCTGCATCGTTTCCTTCTCCCCATTAGGCAGCGCCGGCGTCGCGAACGCCTCGGCTAAGAATTCTGCCCCCCATCGTCGTAGCTCAATGGCCGAAGTAGGACCAACTATCGGAAGAATGCTTTTCACGACGCTGGGGTAGTATTTGACATCACCGAGAACAAGGACTCGTGCGTCGTTCAGCTGGCGAATCTGATCTGGCAAGGAGAGGCCGTCCGACGCCATGGCGATATCGTGGGCGCAATTGCCCTGAAGCAAAGAAAGAAACTGTTTACGAGGTCGGCGATTCTATTGGGTTCGAAACCAAGTGCGTCGCTGGTCGCTTTGGGAGATGGTTGTGCGGCTTCTCGAGGCACGCGCGCAAGTGAGCGAAGCTGCCAATTAGCTTTTGGGCCGTATCTTCATGCTCTACATTCGTGGGATCGCGCAAGTCGGTTGTCGTGATCGTCAGGTAATCCAATCCGTGAGAGATGGTTGGGACTAAGTCGCGTGATAAGGTGGCTAGAATTTCTTTTGGTCGCGTTCTCTTTATGCGTGTGTTGAGACAATGAGAGTGAGAGCTTCAAAAGGCTTCGCCTAGCGTTTGACGCGGGTCAAACAAGCTGCCAACTTTCTAAGGCAAATAATGCACAGGCTGCCACAAGTGCAGGGCAGTCGAGGATAGGAGGACAAATTTAGGCGCGCAGATCCACTATCCAACAGGGCGTGCCAGCTCAGAACAGCAATGCAGGAGAGCCCAACCAAATGATCCGTAGCGTCTTATCTTGGGTAATTGAGAGTGCGCGTTCAATTAGACGATTGAAATTTATTGATACATAAACAAAGTATCATTCTGGAACAAATATCTTTCTTTGTACGTATCTGGATTAATATAGTACTGAGGCTCTATTTTGTCAGGGGTCTTATACGTCACTTTGCTTTCCCGGCAATTACCCGGCTCTACGACCGTACCGAGATTGTGAAGTGGTTCGATGTGATAGGTCCGACCTCAGAATTCCCGACATCACTGGGGTTCCAGTCAACCATTTTCTGGATCAACGACACATACGGATTGCTCAATCCTCAAAACTACACAATGGCCGCGTACGACCCATACACCGTTTGCCACTCCTCGTTCTCCCCAGGCTCAGGCTGACGATTTCAAACAGAAACCCTCACGGAACTTACTACGATCGCCAGTATCGCCAGGGCCCCTCCCTCCTCCGTGCCCGAAAGCCATACTTAGCAAAGAATGCCGCCACTGGTATTGGATTAACAATGATCGTTGCAGGGATCTGTATGTTTGGGAGAGAGATGCGAAGTGGTCTGATTTGCTGCCTTATGCTAACATAACTGCAGATGCCTACACCTTGCGCCAGGTCGGCCAGGACGATTTCGAAGATGTCAAGGTCCCCGATGTACCCCGAGCGCCATCCGGCTCAAAATAAACAACTGACTCGTACATCTATTATGATGGAGGAAAAAAATAAGAAAAAGAAATTATGTAGTGCCCTGAGAATCTCATTGTTCGGTTCGATTCAGAAGGATGATACCGACAGCTCTTGAGCCAAACCCCGTTTCTGAACGAAGAAACACCAGTGTACAATAGCCAACTCCGTCTTGGTCCATAAACATCTAAACCCTGTTCTCATGTATGAAAGTAATGACGTCCAAAATTCTTTATCTGCCCAACACCCAACCTCAAAACAATTCCGTGCGATGCAAATACCAATCCCTGCCTCGATTAGTGAGAAGGGAAATAAAACAATGTGTTGCAAATCTTGAATGCCTTCTGGGTATCTTAATTTAAAGCAGATGCAGCCTTCCTCCTCTCAAACAATTCCCTCCCCCGAAGATTAAGTCACATCCAAAACGGTGAACGAACTGGAAACAGACCTTCCTATGCGGCGGCTGTCTTCGAGGTTCGCGCCAAGCTTGGCATGTTGCTTGCCTTCTTAGATGGGCCACCGGGTTTCAAGGATGCCCGAGTGACTTCTGGTGATACCGAGAGAGCTGGAATCCTTTGGGTTGACAGTGGCGTTTCAACTTCGACTGGCGGCATCTGAGCGCTTGGAAGAGGCTGTGCTCTTCCAGCTAGTAGAGCCTGCTCTGCCCTACCATCCATCTGTGTGGATGTTGGTGGTAATAGTGTCTTATGAGAAGAATGGTTGGGATTCGCCCATGGTGTGTCTTTTAGGAACTGCTCTCCAGCTGGGCCGAGGCGATTGAATGTTGACGCTTGGTACTCCTCCCTCGGTGGCTGGAAAGGCTGCTTTTGTCTTCCACGTTGGCCCTGTCGGAACCCAGAATGATTAGCTCACTGTAGCTAAGATTCAACACCACCGACAGGACGAGGAAGACGACTTACATCCATCGCGGCTAAATCGTGAGCCAATTCCGATTCTGATGCTCCTTTAATCTCAGGGCCTGCGGGGAAACCTTCATATTTGGCAATCCCTGCTAAAGTGGCAACTTCCTTGTTATAGGCAACTGCGTTCTTTACGCGTTGCGCTGGGTCTTTGGGGAACACAATGCTGCACTCTGGCAAGCTATGGGCGCTTCGTCTCGTGGTTTGCACATCATACCAATCTTTATTCAAGGATTCAAGGGTTCGCTCTCGAGTCTCACGGATGCTCTGGAAGAACTGACTCCAGGCTTGAGATCGAATAGCCACAGATCGTCTTTCGTGTGCTCTCATTCGAAGCTCATGCTCTTTGTTGATTTCTTCCAACTTTCGATTCAGTCGATCGTCGAGGCAGCGCTTCATGTTGAGATATTCAGGATGTGTTGGTTCATCCGCGAGGAGTGATTGCTCCTCTTCTTCAAGTCGTTGTAGGCGGTCTTTGTAAAGCCTGCTAGAGGTCAGACAACATAAGCATAGAAATGAATAGGCTCAACTCACCTGTCTCTAAATACACCGAACATGTCTTCTATGCGAGTCCAATCCTTAAACGCTGCCTGCTTTCGTTCCACTAAGATCCAAAGGTCAGTCTTGACTGTGAGAGTGGCGCTAGAAGCCAAGCGAACTCACATTCTTCAGCATTCTTTGCTGCAATATCGGTTTCCTCATCAGCTTCGGCCTCGTTAACTTCATCGTGATGCGCGGGCTCATCTTCGGTGCCATCGTGGCCCTCAATGGTGGCCACTGTGTCGCTGTCGTCGACGATGGGAGCTTTCTGTTTGACACCGTTCCGTTTGGACTTCTTCTTTCCGCGCGTTTCGCGTTCTTGGTTTGGTTCCTCGTGACTAGAATCAAGCTTTTCGGGAGAAACCGCCTCCTCGTCGCCCACTGACTGGGCTCCGCTCGAGATGTTGTTTAAGGGTGTGCCCTCATCGCCAAGTGCGCCCAGGTCTTGATTTTCCTCATGCGGAACAGCTCCAACAGAGCCTGTCCTCTTCCTCGTAGGTTGTTCTGAGTCTGGTGTGTCGGCTGCAGGCGAGCGTTTTCGTTTTCGTTCTTTCGAGGCTTGATGCGCCTCAGTGTCGGCATCTGCATTCTCCAACGGAGGCGGCTTGCTGGGTGATTCAATGTCATCACTATGACCTGAAATACTCATAGCTACATTTCCAGGAAGTGACTCGTTATCGGCTTGATCGTCATCTTCGTCGATCAGTGCTGCCCTACGCAGCTTACTAGGTGTGCGTTCGAGCATCTGGTCATCATTGAAATTATCCACTGTCACGTCACGCAGTCGCTGGTGCCGCGGCGTATCATAGAGCCTCTCGGTTTCAGCCTCTGTGTCATTCGCGTCGCTGTGAGCTACCGACCGAGCGTCTGAGAGAGCACTGTCGGAGTCTGAAGCAGCGCGATTTGGGTCGTGGGGATCGTCGATACTTTGATTCGAAATGTCGTCATCCTGATGATGCCCAATATGTATGTCTAAATCCTCGTCGTTTGTGTCTTTATCATCGACGTCGCTCAAAGGGCTCGAAATGTTGCTATCCTCTGGGTCTGCAGCACCATTGCTGGACCGAGCCAGGGTAGGCAGCAGTGCAGCGGTCGCTGCCATCGCACTGGAGCTTAAGGTGCTGTCGACCAGTATGTGCTATTTCGATCGACTGAAAAAGCGACGGTCGCAGCTGTGAAGATGGGGGGGAGAGCAATCGTCGAGGGGGCCCGCCTGGATTGACCCTACCAATTTGGACTGCCAGGACAGCAAGGTTGGTAACTAGACAATCGTGGAGTGAAATTGAAAAATAAAAAAGTCGAGGACTATAAGGTTAAATTAACTGCTTCAGTGGCCGAACGCCCAACGCAGGAGCAGTCAGATTGGCGGCGGAGTGGTTTTGGAGAGAAGAGAGGCGGAAACGACAGTCAGGTGGGAAAGGCGATCCAGGACCGCAGAAAGGGAAGCCGATGCACGCTGCTTTGCTACCCACCAGGAAGCGGGCTGGGTGACTTGTAAAGCGGTGACTGCCGGCAGAAAGCTCCAGATTTGGGGGGGTGCGCGCATCGGCCAGCCGCGGCACCAATGCGGATGGGCGAATGACGCACTCCCAGACCCTGTTCGTGAGGTACCCTCTTTGCTATCGCGTTATCAGTGATCGCTGACCGCCTATTTTTTTTTAGGCAATTCTGCCAAACAGCATTTTTGATACAACGATTGAAAAAAAAGTTGCTTCCATCCACAAGGTACAACCATCAGAACCTGAGCGACTATAAAATCACATCCTCATAATGGCAAAAAAGTTCGTGAGAAATTCTGAGATTCAATACATTCCCTCAAAACGATTTACTGATTTTTTCTATTCCATAGAAACAAGCAAGTATCCTTAACTGCTTCATCAAGTGCGATAGACCCCACACTCAATGCACTGTTTTCTGCCAGTGTAAGTGATTCCTCGATATGGAACCGATCGCGACAATGATCTGACAGATTCAATCAATCTAGTCTGGACCTGTGAAAGCTCCTCCAAAGTCACGCTATAGCAGCCTCTCGGAAAAGAAGGCTGAGGTTTCAGCACAAAAACAAGCACAGGATGATGGCTCTGGTGATGAGGCCGAAAGTCCAATTGAGGGAGATGAAGACGAAGTGCTTTCTGAAGCTAGCCAGGAACTAGACTATGACGATGAGGACGGTGATGAAGAGCAGGAGGATGAGGATGAGGATGAGGATGAGGACGAGGACGATGATGAGGACGAGGACGATGATGAGGACGAGGACGATGATGAGGGAGTTCCCTTGGAAAAGGATCACGCCTCTGATGAGCCAAAAGAAGTCACCAGCGAGGACGTTGAGATGACAGTTGCATCCCCAGAATCAGCCAAGCCAAAGAGGGATCGCAAGCGGAAAAGGAAAGATGATAATGGAGAATTGGAGGACCGCTACCTCAGCAAACTTGCAGACGATGCTACGGAAACACCTGTGGGCAAGCGCCAGAAGGGCCAATCGGCTACTGGCGATGATAACGAGGATGGCGACGACGAAGTTCCACAACACGAATCCCTGACCAAGGATGCGAAAACTTCAGAGCTGGAAAAGGCCGATCGAACCGTTTTCTTAGCCAATGTCTCCTCGGAGGCGGTGGGGTCAAAAGCTGCCAAGAAAACATTGATTAACCACCTTAGCTCAGTCCTAGAAGGAGATGACAAGGTCGAATCCATCCGCTTCCGATCTGTCGCCTTTTCTGTTGGAGCGATGCCCAAAAGAGCTGCTTACATTACCAAGCAATTGATGGACGCGACAACAAAGTCGGCCAATGCGTATGCTGTTTACTCTTCGGCTGCAGGTGCCAGGAAAGCAGTCAGCACACTGAATGGAACGGAGGTTCTAGGACGACACATCAGGGTGGATAGTGTTGCTCACCCAAGCCCCACAGACCACAGACGATGCGTCTTTGTGGGGAATCTGGGGTTTGTGGATGACGAGTCAATTCTCCAAAAGACTGAGGAGGGTGAGACGGTACAGAAGAAGCGAAACAAGACTCCTGCCGACGTTGAGGAAGGTCTGTGGCGAACGTTCGGCACCCAGGGCAAGGTCGAGAATGTCCGTGTGGTACGAGATCCCAAGACCAGGGTAGGCAAAGGCTTTGCCTACGTGCAGTTCTACGTAAGTTCTACCCGGTGTGAACGCTAAGCCCCGAAGCCCCCTTTTCTAACGGACCTGTAGGATGGAAATGCTGTCGAGTCGGCGTTACTTCTTGACGGGAAGAAGTTCCCTCCCATGCTCCCGCGCGCTCTTCGTGTAACAAGAGCCAAGGATCCGCGCAAGACTGCTCAGGCACAGAAGCGACTCGCTGAGTCTGGCAAGGGAGCCAATGGCGACGTCAAGAACACAAAGTACAGGAAGAAACTTACGCCTGAGGAGCTCTCAATGGGCGGCCGTGCGGCCAAGCTTCTCGGCCGATCTGGAGCTGCTGCTGAACGGAGGAAGGCACGAGTCACAGATAACAAGGATAATGATGTTCCCTCAACTGTGCTGAAAACTCCTGAAGAGATCGTCTTCGAAGGTACAAGGGCTTCAGTGAGGACCGGTGCGGCTAAGGGAAAAAGACTTTCCAAAAAACTGAGGGGCAAGAAGGGAAGCCAACCTACAGGACGGGGTGCTCGCAGAGCTGCTGAGTGGAAGAAGAAGCAAAGAGAGACCGCAGCTTAGCTGAAAACTATCGCCTCGGCACTGTAAAAGTACATATGACACTGAGTATATATAGTAATCATGCATCATCATCACTACAACCCTCGAAAATTACGTGTTCAAGGAACGAGTTAATCCGCTTGAAGCTCAATCATGAGTTACTACTAGGGAATCATGCATCCAGCCAACCGATCATAGTATAAAACGGATATCAACATTTATATGTGCCTGCTTGCTTTTGAAGGAGATAATCAACTCGGTGTGAACAGAAAAAAAAAGATAGTTGCATATATTAGACTCGATTCCAAGAGGACATTCCTATCAGAAGGGCACCTTGAACCAAACACTCCATAGCGACCCTACAGCCCCTACCAAGGTTGTTTCCAATCCGAAAACTCAAGAAAAGCAGGCGCATAAGAACAATTTCTTTGTGGCATCTCTTTGTCATGCAGTTTAGTATCTTGCGATACCCCTTCTACCAGAGATTGGCCATAGCAAAAGCGAAGTTCAAATAAATCGACAGACTGGCATCGGCGAACGGGGCTGGCGTGGGCGTTTAGTATTCAGCGTCTCCCTCTTCAGGCTCGAAACTGTCGGCGGCGACCTCCTCGTAATCCTTCTCGAGGGCAGCAAGATCCTCACGGGCCTCGGTGAATTCACCTTCCTCCATACCCTCACCCACATACCAGTGGACGAAAGCGCGCTTGCTGTGCATGAGATCGAACTTGTAGTCAAGGCGAGACCAAGCCTCAGCAATGGCAGTGGTGTTGGACAGCATAGAAACAGAGCGCTCAACGGAGGCAAGACCACCATCCTCAGCAGGGGCAGGGACAGCAACAGGCTTCTGGTAGTTGATACCCAGCTTGAATCCAGTAGGGCACCACTCGACCAGGTTGAAAGAAGACTTGGCCTTGAGGGCAGCGATGGCGACGGAGCAGTCACGCGGAACAACATCACCACGGTACAGCAGAGCAACGGCCATGTACTTTCCGTTGCGAGGGTCGCAAACAACCATCTGGTTGTTAGGCTCGAAGCCTAGCGGTGGATGTCAGCGGGTTTCGTGGAGAGGTGTCAACTCAAGGGTATGAGGCACGGAATAACTTACACTGGAAGGTAAGGTCATGAACCTTGAAGCTCTCGTGCTTGCTCTTGGCGGAGGAAATGACGGGGGCGTAGCTGATGAGAGGGTAGTGAATACGAGGGTAAGGGACCAAGTTGGTCTGGAACTCGTTCAAGTCGACATTGAGAGCACCATCGAATCGCAGGGATGAGGTGATGGAGCTGACAACCTGGGCAATCAAGCGGTTAAGATGCTCGTATGAAGGACGAGGAATATCGAGGTTGCGACGGCAAATGTCGTAAACAGCTTCGTTGTCGACGAGGAAAGTGCAGTCAGAGTTCTCAATGGTGCTGTGGGTTGACAGAACGGCATTGTAAGGCTCAACAACGGCAGTGGAAACGCGGGGGGCAGGGTAGACGGCGAACTCGAGCTTGGTCTTCTTTCCGTACTCGGTGGAAAGGCGTTCGAGCAGAAGAGCGCCGAAACCAGAGCCAGTGCCACCACCAAAGGAGTGGAAAATGAGGAAGCCCTGGAGGGAGTGGCAGTTGTCTGCATAAATTGACCCACATTAGACGCCAGTGGTTGATGCTTAGGATCCGGCTTGAAACTCACCAGCGACGCGGCGAATGCGGTCAATAACATTGTCGACCATTTCCTTTCCAATCGTGTAGTGGCCACGAGCGTAGTTGTTGGCAGCATCTTCCTTACCGCTGATCAACATCTCAGGGTGGAAGAGCTGGCGGTAGTTACCGGTTCGGATTTCATCGATAGGCGAAGGATCAAGATCGATGAACAGCGATCGAGGAACGTGCTTGCCACCGCTCGTCTCAGTAAAAAAGGTCTCGAACGAGCCTTGGTCACCGAGATCCTTAGCATTGGGGTCGGGGCGACCATCGGGGCCGAGGCCGTGCTCCAGGAGGTAGCTAGAAGATACCCAGAGTTAGCCATGAATGCCCCGCGAGAAGGGACTGATAGGCACATTAATGAAAGTAATAACAACATACAGCTCCCAGGCAGAGTTACCAAGCTGAGTACCAGCCTGGCCAATGTGCAGGTGAAGAATCTGAGAAAAGGGCCGTCAGTATATGTGATATGGGTACGATCTGGTGGTGAGGCCCGCCGCGATAGTCTTAGGGGGCGAGACATATCGAGCAACTCAACAGCCGAGGCTCGTTTGTTCCCCAAAAGTCAGCGGGGATGTCTCAAATTCTCACCTCGCCCTTCATGATGAAGAAATTTCCTCGAAACCTGTCGAGAATGAAACCGGATTGGGAGGTGGAAGCGAAAACGGAGTGTAGAAGAAAGGTATGCTACGCGCAGAGCGCAAGGTGAGGAGGAGAAAGCTCCCAGATGCTTTTCTGGCGGATGGATGGTGGGCACAGCGGGGTCGACCTGGGTGGCGTTGCCGTAGAGTCTACTTCATTTTAGGCCTACTGGAAGGGCGAAGCTGGGTATCAGATACCCCTCACCGCTAATTATCTAACGCCCACTGGCTCCCCCTAGACTTTGGGGAGGTTGTCAAACGCAGGGGTGGACTCCACTATCATGGCCACCCCTGAGCCCACCGCAGGCGACTGCCAGGCACATTCAGCAGCTGGCATCGTTTTGGGAAAGGCACTCATGCTTCAGCTACCAGGAAAGGGACAGAAAAAGAAAAGACATCCTTGAACGGGCGGGCTCGCTAGTCCTGGATGGACAACTACAATGCTCAGCTTGGTTATCTCTTTTTGTGCCAGCACAAGTGGCGCCATGGAGGGACAACACATTGGGTTGTTGGCGTCGCTTCCTGCACCCTTCCCTCGCCGGACTCATGCACATTGCTTTGCCTATGTATGCAGTAGGTACTATTAATACATCGCCGTCTTTCATCCAAACTAAGAATCATACTCGCGAATGCAATCATTGTGCGATTATGTTCACGGTACTGTGAAATTGAGAGCGGCTGGGGATGGTCTACTTTGTGCTTGGCCCGTTAATTTGGACCAAACAAGACTTCAAGCACATATGTTGAAATGGGTCATCGCAACCGAAGGGGCTAAAGTCCGAGATACCTACCTACTATGCAATTGTTTTCGAAAAGAATACGTGATCTCGATGCTGTCGTCAAATGGGGAGATGGACCAATAACCAAGGTCGGCAAGCATGGCATGCTACCTTTATCCTTGACCATGTACGATCCAATGGTTCACACTAAAAATGAGATTAATATGGGAGCTAGGCCTAGGAGCACTCTTCTCTCCGTTGCTGGGTACGTCAGCGGCACTTCACTGAGAAGTGGAACATTGAGAACCGAAGTCGGGGCTCTCCTCTCGCTGCTCGACGAAAGAACATCATATTGAGCATTGCGGCTCATTAATTCTAGTAAGAATAGCCGTGCGGAATCTCTTAAGGGCAGTGCGGCAAGGGTCTCATTTGATAAGCATGGAGGTTTTGCTCCAGTGAACTTTGAGAGCACCAATTGCTCATATTCGCGGCTCATAAAAGTAAGCAACGAAGAGTGTATATCAGCCCTATTCGCTTCTTGTCCTACTCGCACTGCAAGATGAGCGAGTATCCAGATATGGTCTAAGAAATAGCAACACAAAAAGCCAGTATGTATGTGTAGTATCTAATCTCTGCTGAAGAATTACTCTGCAGCGCACTGCATTTATTATTTGGCGAACTTTGAAGAAGCCAATGAGCTGATAAGATAAGAAGGTTAGATGGAGTTCGAGTGCCTTATGTAATCGTCCACCCCAGAGTTGGCCTCGCCCACAACGCACACAAATTGGTCAGGTGACATGAGGGGTGAAGGGCACAGAAACCCTACGTATGGGAAAATTTGGCCCAATTCGTCAACCAGCCCCAAGCGAGTGCAATCGCCATACAAGTAACGACTCCATCACGGCCACACGATCGCTCCTGATACCCTGCGAATCGGTAGCGACTCAATAATCAATCAACACCGCGATCATGGCTGACGAATACGTACGTCCATCTCTCTCTCCCTCTCTCTCATTCCTGCACTCCCGACGTGCTGCCGTCCCTCCCTTTCCCAGCGACAAAGACGACAAATATGATTCCATCCATTGGCCGAGGAAACAATTTTGACTGACTCTCTACTTGTCTAGAACGCCGAGGAGGCCGCTGAGCTCAAGAAGAGAAGAGCCTTCCGCAAGTTTACCTTCCGAGGAATCGAACTTGACAAGTACGTTTTTGACCAGAAACAAGCCGAATTCATTTGCCTTTCCGCGCACATCCCACGAAAGAACAGAACCCTCCCCCAATCGATTCGACTTCAATGGCCACCACAAACACGCACACAAAAGAGAAAAGGGGCAAAAGAAGACTAACATTTGTGTCCCCTTTCTAGCCTCCTCGACCTCAGCTCTGACCAGCTCCGTGATGTCGTTCACGCCCGCGCCCGCCGCAGGATCAACCGCGGCCTGAAGCGCCGCCCCATGGGCCTCATCAAGAAGCTCCGCAAGGCCAAGCAGGAGGCCAAGCCCAACGAGAAGCCCGACCCCGTCAAGACCCATCTCCGTGACATGATTGTCGTCCCCGAGATGATTGGCAGCGTCATCAGCATCTACTCCGGCAAGGAGTTCAACCAGGTGGAGATCAAGCCTGAGATGGTTGGCCACTACCTGGCTGAATTCTCTATCTCATAGTACGTCACTTCCCTTATTTTTCGACGAGGTATTTTTCTGGTGGTTGAGCGTTGATTTCTGACAATCTCTGCAGCAAGCCCGTCAAGCACGGCCGACCTGGTATTGGTGCCACGCACTCTTCTCGATTCATTCCTCTCAAGTAAGAAGGTTGCGGTCTTTGGGGGCTGGTTTCTGCATTCATGGACATTTACGGGCGAAAAGGACTGGTTTTGGTAGTTGGGCATGTCAAGCCGTGTTACCAAAGTTGCTGATGACAATGGGTACCATGATAGTACAAATAAAATAAGCATTGTCCGCTTTGCAAAGCAAATAACTTGAACTCCCCATCACCCAAAAATGAACTCGCTGTATATGTACATGAATAACTAATCCAGACGCTCTACAAAATATACTGGCTATGTCAGACCTCATTGTGCCGCGTTCCCACGATCTGCAGTATCATTTTCGCTCTCGAGCTCAATGTCCTTAGCATCCTGGCCAGCGCGCAACTGCTTCTTGTGGAAGAATGCCAGCATACTCAGATAACCCCTTCTAAGGCGAGCAAATATCGCGCCACTTTCACGTGGCGCTTCTGGCAAGATGGTGCTGGTGCTCCCAAATTCCTCAAGTTGCCCTGCCACAGCAGATTTGCCTTCTGGTGTTGGCACAACCGCTGCGTCATACTCTGGAGGGAAAAGCGTCGGCTCTTCCCCTCCTGTAGGCCACGCTCTCCGCGCGCTCCATCGCAAGAATCGATACCGAAGTAAGGTCCAATTTCTCCGGAATGTACCTGGTGGCTTGCATGCAGTGCAGTAGAGATTCTGTTTCCCACGGTTATAATTCACGATAACCTCCTCTCCCACTTGAACTGGTCTGGTGGTGGTGACGGAGATGGCACCTGAAAAAGAGTCCACCGTATAGTCGGCATTTGCACACTTCCCGCATGCATGGTTGAGGTAAGAACACCATTTGTAAATGTTGGCCTTCTTCGGATCCGACTTCTGGAGGTAGGCGTGCTCGCGCACGAAGCTCTTCAGCCGGCGCATGGTATAGAACCCCGGTTTCTCAGACGAGGGAAGCAACCTGAGCTTCCAAAAGAGCCTTTTCAGCCGGTTCTGCCCTTCTACGCCAATCTTCGTCCACTCGTAGTACAACGATGCATCGGTGAGAGTCGCCGCCGCACAGGACATGACTGGTCTTTCGAATATCACTCTGTGCCCTTGAGGAACATTGGCCTTGGCAAAGACGCCAAGACCTCGTATGGTCCCGGTCTCAGCAACACGGAGAATGGCCTCATTTTCCAGGCGATCCTCGACGTGCATTGTCTCAACTCTAGGGTTGTTGAAACAAGAGATCAAAACCACTTAGGTATTTTAGTGAAGGGTATTGGTTGCTCTGCTGTAAGAATGACGGCTGAGCTCGCTTATACAGTCAGCTCAAAACCACAACATTCATCCCAATTGGTCCATCATCCTTTGGAATTGGATAATCCTAAGAAGAGGCACGGATTGAGTTACTCACAAGTTGCGCTAGGGCAAAATAACTAGGTTGAGGGGATTTTGCGATGAGATTTTTAAAAACGCTGCTCGAAATCTTCTCATAGGGTTACTACACTGCCATTTTAATCACGCCAATGCGCCTGTACGTCCAGTGAAGAAGACCAACCTCTATTTAGGGGAAAAAATAACTCTTCAGAGAGTCTATGGCAGCTCTGCTGTAGGCTCGTGAGTGAATAAAAATATGCGCCAATCCGCTACTTGAGTCGTACTATCAACCGAATGGAAGATTGAAGGTGCATATCCAAGACATCGAAAATTTCCGGGGACCGCACGCGACAGTGGGTGAAAACGCGCAAGGCCTGCAAAACAATAAAATAACTCGCAGACGAACCAGAAAAATAACTCCGAGTCGTCGACAAAAAAGAGATAGGGCAAGGGGAGAGGAGGAGGCCACGGCAAACACGGCAGGTTTTCCACTATTAATTGCGTTCAGGCCGTCTCTCTGCCCCTTCCGCCTCTTTGCCAGTCGCCGGCCGGGGCAGCAACCATGAGCAGAAACCGCCTGCTAATTCCTGGTTTCTCAGTGGCTGCCTACCTATTTTCCTTGCAGGGATAGTAAGACTGAAAGTCAATAAATGAACCAAGAGGCTAAAATAAGGATCGGTGGCCAGGTTTTGGGTAACAAACACGCAATGGTCAGGTGACGATAGTGATATCTGCGCCCAACCTGGAAAGTGGCCCTCAGTAGCCGAAATGTGCCCGATGCATCGGATTCGACCAAATTATTGGTTGATCGCCCTCGTGAATCGACAGCCATGCAGGTTAGGGATATACGGTGGCATGAATGAATAGTGAAAGTATTCTTTAACAAAGGAGATAGATTCCTCTTCTTTTGAGTGAACGTCAGTCTCCTAGTAGCCAATTGGTTTAATATATACACATGCTCTATTCCTCCTTGCTCTGTGCCAATGCCAGAGCCTTTACTTTCTGTTCCTCCTCCTTCAGGTGCTCCTGCCTCATGTGTTCCACAACTTTCTCAATGTTGATAAGCTGTCCAGCTCGAATGTTCCGTGCGCCATGGGATTGGAGAGCCCTGGTGGGAAAAAATTGCAGCGTTAGTCTCTGAAAGAAGGTCATAACCGGGGGGGCTCGGTCGACATACTCGGGGTAGGCCACCTCAACATGGCGGTTTCCAGAACCACCGTACTGGAAAAGGTTTCGGTCGAAGCCAGCCTGGCGAGCGGCGGCGCTGTGAGCCTGGTTGATCTCCTCCCAGTCCTCGTTTCTGGAGGTATATTTGTTGATGAGGTTGTAGATGGCCGAGTTCTCACCCTCGCTGGGGGAAAGCGAAAAGACCAGAGCTCCAGCGAAGAAGACTCCGACGGCAGCGATGGATCCGGTCTGTTAGAATTGTGTTAGCAAGGTGATGGCTTCGTCGCGCGCTCACGAGGGTTTTAGGCGATCCGTACCCCGAAGGACTCGTTGACGGTATGCGGAGCGTGGTGACCGTGGTGGGCGTCGGAGGCGTAGTTTCGCGATACCCGAGGCAGCTGGCGAGCCATCTGGCTCACCCGTTGTCGTGCGGCAAACATTTTGGGCGGGCTGACGTCGTCAATTGGGTCGGTTCGTCAATTGAAGCTGGTGTTTCTCCATAACCGATCGCCGACCTGAGGTTGTCCTTGAGAGCAAATATTACGTAAGCCCAACCCAGCCAATCAGTGGGGTTCAATTGAACATCGGTAAATCAGGCACCATGCTCTCTCTCCAAGGATCATAAAGATGTCACTATAACACTGCTTGTTCCCCAAGCTTTTCCCCTCAACCTTGATGGCCGGATAGCGTGCGTGGCCTGGGCTAGTGTTCCTTGCTTAGCTTGACAGGCGTTACTCAACTGTTCCCACTGCTTGCTAATATGATGCCATCATTACCGTTTGACCTCGGTGATGGATAACCGCCTGTACACACCATCTCATTCTCATTAAACGGTCCATCTCGATTGCACATCACTAGGCAATCTTATTCGGTCCATACTAAGCCTTCTTCATTTTGAGCTAAACTATGGGAATCTACAACGTTGTGTCAATTCCAGGCCCTCTTGCGACTGATAGCAATGTAGCATCAGCTGGCTCATAGCGACTCATAGAGCTGCACAAGTAAGATGAGTGAGTGGATGATGCTCTTCATTCGAACCACGTCTACTCGCAACCATCCGCTCGGCCTATTCAGACCAGAGCCCTCCTTAACAAACCTTCACGCCCAATATGCCTCACCATACATACTAGATAATCACGTTACCGTAATCATCGTCCAACCGTAACAGCGGGGAAACGGCAAACTCAAAAAAGTGCCGTGCCAACGGCTTTCGTTGCTCCCACCGGCATCACGTCGGGATGACCGCGCACGCTGGCCGCATGTATTCCAACCTGGCCAACGCTCACAACTCCGCAGCGGCCGGGTCTTGTGATCTGTTTTTGCTCCCGTCCGCTGCGGTTCTAGAACGCCTCACTCACCCAATGTTACATACACGTAATCCGACGTGGCCCTCTGTCTACCAGCCAAAAGCATGCGTGGACCAACACACTCCAGCTGCGCCGAGCCACCCCGACGCTCAATATGCAAATTGGTCTCTTCTTTGATCCCTAGTGGGGGGAGGAGAAGACCCTTGGAGGGTGTGACCCCAACATGTTCTGATTGGAGGCGGCGCTCCCGTCCAAGGTTGAGGGCATACTAGTCCCAACGCTGGCCTTGGCTGGTCTTGGGTACAAAGTTTCGGTTCCTTCATCTCGATGCGTAAGTCTTGGCTCATCGCGTTCAAAGACATCTAGTGTGGCTGAGATGGGATTTTCGCAAATTTTTTGTAAGACAGTCTCATCAAAGGGATGGCTCTTGTAATTGCTTTTGTTCCGTTGGACATGGAAACCGGGATAGTGGCAAGTAATGCTAGAGCTGCTTAGGCTTTGTCTACTTGAGCCTAGTCGTAATTCTATATGTGAACAATCGACTGTACCTCCTTTTTGCCTCCCCAAACCCTCCGTCATTGGCCAGTCACCCGGATCGCTCGTTCCGTCCGTTGGGCAAACCTTACATGTAGGAGGGTGTTCTCTCACTGAGGGCGAATGTCTCAACCCAAGCGGCACTTGTGGCTTGGGCCGCATTCCCCGCCTGGCCACAGCAGCATAAGATCATATAAAGTGACACCTAGGCGCGCCTTAGATACACTTCCCTCCCCGAGGCTAGTATTGTAGACACAATGCTGCCCTTCATGTGAGAAGTGACCACTATATGCAAAAGTTTTCTCCTTCCCAGCAGTAACCAACACATCAAACAATAATTCAATATAACCTATCGCTACCAAAAGCCCAACAGCGGGCTATCAGTACCTCAGCCTTCCCTGCCTACCATGTGCCACCGTATCATCGCCGAGAGGGTGTGCGAGGATTGCGGATCGAAGATGGGTGAAACGGTCATTGGATTCGAGGCGTGTTCTCGCAGGTGCCCTACCCCAAGCTATCGCCTGAGCGCCGAGCCCTTCGAACAAGTCTGTGCCGAATGCGCAGCGTACTGGAGACACCGTGACTCTGACGCAGCTCTCACGAGTGGCTCTGAAGCAGACCACAGCATCTTTCCTAAGCCGTTTGCAAAGGAAGGCGGTACACAAAGACGCAGAAAATCAAGCACCAATTGGATTGAGGCGGCAGAAGGGTAACAACCGGGGAGGAGGTGAATACCAGAACCGACCTCGAACAAAGCCCGGTGTGTTTGAGGGGGGGTTCAAATGGGGGATAACACAAGTAGGATGGGAACACACAGAAGAATGAATTGGGGCTGAAAGGAAGAACACGATGATCAGCATACTTATTCCCTTGTGACGGAAGGAGATTGTCTTTTGATGCATAGCGTCTGCGGTGTTGGAAGCTCATACGTATAAACATATATATACCCGGCCCTGGGGTAACTAGCGGCCAGCTCAACCTGAAAGTACTTGGCCTGTGACTCTTTTGAAGCCTTTTGTGAGCTTGAGTGTACCTTACTGGTGAACCATGTGTGGTACTGGAGACCTTTGACCGGTTTTTTGTTACACTACATCCCGCAAGCCTTGTCCGAGATATGACTTGGGAACGAGCGCACCAATTGACCGCAAAGGCGCTCAGGATTTGCTTATTTGTTGCTGTGATTTGAAAATGGAGGTGATACGGGCTATGCGGCTTTCTGGTTCAGCTGCCTTGCGCACATTGTTTCGCAGTCGAGATTCTTGGTTCGCTCTGAGTGGTCTTTGCTGGCCGGGCATAAGAATGTTTCAAGCACGGCTTCAAAAATCGAGACTTGCCCACCACAGGTTCTTCGTATTCCGCTCCGGTGACCTCGCTTCAACGGTATTAAAATCATTAGATTATCTTCTACAGGTCAGTCAAGTTTGCAAACAGTCCCTGAGGTGAAAACAAAAACGTCGGCAGCCCAGGGAGCAACCATCAACCACCGCTCCCGACCCAACGAACTGCAATAAGAAGACTTGTGTTTTTTGTTAAGTGTGTTATTTGCGGCGAACCGAATCGTCATACCTTTTTGGTTATAAACCCAGATTGCATGCTACTCAGCCCAAAAGTAGTCAATGGCTCTCCAACATGCCTTCTTATCCTGGGACAACTTCGACCACGCACGACTTACTTCTCAGTGGGCATTTTTAGTTCTTGACACGAATACTCCGATTGGTTATATGCTTGATGAGTTCGTCGACGCTCTTGGCTGGCACAAGACAAAATCCGATCTGCACACCGAAGGCAATCCCAATTTCGAAGTGGACACGAAATCGAAGACCATCCGACTGAAGCCAAGTAGCCTCAATGGAGAGCTCATCATAGACAGCTGCAATAGAGCTCTAGAAGAGTTCTGTGAGATGTACCAACATCACCCCGCGTTTGCAGCCGGGCTGAAACCATGGTGTACCCAGAAGAACCAAAGCGTCAAGCATCACATGGAAATACGAGATCTTGGGTTCCATCCTGTTCTTGCCCCCGATAAGGATTTGAGGAGGCTTCAAGTTCCGTCCCCTGCGCGGGGGATTTTCGGAATCCTTACTGCTGGTGTTCATCTCAATGTATATAGTGTAAAGATAGAGGACGGGTTGGAGAAGATTGACCAGATTTGGGTCTCCCAGCGGTCAGACCAGGCTACCTTTCCTGGATGCTTTGATCAGATTGTCGCTGGAGCAATGGACCCCGAGGATAATTTTGACCCCTCAGCAGCTCTCGGACGTGAAGCTCAAGAAGAGGCTGGTTGGCAGCTAGACGTCGATTGCAAGTCTATGCACCAAAGAAACAAGGTCGGTGTGATGAGCAAGATCGGCGATGTCAAAGACAGCGGGATGGTTTACTTCTGCACCAAGAAAGATGAGGCCGCTGGCATCAAAGAAGCAGGTCACATTGAGCCGGGTATTCGTTTTTGCTATGACCTCAAGCTCATGGCCAAGGTTACTCCGAGCCCAGCGAAAGATAACAAGGCGATTGGTAGGTTTTTCTCGCGATCCGTCAACCAGGTCATCAAGTCTCTGGAGGCAAAGGAGTGGAAGTCGAGCTCTGGCCTGGTAATGATGGAATTCCTCCGCCGGCATGGCTGCATCAGCAATGAGGCATATGCGGGGAGCGAAGGAAGGCATCCCCCCTTCTCCTTACCTGAGTTTTCACATTGGAAGGTAGATCGCCAGGGTAGCTGCTGGAAGCTCCAGAGATGCTAGCATGATTGGCATGATTGAAATGCAACAGTATTGAGAGGATCTCTGGCGCCGGCGACTATATCCTTCAAATTAAGAAACCAAATAACATACCTATGCCAGGCACCCTCTGATTCGAGGAGCTGGACGAGGGTAAGGAGCGAGTGCAGCCTTCAACGAGACGCTGAGTAACTCTGCTTCCCATTCTCATCAGGGAATAACCACAAGGATATATCTCTTGAAGCCAAACCAACCTTCTCGTCCATACCAAAGCAAAAATACAAACAAAAGGCAAGTACCTTAGGGTGTCACCTGCGAATGGCAAGAACAAATGGGTCCAATGTAAGGACTAATAGTCGATGCACTAACGGGGCTCGTACAGCGTTTATTCTCCGAGCACACAAGGCGTAGGGAAACCAGACCCATGTGCCATGGTGGTACTCGTGGTACCTCGTACCTCTGCGGGAAAACATTGGTTTCCTTTCAAAGACGATGAGAATTGGGTGCACCTTCATCAGAACCGATAGCACAACAGAGAGAAAAGTAGCACTGACTCTGCGCTGCACGAGCAGAAGCCTGCACCAGGCCTGCTCACGCATGACCATTCGGCAAGAACGGCTGGACTGGATTTGAGCAGGTACGACCTAGGCCTGAGGCTTAGGCAGTGCTAGCAGTGGCATTATTGGAAGGCTTAGCCCAATTTCAATATCCAACTTCTACGTTAGATTCTGGGGTGTTTCTCATCCTCTTCGAGGTTCAGCTACCAGGCAATAATCAGTTCTATGCTGCTTCGGGCCAAGACGAATTGGGTCGCTTTGTCGCCACACTCCTTGGGCAGAGAGGACCAGCTGTGTTGTTCAGCTGCGCTTGCAAGGACCATCTACATGCACAAGGCAGATTGCTTTTGCGAGCTGTTGGCTGCTTGGAGGGTGATACAGTCAGGGTCTAATACCGACGCACACAGGCAAGCACGCCACTCTTCGCCAAAGAAGAGCAGAAATAAACGCAACGAGCGGTCGACTGCTAATAAGGTGTGTGAACATAGCTTGCTTTAGGTTCGTTGTTGGGCTGCGCTATCTGATAGTAACGCCTGCTAACTTATCGCGTCGGCTCAGCGAAGTGCTGATTGAAGCATCTTGGCATGGGCCATGCGGCACGTTTTGCAGCCCGGCATCAGTCTTGGCGACCCGCCAGGCAGACTGCGGGCTTCCTGGTTTCATTTCGCGGGCGATCGCCAGCGAAGACGAATTTCCCAGTTAGAGCCCTGACTCGGCAGGATTTCTGGCGATACAATGTAACGCAACGCAGATCGACTTGCCAGGCAACCCTGTCGCACGCAGCACGGACACAATACGGGATACGCATGGTCCTCCTCATCGCGAGCCACGACAACCGCACTATCTACTGACAAATAGCGCGTCTCTCGCTGACAGAAACATTGTCTCATCTGAACGGCCCAAGCCCAGAGGCATGGCGGCGCCTACAACGTTCCTGTTAGAGTTTCGCGACACGCGGGAGAGTCGGGTCGGGAGGTTGTTAATCAAGGGGATGTGAATAGCCTCTTGTTAGCGGCCGACATCCCACAGCCAACCAGGTCTATGCATAGGTACTTCTCCCCACAACAATGCTTGGAGAAAGGTATTCAGAGATCCAGATGGTAGAGGAGGCCGCACACGCACATCACTCACAGCCGGCCATGTCCCACCCCCGCCACCACCCCATTCTCGCCTTTCCAATGTGAAGCATGCCACAAATCCCGTTGCTTCGCTCCCTCATTGTCAATTCTCTTGTTCGCGCTAAAGAATGTGTGTGCTACGCTTTGCATCTGGCAGCTGGGCCAATTTGAATGACTCCGCCACCGGGCCTGCAGCTTTTCCACCGCCATGCCTGGTTGAGCAATAGTTGGACTGTCTGGGACCCCGATGCATTCAGCTCTACACGCCAAGGCACTCCTCCGCGAATGGGAGCCTTTCTGCGGCGCCACTGCCAGGGATCATCATCAATTGCTCCCCATCCCCATGGATTTGCTGGGTCCCGAACAGTCTGCCTTAAAGGGGATCCAAGGGGACATAGACCCTTGGGGTTGATACGTCGTTGCGGCTAGACTGTTGTTGGCCTGCTGTTGCTTGTGTTTGCCGTTGCCCACTCGCGCCCAGCCTGGTCTGATTTTGTCCTCCATCACACCCCTCGAATCCCCTCGGTGTCAGTCCTCGTACGGTTGTCGACTGCTTGCGCAAACGACACAGCAGCTTTCGCGTCCCGGTGAAAGTGTCATAGCGACTTGTGGAAGCAACCAGACGAGCCAATCCATTGCCATTCGCAACAGCAACAGTCCGGCGTGAGCGTGTAGGTGTGTAGGACGATAAAGACGCAGGTCACCAACAACCTGTATTTCTTCCATTGGCTCGAGCAGCACCTTGCCACCGTGAGCATGTTGCCTTATACTCTGTTGTTGACCTTTGGGTCACTCGCTGCCGCCGCTTTTGTGAAGGATCCTGAAATCGTCAACCCCCGCGGCCAGAAAGACTCATCATGGTCACCAGCTCGGGAGACCAGCGTCGCCGAGGTGGAAGCAAGAGCTGCTGAACAATGGTCGCCTCGCCCAACTGACGGGCCTGGCCTGGACGCCGTAGAGCTGTTCCCTCGTCTTGACGGCTATACTCTTCCCAAGGGCACCTGCGGGTTTGTTTCCTCCAACGAAGGTGAGTCTCTAACCATGTCCAAGCCAAGGAAAACAAGCCGGCGCTGGTATTCTAAGCCTTCAATGCGACTGACATGAACTTACACAGTTGCTTACGGATGTATCAACACCGCCGCTACTTGCACTTACTCCGATGACTACATTGGCTGTTGTGTGCCAAACCAAGATTGCTCGCGGGTTCAGACGACTTGCATCAACAGCGCTCAAGCTGCTACGGGCGCCTGCAATCTGCCCAAGGACTTTCACACCCTTTGCTGGTTCGTCTCCCCTTCTCTGACGAAACCCATAATCAACCCAAAGTTGTTCATTCTTAGATCTTTCGGCTAATAAATAATCTCTCTGTAGCACTGCGGCAACTCTCGGACAATGTTGGACATGGCTGTTCTCAACCACATCCGGTGGTAACACGATGAGCTACTCGTTCCTTGATTGCTCAACGAGGCAGGGTACCGGCACGCTCTTGGCCTACGACCCTACTTGGTCAAGGACGCATATTCCTTCAACCTCTACCTCCTCGTCCTCCTCCTCTTCGTCGACAAGCAGTTCCACCAGGACTTCATCAGCAGCATCTACGAGCACATCCTCGACTGGCGGCGGTGGTGGCAGCTCGACGAATGTTGGAGCCATTGCTGGTGGAGCAGTCGGTGGTGTCGCAGCTCTCGCCCTTGTTGGTGTCGCCGCATTCCTCCTCATTCGTCGACGCAAGAAGAATGGTGAGGGCTCAGAAGTAAAGAGTTCTCCTCCCGCACCATCTACCGCCCATCCTTCGACAACGATGAGCCCCCCGCCGCCCACGATTACCCCATCCAGCCCTGGAAACACAACAATTTACCCCTCGGGAGTCCCAACCAACTTTACTGGCTACCCGCCTTCGCCAGGCTATGAGCAGATGAGCCCCCAAAGCACAGCGGCCTATCCGATGTATCCCAACCAGCAGCCATACGCTCCTCCTCAGTTTGCTCCTGGCCAGCAGCCCCAGCAGCCATATTACCCCCAGGGCCCCTATGGATACCAGCCTCAGAACAGTCCCAGCCCCGGTGTGCCATCCCCCAGTGCTCCTTCGCCCGGTGTTCCGTCACATGGTGGCCCCTCACCTGGCGCCGTAGGCATTGGCGCCGTAGGCGCACCTCCTGTTCCTCCGCCGCAGCATCAGCAGCATGCTACTGAGCTGCCAACTATCAACCCCATTGGTAATGAGTCGAACCGTGCTGAGCTGCAATAATTTCCGCCAAATCCTATTTGGACCAGAGACGACTCGAGCGTGGACACTTAAGGGCAATTTGTTTCTTTGATTGGCACTGGGGTGTGCTTTTTACGAGAAGGGGACTGCGGCGTAATCGGATTTCTTCTTTTCCCGGACATAGATGAAAGCTATATTGTGCTGGTGTGGCATACGGTTTTATTTTCCTTTGCATATCACGAGCCTTCTCTTAGATGGAACCCTTTATTTACCTATTCTGCCGAAGTATATAGCATGGCAATCCAGGGATTCCTATCTTGAATTTATATCATCAGTTCATTATAATCAATTTATACCGTTCACTACCCAAAAAAAAGAGAGAAGAGAAAGAAGAGAAAGAAGAAGAAAAAGTAACAATTCTGTTTATCCTCTCATTAGTCATAACTCAGATTCCCGCACATTACCCAGAGCGAGCATCACATATACTTGGCCACTGAGTTGGCCCACCACTCATCCCACTTGAGGACCTTGCTCTCGTGCCGAGCCTCTTCGGCCGCGAAGACCATGGCGTGCGCCCGGATGATCTCCTCCAGGGTGCAGCCGATGAGCTCGTTCTGCGCCGTCTCGGCCTCCCAGGCGTGGTTCTTGACCTTGTCGCACGCGAGGACGAACTGCCGGGTGAGGCCCATGTCGCCGCCGCCGTGGCCGACGTCCTCGATCTTGGGGTAGTAGCTGCGGGTCTTCTTGGTGGCGAAGTCCTCGACGGTGATCTTGAACGAGTCGGCGTAGATCTCGCCGTGCTCGCCGTAGAAGTAGGAGTAGCGGTCGCACTGCTTGGTGGTCTGGGCGACCATGTGGAAGGTGGCGCGCTTGGCCGGGCGGGCGCCGTCGTCCCAGGTCATGGTGACGAACTCGTCGTCGCAGACGTTATTGTCCGCCTCGAAGACGCAGCGGCCCCACCAGTTGCGGGAGCTCACCTCGGCGGCCGGCGTCGTGGCGGCGTCGTAGTCCTCCTCCAGGAGCTTGGTGAGGGCGGCCTGCTTGTCGTGGTGGGTCGGGTAGTCCTCGATGTCGGGCATGACCACGCTCATGGGCCAGCGCGTGTTGCCGGCGCCGAGGCCGCGGAACTGGGGGCCAAGGTAGATGTGCTTGGCCGAGTACTTGCAGCCCTCGTCGCCGAGGGGGCACCGCATGCAGTTTGTGGCGGAGCCGGCGGCGGCGGGCTTGCGGCTCTTCTTGAAGTACTGCAGGCCGCCGGTGGAGGTGACGGTGGAGGGCAGATGGGGCTCGCCCTGGCCGGCCTTCTCGGGGGAGCACAGGAGCCAGAGGATGAGGTCGATGTCGTGGCAGCTCTTGGTCAGCAGGGAAGGGCCGGTCGTCTTATCGTTTCGCCAGTTGCCTCGGACGTAGGAGTGCGTGTAGTGCCACCAGCCAACGGGTTCTGTGTGGACTAGACTGTTGAGGTCGCCGATGACGCGGTCCTCGACGAGCAGCTTGCGCAGCAGGATGTTGTGAGGGCTGTACCGGAGGACGTGGCCAATGGAGAAGATCTTGGAGCTGGAGTGCTGTCTGATTGCCTTGTACATGTCCAGACAGTCCTGAAGCGAACAGGCGAGGGGCTTCTCACACATGATGTGCAGACCCAGAGGGGCGAGGGCAACTACAACATCACGGTGCATCTCGTCCAAGACGCAGATGAAGGCGCCGTCGACGCCTTCGGGCACATTCTCCTCTCCTGCTGCCACTCGCCGCCGACGGTCAAACTCGTAGGTCACAAAGTCGTTCCAGTGAGAGAAAGACTGGCCTTCCTTGGGCTTCTCATTCTCTCCCCAGATGAAGTTCTTCCCGAGGCTTTCTCGCTTGTAGTCGTGTGGCTCAGCAACGGCGGTGATTAGGCCATTGCTCGCTTTCACCGCGGCCTCGGCATAGTTGCGGCCACGAGAACCGGCGCCAATGATGATGAACCGAGGAGGGTTCTCAGACATGGGCGGCTTCTGGGGTGGCACGATGACGGGTGCTTGGTCCATGGTATCCGTCTCGGAACCTAGGACCACAAGGTCGTCCACGCGCGTGCCTGGGTAGGCGCTCTTGATGCCATCTCGGAGCAGAACCATCTTGGATGCTGTTGGCTTTCTCTGTCGTCTCTAGGGGGGTCAAGGGTAGTACTGCTGGTATATTTGTGTAGGAAGGAGGAAGGTTGAGCAACGAAAGGGGGTTGGCTCGTCAGTAGGACGGACAGTCAGGCGACACGAGATAGCAAGAGACTGAAGAGTGAGGGAGAGACCGACCAGCAGACCATCGAGACATACATTCCATTCATCGAGCATGTCGTCCGCCCAATGAGCGGAACATTTATCTATGCAGATGGATCATACCCTTGCAACGCTTCACCACTTGAGCACCAATGCCAGCCAAGGGATTGATCATCACCGGCACGAGGGCGGGGATTCGGGGGGAGCGGTGCAGCAGGGCGGTGCGGAGGCTTACTTTTAGTGTGGGTTAGTGGAGGAATGGATTGACAGGCGCCTGCCTCCAGCAGCTTTTAGTTGCTCTGTCCTGCCCTAGGCCTAGACCCGGCACTAGGATCTCCACTGGGCATCGCTGCTGGATCCAGCCAAATCCCTGGCATGAGGCTCGAAGCCAAATCAATCGAGCCCGTGATCATGCCGTCTAACCTGGAGGAGTCTATCAACAATCCGAGCGAGGGTTCTCGTCTACCGATTGAGATGAAGTCTATCTGTGTACAATGCAGTCATGTATTCCCTACCCGAGTGAACTCTGTCTACAGCTGGTATGCTTGCCTGCAGCAGCTGCAGCAAGTGTGCCTACCGGGGCTAAGCATGTACACTTTCTTATCTGCCTGGACAGGCTGCAACTTTCTTGTATCTCTGTGACACCCTCGGTGAGATAGGCACCGAAATTATCGGCTTAGATTCATATGGAATACAGAACACGGGCTCGTCATGATAGCCCAGCATACAATGAATAGCCCAGCTTGCCAGGGTGCCGGAGTACATCTTGACCCTCGGACTGATGCCTCCTTGAGGTACAGCTCACAAAATAGAGGGACCTGGCCCGACCCTAACACCACCTCAAGTGGCAACGTTGTAGACCACCACCAAAGACAAAAAAACCAACCTCATTGTCCATTTCCGCCCACCTGCAGCTTCACCGGCACACCAACAAGTCGCACCGCACATCACTGCATAAACCCTCGCTTCGTATCAGCGATGGCTTCCGAGACTAGCAATGCCCCTGAGCCCCGGCGAGGCGTCACAGATGATCCTCTAGTGTGGATTGATTGTGAGGTACGAAGACCCCCATCATTTTTCACATGGCACTCTCTTTGCTCAATAATCACCTGATGCTTCATGGTGGCTCCCCTCTATGCCCTCAATTCCCAATTTTCAACCATCATTCTCAAGGGTTCGCCTTTAACACCTTCTTATGTGAAAAACAAAAGAAAGCCTAAAGCAGATCACTCATTGTGTAATTTTTCATTCATTTTTCGCTGTACATATATATACTAAAATGAGAAATGCGTTATACTTAGATGACTGGTTTGAACCCAGACACCGAGGAGATCCTGGAGATATACTGCATTCTCACAACAGGTAACCTCGAGGTTCTGGATGATGAGGGTTTCCACGCAATCATCCACTGGCCCGCATCGCGCCTAGACCAGATGGACGAATGGTGCACCAATACCCATGGAAATTCAGGCCTCACCGATGCAGTCATCAAGTCCACCACCACGCCTGACGAGGCAGCTACAGGCTTGTACAACTACATCACCAAGTTCATCCCAGAGCCCCGCAAGGCCCTTCTGGCAGGCAATAGCATCCATGCTGATCGCATGTTCCTGCGCAAGGAGCCCTACAACAAAGTTCTCGACCATCTTCACTATCGCCTACTAGATGTCACCAGTATCAAAGAGGCAGCCCGCAGGTGGGCAGCTCCCCGCGTGACCAAGAAGGTACCCTCAAAGAAAGGACGGCATCAGGCGCGAGACGACATCCTCGAGAGCATCGAGGAGGCCAAGTACTACCGCGAGGCTATATTTGGTCAGACGCTGGAGAAGGTAGAACAGCCCGCTCCAGCCAAGTCTCGTAAGAAGGCCAGTGTCGGGGAGCCTGGCCGACAAATGATTCCCAATTGGCATGGCAAGGTCGAGGAATCCTCTCAGCAACACTCTCGCAAGAAATCCAACGCCGACGAGCCAGGCCATTCCATCCTTGCAGGCATGAGTGCTTGGCAGGTCAAGACGAAGGGGCCTTGATTTGGCTCGATCCTGGACTCTCCGAATGACACCAAAGTCGGATCGCATGAAACCCACTCTTCTCCATCAAGTCAACAGAGCCCAATGTTGTCACAACTCTCCCATTGGCATACAAGCACATCATATACCGTACCAAGCGAGCGTATATGTGCAGGGGGTACACAAAACGTCTATGCTCTACATACACAACCATTCATGATTGAGCACGTCTTTAACATTCAGAACACTCTATGCATGGTCCAACAGATAGTTTCAGACCGGGCTCATAATATAACCAAGTATCATTTCAAGCACAATCAAACTCTCCACCTGTTATTTCGTCGACCAAGTGATGGATACGACCCTGGCCGCGGAAAGGGGAGGTTAATTAGCCACTTGCTGCTAACACCAATAGTCTGCCACTATGCAATATTCGCACTGTATTTGGCAGCCTGCTTCTCAGCTGCAAGCCAAAGAAATACAGTGTCCATACAGTGCCAACATTGCCCCTCCATTGGCAACACCACCCCACCATCAGATGCCACCCAAATAGATCTACACAACCAACCACATGTACCAGCAGCAAGCTAGCTTGGTTCTGCCTCCTTTTGCCCCCTCACGTCATTACCTGCAACACCGTTTTCTTCTGTTTCGGGGACATCTTGCAGAATATATATCTGCCACCTGAACCCCAATCCCGCCTCCCAATTCCTCTCAATCATCTCTCCCCCATTGACTCTCCCCCACCTACTTACCCCACCTCCGAACTCCAGCAACAATGGCTGAGGTTAAAACCGTCGAGTTCACCCCCTTCCAGGACCAGAAGCCCGGAACGTACGTGCTTTACTCATTCTCTCTCCATTTGCTACATGCTCAATCTCGAGCCATTGGCTGACCTTCCTGCAGCTCGGGTCTTCGTAAGAAGGTCGTTGTCTTCCAGAAACCCCACTACAGCGAGTCGTTCGTTACCAGCATCCTGCTGTCCATTCCCGAAGGCGCTGAAGGTATGCGAGCAACACTAACAATACGCGCAACCCGGGTCGAAGCGCAAGAGCTCGTGGGCTGACATCAATCACCTAGGATCCTTCCTCGTCATTGGTGGTGATGGCCGCTACTACAACCCCGAGGTCATCCAGTTGATTGCCAAGATCGGTGCCGCCTACGGTGTAAAGAAGCTCCTCATCGGCCAGAATGGTATTCTGTCTACGCCTGCCGCCAGCCATGTCATCCGACTTCGCAAGGCCACTGGAGGTATCCTCCTGACGGCCAGCCATAACCCCGGTGGTAAGAGACTCCCTTGATGATCACCAGCTTTCGCTCAGAGCCATCAACGTTCTAACACTCAATTCCTCGCCGCAGGCCCAACCAACGACTTCGGCATCAAGTACAACCTCGCCAACGGTGGCCCCGCCCCCGAGTCCGTAACGAACAAGATCTACGAAACCTCCAAGACCTTGACTTCGTACAAGTTGGCCGATATCCCCGACATCGACATCAACACCATTGGCACTAAGACCTATGGCTCCCTTGAAGTTGAGATTGTCGACAGCACTGCCGATTATGTCACCATGCTCAAGGACATCTTCGACTTTGAGCTCATCAAGAAGTTCTTCGTCTCCCACCCAGACTTCAAGGTCCTCTTCGACGGTCTTCACGGTGTCACTGGCCCCTACGGCAAGGCCATCTTCGAGAAGGAGCTTGGCCTCACCGGTGCCACACAGAACTGCGAACCCTCCCCCGACTTTAACGGTGGCCACCCCGATCCTAACCTCACCTATGCTCACTCTCTCGTCGAAGTTGTCGACAAGAACAACATCCCCTTCGGTGCTGCCTCTGATGGTGATGGTGACCGTAACATGATTTACGGTGCCAACGCCTTTGTCTCGCCCGGTGACTCCCTCGCCATCATTGCCCACTACGCAGACCTGATCCCCTACTTCAAGAAGAACGGCGTCAACGGTCTGGCCCGCTCCATGCCCACTTCTGGAGCCGTCGATCTCGTCGGCAAGGCCCAGGGTCTCGACGTCTACGAGGTCCCCACCGGATGGAAGTTCTTCTGCGCTCTTTTCGATGCCAAGAAGCTGTCCATCTGCGGTGAGGAGAGTTTTGGAACCGGTAGCGACCACATCCGTGAGAAGGACGGTCTCTGGGCCATTGTCGCCTGGCTCAACATCATTGCCGGCATTGGCGTTCAGAACCCCAGCGTCACCCCCTCCATCAAGCAGATCCAGAAGGAATTCTGGACCAAGTACGGACGTACCTTCTTCACCAGATACGACTACGAGAACGTCGACTCCGATGGTGCCAATAAGGTCGTAGGCGAGCTCAAGACTCTCGTTGCCGACCCCAACTTCATCGGAAGCCAGATCCAAGGTATGATCAACCCAAATAGCCCCCCCCTAAGCTACACATTTCTAACATATCATCTTTAGGCCGCACTGTCACCGACGCTGGCAACTTCTCCTACACAGATCTTGATGGGTCCGTCTCATCGAACCAGGGCCTGTACGCCAAGTTCTCCTCCGGAAGCCGCATCGTCGTTCGTCTCTCCGGTACCGGCTCCTCTGGTGCCACCATCCGCCTGTATCTGGAACAGCACAGCAGCGACCCTGCCACCTACGACCTCGACGCACAGGTCTTCCTCAAGGAGGAGGTCCAGTTCGCCACTGGCCTTCTCAAGTTCAAGGAGCACGTCGGCCGTGACGAGCCCGACGTCAAGACCTAAGTGTTCTGTTCGTGAGCTAAGGGCGAGGGGCGCGCGAAGTCATCCCTTCTCCGAACTGAAGCTTGCTTTGTAGCGATTAGGGGATGGGCTCTCTCTCAGTGGAAATAAGAGCCAGTACCCAATGAATTGATGATTACATAAATACAAAATTATAAACAATGGCACATGAAGCATTATTGGCTCAGACAAGAACTCTCTTCTTTTTGAAACACGCACGGGATAAACGAATGAAAAAGAATAGATGAAGTAGTGAGATTATTAGCTAAATGAACATGGAAGAAGCAAAAATCATCGGCTCGTTTCCCGTCCTCGTACACATTCGGTCGTGGCATCACGTCCCATCAGGGAGGTGAGCTTCAAACATAGAAGGAGAAGGGATCAAGAGTACAAAAAAAAGAGGAGCTCGGTCAGCCCAACCCCAACAACGCCTCGCAACGGGGGGTATAAATGCAATCTGATTGGCGTTAAAAACGACAAAACAAAGGAAAGACAAAACATCGTGTCCTCCCATATATGACAGGGGATTCGTAAGTATCATTTCATTTCAAGACGTTAAAAGTCGTGTCAAGTCGTCAGAGGATGGTGACGGGGGCCGGATGTCATTACGGCTCACTGGGCGCTAGGTGACGGTGTCGGGTTGGTGTGCTTAGAAGCGTTTGGGCGCTTTGCCTTGTGTCAGGAGGCGAGGGAAGAGGTCCTTGAAGCGGTTGCATGCTGTGAGAGGTTTCTGTGTTACCAAGAGCGTTGCTTTTTTGGGAGGAGCCGAGAGGGGGGTGAGTTAGAGGAAGGTCTTACATTCTTCGCTGTGGAACGATATTTCAAAAGCACCGGCATTGCCGCGTCTCTGGGTCTGCTGCCGGTAGTTCTGGCAGAAGACGTAGAGCTGGATGTCGGCTAGACGGATCCTCCGCCGAGAGACTCGCTTCAGCCAGGTGGGAGACGACGATTGGTGGGTTACTGTGACACAAGCATCGTTAGTCGAGCCTTCGCTCAAAAAAGACGAGAATAATTTGCAGAGCAACCGGCCGGGTGGCGGTGCGGTGTTGGTTGCACGAACCGAATGCCGTCCATACGGGGCAGCTTCGCAGCTCTCCTTCCCAAACAGCTGCATGCAGGCGGATGCCGCCGGTCAAGACGTCTTTGTAGACGATCAAGGAGTGCCAGAAGCCGTCATCGGATATTCTCCTGGAGCCAGGTGTCAGAAATGCAAAAGATACACTCAAATAGAAATGACAAGGACCGAGGAACTTACGCATGGAACAGCATGCGCTCACTGCCGAGGATGTAGTCCTCCGGAGGCATCTCAACAGTCATATCATTACGTGCTTTGAGCACGACAAACGTACAAAAGGTAAGGACAAGTTCTATGCATCAACAATCGTGTTAGTCGAGCAGCACAAGTTAGGGCTGGGGAGAAGAAAGGCAGGGTATGAGAGTGCAGTGCTGCTCTCGAGTATTCACCTTCCCAGGTCACGAAGTTCAGGATCGCCCAGGTTTTGAAGCAGACATCCTTGCGGCTCCATCGCTTTAATACCAAGCAGCTGCCTTCTCGCTCGACACATAATTCATGTGCACCACGGCGAGAGAACCAGGCGCTTCCCGTTTCGGGGTCCAGTGCTCGAAGCAGAAGGTATGGCGATTGGTCATAGCCGTCCTCGAAGGCCGTGAGGCTCATTCGGTCGTCGTTGAAGGTCCTGTCGATATTCATGTAAGTTCATAATGATCTTCTCCATGGTACGAAGTAGGGGGTAGTACCGGCGGAAGAGTATTCTCGAGTTCTCGGCAATCCAGAAAGAACCCCATAGCTGGTGCGGACCGGCTGATATCGACCTAAAAATAAACGTAATTCAGTAACCATTCTATATGAGATGGTAGTCGGTGGGAAAGGGGGGAAGCATACTGTTGTTGGTTCCTCATAGCCGTTCGCGAAGGGAGAGGCAGCGAGAAGATCTGCTCGGCCCAATGCGTAACCTATCGACAGTAGAGTCAGACAAACGGTTTCTTTCAGTACACACAGAGATGAACAAGGCAGTGACGGTACCGGCTCAACTTCGAAGGACAGAACAGCAGAACGCATCTGCGGACCGACATCAACAGGAGGTGGAGCTGTATAGGTGGACGACGGTTATCCAATTGTCCAGATCAAGAAGGAGTGATAGTAACCTACGAATATTTCTTTTCTCACGTAGCTGGAGGATTTTAGTGCGGGCATTCTCAAGCCCGTTGAGATCGAAAGTCGATGACCTATATTGAGAGGGGGGTTCGGTCTTAGACTTGGCATCATTCTCACGGGGAGTTGATGATAGTCGCCGGGCATAACCGGGCATGACTTGGTTGGACTCACCTGATCAAAACATCCCGAAGGGACTTGAGGAAATAGTTGTATAGTGTGAATCGCTGCGGCAGAGGCAGGCCGTCGCTTTCGGCGGTGAGATGGTGGTACATCTTCCGCCAGCGGTTCTTCTTGGTGGCGGACCGGTCCACGCAGTAGAAGAGGATGTCCCGGAGCGACCTCGAGAGGCATGGCAGCAGGATATTGAGGAAGTTGAGCAGAGTCGGCACGCGGTCTCGATGCACCTGGGCGAAGTCGACCAGCTCCCGCAGGTGGCCGCCGTTGGCGCGAATCTCCTCAATCGTGGCCGTCAGGTGCTGCGTGTTGCCCGTCACCCCACTCCGAAGCTTCTCAAGGTGGAAGACGATGGTGTCAGCCCTATCGGCCTCGAGACAGCAGCCGCTGAAGAGATGAAAGGCAACGGACCCGACGGGGTCCATCGCGGCAGTATAGGGAATGACCTCCATTTCAGACCAAAAATAGACATCAGAGCCTCATGATGAAGCATGAGGCCCCGTGTCGTCTCTGGCTAAAGAGAAGGGGGGGAAGAATCCGAGCGTGGGTTGTGGTGATAGTTCGGGAAGACTTCCCTCACCGAATAGTATTTAGCGGTCTCCCAGAGGGCCGGAACAAAACTAGTTTGGGGACTTTGGGTGTTCGGTTTCTAATTTTTTTAATTTTTTATTTTTCCGGCAGGGATTGGAGCCTCAAATCATGCTGTGTGCGGGGGCCCGCCCTCGAAACCTCGAGCTCGCAGACTCGAGAATGCGAGATGTTGATCGAGAGTATAGGAGCGGATGAGACGGAGAGGAAGGGATGAGGAGAAGAAGCAAAAAAGCAGGAAATCCCAATGGCATCACAAGCAAGCGTTGTAGCAGACCTCAGTACACGTCAATGGGCCCGGAAGGAGGAGGTGGTGTGTCTGACCATGTCTCGATGGGAGAGATATGCAGAGAGGCAAAAAGTAAGCAAACAAGCCAGCAGATGGGGGAAAAGATGGTTGAGGTGCAGAGTGGCAGCTGGCGATGGGCCAATTTCTAATTATCCAAACCTCAATGAGGGGCCTGCGATAGTGCTAATTGGTGCACGTCAATGGCCTCATCCGAGTGTGGCCCAAACAAAACATGGCTTCGGCCGATTGGGCATCCATGTGCGATGCAATACACGACCGACAGCAAGCGATGGACAGATAGATGCATGTCCGCCAGAGCGGGAGGAGGGCCCAGTCCCTCGCAATCAATCGATCAAGCCAGCCGGATGCAGCAGGCCACCTGCTCGCCAGCGACGTTTCTGTCTCTGTGCCATTGCGAGTTGGGTTGCGAGCGGTGCTGGCTCCTCATCGGTATCATGACAATTGTCTGCTCGTGACCGATAGGATGGACGTATCGGTGCTGCTAAGCCCTCTCAGGAGCTGCCACGACTACAAGCCCCTCTCGACGCGCAGATGGCCCCAGACGTACAAATGCCCGGAGGGGGGGCCAATTGCATTAGAAGCAACGCAGCCCCAGAAACGACGGGGGACCGCCTCCGATCCCGTCTCAAGGTCGCTGGCAGCTTCCATGGCTGGTGATTACCGGATATTCCTGAGCCTATCCCTACTGAGGGGGGCCGGCAGATATAGTTCACCGCAACGCAGGGAGATGATACCCTGCTCGAGAGAGGCGTCTCCTCGTCTCCGAAGTCCGATCAGAGGTGATGGGCACCACAGCGTAGGCAGATAGATGCATCTATCAAATCACCCAGTAGCTTGAATGCCAGTCAATAAATCAATCAATTAACAAACATCTCCGTATTCGATATGCTAATACTCAGATTTACCAAACAATAGCTGGCAGACAGATAGGGTTGCCTCTTCGGCGCAACGTCTCGTCATCTGGGTTTCGTGTCTGCCGGTCTTCCTATCCGTGTGATACTCGAGATCGGGACACAGCCAATAAGACCCAAATCGATCGATGATGGAAGCGTGCATCGTATCGACTCCTTGACATATCGGTGAGCCGCATCCATGCCCGCCAAGCGGAAGTTGGTGGGCTAGAAGCGCACTTTGCATGCTCGAGTGTGACGGGCCTGGATGGTTCATGATGAGGAGAAGCTCAAGTTGTTCGCGTTTCCGGCTTCATCCTTATCAGAACACTGGAGAGGCATTACCTAAGGCTACGGCAAGGCATTTTTGGGAACGGCATTGTTAGGCAGCAGCATCTGTGTCTGTCAGCCCTGTGCGGCCAAGTCCAGACAAGGATGTACGATGGATTAAAACGATTACCCAGCCGGAGCCGACGGCGGTGAGATGGGATTGGCCAGAGCCAGCAGCCAAAGTCGTCACAATGCGAGCAGGTGGGCACTTGTTGGAGTTAATACTTTTACATGTTTCTCGTCTTGACTATCTCGAATCGTGTCATATATCCATGATCAGAGGCTCACGGGAACAAGCCTGCCCAGTGACTGCTTGCAACTCCATCGGACGCCATCCTTCTCATTAGGACACGTCGCGAGTCCCCCGATACCTTTTTGAAGACCAATGTCTGAAAAGCATCAAGGTTAAAAAAAAATTGAACCAAATCAAAGCACGCGTCCCTTCCAGTGCCATCATACAACACCGCCCTGCCCAGATTACAAGAGGAATAAATATGACCCTCTCCGGCGAGCTCTACCGGAATATCGTTTCATATCAAAGATCAGATGGTTAAAAATGAACATAGTCCTCCTAAGCGGATTCCTCGTCATCCTGGGCCTACAAACAACTCATCAGCTTCAATCGTCAACTTCAACATCTCGCGATTCTCTCATACGTTATAAGCCTGCTTCTCATCCTCGTAGCGCTTCTTGTCGGCAGCAGCCTTGGCCTCATATGGGGCACGCTGCTTGTCGTTGAGAGCCTTCCAGCGCTCACCGAGAAGCTTGCCGACCTGGCCGAAGGAGATACCAGGGTTCTCCTCACGGACATTCTCACGCTGCTCATTGGCGAAGAACATGTAGGCAGAGAGACCACGCTTGGGAGCGTTGGGGTCTGATGCATGTTAGCTTCATCATAGTAGAGGAGGGCGGCGTTGATTAAATCAGACTTACCCTTCTTGCCTCGCTTCTTGACCTCCTTGCCACCGCGCTTAGTTGTAGCAGCCTTAGGCATTGTGAAAGTGTCTAAGTTGCGATAACATGTTAGTCAAACGATGACATTGAAAAAAATGATGAAATTTAAATGATGCGGCGAAAAATGAATTGAATGTGGATTTTATGAGGTTGTCGCGAAATCCTACTTTCGCCGTTGAGATCCTAGACTAGCGTGTCATGGGTGACGCGCTGGGCTTGGAGTGCTCAGAGGGGCGACGCGACGCAATTGAATGTGATGCGATGCTGAGGGTGAGGAGGTGAGGGCGGGCGCAAAGGGAATTGCGCAACAGCCATTGGGGCAAATGGGTCATGAAGCTCAGAAAGTGCTTGGTAAACACATATTGCGTACCTTAAAGACTTGAAAAAGGGTTCTAAAGTGGTGGTGTTGAGGGAGGATGAAAGGTCTGAGCAACGATTAGCAAGCTGCTATGATTGATGCTGCGCGCGCATGAGGTTGTTGGTGCAGGTCCTAGTGCAAGGTGCGCTGCGCTTGAACAACGATCAAGTGAAGGCGAACCACGAAGATAAATGCAAGACTCAAGACTGGATTGAGTCGCAAAAATGCTTCATGAAGCTTCCAACGATGCGAAATCAAGACGAAAAGCACATGCGCAGAATCGCATTCGCTTCATGAATTTGATAAAGCAGTGCTGGTGATAGTGACTTGTGTTTGGTGGTGGTGCACCGCAAAATGCAAGTACTCACCTGTTGTGCGCGTTGTGTTGCTGTGAAGACGCGAATTTGTATGGGAGAATTTGGCGGGAGAATTTGTATGGGAGAGAGGAGAGGCAGAGGGGGAGACTGTATGGGGGGAGGGCCAAGGAGCCTTTTTACTATGGGGGAGTGATTGTGCGTGTGTCAGGCGCAGGCTTAGGTGTGTGTGTAAGGCAAGGCCAGCCTGTGTGTGTGTGTGAGTGCGTGTGTGTGGGTGGAGGGAACACGCGCCGGGCGGCCTGCCTTTGCCTTTGGCGCTCCCTCCCTCCAGTCACTCACCCACTCTGGGAGTAGGCAGGTACCTGCCCAGCCGACTGCGTGCCAGGTACTCGTACTCACCTCGCTGCTGCTTGCGGAGTGGGCTTCCATTCCCTGCCCAAGCACTCTGCGCGCGCAAACTTGGTCTGGGCTTGTAGCATCGAGACTTGGTTTTACTGTGCAGTCCCTGCTCCCGGCAGGTACCTCTCATCAAACCCCCCTTCGAGCTCTCCACCACCTGCGTAGCGGTACCTCTCCCAGCCAAACCGCCCAGTACTTGCACCTCTAGTACTCCGCCTGGCTCGTGGAAATATATTATCTGCCCTGCTCCAAGAGGCAACAGAAATGGATCAGCTAGGTCCTCCTAGCAGGAATTCTCCTCTCTTCTCAGCCGACGCCCTTGCTTTTTCCAGATGCCCCCTTTCCTTGGGACCTCCCCATTGAGGCTTCACATGCGAGCGAGAGTTGGGGAAATGATGCGCATTGCCAGCCATCGCCTCTGTGCCATTGCACCTCCATGGTGTTTCTCTAGGCTGGAACAGTCGCTTCTCCCTTCCCTCCCCAAACCTTACACTTACCAAGCCAGACAGCAAATGGCAGGTACATCCGTGGTGCAGACAGGCGCGCGGTGGTATCCCTCCTGCCGCACTGTACGCGCCTGCCTAATACTAGCACTATTTAGACCCTGGATGGTGAGAGTGTCGCACCTTTCAATTGGAATTACACAATACTGTACTGGTACACAAGCAGTAGTCTTAGTCTCACTCATCCACAGCCTGATCCACATGTACCTCTGGTGGTGAGCTCCATATGCGCACTGTACCGCCGCTGGAAATGGACCCTGATTCTTCTCATACATCACACTCCCCTGTCCAGCCCATTGAGCGAGGAAAGGGCTCTGCCTGCGCTGAGCTCCGCCAAACTCAGGCCCCGTTGCTAAATCCGTCGCCTGGCCACCCAACCCTTCGACTCACTCATCTGAGTCTCGTCTCAATCCAATCACCCCTCCTAGTGCTGGTGTCGGGCTTTCTGCACCTTGAATGTCCGTTGAGCGACATGAATAAGCTTTGCGTTTGTAAATATCATCCGCCCATGCACCTAGAGTGAATGCCTGAACCCCCAAGGAGCTAGCCGTAGTATCATGCACCTTTGCATCTGCCCAGGTAGGTAGGCAGACTGAAACCCTTCCGAGTGCGCTGGTATAAGCAATCAAGGTATTCAAGGATTCGAGAATAGCACATTAAGCACACATAACAATGGGATTATTCTTAGACATACAACTCACAAGATCATTCCGCAAGCCCAGCCAGAGGTGCTTGCAACCCTGCACGGTGTCTGCATGTAATGTAGTGTTGCGGTGGTGCATATCACTCTGGACTGAGAAAGGTTGGGCCTACCTCGATACCACCTACTAGTGTGATTCTTGCCTTTACACCAGGAGGTCCAGGTAGAGCCTCTAGCTTTACACCGGGGCCTCCTACCTTACCTGCTGAGACGTCACATCACCAGGCGTTGATTCGCAGTAGTCATGCATAACACTTGCATGCAATTACATTGATGTTGGAGCGGTAAGTATGCACGGCGACGGAACAGTCATTTGTGAGCTCTCTCCCTCGGTCTCATCGGAAGGATATTGGCCAAGCAAGGACTCAGTTATGCCGAGATATCACACTCTGCACCCCTCTCCAGCCATCAACACTAGTGGTACCTCTCCGACTAGCTACCTACAGCTGTTCAGCGGTTCACACTCAAATAAGAAAAGATGTAGGGGATTCCACATGCGCGTGCAAATAGGAAAATGAGGGACGCAAGCTGCACTACTCCTTTAGTTTCAGACAAGTACCTCCGGCGTAATGGCACTCCAATAAGGCCTCCAATCAGTCTCAGTTGGCCCATAATTAGTAGAACTCAAGGTCAGGAAGGGCTGGAAGCAATCAGGGGGGGAAGATCACCCACGTAGTGATGGGAAATATACACCTGCCATGGATGAAGCTCTCAGGTGCGGCAAGCTTTCCAGCGGTCTCGCAAGCGGGGTACTTCGATCCGTGCATGACGCCTTGTACCGTCATACATCTTTTGCCATGTACCGATACTTGGCCGCTTGTATCGGACCTTCCTAGGCCAAGTCGCAAGCAGCTTCTCCGGGTAGGCCCTTCCTGGTTCCGACACTTGAGCCAGCCAACCAACCCCCTTCCTTTCCAGTCTTCCGTAGACTTGTCGTGCTCTGGAGGAGAAGGCCCGCACATGTGCGACGAGGCGCTCAGCAGATGCAAACGAGGCAGCTCGACGCAGTCGGCGATAACTGAGGCGCGTTTATGCAGCGCAACTAACCATCCACCTGCTCGCCTCGTAAGACCGCCCGAAGTGACCTACGCAGGGCGAGCTGAGCCTCAGGTCAATCAATCAGCGGCTACCCTTACTCCTTCTGCCATTTGGACAATGGATTCTGCTTCATTGGATCAACTGCCCAGGCTGAGCATATCCTCCGGCAACATGAACAGGGAAACACGGCCTGCCTACTACCTTCGGTTCAGCAATGTGCCCTGGTTAGCCACCCCTTGATAGCACATCGCACCGAGTCTCATTGGCACCCACCCGGTTACTAGCCACACAGGTAGGTGTTCACTCAAATGTCTCGCCTCTTGCCTCCCTTTGTTATTCGCGAGTATGGGCCAGAAGCGGGCAGTCTAGATCTCTGCTATTATTACTACTATGGAGTCGCACCATGGGCAAGGACATCAGAGACGACTTGCTGAGTGGGTACAGAACCGCCCATTGGAAATTGGTGGGCACACATGTACCCGACTGGTACTACGCGCAAGGAGCTTTACGAGGAGCTTTCCCCCCTCGAATGTTAGCTCGGTGGCCCGTACCACATTTTGCCTTGGCCAAAGCGGTCACTATGACCTGCTGCTAGCACCGGATGCAAGCATGGTACCAAGGGACTAGGCTGGAGGTCAGGTAGCAACAGCATGTATCACTAGCAGCTTATACTGTGCTGAACCCTGTTGCGCGTGCTTGGAGCAGAGCAGAGGATGATGGGTGGTGGCTCTCTGGGCGGGTCCGCGCAGCAAAAACTTCGCTGGTATGCCTTCCCCCTCGCATAGCTCTCTGCTGCCGGAGCAATCCTACTCCAGCCTTCATGTCAGAAACCAGGTACCTGCCGCAGTCAGGATCACAATTGGCCAGGGAAACACACGTTTTCTGCCCCTGGCTCATCTTCTCCTACACGCTAATTATGGGACTCTGGGAAATCGGCTGTGTCTGGAACCCTCGGGCTGGCATTTTGGTGAGACGCTTGTTGAGGAGTCCCTTCATGAGTGATATTCGAGGCGCGTAATCACCTGGGTGTCCAGTTTGCGCCAGCCTCCAACACGCCTCTGTACCTGTCTGCTGCACACCCAGCATGTACCTCAGCCCTCAGGTGGGAAAATAGTACTACTACCTAATGTAAGAGCGGTAGTAGTGGCGGGTGGTCATAGCACCCTTCGACCTCGGTCAACCAGATCATTAGGTGTCTCCCAGCCAGAGTATTATCAGCGCTTTTCCAGACCCACGCCATTGGCTGAAGACCCAAAAAGGGAAGTGCAAAAAAAAAGAGAGCAGTCCTATTCTGGCATCTGTCTTGGCCGTACTGATTGTCCTGCTGATCCGACCTACCCCTCCTCGCGCCCAGTGAGCATGGCACATGGGCCGCCCACCTCTGCTCTGTTCGCCTCTCTCCCTCCTTCACTACTGCTGGCTGCGCCGTGCTACCTGAGTACGTAGATACCTTGGTGCTGCTCTTTCGCATATTCGCAGATCTATCGCCCATACGCGCAGTGTGCGCTTCAGTCGGTAGCTCTCTAGTTGAGGTCATTGTGGTGCCAATGGGCAATGACATGATTTCTATTGTGCCTGACGTGATTATGCCATGTCGATATCGCCTGTGACGCAGTCTCATCGCCTTACACATTAGTCGTCGTCTTCCGGGTCGAGGACAATGTCTCTTAGACGGTCATCTCGCGCCCAGTCTATCCCACTACCTACAATAAGACCACTCGTAACCCCCTTGATGACCCTCCAGCGGCGTCTACTTGCTGCTAGAGCGCCCTCAAATTCACGTAGAGCCTCTTGGGCAGCTGAGCCGTCCTGCTGGCCTTTCTTCTCGTCGATCCTAGCGACCAGTTCCAGCAGCTTGCTCGCGAGCTCGGCATTGTGCCCTGCCCTCGCCAGGAGCTTGCCCTGGGCCTTGGTTGCCTTGTCGCGGAGCTCGCCTCTCTCGGATGCAAACTTGGCGACAGCAATTGAGGCCTCGTCACGTTTCTCTACGTATGATAGAAGTTCCCTGTGATGCCGGTATTAGCAGAGCTACTTGAAGAGAGCGCATTAAATAGTAAGGTGTAGTGCGCGTGTGCAGCCACATACCGTTCCACCGGTGAAGCATCGGTTCCGTTGTGGACGGCTTTGAGAATTGGGTTTGCTGAGAGAACTGCCTCAACCACCGAGTTCCTAAGCATGTATCGCGCTCTGGTGTCCAGTAGCTGATTGCGGGCTTCGTCCGCCTCTTCTGCCGTCATCTCGCCACTTGACGCGTCTATTTTCGATCGTGAGCATGATTTTCCTGCTTTATAGTCCCCCGGGCTGTGATGAACCCACCATCTTGAGCTTTGTGCTGCGCGTTGATAATGGCAATCTCAAGCTGGAGCTCGCGGAGCTTGTCGTAGAGCGCCAGCGCCCTCTCCTCGTCGGCAGACAGCGGCAGTGAGGGCTGGGCGAACTCGCCTTCTTGTACGGCTGCCATTGTGTCCATCCGTTTCTAAGGTAGGTTGTTCGTGGGGAGGACTGCGATATGGACGCCGGTGTGGTGTAAGATGGTTTCGACTATCCCTGGAGACGCGACGCTATACACGCGCTGCTGCTTTTCTGGGTCTCCCAGTCGTTCAATGGTGCAGAGACATAACTAGCAGCGACGGTTAGAGAAAACCACGGACCAGACTTTGAAAGTACTAAATAAAGCTACGATCTCTTATCTACGATGTGCAGCGTTGTTTTACTTTTCCGGTGTTTTTTTTTTTAACGTGCTCTTTGTTCGCAGATTGTTCGTCAGATCTTACCGTCGCAGCCACACGCAGAGCCACACTCGTCAGTCGGTTTATCAACGCTCTTCCTATCATTCCTATAATGGTTACCTCGGTGCTCGTGTGTGTTGAGGTCTACGGCTCTGTGCCGCTGGCCCGTCTATGGGTTCGGTATAGCCCTGTGATCTGTTTTGAGCGGGCCGAAGTCCTCTCTCCAGTTTATAGAATACCGTACCCAATGAGCACACAGGTTAGTCCGCATGTTGAGGTGCCATGGCTCTCCCGGACCTAGTGGCATATGATAATGTTCCCTTACGACATACCTCCGGTCCATTACAATAGTCATTACCGCCTGGTTCGGTGACCATGATCCTACTTTGATACTGCAGCACAGGAAACTCACTTCCATGGTCGAGTGATAAGGCTACCGTCTCCCCATGCAATCTCCTGTAGCCATCGTAGATAAGTGATCCACGGCAGGGGCGGCCATGTGGCATATTCCTGTCCCATATTCCTACCTGTGTCTATTACTAACGGGTAAGGTAAGTTTTACGCCTTGTTGCGCGATCCGAGTCTCTTGCTGGTGCCATCTCCACATCCTTATTTCGAAAGCCAAGCTGTATCAGATGACGACTTCATGTATGTGCATCACACACCCAAGACCGAGATAAGGCAGGACATATCTACACCACAAGGCACGAACTGTACCACGCTAGAATTAATATCCCACCGAACGAGAGACGGATGTGTTATCCAACATAGAGTGGTGTTTTCGCCGAGAATTATAGGGTAGGAGACTGTGGGAGTATTCACTTCGCGCAAGGAAATCTTACGTGCTGCTCGTCAAGCCAACCGGAACAATAGCTGCATTTGAAGTAAAGTGAGGGGTCCATACAGAATGAAGAAGTTGCAGAAATCTACCATCACCAGCTGAGTAACCCAGACCTGACATGCAGAACATTCGATTGAAAAGTGAATGTGCTCTTGGTGACGCTCGGTGATGACAAACTAACACGGACCCGCTCATTAAGTCATGGCGCCACAAGCGACTGTCGTTATCGATAAGGTACGTATCATTAGGTTGCCAGTGACTTGCCTCAGCCGACGCAAGGCTTAACCACGATCGACGTCGAACCCAGAGGAGAGAACGGAGTCGGTCACGCGAGGTTTGCAGACGACCGTATTACCGGGCCTCGCATAGATAAACAATAAATAGCTCCACCGGAACCCCCATCCCACCTATCTCGCATAGAACTGCCTACCTGCATGTCCCCTCGCTGAGCTCGGCGCGCTCTATTATCACGGGCGATGTCTCGGGATGGCTACCCAGGTGTTGATTGCTCATACGGGCCAGCGCCTTGAAGTCGACGTATCCCAGTTCTCGAGGTAAGTCTGCGCACCACCTCCCCCCAAACGCGAATGCGCTTCTAAACAAGAGTCACACAGCCTCGAAGACCTGAAGGCATGGGTCGGGCAGCATAGTCCTGTCTCTCCCCAGCACTTCATCGCGCTGACCCCCCAAGGTCGCAGTATCAAGTATGCAACCTTGACGAACGAAGTATGGAAATCCGGGTGTGGTGACTGCCCCCCCCTCAAAATGCACTGGCTGACAAGAAACGCAACAGACAGAAATATTTGTTTACGATAACCGGACAACCCAAAGCTCATCGAAAGATAATGCGCAATCGATCGCCTCCCAACACCCTCTCCCCAGACGTTACACCGCCCCCAGCGCACCAAATTCCATCGACGATGTGAAGTCCATCGGATCATGGCAGACGCTGTACAAGGACAGAAGAGCCTGGGCGGTCGGGTTGCTCGAGGAATGCACAAAGATGAGGAATCTGGCCCAGGATCAGTATGGCGAGATTGACGTCATGATCAAATGCTTGGACGCGGCAGTTGCAAACCTGGAGCTAAGCGTCAAACAGCTGGAGCCCAAGTACAAAGAACTGAAGAAATGGGTGGAGCCGGCGGTGGCCGACCATGACCGTTTGGTGTCATCGCTGCAAGAGAATCTGGCTCTTGCTAGAAACACACATGTTAATGCGTCCATTGTCAAGTTCATGACGCGCGGGCAGGTCAATAAGGGCAGCCCGACGCTTGAAGACCTTATCGAGACTGAGACGGCGAAGAAGGCCGCGAAGCTTGCCCCAACCGCGCATCGCAGATTCAGCGACAAGGCCACCAGCCTTGAGCAGGCGGCAATCCAGATGTATCAAGGCCTCGAACAACTGATTGGTGATTTCGAAAAGTTGGTAGGTCGGTCCGTTGTTGGAAACAGTCAAGTCTCGATTGATCTTCTCGAGGATATCGAGTCTACAGTCAAGCAGATTGATTCTGATTACAGGACTGCACTGAGTCTCGGGAATTCACATCGGGATCTCACCCAGGTTTCCAAAACGGCCTCTAATCACACAGAACGGTTGGTTCCGAACCTAAAGAAGCGCGTCAAGGAAATGGACGATCATCTGCGGTATGTCGCCCAGAATCGAAATACTATCGCCATCGAATCTGTGGAGCTCATGCAAGCCATCACCAAAATCACATCCCTCCGCACGAGCGTGAAGGACCATATCAACATCCTAAATCAATCCGAAGACGACATGACTACATTTGACTACCTGCGTCTCATCCATCAACTCCCATACATGTATGCCTCTTTCATGGTGGAGGCGATACGACGTCGTGAATGGAATGATAAGATCAAATCTGACTCATCGACCCTGGCCAATGAAATGGCCCTTTTCCAGGACGAAGAATCCAAGAGACGTAGGAAATGGCAAAAGATGGTTGGCAGTACTTATGGTCCAAGCTTCGAGGCGAATGTGATAGGTTTGGAAGTTAGTATATTGGGAGAGGACCACTCATGGCCGTCGGCCCAGAAAGAGGAACTGGATGAGTTTTTGGACTCTCTACGGTCACAAACAGTTGATGAGGCCTTACTCTCAGATATCGACCAGCTCCTCCAGCAGCTTAATAGCCCGACAAGGCAGCAGACGAAACGACTAAAGGCATTCAAAAACGGCAGTATGCATGAGGCTGCCTTGGGCCGGAGTGGCTTGATGATCCGGGGCGATGATGATCTTCTGAGATCTCTCCAAGATGATAAGTCGAAGCTGGAGAACAAGCTCAAGACGGCGGAAAGTAGGGTCAGGCGCCTCGAGGACTTGCTTCATAGACAAACCCACGTTTCCCGACCCGGAAATCTGTTTCAGGCTCAAGTTGCACCATCTCATGAACGAACTGGCTCTACCTCATCCATCAAATCAAGCCGCCCAGAAGACCGCCGCTCGTCAGATGGCTCGGAAGCTTTGATGCGGAAGATAACCCAGCTAGAGAATGAGCTTCGAGAGGAGAAGGAACGGTCATCTCGTATACAGCAGGATTTGAGCAACCGTGCAACGCAACATGACGATATGAAGGACCAGATACAAGAGGTCAACTTGACCAAGAAGGATCTTCTCCAGAATATGGAAGCTCTAGAACGCGAGTTTGTTGAAGAGAGGAAATCCCTTGAGGGCGAAATCAGGGCCCTGAAAACGCGCCTCGAAGACGCTGAAGATGAGATAGAACACTTTGGGGACTCCCGCATGAAGGACAAGGCGCTATATGATGATCGTGTCCAGGAGCTTGAGACGGAGATTGACCGCATCGGTCGGGAACGCAACGATGAGTCGCTTAAAGCCCAAGGACAGGTTGACTTCCTTAGAACTGAGGCACGGATGCAGAGAGAGCAGCGTGACGCATTGGAAACCCAGCTTCAGGCAGCCCAGGAGGATGCCCGAGATGCACACAAGAAGGTTCAAGCCTCCGAGGAAGTTGCAAAGACCTATTTGGAGTCTCTCCAGAAGGTCTTCTCCATCCTGGCACCGGATGTCTCGATTCCAGACGAAGCCGCCGACTTGACCGACTCAGTTCAGACCTTTGTAACGGATCTTTTGGCGAAGCTCCAGAACTTGGAGTCCGATACGGAGCTACTCAAGTCTGATTTGGATCGAGCTTTGAATACGGTCAAAATTGTGAAAGCTGACCTTGCCGAAACCAAGGACAGGCTGTCAACGGAAGAAGCAGCCAGCATCCACCTTCGAGAGAACTCGTCTGAGGAGAAGGCTAAGGTTGATGTCTTGGAGCATGAGCTAACTGAAGCGAAGGAGGAGCTGAGCAGCTTACGGGCTCGCTTATCTGACGGCGAGACCGGTTCAGAAACCCTCAGGAAAAAGCTCGATGAAGAGGAAAAGAAGGTTGTCAATCTCACCAAAGATATCGCTTCTCGACAGTCCCAAGTTGGTGGTTTGGAGGAAGAACTGCACTTATACAAGGAGAAGTTGGATTCAGAACATGAGAAATTGGCCAAGCTCTCCTCACTTTACGAGAGCCGGGATGAACGGTCCAAAGACCTTACACAACGCCTGTATTCCCAAAATGACCGAATTTGCCATCTTCTGGAGAGGATCGGTTATTCGGTCACCCGCCAAGATGGCGAGATTGCAATCAACAAGATTCCTCGCGCAGAGAGGACTCCACCGAACGCGAACGACTCTTCTGACCCTAGCAACTCGATTCGGAAATCTACAACCCTGGGCGCTCGGGCATTGCATGACAGCGGGGACCTGGACCTCCTGTATTGGACAAACAATGACGATGCTTCCAAGGAAGCCGATGATTACCGTGCCTTTATCAACAAGCTTGGGGATTTCAACGTTGACCTCTTCTCAGAGACTGTCTATCATAGAATCCGAGAGGTAGAGCACAAGGCCAAAAAGTGGCAACGTGATGCAAGGTCTTATAGAGAAAGAGCACATCAGCTGCAAAGAGACTCGCATGAAAAGATTGCCTTCAAACACTTCAAGGAAGGCGATTTGGCACTTTTCCTACCCACCCGAAATCAACAGGCTGGTGCTTGGGCGGCATTTAATGTGGGGTTCCCACACTACTTTCTCCGGGAGCAAGACGCTCATCGTCTTCGCCAACGAGAGTGGCTTGTTGCACGAATCACTCGCATTGAGCAGCGTGTTGTTGACTTATCCAAGAGTCTTCAGCCTGGGAACGAGACTGGTACGGCAAATGGTGAAGAGAATGATAATCCCTTCCAGCTATCAGACGGCCTCCGATGGTACCTAATTGATGCGCAAGAGGATAAGCCAGGGGCACCAGCCACACCTGGCATGGGTAAGTCGACAGTTGCCTCAAATAACGTTGAGGCAGTGGCCAATATTCATACTCGCGCAGCTGGTGCGAAGGGCAAGAACAGAGATAGTGTTGCGAGCATCGAGGGCATCAACAAGACACTTTCTAAGAGCCTGGAGAGCCGTCGGAGTAGCTCAAGCTCTAAACGGGCACACCCCCTCCTCAAAACCAACGCGGTGGCAAGCGAGACGAACTCCCTTCGCGCGGGTGCGGTCGAAACACCGGTGGCTACGAGTCCACTGCAGGGAGGCGTTCTGTCAGCGGCAGATTTCGACAGGTCCAAGGCCACTGCCTCTGCGAGCCTATCCAGGTCTCCAGAGCGTGGCAGAGCCGCTCGGGGAAACCCAGGCCCAACACAACGTGACGGACCACCAGAGCAAGAGGCTGCCCCGTCGACCCCCGAGGTACGCAAACTTGACGCCTTGCTCGGCCCATAGGGACATAAACGCTGATATTTGTACGACTCGCTTAGCGGCAGAGGACACTTTTGCGACAGGAGTCAACGGGCAGCCCAGCAAAAGGGTCCGTCGTGTGGGATGCGTTATGGAGTGTGGATTATAGCTATGGAAGCCCGACGAAAAAGTAACATCTTGTCCGAACTGTTTTTTTTTGTGGAGGGATAGCCAAGCGAAATTGTAGATTGGGTTATTATTTGGGACATATACATGTGTTCAGGTAGCTGGCGTTTGGTTGGATCTTTTCGGGCATAGAGGTGTCTGGGGTAACAACGGAGACAATTCTATTATCGTATTTTGCGTTTCGGTCTTCTATTGGCCTGTTCTTAGATTGCTTTGGTGAATTTTTCTAAATTTTATTAAAATGAGTTGCCAACTACTAGGAGCAAGACGAGTTGTTTTCGAGCCTTGCTAGCTACGTAGAAATGTTGTATTTTAGACCGACAACGAAAAGGAAATACCCATTGCGGCCTCATCGAGCCTCCAGGGTAGGCTGCATTTGGGGAAGAAAGTGGAGGATATACTGCAATGATCGATGCCTATTCAATTAGTGTCTACCTGGTAATTAATACTTGCAGCATCAGAATTTGCTGGCGGGTTGTTGGGCTACATTAACCCCGTATAATTGAGACCCGGTCCCGAGGTTGCTTTGAGAGTCTCCTCAATCAGCCAACCAATCATCGCGTCCAATCCCTTACAATGATGTGAGCGCAACCTCTTCATTAGCCATGGAGTCCTCCTCCGATCGACAAAGCACTGCGGCCAAGCAGCCCAGACTGCCCCCGGAGCTGCTTCACCATGTGGTTGAGTCCGTGCTGCCCTCGAATACGCGGGCCCTGATCCCTACAACACACCCTTCTACCAAAACGCTGCTCGCCTTGACAAGGGTCTCGCGCGTCACCTATCTCGTCGCGTCGAAGCTCCTTCGGCAGCGATGTCTCTACATCGACTCCAGCCGGCGGCTGAGTGACATGCTACTATGCATGGACCGGTTCGTGCCACGGCTCCCCCCAACGCTGTCGCTGCGATGCATCACGTCGCTCTACCTGGCGCCCTTCCCCGCATCGTCGCTCGACGACCAGCCCACGGCCATCTGGGTGCGGGAGCTGTTCTGCGAGGTCTGCGAGACGCTGCGGCGGCTGGTGGTCGACATGCCGTTCGACACCCTCGACCCCCTGGACGACCACCTCAACGTGAGGCGCACGCTGCGTGAGGGGTTCGAGCAGCTCGGCAGGCTGGAGGAGTTTGTGTGCCTGGGCCAGTACCCGGCCCTGAGCGTGCCGGACGCGCACACGGACGTGTGGAGGCTCTGGCCGGACCTCAGGCGGCTGGTGCTGTTCAACGTGCCCGCCGACAGCCACTGGCTGTGGTGGGACGTCGCCACGCTTCCCAGGCTGGTGCACGTCGTGCTGGCGAGGCCGCGGCGGCTGGGGGCGGTCAACATCAAGGACGAGTACTTCCACAAGCTGCCCCGGGACGACGCCCGGCTGGAGCGGGAGATCAAGATCGTGCTCATGGACACGGCCGAGGACCTGCCCACCGTGACGTGCGCGAGGTGGGAGGAGATTGATCCCAGGGGGAGTATGACGGTCGAGCAGATCCATGTGCCGACGTCGTTCTACGGGGATGAGACGGCGAGCGCGCTCGTGACGGCCTGGGTGCGGCGAGGAGCCTTGGAGGGGACGCTATGGGATTGGTCTGGGGAGCAGATTGGCAAGGCACCGGCGCGTTCGGCGCCTGCCTCGGCGTGAATGACAGGGAAGGGCGACAATTACGGATGGTAGGATGGCTACTTGATGTATATCTCACTTTCTCGGTCTTTGTTTCTATCATTTTCTCCATTGCAAGCAATCTTGAAGGCCAGAGGAGTCACAAATAGAAGGGCCAGAGCCATAATCACTTAGTTGATACCATTTAATTTACCAAATATTGGCACCAGTGAGAAACACGATATATCAGGGTGGTGCCTTTTCCCTGGTCTCATGACAACACTTTTCGACCATGATTGATTTAATCTGGCGTGATATCCTGCTATCGTCCGGCTACTCTCATGATGACAAGATCCACAAGGGAGGGCTTCGAGCTTGAGTAAGGCTTGGATAAGTACATAAGACCTACCTACTTTGAATTGTGGTGGCATAGGCGAGGCTGTGCTAGATTCAACAGCCATTACAACTCGTGCTGTGCCATTAACCCGTCCTTAGTGCACGTTGGGCTAGTTCCCTTCTCGAAGATTGCTAATGCAATTACCCTGGACGAGAAGGTTGGATCGAAGCAGCCACCCGATTACGTACTACAGACTTAGCAAAACGGCTTTGGCAGGTGGAAACGGTAGTGAGATTTCAGAGCCGAGTACGGCGTACCCTGGACCAATAGCTAACTCGAACGAGACTTCAGGAATGGAGCGCGCATGTCCGCGCCCACGCATCGACCTTCGGTCTGTCGTTTTGGCAATGCTGGAGTTCGAGTCTGACCTGCACTCCACTTGACTCCTCGGCTCTTCTCCAGACCAACCGACAGAAATAGGACGGGGCCCCGTCGTTGATTAATCCATCTGGACAGTGCCGCTCCCACAATCGACCTCCCAATCCGAATTACCTAGTCTCACCTCTCTCCGCAACACCTCGACCAGCGCCTTGAGCACCAGCTGCCCTCGCCCGCCCGCCTTCTCTTGCGTTGCCCTACAGCCACGCCCGACAACGACCGGCGACGACAGCAATTTTCTCCAACCTTGCGCCTGCCCCGTCTCACCTCCATTCGACCCTTCCGTGAACTGGCCGACTAACTTCGCTAATATCTGCGATGTCGCTCCAGATATAGCTCAATTCAGAAATCCCTACCCACACCCCGTGGTGCGCAAGCCCGAGTTTTCGCAACGACGATCCGCTCGAGGAAGATATGCTACGCCAGCTACTGTAACGAGTCGCCCTGCTTCTTCTTCAATACCACTTCCCCACTACCCTTGAACCTCCTTTATCCCCTTACTCTCGAATTCCCGTGTTTCCGAATTTGCCCCCCCCACCGTTCCGTCCGTCCCCCGAAACCTCCGAACTCTACGGGGACCGGAAGCAGGCTATATCTGCAGCCTAAAAAAACGCAACTATGCAGAATAGACCGGCGACCGTTGTATCGTACGCAGCCGGAGCCTCTCTCGCTGCTGTCGCACTCATCTATGTGTTTGGCCCGACGTTTACGCTCGACGATGACGCCAACTCGTCCCGGAAGAAGACCATAGTTGGCCTGCGCAACCAAGCCAATGACTGCTTCATCAACTCGGTCCTCCAAGTCCTCGCCGGCCTCGACGACCTGCGAATCTACCTCATCCGCGAGACACACCGCCGGCGTATCGAGAATCCGGGCGTCTACACCTTTGTTGTCCAGCCGGATGGGAAGAAGGTGCCTGAATGGAAGCTACAAGGGCTCCAGGAGGGTTTGGTGACCCAGGGATTGAAGGAGATGTTGGATGCGTTGAATGAGCGGCCCATCTACAAAAAGTCAATCTCCCCCTTCCCCATTGTTCGTGTTCTTGAAATGGCGTTCAGACAAAAGATTAGTCGGCAGCAGCAGGATGCGCAGGAATTTCTACAGATTGTGGCCGAGAGGCTTAAGGATGAGTATCATGCCGGTAGACGGGCGCGAATGCACACACGCCGCTATGGCTTGACGCCGAGTCCTTCCACCGTGGAGCTGAAGACGGCTGCAGAAAAGAATGGCTCGAATGCCGCCAGCGGAACCGAGGGCGAGAGCGAGGGAGATGAAAAGGCCGGGACCGAAGAGCAGCCCAAGACCACGAATGGATCCAGTAGCAATTCGAGCATCGAAACGCCGGGAGACGAGCCTGCCAGCATACCTCTGGAGCTTGAAGATAACTTCCCAATGGAAGGTAAATACGAATCGCAATTACAGTGTCTGACTTGTCGATACAAGTCGAAGCCGAGGGAGGAGACGTTTTGCACACTTACTTTGGCGGTGCCGCAGGTATCCTCTACATCGCTAAACAGCTGTTTTGATGGAATATTCAAGACGGAGCATATTGACGATTTCAAGTGCGAGAATTGTAGGCTGCTTCAAACGAGGACGAATCTTGAGCATGATATGGCAAAGTCTACATCCGAGACTTTTAAGGCACAGGCGAAAGAAAGCATCGACAAGCTCACAGAGGCGATTGAGACAGATCCCGAGAGACCTCCGGAGGACGTGGAGCTCAGCGATATCCGGTTCGCGCCGAAGCGGAGGATCGCAAAGACGACACGCATGACTACGTTTCCCAAGATTCTGGCCCTGCATCTCTCTCGATCCATCTATGGAGTCGGCCAGATGACCCAGAAGAACTCGGCCAAGGTTTCGTTCCCTGAGCATTTATCTTTGGGAGGATTGGCCCAGCAACACAAATACAAGTTACTGGGAGTGGTGACGCACAGGGGCGGACACAACAGTGGGCACTACGAAGCGTTCAGACGCCAGAATCAGCCACGGCCCCCGTTCGCCAATATCAATACGTTCCAGCCTTCAGAGGTCTACAGCAAAACTCCCACGCCGGCGGCGACCCCGAAAATCCAGGCAAAGCGGGTGGCGGCCAGCCCTGCAGTGTCCACCCCTGATCTCCTTTCCTCGTCGTCCCTGAACAACTCATCTACCCCTTCATTGGAATCGATGGTCGCAGCAGCACCGAGGAGCATACCGCAGGAGCCGGCACTAGCCGTGGCAGTAAATGGCAAGGATGGGTCAGACAAGGAAAAGGATGGTGATTCGAGCAGCATCCGTTCGGCAATGGCGTCCACCAAATCCGCGCTCTCGCGAATTGCCTCCCCTAAATCAAAGGACGACGGTGGGTTGCTGTCGCCGAAGTCCGGAATCCAGCCCCCACGGAGACGTAAGCACGGTCCCGAGAAGTGGTGGCGTGTGAGCGACGAGAAGGTGCGGGAGTCGAAGACGAGCGAGGTCCTGGGAATGCAAAAAGAGGTCTACCTCCTGTTCTACGAACTGGAGAAATAGAGGATCGACGACCTCTATGCTTCCCAAAGGAAAGGCGGGCGTAAGAGAGACAAATAACATGTAGTTCCGCAATTGTCGAAGAAAGAGGAGCAACGGCTGAACGTCTCTCATCCGACCCCCCTCCCCCGTCTTCTCACCCCTTCCCGGCCGGTTCTTCATCTACGTATCGGCTGATATTTGTTTGATTGGCGCGGTTGACCCTGTCTTGTGTGCGCCTTGTAGACCTAGACAACTTCTCTTGTACTGGCTTTCACATGCCCATTGATGTTTTCTTTTTCCTCTGGTCCCCACTCTGGTTTGGATTGAATGGCGTAAATTAAAAAGGCATTGGCATCAGTAGCACATTTTTCATTATTTTTGGGTCACGCATGTTTCTTAGTTTTTTCTTCGGGGATGGAGACATGGGGGATGGGGCTGCATCGGTATGGGGACTGGATGGTCGGATCCGGCTGGATAGATCAGGCAGACAGGCATCAGAAAAAAAACAGATACATACTATGTATACTTGCAGCAGATTGCCCATGCAAGTCTGGGGAGAGTGAGCAGATGCCAGAGCAGATTCTTGCCTTGGTCAGACAATGATGACGGAGTGCCGAACGGGGAACCTCTGCGAACTGCGGAATGGCACATCTATACGACCCAGCGCTCTGCCGTGTGGGAGATGGTGTACATACATGGCAACCTCCGCCCTTGGGCATTGGCCAATGATCGTGCTGAGACTCGGCAAGGTATATACCTGTCTGCAGGCGCGAATAAACTGAAAATCTACAGAAATCGTACTATGTGCAATCCGATTACTGGGTTATAACGGCTTATAACGGCAACCATTTTTGCCACTCCGGGCTGTGCGCTAATTCGCCCGGCGGGCTCCGTCTTGCGTGAGAGTCTGATGCTACCGCACGCACGGGGGAAGAAGCCGGCAGCGACGGACTGCCCACTGATTACGGGAGAGAGCGTCGCAGCGGGCTCAATTGGGAGAGGGGAGGGGCAATGGAGGTATCGCTCGTCTCATCCACAGGCAGCGGAGCGGCGGAGGGTGGCCTCGGACTGGATACTCAAAGTCGCAATGCGATGCTCTGGAGAGAGCCTGTCGTGTGGGTGAGCCTGTGACATGCCGGGAAGCAGTAGGGTCGTAATATGGGCGGTTTAAAACTGCTGACCCTGGCCTGGCCTTTACATTCAGCCCAGGAGGACGGCCAGGAGGGAGAAAGAGGCAGCCGGGAAGAAAAGGAAGATAAACGCACCCGGGGATGGGGCGATATATCCATATATCCATATCCAAGTCATCCACATGATGAGAGGTTGGTGGTACGTCAGTACTTTGCTGGTATCGCGCTGCGGTTAGGTCCGCCGTAATCTGTCCCTGGGCGTGAGTTGGGGTAGGTGTAAACGCAGTCCAAAAGCAGGTACCTGCAAATGTGGGCCGCGGCTGGAATAGGAAAACCGTTAAATGGGTTGTGCGCAACGGGAGCAGGAAAAGGTCCCGTTCTTCGTATCCAATCCCAACGTGCCTCGGCGCACCACTGCGATCGCAGACTTGTGGCCTTGGGCGCGATTTCAGCTGGGGCGAGGCCCATCGTCCGTTCCAGCAACCGAGCTGGCACATAGACGCGGAATTGGTTGCGCCAACAGACCCGACAAAGCTCCTAGCGCTGCGCTAGCAAAGCCACTCTCCCGGGCACTAGCACATTAGCCCTGGTGGACCAGCAAGCTCAGGCCAGTTCAGCAGGCAGCGCTGGCCCCGACCACCAGGTACTGCAATTGGCACTTCCCAGCTAGCACGATAGAGTCTCCCCCAACTAAGACCTCCCAGGCTAGGGCCCCGGGCTCAAACAACGGTACCTGAGTTTTCTCATCAAGATCAATGTGTAAAAGGCCCCAAGCTGCGGACTGTCTCATCAAGGCCGCCCGGCCCTGCCATCCTGCCTGCCATCTATAATTATCCGGATCACTGATAATCACATAAGCACGTACGTACGCACGCACGCCCATTTCACCAGCAGGCTGCGGGGAGGCAGCCGCAGCTCCAGTTCTTCTGCGATCCGTCTAAGCAGGCCAATTGGCGCGCTCAGCCGGCTTTCGGATGCAGCGTCAAACCGTACGATTTTTTGTTGTCATCCCGTCCCGTCCCAGCTCAGCAAGAGCAATTCTCGGGGTTTGTCGATCCGCCGCCCATGTCCCCCCCATTGTCCCACCCCTGGTCTCTTCGAAATCTAGCTATTCCTGCCTGTGACCCCGTTCCTGCGCTCTCCGGACCGACCTGATCGAGTGCAACCTCTCGCTTCCTGAGCCCTTCTTGGCAGATTTGTGCTGAAGAATTCCAAGCATCGAGCTCACCCAACCAGACCGGGGCCGTTTGCTCGTTCTCCTGGTCGGTCCCATACCATCCCTCTCTCCTCGCTCTCTTTCCTCCCCCCCCACGCTCCCAATATTTGCCCACACCCACCCCTTGAGCTGCATGGGTTACTTCGGAGAGCTGTATGCATACCTAGAGCGTATTCCTGCCCACTGTTTCCCAGCGACCTTTGATGTACTACGTGACCCTACAGGCTTGCAGCCACGCCGGGGCAATAAGGATTACAGTAAGCGCCTAAGCGAGCCTCGCCCTATGCCGGTCCGCAGCCCGGGCTTGGCCTCGCCTGATTCCGAGCTCTTCCCCCATGCCGCCTTGCATTGGACAGCACAACAATTCTGATGCCCTTGGACTAGGGCGCCCGTCCTCCCCTGGCTGTCACTCCCCAGGTGTCAAGTGTCCTCGCCCAATCGGTGCTTGCATAATACACTGCTGTTCATAATTCCGATAATTCAAAGGCATGGCCTCGGCAGACTCGAGGGTTGGCGGCCAGGGTGCCTGCACCACCTCGACCGATCCTCCTCTGGATCAGCCTCCTCCGCTGTCTCGCTCGATTCCAACACCAAAGCAAACGACATCTCCCAACTCTCATGCCCGCTCTCTCGTCCCGGTCCCCTTTGTCAGCGCCAACGTTGCCCCTGCCAGCGCCGACGCTGCCGACACTACCGCCACCACCGCTGCTGCTACCACCACCACTACTACCAACTCAACCACCAATAGTAGTACCGCTCCTGCAAACACGGCCGCCGCACCAGGAGCCGCCGGTCCTGCGCCCGAAATTGAGCAGAACGGCGGCAGTAAGACTTCAGAGGGCGAGACGGAGATGTCGGGCCACCACCAGCCGCCCGGAAGCAGCCCTCGTGGCCCCGCGAGCTACCCCGCGGCGCCTTCGTTGTCCTCGTCCTCAGCAGCAGTGTCCTATCCCCATCCGCCTCAAAATCACTACGCGCCTTACAACCACCAGCACTCTGCGCCCCCGCCGCCCTCCGATGCTGCCTACCGAGCCAGCCCAGCCCCCAGCAACTCCATGACTCTCCCAAGCATGCGAACGATCGATTCGATGACACAGTCGGCCTCCCACAGCGCAGGCCCTAGCCAGAGCCTGAGCGCACCTATGCCTGCTGGTTCTGGGCCCATGTCGTCGTTCTATCCAGTCCCCCAGTCGTCGACGCTGGCCTCGAATTACGCCATCTCACCGGAGGTCGTGGCTCGTTATGCGGCCATGCCATATAGTCCGAACAGCGTGCTGCATCGCGCACCTAAAAAGGTACGAGCTCATTCCTGTGCATCGAGAGCTTATGGGGGAAGGCGACGTCGGGAATCTCTTCGCAAGTGCTCGAGAGGGGGCCGTCTTCGACCTTCTCTCCTGAGGACCGGGAGGGCCGGAGAGCGCAAGAGGAGGGGAAACATGTTTGAAACGAAGCAGTGCCCGGGATGAATCGGACGGGGAAACTACAAGAAAGACTTCCTGGACGAGAGAGAAATCACAACTTGGACTAACCTCTTGCCTTTTTTCTTGCTAGGAGATCAAGCGTCGCACGAAAACTGGCTGCTTAACTTGTCGCAAGCGCAGAATAAAGGTGAGCACGCGCGGTTTTTCTTATTGTTTCCTTTCTTTTTCCACGAGGCGCCCTACATGGTCCGAAGACGGCACTACGCTTTTCCTATTTCTCTCCGCTTCTTCCTCTGTTTTGCGCTTTCGCTTTACGGATCATGATCAGCAGGAATGGCCCGAATTTTCTGATTGGATTTTTGGCCCTTCTTTCCAGATTGAAGCGGGCAAAACCAGATGCGCACGCGACAACATGGGTGGCACCAATCGTGAATGCGCAGCAGTGCGTAGGAGCCATAATGACATGATTGCGATGCAGGGAGGTCAGGGATTCGAAGCCGGTCAGCCAGTCTTGATCACGAATTGTTCCGAACCCAGGAAGAAGAAAAAGAAAAAAATTCAGCCGACCCGCTTCATTCCCTTCCCATGATTCCATTCCTCACGACTCCGCTGCTGTGCGGCGCAAGTGTGAAGGCTCGCCCGATGCTGGATGAGAGGACGCTTGCACACGTGGTGACGATGCAGGCAATTATGCAATTATGCAGCGTTGCGCGTGGTGGAGAGCAACCACCACATCGCGCGTCGCAGCCGCTCCCGCTTCCGCTCCCCTCCCCCACCATCAGAAAGTGCATTGACTGCGACGGAGCCTTCCAATTGCCTGCCCTGTGGTCGCTGCCCTGCCACTCTGCCCTAATACACATGTTCGCTGCATGCACCTGCACCGTGCTGCCTGCTTGACCGACTCTCCCCTCCCCCTCAGCCTGTTCCCTGCCCGAGCTCGCCTTGATTGTCTCCTGGCATTGCTGGCGCGTTTGCCCGTTGGAAGTCTGCTGTCCGTGACATCAGCTCGTAATTAGCAGATCCGAACCCGCAACTAACAGCCTAATTTCCTTATAGTGCGACGAGGGCCACCCGACGTGCAACAACTGCAAGAAGTCGAGGCGCGATTGTCTGGGGTACGACCCTATTTTCCGGCAACAGACTGTGAATCTGGGCAATTCCTACAGCCCGGCCTCATCTTCGGCCACAACTGTTTCAACCCCTCACTCTCAGGTGGCATCTCCCCCGGAACACTCCAGGATACTCCCACCGCCTACATCCCGCCACCAAGGTGCTCCCCATTCTCACATCGGATCAAATTCCTACGGAGCCCAGCCAACTGCCAGCTTGAGCAGCTACTCATCTGCATCCTCGAACGGCCCTCTCCCACCGCCGACGAGCTCTTCACCCTACCATAACCCGAACGTCAAGAGTGAGCCCGGCGATAGCAAATCCGGCATCAAGCTTGACCTCAGCCCGGCTTTCCATTCTTCCTCCTTGAACGGTTCAGATCACCGGGTTTTGCCTCCACCGAATCCAGGGACAGACGGGTCGAGATCCAGCCACCAACACCTCAGAGGTAAGGCCCATTTTTACTGAGCCTCTCCTCGTAGGATCCACGACTCACCCGGTGTGAAAACAGGAGAGAAGATGAAGATTAATGACATAATCAATTTGCTGGGCCCTCCTCCTCCTCCCCAGCAGGCCAATTCTTCCGAGGAGGAGTTCAACGAAATCACTCGGGTGTATCATGAGATGTATGCTGGGAGCCTGAGTGCCTTCTTCGAAACAAGCTGGTACTATTTCGTGGAAAATGGGCAAATGACTTTCCCCAGGGATCCTGGGTTAATCGAGGGCATGGCAGCGTTTTTGAAGGTCCTACAAACTGTCAAGGCAAATGACCACGTCCAGATGTCTTACTCGGGAGTTTTGGAAACCAGGGTGGTCTGGCAGCTGGCCTGCACTGCGTCCTGGGCTGCGGCTGACAACACTTCGAATTCTACGCGCACATCGCTGCCACCCGATGGCGATGCGGTGGAGGCGAAGAACCGGCTGAAGGTTGTCGAGGCGTTGCTGTGTGGCGACTACCTCGCATCGAACCCTCTAACTCCGCCTTCGCAAGATCGAGATACTGTTCGGATGCGTCAATTCGACTTTTGGTACCAGTTGGGAGAGTTCGTGCGAATCCGAGAGCTCCCAAATGCACCACCCGCGGTCAAAGCTAGGGATGACGTACTGAACAAGATGCGGCATCTTCTCGACGGTCGGGAGAACCGGGATGTGCTCTACTCTATTGCCGTGGTGAGGGAGCTGGCTCCCCAATTCGACCCCAACTACGCTAGCTCGGTTCCTCAGCATCTCGACGAGGCGGACCCGAAGAACCGGCTCGCAGTGGCTTCCAAGTTTATTCTCGACGAGTCACAGGTGACGGGGGGAACCACAAACGTCGTACGGCGGTTCAGTGATATTGCCGCGCGAGCTTTTGTCAACCCCGGAGTGAACGTTGCGAGGGCTGCCCAATGAGAAACCTTTCCTTTCCTTTCACTTTCTCTTGTTACTATTTTGGTTTTCTTTTCTCTTTTTTTTTTTTTTTTTTTCATTTTAGAAAAGGAGCCAAAAGCCACAAGGCACTGTATCTGCTCTATTGGGCTTTTGACTTGATTTTCAAAGTCGGGATTGCGCACGCCTTCCGTCATCGGATGGCACATGGACAACAATTTGATATGGCAAGCATAGAAGGGAGAGCGAAAAAGCTTTGTGCTATATTACGACGGGAGATTACTAGACCTCCTTTCAAGGCGTTTGTTTTTTTACATGGTGGGATGTTTCTGCAGGTTTCATTTATCCACCAGGGGATTTTCTTTACAGTCGATTCGGGTTAGACATGCATGGATCGACACACCAGGGTTCTCTTTCACAACAAGGCGTAACTCTTGACTTTACCAAATACATAAGTACATATGTATGCAGTCAAATAATTTCAGGCATTGCAAGGAGATCTGAGGGGAAGATCGTGCTCCTTGCGAGCATAGGGGGTGGATAGACGCAGCGGGAAAGCATATAAGGGAGAGAGAAAATGTGTGAGGACTGCGTGCGAGGCTCTTTGGTGGTGGATAAATGTGGTAAAATAGTAGGTATGTTGTTGGTATGAATGAGAGACGGGTTTATTGTCTTCGCAGGCAAACAAGACGGATTATTGTCTGTGGCCAGCCGACGAATAGTGACTGGGTGAAGACAAAGAAAATGATTTCTTCACCCGACCTCTTTGCAGTGCAACGACGCCCAAGCAGATGATCGATCGCGTTGCTTCCCGAATCAAACCAAACTAGGACAGTCAGCTTTGCCCCTCGAATCCATCGACCCAGGCAGAGCCAGATTCTGCCAAAAAGGTACGAGATGGTGATAAGCTGGGACAAATAATGCCGCCTAGGTGACGTTGTCGGAGAGCACCTTCTGATCTGATGGACAGACCCTAAAAGCGGTGACACTGAATCACGATCGCTCCCATCTGCGAGCACTACAAGTTCGGATCCAGATGCTGCCGCAGTTCTGAGTCCACGATCGTCTATCAAAGGAAAGAGGCAAGCTCTCCGAGGCTCCCTTTTCCTTTTCCACCTATCTTTACTGTTTGAGTTGTTGAGAGTTTACGGTATATCCTGTTGGAAATCGAGTCGCCATGCAGTCGGGATAGCAGCAAAACAGATTATCGACTAATATTCGACTAGCATTATTATTATTCACGACTCTCTTCGCCAGGAGGAAGAGGGAGAGAAGACTACGAAAAGAAAGCAAACAATTATCTATTCACTTGTTCTCGATGTGCAAAACTCGGGCTGTTTTCTGTCGCAACCGGGGCTGTCGCAAGATCGTCGGCGAGTTGATCCTGGAGCCGTGCGAGGAGGCGACAAGACCGACGGACTCATCGACGAGGATCACCACCCAAATACACGACGCATTGTCGAGCAGCGCCTGCCGATCGGAAGAGGCCGAGACGAACGGGGAGGAGGAGTGGCTCGCGGAGGCTCGACCGTACCTCTTTGGTTGTGGATACAAGGAATATACGGAACGGCACCGATGCGGGTATCGAGTCTGTGACGGCTGTTTCCAGCGGCAGATGATGGCGTATATCCTGGCGCTTGCGGAGAATGGGATAGAGAGCGAGGACGGGGAGCCGTCGCTGCTTGCTAGGAGGCAGCATCTCAGCTTGTATGGAGATCTCGGGGGAGAATGCCAAACACCACGCGAGATGTGTGCACAAGATCCGACATGGTCGCCAGGCTATCCTGCCATGCTGAACGATGACATGGTTAAGGTTGAAGACCCGGAGCTCCTGGTTAATTCGGCTCCTGGGGTTTATCGAGCGACTCCAGGGATGATGGACGATATCTACGATGGCCCGTTTGTCGATGGTGGTCAATTTCAGCCTGCCCCAGCTCAACTGCAGCAACAAGTTTTGTATCCGGGTCAGGCTGAACCGTATCTTTACCAAGATCCAGGGTCGAGTTTCCAACCAACTGGCTTGGAGGATCCTGGTATGTTGGCGATAGATCCTCAACTGCTTGATTGGCGGCAGAGCGAGCCTCAATTGTTAGACTTTCTCATGCAGCCGGCCGCAGCGCCTATTGAAGCAGCACCAACCGGGGACCCGAGTTCATCTATAGAAGACACGAGAGACATCGCGAATGCGGATATTCTGAAGTGGGAGGCCAATGTTGAAGCCCAGGCAGGTGGCCATGACCCGGCGTTTACACACTTGCTGGAGGAGGCCGTCTGTGGCGGGGATGTGGGGAGTCATATGTGGAATCAAGATGTGGTTTGGGGCGCAAGCGGATATTATTCATGAGGCATGGTTATTAAGGATTATTTGTATTGATTATGATGGTGTGTGGGATCAGCGGGATAAGGAGTGATGCGGGTTCAAACAAGTAGAGATAGCAACGGGAATCGAGTCTCATCGCAATGCGATTTAGTTTGTCAAAACGAGCCGACAAACTTGGAGGTTCTTTTGTGTTTTCGATGCTTATCTCGGCACTTAATTGCCATTTCCCCTGCACCGGTCATGTACTAAATCAGCTTTAATCCGTGCAACGACGTGGATGAGTCATTCCTGGATAGGATGGTGTGTGTATCAAGCCAGCCTTGTTGACTCACAACATGAGCGAAACACGATATAACACCATTACGGCAGTTCCTTTTCGCCAACTGGGCTCTACAATATTGATTTATATTTCAAGCTTTTGGTTTCCTTCTACTCGGGCTAAACCAGTCTAAATCTAACAAGTTGTGAATTTCGAATTTGTGACCACCATTTTTCAAAATGGCCATCCGCGCTCTTATATCACCTTCGCCTCCAAGCCCAGAACCAGGCACAATCCTTCTTGAGACCGAGAGGCTCCTCATCCGCCGCTACATGCTGAGCGACGCTCCTGCCCTGGCGGAGATCGGTAACGACCCGCAAGTGGCCATCTTTATGAGCGACAGATTCCCCAACCCATACTCAGTCGAGGATGCGGAAACCTTCATCAAGAACCTGAACCCCCAGCACGATCCGACCTCGCCGCCAGAGTACCCCACCACGTCTGCCGTGTTGCTAAAGGTTGCCCCCACAGATGGCCACCACCACACGCCGGCGGGCGACGGGCTCGTCCTCATCGGCTCCCTGGGCGTGCGGCCCAGGGCCGACGTCTTCTACCGCAGCTGGGAGATTGGCTACTTCCTCGGCCGGGACTTCTGGGGTAAAGGGTACGCCACCGAGGCGGTGTCGGCGTGGGCGCGGTGGATGTTCGCGACGTGGCCTGAACTGCTGAGGATCGAGGGCGGGCGGTACAGCTCCAACCCCAGGAGCGGTCGGGTCATGGAGAAGAGCGGGTTTGTGTTTGAGGGGATCAAGAGGAGTGCCGTTGTGAAGGATGGGGTGGTGCTGGATGAGTTGGTGTATGGGTTGCTGCGGAGCGATGTTGAGAAGGAGTCGACTTGAGGTGGTGTGTGGCTACTTGTTCTTGTGCAGAGTATGGACTCTGAAGTACCTTAGTACACCAACTCGGCTCTTATGTACTTGAGCAGGTAGATATGTGGCTTTTCTTAATGGAACGATACTTGATCTTGTTTACTTGCGGGCGAAGAGAGATGCCAATGTGTCCTATTGGGTGTTTTGATACGGTGGTGGGAGAGCAGGCTGCTCACTGACGGGCATAACGAGCTCTTGATGTATCCGGACCTCAAGAATGACCAAGTCAACTTTAAAAACCTGCATCTCGACCGTAAGAGGATAACTGGCCCTCTGGGGGGGCAGACACCTGGAGTTGATGCAGACGCTGCGCAGACCGTCATGCCTCCAGTTGCGGTTCGGGCACTGGAAGGCCTTGGCCCTGGACTGGTCGATCCTGAGGATCTTGAACGTCCTGCCCGCCGCCTTGATCATCTCGTCGATGTGGGCCAGCTGCTGCTCGCCGTGCAGGGTGACGGACTTGGGCCAGGTCTTGGTCGACACGGCGTCGAGGTACGCCCTGGCGAGGATCCAGTTGGCCAGCCTCTCGATCTGGTAGAACTCGGCCTGGTGCTGGAGGGCGTGGTACAGCGGGATGTCGTGGCCCTTTTCCACGTCATGCAGGAGCGGGAAGATGCCGGTCCGCAGGTAGCGGAGGATGTGCTCGAAGAGAGCGGGATCGGCGTCCACGAAGTAGGGTTTCTCGGGGTCCGGGTCCCGGAGATGAACCAGGGAGCTGAGGACGGAGCTCTCGGCGATTGTCTGCCTGGTTGTGTAGAACTTCTTCTCGCCAATCTGGAGAACAATTGGATCGATGGGACGGGGCCCGGCGTCGACAGATGCACTGGCTACTGAGGACATGCTTTGTAATTGCGAATTGAATATATATGAGGATTAGCCCAATTGGTTGGGCCTCGCCTATAGTAACTAAGAATATCCAATCGCTGTTGGCACGGGTAAATCTGTTTGAAGTTACACGAGACCAAGGACGCAAACGAGTATAGCAAGGAAGCAAGCCGATGGTGGAAGCTTAGAATCCTGAATGGAAGAGAGAAAGAATAAAGCGAGAACAAGCAGGAGGCCGGATATCTGCTATCATTATATATAAATATGTGGTGTCTACAGAAATAGCCTACCCATGTTAGAAGGATCACATAAAGCCTACAAAAAGAGCCCATTTGTTAACAAGGCCATTGCCAAGTTACATCACACGGTGACGCAGGGGCCATTCAAGGCTGATTGATTGACGCCCGATCATCTGCCACGCTTACATCCTGGTATCCATAAATGCCGTTAGGTGGTTGAAATTGCCTATACGCGCAGGGCGGTTTGATTTGCGTATGATGGCAGATCTGGGGTAGCTGCTGGTGATTAAGGTGCTGATTGATAGCCGGAGTGAAGAGTGTTAAAGTGTTTCTGGAGTCATGACCAAATGATTCTGTTGATTGTTCCCGGTACCTAAGAAGCGTTTATGGAGAGGTATCGCGGGTTACTGCAACGGGGATTATGCGTGCGCCTCGCTGCATCTCCACATCCACCGGTATCAATAGGTACCTGCGCCACCGAGCTCTCTAGGTACTGCGCCGGGAGCTACCAGATACCCGGGCGGGTGGCCGAAGGAATAATACCCGCACGGTGATTGGCCAGACAGCGCGAAAACAAAAATCCGAGCCCACCACACTTCTATCCTGAGCTTTGGTTTGCACGGCAAGCTGAGGAATCTGGACAAGCGGATGACGAGCACGGCCATCAAGTCGACCAAACGCAACGTCGTTGTGCCATTGACTGAAACCCCGTGCAAGAGGCTCTAACGGGAGACCACCCTCTTGCCTTCGACTGGCCATTGGCACGCTCTCCGCTCTATCCTCCTAACCGCCCGCAATGACCTATCTACATCGACTCGCCAGCCAGGGTGCCAGACGGCTGTGTCTGCGCCCGGCCACATTGGCCACCCGCCCCTTCTCGACGACATGCCTGCGAAGATATGCTGCTCCTGAGCCCGCGGGAACCAAGCTCATCCCCGTCGACGATGATTTCGCGCACCCTTCAGACCCCTACGGCGCGACCCGACTAATTCCTGGTGCCACCGAAAAGTCGCGCGAGAACTCGGTCGAGGACCGCAAGGTCCGCCACTACACCGTCAACTTCGGACCTCAACATCCCGCCGCCCACGGTGTGCTCCGTCTCATTCTCGAGCTCAATGGCGAGGAGATCGTTCGAGCCGACCCCCACGTCGGCCTGCTGCACCGTGGTACCGAGAAGCTGATCGAGTACAAGACCTATCTCCAGGCTCTGCCCTACTTCGACCGTCTAGACTACGTTTCCATGATGACCAACGAGCAGTGCTTCGCCCTCGCCGTTGAGAAGCTTCTGAATGTCGAGATTCCCGAGCGTGCCAAGTTTATCCGAACTCTGTTCGGTGAAATCACCCGTATCCTGAACCATCTCATGTCCGTCCTTTCCCACGCTATGGATGTCGGTGCCCTGACGCCTTTCCTGTGGGGTTTCGAGGAGCGAGAGAAGCTTATGGTGAGTCCTTTCAGAATACAAAAAAAGAGGATGGCCAGTTCTGGCGGTCAATTGGGAGAAATTGCTTTCGTTATAGAGATTTGGATGTGTTGGGTCGTTCGCTGACGATGGTTTAGGAATTCTATGAACGTGTCTCTGGTGCTCGTCTGCATGCTGCCTACGTTCGCCCAGGTGGTGTTCACCAGGATATTCCCGTCGGTCTTCTCGATGACATCTATCAATGGGCTACCCAGTTCGGTGACCGCATTGACGAGACCGAAGAGATGTTGACTGACAACCGAATCTGGATTGAGCGTCTCCGTGGTGTCGGTGTTGTCACCGCCGCTGATGCCCTGAACCTGTCCTTCTCTGGCCCCATGCTTCGCGGTTCCGGTATCCCCTGGGATATCCGCAAGAGCCAGCCTTACGATGCCTACGACCAGGTTGAGTTCGATGTTCCCGTTGGTACGAACGGTGACTGCTACGATCGTTACCTGGTCCGCATGGAGGAGTTCCGCCAGTCCCTCCGAATCATCCACCAGTGCCTGAACAAGATGCCTGCTGGTCCCGTCCGCGTCGAGGACTACAAGGTCTCCCCCCCTCCCCGTACCGCCATGAAGGAGAACATGGAGGCTCTCATCCACCACTTCCTTCTCTACACCAAGGGATACGCCGTTCCCCCCGGTGACACCTACTCCGCCATTGAGGCTCCCAAGGGAGAGATGGGTGTCTACCTTGTCAGTGACGGCAGCGAGCGCCCATACAGATGCCACATCCGTGCCCCCGGTTTCGCTCACCTGGGTGGTTTCGACCACGTCTCAAAGGGTCACTTGCTGGCCGATGCTGTGGCGGTAATTGGTACCATGGATCTGGTGTTCGGTAAGTTTTTTGCTCTTTCTCTTCGATTTTTTTCCGGGCCGTCATGACTAACTTCTTCGCAGGTGAGGTCGACAGGTAAAGTGGATGTCAAAGCAGTAAACTAGAATGGGTTTCCTTTTGTGTGTTTTGTAACCATAGCAAGACCAGGAGAACAAGGTATATACTCCTAAAAAATGACGTTTTGCCATCTAAACTTCCCATCATTCTACTCAGAGAAATACAAAGTGAATGTGAGCTACGACCAAAGTACTGTCAAGATAACTAGTATGTCATGGGTAGAAAAATGTACAATTCCTGTAAATGAATTAGATACAGTTATATTCTGGTAAGTATACACTGATGCTACAAGTCATGACTAATAATACAGCCTCCCGAATTAGAGAAGTTTTGCGCCGTTGCCCGAAGCTTGCTCCATGAAGAAGTTCTTCAGAGGTCCGAGGGCATTCACGGCCCTCAAACCGAGAGATCTCAACGGCACGATGGGGCCGCTGTCAGTCCCGTAGATTTTGTGCAGCTTGTCACAGACTCCCATGAGCACGTGGTTGGCGGCGTAGCGGTCAGAGTTGTACGACTCGAGCCACATCTGAGCGCCGAGGTCCTGCCCGTGTGAAACGGCGTAGGCGATGGCGTTGGCGAGGCTCTGCACGTCGCCCTGGCCTTGGTTGAGGCCCTGGCCGGCCAGTGGGTGCACGGCGTGGGCGGCATCGCCGACCAGGGCGATGCGGTCTACCGTGTAGGTATCGGCGTGGCGCAGCCTCAGGGGGAAGGATGCCACCGTGCCCTCCTGGACGCCGACGACGGTCTGGGGGAGCGTCTCCGGGTTGGTGGACACGTGCTGCATTCTCCAGGAGAACTCGTCGGCCTGCCCCTCTTCCAGGCTGTGCAGGTAGGCGAGGTCGGTTGGGCTGAGCCGGAATGCGGCGTTGACCATGGCGAGGAAGTCCTTGGCGGGCAGCTTCTTTAGTATGGCAGCCTTCTCCGGGGTGGTTGACCAGACCATTGATGCGTAGTTGCCAGGGAGGGGAAGCATCGCCACAGGTCCGGTGGGGAGGAAGCGCTGGTAGGCAATCTTGGTGTACTCGCCCCCCCAGCCATCGCCCTCGAGCTGGAGCGTGGCCACGACACCGTGTCTCTCGTAGTCCCAGCCCGTTGTCTTGATGCCAGCAAAGGTCCGGACAGGGCTGTTCACACCATCGGCGCCCACTAGCAGACGCGCAGCGAGGGATTGGCCGCCAGAGAGCTGGACGACGGGCCATTCGCTCAGGTCCACGTCCTCCGTCTCCTTGCCATGATCGATGCTTTCAACCTTGGAGTTATCGAATGTGTCAACCCCACCGAGCTCCTTGAGCCTCTTGAGGAGACCAGATGTGAGATTCAAGTTCTCAATCATATAAGCGATGTTCTTGGATGCAGAACCCCCCTGCCAGTCGAATTCGATACGTGCACCCGTAACACCATCCCATACCTGCATTTCCTGGTATTCCTGGATACGGCTCCGTTGCATGTGCGACCATGCGCCTATGGAATTGAGAAACTGAGCCGAGGCCGGTGTGAGGGAGCTGCAGCGGTTGGAGAATTGGGTCGGCGGCAGAGAGAAGGCGGCCGTCTTCGCAAGGTCTTGGGCCTCAATGAGGGCGACTCGGAGACCGGATGTGATTGGGTTAGAGCCTACGGAGAAGAGTCAGTATGAGTAACAAAACAGGCAATTCGAATATGTAGGAAGACTTACGGAGGGCCGTCAAGAGACTGAGCCCTGCAGGGCCACCGCCAACGCAAACCACATCGTAGATTTCTTGAGGCCGTGTGCTGTAGCTTCGTCTCAATGCGTTGGGGACCTGGCGGCGAGAACAGAGTCGGCATACGGTTGGGGTCTTCCCCAGCAATGCCCGGCCAGCCGACATGATCAGTTGGTCCCAACCGAAGGGTCGAAACTTGCAAATAGTTTCGAGGAGGGCTGGCGCTGAACCTAGGTGATTTACAATGGACTGATTTTGGTCGCTGAAGCACTGAGCTCATACCTAGGTGTGGCGGCAGTAGCTGTGGCTGAGCGATCCCCTCTACTTGTGGCGCGGTTGTAGTTCGTCCTGCGATAGGAAGAAACAGGGAAGTGGGAAGCTAATAGTGGGGGTGGCCAAGACCCACCAGGACCCGCAATTAACTTCGCGCAAAGAGCAGGGAAGTTCCAGTTGCCACAGAGACAGAGGACAAAGAAGCCATTGCGTCAAGGGTCTGCCCAAACAACAACTGGCCTGATACCACCGCATTTTTATGATATTCGCAACCCCTCACCGAGATAAACTTCCTCTCTGCATTGCGCTCCTTCCCACAACGCTTCTGCACGCGTGTGGCCCAGATCCTGCGACCCATCAAGCGACCACGGCGTATGTTTAGAATCACCTAGCCTCACTCAGCCTAGGGAATTTCGGCATTCCGCTGCCTGTTCACGTTGCCACTGAAAGCGCCATCATCCTCTCCTCGGAAGTCGCATTAGCATCCGCCTGTGATCGCGTTCTCATCCACGGCCCTTGTGGTTATAACACCAAACTATAGCCACAATGTCCGATGTGGAGGACTACCTCCAGGAGGGGTTTGACCCCCGCGCCGTGACCGTGCCACGCCTTCGATCCATCCTAGTCACACACAATATCCAGTTTGGAAATGCGAAGAAGTCGCAACTCGTTGCGCTCGTTGAGGAGCATATCATGCCGGCCGTCCCCAAGCTGCGGGAGCAACGAGCCAGGGCCAAGCGCTCGAGCATGGGTATCGTCAATGCCGGTAGTGCTGAGGACAACCCTGCTTGGGATGACTACGATCTGGCGCCCCCGCCATCAGCCAGACGATCCAAGTCGCCGCGCAAGTCATCAACAAGGGCGTCGTCGTCTAGGATAAAGTCGGAGGAGGTGGAGGATACCCCTGTGCAGAGAAGTCCGGCAAAACGGGCATCTCGGTCTGTCAGTCGAGCGCTCTCTCATGCGGAAGAAACCCCAGAGTATGAGGCACCACGATCTGTGCGCCGCAACCGAAGAACCGTCACCCCTCAGATCAAATCGGAACCAGACGACGATATGCCATCTCTGCAAGAGGATAGTGTCTTCACTGATGACAATCCATTCCAGGGGAAAAGTTCGCCTTCGCAGCCCAAGACCCCAGGAAGCAGGCGGCGTACGAGTGACTTCAAGTCAAATCGCAGTTCACTCGAAGGCTCGGTGAGACGTCGAACAGGCGAATACGAAGACGTCAAGCCCTTAGTTGTACCCAAGACCCGTCATCAGTTTACTCCACAGCATGATGATGATGACGATGACGACGATGACGATGACGAGGATGCCTTGGAGCCAGGAGAAGAATTCACACCTGATGCGCAACTAGAACTAGAGGAGGCTGCGCATAAAGGCGAGATTTTACTGCCGGTGCGCAATGTCAGTCGCAGTCCTTCACGGAGTTTCAGTCTCTCAACCCCTATTTTCACACTTTTCTTGGTCCTGCTTGGATCATATGGCGTCTGGTATAGGCAGGAGAAGATTGCCGTTGGATACTGTGGCCTTGGAAGACCAGCCAACGAGCTCTTGCCACCAGAGGTGCCGGTACCAGCGTTTCTGATACCATTTGTAGAGCCTCAGTGTGAGCAGTGCCCCGCACATGCTTACTGTTATGGGGACTTTGAGGCTCGTTGTGAACCTGATTTCGTGCTCCAGCCACACCCTCTGGCTCTTGGTGGTCTCGTTCCGTTGCCTCCTTCTTGTGAGCCCGATGGCGAGAAAGCTCGTCGGGTTCATGCGGTCGCTGACAAGGTTGTCGAGGAGCTCCGTGAGCGCCGCGCCAAGTATGAATGTGGCGAGCTGGTTGATGAAGAAGGCAACCGACAAGACTCCCCATCGATGCTTGAGGAAGATCTCAAGGAAACAGTCAGCCGCAAAAGAAGCAAGAGGCTGAATAGCGCAGAGTTTGAGGACCTCTGGGCTGCTGCCCTCGGCGAGGTTACTTCACGGGAGGAGATTGAGGTCGAGACCGTACAGTAAGTCAACCTCTGTATCCAGCCCATTGCCACATAATCATTGCTCCCCCTTCCCCTATTTCGAAGTACTACTTCTTATCCAAACCGTCTCTGACATATGAACTAACCAGATCCCCCGTTCAACCTACAGAGCGTCCAGTCCCACCGGCATTCCAAACCGCAGAATCTCGTCCACCTCTCTCGCTCGCATTCCACTCACCTGTGCGATCAAGCGCTCCATCCGGCTCGGATTGGAAAAACATCGATTCACAATTGGACTTTTAATTTCCTTTGTTACTTTTGTCTTATACTTACGGTATCGCTACCGCAAACATGTTTCTACATCGGCTCAAATCCCTGCGTTAGTAGACCAGGTTCTGGCACGGCTGGCAAACCAGAAAGAACTTGGCGATGAGGAGATTGATGACCCATGGCTTTTCTTGCCTAATCTCAGAGATGATGTTCTTAGAGCAGTCCATTCACTGTCAGAACGAGAGAGAATCTGGCAGCGGGTGAAGGCTGTTGTCGATCAGAACAGCAATATCCGCACGTCCCAGCGCGAAGGCAGAAGCGGCGAAGTTGGCCGAGCCTGGGAATGGATTGGCCCCACCGCTGGCGAAGGGGCCCGGCGCCGGCGAAGCGGCAGGGTTTCGTGGATTTCGGACACCAAGACGGAATCCCCTGAGCCCTCCAAACAGGTGCCCGAAGTGAAGAAATGGGAGGAGGCCAGACCAATCTATTAACGCTGGTGGAAAGCCGCAACTTACTAATCACGCTTCACCATGATTGTATGCGCATATAATATCTATCATTCTTTTTTTTTCTTGTGTATTCTTTTGAACAAATTGGCCGTGGCTGCTTCGGCCTGGCGGAAGTGCTCCCCTCAATCAGGGGCTGGCACCACAAAGGTTGGGGCGTTTTTGGTGGTGGCTTATTCTCACTTGTGTATCTTATTGTTATGAATCTGAATATATAAATTGGACGATATAAAGCTCTCAGAATGGATGTTGACGCTTTGATTGCTTCATGATAGCAAATCCATGACTACCTAGCTAGATCTGACTTACTCCATCCATTAATTGCGGCTCCCAGTGCGCATTTCGCTGAAAGATTACCTAGCAGCATAGTTCTCTACATGCCTGGGTCCGGAGTTTCTTAATTACCACCGATTTGTAGTCGCTAATGGAAGTCGTAGCTCTCAGTTAAACTGCGTAAGAACACGTCACCAACATCACAATCACATCAAAGTTCATACATAAGAGCTACGAAATTAGATCCGACGACTGTCTTTGATTTTATTGGCTAATGCACAGGTGTATATAGACACAGGGGGACAAAGGAAATCCGGGTTGTTGATTTCATTTTTCATTTCTCGCAGACGCGGACAGTTTATTGAGTCTTGGAAGCCACAATCTCTGTTGGAGATGAATTAGCATCAAGGCTATTCTTGATCAGATCATTTGGTGTGTGTGTGGGATGTCAACGTACTCTCAACATCAGCAACACTCTGCTGGAGGATCTGCTGGAGAACCTTGGGGTTCTCGAGCTCCTTCTGGACCTTGGCGATGATGGACTCGGCAAGCTCCTTCTGCTGGCGCTGCTTAACCTGGCCCTCGTAGCGGACCCAGGAGTCGAGGACAGCCTTGGCCTCAGCAGCGATGGCGGTCTTCTGCTCGAGCTCGAAAGCCTCGGCCTCGAGCTTGGCAGTCTCCTATAGAAAACCATCAGTATTTCCATCCAAACTCATCCCAATACCCATCGGTTCCATCCCGCTTCATTTTTGCTGACCTTGGAAACCTCGAAGAGAGTCTTGGTGATGTCGACGACGCCGCTCATCTGCTGGACGTCCTCAATGCGGGTCTTGACGGCCTCGGTGTGGTCGGCACGGGCGCTGTTGAGGATGTTCTTGATCTTCTGGTTCTGAGCCTCAGCCCAGGCGGCGTAGCCGGGACCACCGTACTTGATAAGGCCACCCCAGACGGACAGAAGGCAGAAGGCGATGACGGTCTCCTCGTTCATGACATAGTACTCGCTGGAGAGGGCGTAGATGCTGAGACCGGCGGAGGCGCTGAGGATGGCGGACTTGCTGAGCAGGCTGTTGCCAGGGATGGCGTCGATGATGCTCTGGGCCTTCTTCTTGGGCTCCTCGGCGGGCACGTTGCTGTTGTAGCGGACAGCGGCGGCCGAGACGGCAGGGAGGGCGCGGCGGCTGATGACGGGTCGGAGGAGGGGAGCTGCGCCTGTTTGTCCGGGAGGGTCAGAGGGTCAGTTATGGGGGTCAATTGAGGCCAGGAGTCACCGATTCGCATCGTGTGCACGTACCGGCAGCGCTTCGCGCCAATCGTGAGGCCATTGTGCGTTGAGGTTTAATGGGGTATCCGGGGGCTTGACGTTGCTCGGGAGCTGGGAATGAGGATTGAGGTTTTATCGCGCTAGCTCGGCAACATCGACAAGTCACGTGCAAGGTCCGTCAAGGCGTTCTCCACCTCCAGTTATCGTGATTTAACCGTCCTTCAACCGTTTATCGGTCTCCAGTGCCAGGGGATGCTCGCTCCGATTGGCTCGATTTTCGAGATTGATTGAAAGATTTCTGGGGGACCTGGGAAAATTTATGTTGATGATATGATATCCTACCCAATTCTTGAAAATACTTGCGTCAGGAACGTCTATTTTGATTTATTTTTAATAATTCCATTAGTCACACAGACTTCACATTAAGATTATTTGAACAGGGAAAAAAATATCTGCCAAATATGGCGCCCAAGGCTAAAGATGCCGTTGCGAAACCGAAGCGCAAGAGAGCCTCCGATGGTGAGAAGCCAATGAAGCGTCGTCGCTCATCCAGCCAAGAGGACGAGAGCCCCGGTGATAAAATCCTCTTGATGGAGCAGGGCATCTTGGAGTCCAAGAAGAACTACAACAACATTCCAATCTTGCTGCAGACCATGGACGGCTACAAGGACGGCAGCGAAGAATCTGTCCTGGCGTCCGTCGCGCTGTGCCGTGTCTTCATGCGCCTCCTCGCCCAAGGCGCATTCATCTCCAAAAAGGGGTTGTCAGAAAAAGATTCTGTCGTTCTGGCGTGGCTCAAAGACCAGCTCAGTCTGTACAAGACCACCCTTCTGGCCATCCTTGCTACAGAGGAGGAGCTTTCTGGCACGGCGCTCACTCTATCTATGAGGCTACTCAAGGCAGAGGGAGAGTTTCTCTATAATAAGGAAGAGTACACCTTCCCCACAAACTTCCTTCAGAGCATCATTGTGGCTTTACTTCAGACAGACAATGATGAAGTAAGAGGAACCTTCATGCAGGAGTACGCTGAAGGATATGATGATATTCGTTATTATACTTTCAAATCAATCAAGTAAGTTATGCCTGCGCTTCTACAGGTACATCTGAACTGACTTGGAAATTCAGGTCTGCGATAGAGGGTTCGGTGGATGTAGTCTCTGAAGCTGAGGTCTTCGATCATGCTCTAAGCATGTTATCTGCGCTTGATGGAGTTCCTGAGTCAGCAGAAGAGCTCGAAGACTTTTTCGTACCGGCCCCCAAGAAGAAGAACCACAATCTGCGCTCAGTCACACAGCATAAGAGGCAGGGCCAGGAAGCATGGCTTGCTCTCACGGGCATTGCGAAAAGCAAGGAGCAGCGAAAGAGCATTCTGAACATCATGTCCACAGTCATCGCTCCCTGGTTCACAAAACCCGAGTTGCTGGCAGACTTCCTAACACACTCATACGACACCGGAGGCTCCATGTCGCTGCTTGCTCTGTCAGGTGTATTCTATCTGATCCAGGAACGCAACCTCGACTACCCGTCCTTCTACCACAAACTCTACTCTCTGCTCGATAGGTCCATCTTGCACTCAAAGCATCGATCAAGATTCTTTCGTCTTCTAGACACCTTCCTTGGATCAACCCATCTTCCCGCTGCCTTGGTGGCTAGTTTCATCAAGCGACTCTCACGGCTCTCACTGAATGCGCCGCCCAGTGCAGTAGTGTTTGTCATTCCTTGGATATACAATCAGCTCAGGAGGCATCCTACGTGCACACTTATGATTCACCGAGAAAACAAGGATCCGTCGATCAAAAAGCTCATCCAAAACAATGGCGTCGAGGACCCTTTCCTTCCAGACGAGACGGACCCCATGGAGACGGGGGCCATCGACAGCTCATTATGGGAAATCGAGCAACTCCAGTCGCACTACCATCCAAACGTAGCTACCATTGCTAAGATCATCTCGGACCAATTTACCAAGCAGTCCTACAACATGGAAGACTTCTTAGATCACTCCTATGCCACGGTATGTTCTCCCCTCTCATCACTACTACCTTGGTGTATCGCTGTTCATGCTAACCCGTCACAGCTACTTGAGGCAGAGATGACCAAAAACGTGAGGAAGGCACCGGTGGTCGAGTTCCATATCCCAAAGAGGGTTTTCTTACCGCAGGATGAACCAACGGTCAACCCCGACAGTTTGCTTGTGAAATTGTGGAGCTTTCAATGATGTTCTGACCAGTGCGATGGTGATGGCGAAGGAGGCGGAGAAGGAGATGGTTTGTTAGCGACGTAATACGAGACTACTTCAGATACGTCGGGCTGCTTTGATTAGAACGTTATTTGCATGAGGCAAGGAGTATGCCATCTTCATAATTTGGGTTTTCCCTTAAAATCTCTACTGTCAGAAGGTTGCCATGTGTAATGAGCAATCGGCTTAAGCAAAGTTTGTACTGGGCCAGGTCCTGGGTAGTTTGCTATGTTTGAAGGTTCACTATGACGATAACATGTTCTGATTCTCTCACTTGCCTCGGCCTTCCCTGGCCATCCACCTAAATTCCATGTTCTTTTCTACGACCACAGCCTGATGAGTGACCAACTAGCACGTCACTTCAGTCCTCTTCCTCCTCCTCCCATGTAGTAAGCTCTTCGCTAATTAGTTTTGGGAGGAGCTCGGTGTCATCTCCTGCCCATTTCATCCCCGCTAGGCAAGACTTTGCCGTATATTCAATACTCTTGATCCCGCACCGGGCCAGCTCGGCAAGCCGTTGGACCCAGAAGCTCCAGCGCTGAGGGCTATATCCAGTAGGCGGGAAATCGGTGATGGTGCCAGATTGGAGAGCTAGTTCACCGAGGCTAGACAGGTGCGGGTAGTCGGCAGGGATGGTCTTGATGATTCTTGTAGTAGCTTCTGATGTTTTGCTGCTACTCAAGAGCGCAAGGCCGAATCTAGAGTTGTGGCACAAGTCTGTGAGAGCATCTAGCAAGTCTTCTACTGGCAAGAGAATCTCGGAAGAGTCTTCTTTGCTATTTGCATCTGCAACTAGCGGCCGTGGGGTCTCCAACGTCTCCCGGAATAATGAGAGCGCACATAGAGCAGGACCATCATAGAAACCAGCGGCTAAGAGCTGTCCAATAAGGCCTGTCATATCTTCTCACTGCTCTTTGCTGTAGTTCTTCTCATAGTAGCGCTTAGGGAATTCATCAGTAAGACACATTGAGAGGAGGGGCAGGCCGGTCCATAGCGTGTTGCCATCAGAGAAGGTAATAATGCCCTGTGGATCGCCGGGATTCTTTCCAGAGTCATTGTCGGCATCCTCTTCCGTTTGTGCCGAGCATTGCAGGAGCCCAAGGGTTCTGATAGTTACAAGCTCACGTACGACGAGATCTTGATGAACCTCGTGTGTAGCGATGTGCTTGCCTGCTTGGATGAGCGTGTACCAAGTGTCTTGGAGGTATTTATTAAGTTCGTCCTCTGACCTGCTGCGGTTTATGCACCCGCATGTGATTGCAGTGAGGCGAGAATTGATGGTGCCGCTGAGGGTTTTCTGGTCGCCCCTCTGGATGACACTATCAACTCGACCTCTCTGTAGTGCGGACCATTCTGCAGAATAACCCATCTTTGGAAATGATAGAAGCAAAGAGCATGTTTCAGCCGACAGTTGAGATAAAGGGATGGAAAGATGGTAGACGCCTGAAGTACCTGCTTGCGCATCTACGAACTGTTGGTCGCGGGGGCGACCATGTTGATTTGCCTCGAGGGGCCTCAGAGAAGAATACAATGCAAATACATCCCTTGACATTGCAGCTAACTGCCCCTGTCACTTTGTTCCTCGCTTGCATGAACTGTTGGTGGCTGATACTACGTCCGCATGACTGCATACTCTTGTTGGTGATATTCGTGCATGCGGGTATTACCAACCATGCGATGGAAGGCAAGCCCGCGATTGTGTCCTTATTTTTAGGCATTTGTACGCGCAGATTCACCTTATGTTACTTTAAATAAAACAATTGATTCATAAATAGGGCTATGGTAACATTACATTTTCAGTAGGCAATCTTCCTAATTGGCGTTCCTATGGAAAGTCATAACAGAAGATTCGCGGAGTGCAGGGGTATGTATATGTTTCCGGGTGAGAGTAATCGGAATTGAGTCGACATGGAAACAAAATAAGGGTCTGAACTGTTACACAGATAATTTTATTTTCAGCTCGTTTCCCTGCCGCCACCGCAGGTAACATCAATACTAAGTAGATACCGTACAATTATCGTTGTCCAGGTTGATAGAGCTCCTTTGTGACGGCGACTAACCTTGCTGTCAGCGATATTCCTCGCCGCCATCCTGACCAACATAGAACAAATTTGGGAGGACATAAGCTGTGTGTTTGTTGGGTTTCATTTGGGTGGCTAACTGCACGGATTATTGCCAACATGGGTCCATCAACCAACAACCACATGCAGGCCCTCATCCTTCTACACCAAGCCTCCACCCATCACCGGGATGGTGAAGACACTTTTAGCTCGAAGATGCGCGCAGTGATGCTAATTAAAACATCACAGAGCCATGGGGAAAAAGGCATATAAGGCGCTAGTCTACACCCTATTCACTGTTGCTTCTATTTCGTTCCACACAACAGCCATAACTAAAGACAAACTCAGAAGAACTCCTCTCTTTCCATCCGAAAATGAAGTATAGCCTCTTCATCCTTGCGAACGGCCTCGGGCTTGTCGGTTGGACCACAGCCTTGCAACCTAAAACATTGCAATCTAAAACAGATCCTAATAAGGGAGTTGAGGGCGGTGTAAGTCATGTTATTATCCTTGTTGTGTCTTCATGTTGGCCACGCCTAGCTGGTCCATGATTCACCATAACACTCGTTAATTTGCTAACTCATGATGTCCAGAACTGCCGAGTGTCTTCAAATAGCTGCATTGTAAAAGGCTATCGCAATGTGGGAACAGCAAAACTAGCTGATGGTTCCGATACTTTCAATTGGGAACTTGTTGATGATATTCCCAAAGAGTGCAGCAAGAATTTCAAGGTAGGCGATCAATTCACCGAAAAATAGATACTGAAACGTCATTTCTAACTTGAGAACTTAGTGTACGAAGGATGAGGCCGGTTGTTCTGTTGACTGGGACGCCAAGCTAGTCTTTTGTTCAGTCGATGGTAAAAATCCGACATTCGGGGACAAGTCCAAGAAGCCATCCAGTCCCAAGAAGCCAGCCAGTCCCAAGAAGCTAGCCAGGCGCAAGCAACCAGCCAAGCCCGCGCCCAGGAAAGTTCGACGCAACTCACGCACTAGAAGAAGCGTTGGTAGATATTAAGGAATCTTGCAAGGTTGAGGGGTTGTGGAGTCAAGTTGAGTGCTTGGAGTGTTTAGATGGATTGAAGAGCATGTAACTATAGTACTTAGGTGGAATTCATTTGTTTTTTCTTTCTTTTGCCATAATCAAGGAAATTCTAGGGTCAGGCCACACGTGATTATCATCACAACTAAAGCTTCTTTAACCCTACACTTACTTTATTATAGTTATTTCTGCGTGACTAATAGCGAGAGTTCCATACTCCAAAGAGGATTTTCTCATCCCAGGATAAAGCAGCAGCTAATCCCGACAGCCTTCTTGTGAAACTGTAGAGCTTTCAGTGATATATCAGTTAGTTAGGTTGTGCAGTGAGGCCTCTCATATACGTGACACCTACCTGGGTGATAGAAGAAATGAGGCACTAAATTGATCATTTGCTACAATGGGAAACAAAATAATTGATACAGAAACATGGACTATACGAATGTTTAGGACGAAGGTTTTTCGTCGTGGGATTCAAAAATAGCCCATCGTACGCTCAGCGATTCATGGATAAGTTCCTATGTGAACACAAGGAGTACTGGGCAGCATTATATTGACGATATAACAATCTTCCGCGATATACCCTTGAAGAGTATATTAGTTCTATCCAAAAGCACTGAAGACATTCAAGACATCAGACGGGCAATTTTAACAACGAAATGCTTCTATGAATAGGTACCTATCCACCTCACTATTCGGCTTTAAGTAAAAGTCGATGCACTTTGGCCACTGCCATTTTGGATAGGACGGAAGGTATGTCTATTTTGAAAATACCTACCAAACCGGGAACCTTGGAGTCATGCCTCAGTATGACAATTTTCCTCCGTTGTTTCATCTCCTTCTTTCAACAGAAAGCGGTCTCTCTGAAAAAGAGGAAGACAGAACTATTGGTGCTTATAAGTAGAGCACAATCTATGATTACCAGAATAAGATAACAATAAATGATAGAATGTACAAATACAGAGTTTATTTTCTGCTTGGTTGTGTATTTGTCTGAAGCGATCAAAAATACACATCATAGCTCCGAAAGTTTACCGGGACTAGACCTTTGGTGTCTCGTTTCTTCTGTCACTCTCAGGTGTGGTTCTTTACTCCGCATCCATGTGGTACGTTGTTTGAGCCATGAACCTTCCGCTTCTCGGTAAGTGTGCATTCCTAGCTTGGAGAAAAGCGGCTCTATCACGCACCACAGCGAGATAATAGATATGAATGAAATTTTTGACATGACGGAAGTGGTAATCTGTCGCGTGCTTTTGGCTGTGTTACCAACAGCTTGGCTCTGTGAGACGACACTCGGAGGAAACAGCCCGGTATCTACGTAGGTAGGTGAAATCGTCGACCACGTTGCATGGCATTTCCACAAATACCACGCCGTGACAATGAGGCGGTTTTCTAGGCGCAGCAGCCTGCAGTAGCGGCAAACTCCATCGGTGTAGGTACATACCTAGTGCCCACCTCTCGTCTCGAGCCATTCATTCCACGCAGACATCCAGACGGCATGCATCCATTCACTACATGGTCCTCGGCTGCGCAAAGAGTACAGCTGTCTGTCGAGCTGGTCCAAGACTGGTCACATGTGCCGGGTAGGTCTCACTGTGCCAGCATGGTCAGAGGTGAAACAGGCCTGTCCGGGGTCCAGAGATCGCAGGCAGCTGCTGTCGATAGCGCACTATCGCATCGTCTCGCTGGGCGATAAGCTTAGCTGTTTTCCCCGGTCGATGTGGCCCTGCAAGACTAGAATCATGGCAATCCAATTTCAACATATTATCAACACAATATTGAGCTGAATATTAAAGAATAATTTGTTGTTTCCTTATTATTGTGCTGAGTACTAAGAAATTACCTAGGTCCCTACCTTACTTATGTGAAAGGGGTTCGAGTGTGCCTATTTTAATTTCAGCCATTGCCCGGGCCCAGTAGTAAGTCTGGGATTCTACTAGGTTAGTAGGTTGGAGCTAAGATCCATCATTGACATCATTCACTGAAAGACTTCAGCAGCAACAGAGGTGGAGAACCCCCAGCCTCCAACTCTCAGACATCAATTGATTGCCAGCAGAAAAGTGAGGTGTTGACTGCCATTGGATCTCTGCTCGACAGCGCACCATCATATCCATTTATTCTTCTTCTCCCCCGTCGATCGCCCGCCTTGTCTTGGTCAACGATTCCGATCTAGGCTCCTGCGGGAGGTTTCACCCCCCATTGCATCTCACATCTATGCCTGATGAGCTTCATGCCCAAATCCAAGGCGCCAACTGGCGCATCGGGACCCGCCATGGCATCCGCCGCGCAATCTAGCAACGCCCATCCGGGACAGGCACAGGCACAGGCACCGGGCCACGGTCACAGTCAGAACCAGGATCAGCAGCCGCAGCGCCCGCCCGGAAAGAAGCGGAGGAATCACCGAGGTGGGAGGAAGAAGCGCCAGCGGAGGAGGAGCTTTGCTATTCTAGACGAGGACTCCAACCACAGCGACGCAGACGAACCTCCGCGTGACGGACTATACCAGATCCGCTCTGCCAACTTGAGTGGGACTAGCATTGACAGCCAGGCCCTGCTTGACCATAGGTGCGTATCTACATCATATGAGACTCCATAAGAGTGGTTGCCCGCCTCCCTCTTGCTGACCTGCCTGCGCCCATATAGAGAACACCAGCCTATGCGACTGAGGAGGGCCTCTACAGTTGGACCCGCACCCTCCTCTGGCAATCTACCAAGTCCCCTCGTAACCACACCAGGAGGGAGTCGAAGACGAACATTACCAAACCTCAACTATAGTGATGATGAGGATCCCATGAACAACTGGGACGAACGTACTCCGTTGATCGCGGAACCCGCGCGACGAAAGGACTCATACACCGGGGCCTCGAGCTATGGCGCTGGATTCTCAACCTCTAGCAGACCGCGGAGTCGTGAGGCCTCGAGTATATCTTCAAATGTAAGGCGAGGCGCAGCTGCGTTCGGAGCCAGGGACCGCTATCACCATGTCAACAACCCGCCTTCCATCCCAGGATCGCCCAACTTCGGAGCAATCGATCGTATTGATATGACCCTTGGCGATGTGATGATCAGAGATGAGATCGATCTCCATGATGATAGTCCCGGGCACCTAAGTCAGGACGATGATGGCATAACCGGTGGAGCGGCGCTTCGGGACAACAGGGCCGAGAAGGATGTGTGCTTCCCTGTATCGGGCATGTCAGAGAATGGCGACGATGATGTGCAAGAGCGAGACTTTGGACTCAAACCTAGGACACGGCGGCGTCGCGGTAAATGGCCCGATTTGTCAATACTCGAGGAGTGGAAGCATATGGAGAAGGAGGATAGAAGTGAGGAACGTCGTGTTAAGAGGATCACGGAGCCTCAGCTCATCAACGGACGCTTGCGCCCAGTGCGCAAGGGTTGGTTTGAAACCGATGGAGACAGCCCTTATCGATTTACATACTTCAACGAAGAGTTCCAGAGTACGATCCACAGCCAGACCATCTCGGAGCTCGTGCAGCCTGGGAGCGGATTTGAACAGTTGTTCATCCCTGAACCAAGGATATTGTCCGACGGCGAGAGCAGTGACGAGGAGGAGGAGGCTCTGATGTCCGCCAAGCTGCACCGCCCTAGTGGAGGTGTAGATGGTGATTCCAAGATCCCCTCCCGACAGCCATCAGTAGCAGAAAGCCGCCGCGAGCAAGTGGTTTCTCCTCAGCCGGACATTCCCTCCGGAAGCTCTGGCCGTGTCTCGCCGACTAACCCAAAGTCGCTCGACCAAACCGCCGGGAGAGGCTCACGACATGGGTCCCAGCAAACGTCTTACGAGTCTTCGCGGATGCCTTCTCTACAACCGTCCCAGGAACCTACCCAAGAGCCTTCTCAACAGTCATCTAATGACCCAGAACCCAAGCCGAAGCAAATTCGGTACGGTGAACGCCCCGTATGGTGGCTTAATGTGCTCTGTCCAACCGAGGCCGAGATGAAGGTTATTTCAAAGGCTTTTGGTATCCATCCGCTTACAGCTGAAGATATCATGCTACAAGAAGCCAGAGAGAAGGTCGAGTTATTCCGGCACTACTATTTCGTCAACTATCGCACTTTTGATCAGGACATCAACAGCGAAAACTATCTAGAGCCCGTGAATATGTATGTGGTTGTGTTCCGGGAGGGCGTGCTCAGTTTCCACTTCTCGGTCTCACCCCATCCTGCCAATGTGCGGCGCCGAATTCGACAACTTCGGGATTATCTGATACTCTCATCAGACTGGATTTCATACGCCATCATCGACGACATCACCGACGTCTTCCAGCCTCTGATTCAAAACATCGAAGACGAAGTGGACGAGATCGACGAGGCCATTCTCCGAGTACACTCCGTCACAGACAAGCGGCAGCACGATGAGAAGAAAAGGGACGACGCCTCCACCGTCGCCGAGTCGACAGGAGACATGCTCCGGCGCGTAGGCGACTGCCGCAAACGAGTCATGAGCCTGTACCGTCTCCTGGGAAACAAGGCGGATGTTATCAAGGGATTTGCCAAGCGGTGCAATGAGCGCTGGGAAGTTGCGCCCCGGTCGGAAATCGGACTCTACCTTGGCGATATCCAAGATCACATCGTGACCATGACCTCGAACTTGGGGCACTATGAAAAGTATGTACCACCCAACCTCATTCACTTACATTATGCATCTACTGACACTTCTTTTTTCTTAGAATACTGGCTCGTTCCCATGCCAATTATCTCGCGCAGATCAATATCCGCATGAACGAACGCCAAGAGCAGACCGCAGATGTTCTCGGCAAGCTCACCGTCCTGGGCACAATCGTCCTCCCGATGAACATCATCACCGGTCTCTGGGGCATGAACGTCTGGGTTCCCGGCCAGGAGTACGAAGGCGACTTGACCTGGTTTGTCTGTATAACAGCAGGGTTGTTCATATTTGGAATAGGATGCTACATGATCGCTAAAAGGGTCTACAAGATTGTCTAAGTACGGACAATTGATAGACGGACTTGGCAGATGGATACAAAAACACATGCACAAGAAAAAAAGACAAAGGAAAGGAAAGAAAAACATAATCAGCATCGAGCACATTACACGATTAGGCATACTGTCACAGCTCAGCTATGCTCATGTTAAAGGCGTTTTTTTGGAGAAAGCGGACTCCACTGGTTTTTAGGTACTCACAAATTGATTTAGGAGTTGTTCAATATATAGACTGGAGCTTCGGGGCTGCGTGGCGTGTTGTTGGATATGAATATATTAGTTTGAAAGGAGCGGAACCGAAGCGGATTCTTAGATAGAGACGGAACCTTCGAAAAGAAATACACAGCAATGATTCTTGAATTTTTGCAACACCAGTGAACAGTTCGTGATGCCAAGGTAGAGATTGGAAAAGGGGACGTTCGTCTGCCCTGGATATAATAAAGCTAACTACCTATCTAAGTGTGTACCCAATTTGCGACAACAGCAATGGAGCTGCCGATTAACTCCTGACTCCCTTTAGCTCCTCCATAAAAGTCGACATGTACAGTCGGAAGGCCTGCTCAGATGAATTCCCCTTGCCATAGTATCTCCTATGAATGATTTGTACATTAAAACGAAAGTTGGTTGGAGCCGTAGCCATATCAAGGCGTGACTAGATAAATGTTCTCTCGGTGCCTGGTTTCTTTTTTTGGTAATAAGATGACCACACATGATTTTCTCTTTGCTGATATTATAGGCCCCTCTTTGACGATTTGGCCTGGGATCTATCGATCAACTTCTCGATATGCTAGCAACTCTGATGCTAGTCAGAGTGAGTGAAAGGCGGCCGAACATGTTATCTTCGTTGCGCCCCAAACTGGGCTCGAAGAGCTCGGATCTGGGATCGCTCAGCTTCGGGAAGCATGCTGATCTGATCCTCAGTAAGCTCTAGAACAGCTCTCATGAGAGCCTCGGGATCCTGGGCTGGAGGAGCGGCGACAGGGGCAGCAACAGAGACAGGAGCCGGAGGAGCGCCGTACCCATGAGCAGGAGGAGGTGCGTAGGGCGCGCCGGGCACTGGTGGCGTGCTGTTGGCAACCGGGGCGCCTTGGTATCTAGATACATGAGGGGGAGGGAAAGTTGGGCTCGAGGCCTGAGGAGGAGGGGGGCCACCCTGGACCACGAGTTGGATGGCTTCGGGCGAGACGAGACCCATCAGGAGTAGGGCCTGGAAAATGGCAGCACCGAGCTGTGGTGCTTGTGAAAGCAGCTCGGCAGCCCTTTGCGGTTCAGTCGTAGCAAGAGTCTTCATTTGGGCGAGGATGTCCAGCAGCTGAGAGGGTGGGAGGGTGTTCAATGTTTGAGAGATGGCATCGGTGCATTTCACGCCTGGGGGGAGTTCCTTGCCAGGGGGGAGCTGAGGAATAGATGTGCTTTGCGAATAGTTTCCAGCGCCGGCGCCATTAGCACCAGAAGCTTGGTGACTACCAGATCCCTGGATTTTAGGTTAGGACACGGGAAGACGCAAGGAGTCGTCAACAGCTTGACTCACCTGGTTGTGGCCGTCCTCATTCGACTTCTGCTCGTTAGAGAAGTCTACGCGAAGTTTCCGGCCCATTATTTCGTAGTCGTTCAGGTTTCGCACAGCAGAAGAGGCCGAATCTTGAAGAACATGGAAGTTAGTGGGAGATCAGATCTCTGGGGACGGTGGTACGGTCTTGTGCGACGGTGCCACAAGGCTGGGACGAACCAGGATCGAGATATTCCGCGAATCCGAAGCCTTTAGGGCGTCCCGACTCGGAATCATATACTAAACGGAACTTTTCGACTTTGCCAACGCTGTTGAAGATTTCGGTGATCTGCTCTTCGGAGAGACCTATCCAAGAGTTAGAACCTGGACGAAGAAGCGCGACTGAGAATTGGAGGACGAGAGTACACACCATAGGGGATGTTTCCCACAAAGACAACGCGTGAAGGTGGCCTTGTAGACATTGTGGCAGAGTTCTGGCTGGATGCGCGGACAATGGTTTGCGAAGCTTGGACTCAGGTCGGTGGTGGACAAAGGAAGAAGCTTCGATAGCCTTATGAAGCGGTCGAATCAAGTCGCACTCGTTCAACAGTAGATAAATGAATTATACCAAGAGCTAGTCGCATGCTCTTGAGGAAGAATCCGGTCAATAATTGCGGTGAAGAGCTCGTCTCTGGCCTTCCATCTACCATTACAACGTAGGAGGAAAATAACTGCGACGAGATCAACATCCACTAGGCAGGCTGAAGCTTCAAGTTGTCGCGCCTAACCTGCACTTGGCGCCGATAAGACTCTTATCGGTACCGCCCGACTTTTTGCCGGGCTGCTGGACACCCCGGACCCTTGCTCATCCGCCACATTCCTAGACGGGCCTTAACTCAAGGTCAGCCGCGTGTAACTAGCTCTACTTGCGACTGTGGCCTCAACTTAGAGTCCACCTTTCCCTTGTCTTCTTACCAGCCGCAAGCACCTTGGGTTGTCAATTCACTCCTTTCCTGGCGTACGGAAAATATCTTCTTCTTCTTCTTTCATGCGCGCTTTCCTTTCCTTTTAGTCTCTTCATTGCGGTTCTCTAGCGCCTCGCGAAAGTTCCGGGGACAGCTCCGCGATAGCTCCCATTCCTGATACGACAAACCGACTTCGCAACTATGGCTCCCAAGTCGAGGTTCACGAGGCTGGATGCCTTCACGAAGACGGTCGATGAGGCTCGAATTCGCACGACTAGCGGCGGTATTGTTACGATTGTGTCCATTATCGTTGTCCTGTTTCTGGCTTGGGGTGAATGGGCAGACTATCGCCGGGTGGTAGTACAGCCGGAGCTGGTTGTAGACAAGGGAAGAGGTGCGTACGCGAGTAAACTCACAATTGGACATTTTGGATGCAATTGGCTACTGTGAAGCATACTAATCCGTTCCTCGTCCTCAGGCGAACGAATGGAGATCCATCTGAACATGACGTTTCCTCATCTGCCTTGCCAGCTCTTGACGCTCGATGTCATGGATGTCTCAGGTGAACAGCAGCATGGTGTTAAGCACGGTGTCCAGAAAGTCCGTCTCGAGTCTGAGGCCAAGGGCGGCGGTGTGATCGATGTGCGCGCTCTTGCCCTCCACGATGAAAGTGCTGATCATTTGGACCCCGACTATTGTGGTGACTGCTATGGTGCCGGAGCCCCGGCGACTGCGTCCAAGCAAGGATGCTGCAATACCTGCGACGAAGTTAGAGAGGCTTATGCGCAAGCGAACTGGGCTTTCGGCAGAGGCGAGAACGTCGAGCAGTGTGAGCGTGAGCACTATGGCGAGAGGCTGGATGCTGAGAGAGAGGAGGGCTGCCGTATTGAGGGCAACATCCAGGTGAACAAGGTTGTTGGAAACTTCCACTTTGCTCCCGGCCGCAGCTTCAGCAACGGAAACATGCATGTGCATGATGTCAAGACCTATTTCGAGGTGCCCAACGACAAGGTCAAGCACGACTTCAGCCACCGAATCCATTCCCTCCGCTTTGGCCCCCAGCTCCCCGAGTCTCTCTCCAAGAAGCTGGGCCGTGCCGAGCTCCCCTGGACCAACCATCACCTCAACCCGCTTGACGGAACTCGCCAGGACACTCAGGACCCCAACTTCAACTACATGTACTTTGTAAAGATTGTGCCTACATCATATCTTCCCCTCGGCTGGCGAAAGAACATCCGCCGAGTTGCTGATATGTTGAACGACTCTCCTGACCTTGGTACTCTTGGCCAAGCTGCTGATGGCAGCCTTGAGACACACCAGTACTCGGTCACCAGCCACAAGCGAAGCTTGTCTGAGGCTGATGATTCGGCCGAGGGACACCCTGAGCGACTGCATACCCGTGGCGGAATTCCTGGCGTCTTTTTCTCTTATGTAAGTGGTCGAAATGTAGGCAATATGGGCCCAATAAATGCTAACAAGTGATAGGACATTTCTCCCATGAAGGTCATTAACAGAGAGGAACAGAGCAAGACATTCCTTGGTTTCTTGGCTGGTCTCAGCGCTATCGTTGGTGGAACTTTGACCGTGGCCGCTGCCATTGACAGGGGTCTCTTTGAGGGCACAACGAGGCTCAAGAAGATGCGATCCAAGGACCTATAAACGTAGACGGTAGAGATGATGAAGACGGGGCCAACAAAACAAGCGACCATATACGAACGTTGGAAAGCAAGAGGACCCCACCCAAATGGATTTCAAGTTTGAATTTAGTTGACATCAGTAGGAATGGGTAGGAAGATGTCCGGCGAGGTGTGGTTGGGGAGACAGTGTCTGTGCTATAGTTTGCTTTTTGAGGATTTGATGGCTGCCACGGGCAGTTTCGACGCATATACCGGGCATAGGGCGTTACGGGTTGGAATTTTCTTACTTTACTTTTTTGTCCTGTAGAGCACTGTAGCAGCTTCAAAACGTATTTTCTTGGGTCTTTTAGTGCCTACCTACATGTAAGAAACCGTGCGGCGCTGATCATGGATGTGATCTGGCCGAGCGATGTCTGATGGCGTGCTGCAGTGTGGGAGGCATTGGCCAATCAGGAATAGACTCTTACATACATGAACTTTTTTCCCCCCTCAGATCATAATGGTGTCTCAGCCCCCGGTAGGAGGAGGTGAGACAGTTCTCCCTTGCTCTGATGTCACTGGGCATCTTCTGGCGCAGTAGCGTTTGTAAACCATGCACCCTGTGCTCTGGCCTCCCACCAAACACAGATCAGATTGGCGGTACAAGCTGAGGAGACGAGATTCGATGCACACAGACTATTAAACCCAATAAATGGTCCTAGTCCATCAGCGTTCAGGCGAGCGTGTTGGTTACGTCGTCTCATTGACTGAGAAAACAAGGCAGTGCAAGCTCGCTTACATCCCACCGGACCGTCCTCAGCTGAATACATTGGATATGTTGATTGTGTCAGTGCATCGCATACCTTTGCACACATACAATAAACAACCTGGCAGTGCAATTGATGCCCGCATGTAGTCTATAAATAACACGAATATTGGACCTCGTCCACGCGTAAAGGCACACGTCGATGCTAGTACGTACTGCGGCAGACCCGTTCGTCATTGCTGTGGAGGCTAAACAGAGCTTTGTAAGTTGCTAGTGCTATTGAGTAAACACCAAATCTGCTACCAGCAACTTACTAAAAATGGGTTTGCTGCAAACTCCAAAGCCAAAATGGCAGTGCTGTGGCCCCGACTGGACCATGCTTCACCCTTGCGGGATACATAGAGGAACTGCAGGACGTAATAATGACTGGATTGCAAGCACATAGCAGGTAGTTTGATTAGATTTGCTCTCCTCCATGCTGCCCCTTGCCCCGGCTGAAACACTCTTCACACGCGAGCAAAACTCTGGTGGAGGATAGGGACACAAACGGTCGGAGGGTTGCATTCGGCTGGTGCAATTGGCCCCTCTCGTCCACAGGCTATCCCAATGAAGACGGGGCCCCAATCTATTAATCTGGATTCAACACGAGAATTCAGAAAGGAGACGCCAATTAGAGCCCCTTGGCCACTGTAACCAAGGAGCCTGTAGCAGCCCCCGCTGTGGACGCTCCTTACCGTTGAGTGGATGCTGGCGAAATGAGCGTGGATGCGACAGACAGATGCACCCCAGACAGTGGCTGTGGGTTGCCAATGATTTGCGGCAGGACCCTGCTGTGTATGTGGGTGGGCCACTGCCGCCGCACTGACTGCAATCGGGACCTCCGTGGGCGGAACCAGTGACCATGGATCTGGCCCAAGTGCGTGGCAAATTGGGCCCTCCTGTGTCAGCAGTACCTCATCTGCCCGTACCGCGTCGTCTCCCTGCACCGGGTCGGTACCTCGAGCCAGCGAGGCAGAGGCACTGTTCTCCTCGGTGCTAGCACACGGGAAGAAGACACTTGGGCGGGGTGTCAAGGGGCGAGACTCCATTTCATCAGTGATGGATGCTACGTACCAGAACGCTAAGCACTGACCTAGCATTAAACAACCTAACATTGGCTGGGCCACTGAACGAACGGCCCTGCCACGTCCGCTCCCGCTGTTTGGCAACTCCCCAGGCCGTGGATGAATTGGATGCTATCTGTACAACGCACTCTCCACGGCACTCACCTGTTGTCCCCTTTCATTCACCGATCACTCTCCAACAGCACCAGGGTATCATTCCCTGGGGTGTCGACTCTCCTCACTCTCCATCTCTCGTTTGTCAAGGCCCAAGACCTCTCGCGACACTCAACAAGCTTGTTCCGCTAGCTCCTCGTTGATCAATCTGCACACAATAACAAGCGGGACCTCCTTCAGCTGCCACGCTCGCATCAGACCCTTGGAGCCAAACTTGCGCTTTCGCATCGCAGTCATTCGTTCCGAGTCCATTCTCTTGATTTTCGCTTCTTACCAAGTGTATATGCTTTCCCGGTCAATTTTGTTTCTCCTCGAATGCGCAATTTGGGCTGCATTAATTTCCTACCACTCGACAAGCACACAGACCTTCCGAATCGGCCAGTAGCCCCATGCGCTCGTCCTCTCCTTCTACGACACAACACTCCAGTGTAGCTGCTCTCTCCTTCGCTCGACTACACATACATCGTTCAGCTAGACGGTTTTAAATCCTGGCGCATCTTGTTTTCTCTTGCCGCCTCGGGTCATCATATCACTGTGCAGCCAATGCCTCTTTCCCGAATGAGCATTCTTGGTGTCGGAGATCAACATATCCTGGCCATCATCTTCTGAGCAAAGGTTGTCCTTCATCTTTGGTGAAGTTGACTGGTCGGGGCAATTGAGTACTTTGCGACTACATCAGACGTGCTTTTCCCGACTGTCACAACCCTCGACGAGGACTCGAATTCGGTTATTTTTCGCAAAAGGCAGGAGAGGTTCTATTCAACAGTTATCCCAGGGCCGACTGAACTGCTGCTCACCATGTCGAAGCGACCGAATATCCTGGACCTGAGGTTAAACTCCTCCCAGTCAGTCAACTCCGCCTCTTCGCGAGCCTTGCGATCGCCGCGCATGCATGTAGCGGGGGAAGCACCCCCTGAGCTGTCCCCCCTCGATGCCTTTGCTTTGCAGAGTCGCCTGTTGGCGAAGCAACTCCAGGAGGGCTCTAGGGAAAGGAGAATGAGCCGTTTGCCTCCGTTGACCGTAGAGAGCCCGCTCATCGTCCAGGGTCGTTCCGACTACTTTCGATCCATGTCCCAGGAGGAAGAGGAGGAAGAAGAAAGAAGGATGCAGTTTGGACAGCCAAGCCCTGGCCTGGGCTTGAGGACAGAGACCGAGGAGCCATTCGATGAACACGATAGACCAATGTCGATGCACCCAAGGATGAGTCGAATTCCGTCAGTTTCTGAAGAGCCGTCGTCGAAACCAGCGATTCCACCTCGCGACCCAGGTCGCGGTCGGTTAAGGCTTATTGAGGAGGACTCTACATTCTTTGGTGGGAGGACTGAGCGTTCCCCGTCACCATTGACAGAGACGCGATCGCAGCCCGAGAAGAGAACAGAAAGTTCTTCACCAACCCGTAGAGATCATTCGCTGCCTCTCCCATCTACAACACACAACACTCCTCGCCCCGAAACGCCTGAACAGCCTAACCCACGGTCGTTGGATGACCTGGGCTTAGCACCTCCTGCTTCAAGGAGTGGCCTTCCGCCCCGCAAGTCGAGCACCGTATCCTCTCAGCTCAGCATACATGATGAAGAGCCACCCGCTCAGCTTTCAAGTGCCGCTCAAGCTTTACGCCACCGAAAGATGTCATCAGGTGGCGGTACCTTTTCTGCCATGTCGCCTGTAATTGGTCGTCCTGGAAGATCACCGTCTGCCGGCTCCGACTCTTCGGCTTTGCCCAGACCATCTTTCAACTTCTCTCGGCCCATGAGCCGGCCAGGAACGCCAAACTTTGAACCTCCTTCAAGGCTCGGTACCCCATCTCGACAGGCCTCCTCGGATAGCCAGCCCTCATTTATTCTGGCCGATGATTCAGCCCACACCCCGGTTAGCATGTATAGTGAGAGCTTCCAAGATCAGGCTGCCGATGATCTCGCACGGGGCGCACCTTCATATATATACTCCAAGTTCACATTACCCAGAGGTAAGGAAATACAGCGGTCTGAGCCTTTGGAGACAACAACCGCACCGGCATCTTTTCAATGGGATCAGCCACCGATCCCTCCTAGCAACATTCAGCAGCTTCCGACAGGAGCACCTCCTTCCCCACCAACTCGGCCCTCGACTTCTTCCGTCAGGCCTGCTCCTGAGGACAACAACTTCCTGAACACTCTGGCAAGACCATCCACAGAGGCAGGCAAACGTAGTCTAGAGAGCTCGTTGACCCCAACACTGCCACCACTCAGCCGCGAAACGTCTGCTCCCATGTTCGCCACGCGGCTATCTACAGATGTGGCTCCCAGAGGGCGTTCTCGCTCAACTCCAGCAGAGGAGTCTGGCCAACCGAAGCCAGCAATTACCAGGACTCCAACTTCTGCTACTACAAGCGACTCGGCCAGCACTATCCGTCCACCAGCTACAGCCCGCTCTGCCGCACCTTCAGCATCTGAGATGACGGTGGAGGAGCATCTCGCCAAGGGTATCGAATGTCACGAGAACGGGTCCCTGAAAGAGTCAACATACCATCTGAGATATGCTGCTCGTCATAACAACCCCACCGCTATGCTTCTCTATGCACTGGCTTGCCGACATGGATGGGGGATGCGTGAAAACCAGAAGGAAGGTGTCGAATGGCTGAGAAAGGCTGCTGAGTACGCTAGTATTGAGATCGCAGATGATGAGGGCCACCTGAAAGAAGGAAAGCATGTTGATTATATTGAAAGACGAACCCGGAAAGCCCAATTTGCGCTGAGCATTTACGAGCTTGGCGTTAGTCATATGAATGGCTGGGGAATTGAGCAGGACAAGTCTCTTGCACTGAGATGCTTTGAGATCGCTGGTAGTAAGTTATTCATCCTAATTCGTTTTCGAGCATACTGGATGCTGACCGCATACCGCAGACTGGGGTGACGTTGATGCACTTTTGGAAGCAGGATTCTGTTATGCAAAGGGTGTTGGATGCAAGAAGAACCTGAAAACCAGTGCTCGCTTTTACCGTATGGCCGAAGCTAAAGGAATGAGCATGGTTGGCAACAGTTGGTATGTATTCCCCTCGATTTTCTTTTTGGTTGTGGAACATTGTGCTAACACCATAATTTTAGGATTCACAAGTCCAAGTATATGGATGACCCTGAAGAAACAACCACCGCCACCACGAAGGAATCTCCCAAGAAAGAAAAGCGAAAGGCTCGAAGCAAGTCCCGCACCAGGGCTATGTTTGGACTCAAGTCCTAAGCCATCCCTGGGCTTTATTTATGTGCAAACTCACTGCACTTCTCATGATCACGAAACAGTCATTTATTTGCACCCATATGCCACGGAGTTCTGGACGGAGATCACAGACATTGCATACCTGAATGGTACAATGCAAAGCATATCCTAATCGTTCCCTACTTTTGCTTTGTTATTACGATCTGAACGGCCTCTGGCGCACGACATCGCGGCGCTCTTTTTCATCCTCTTTAGGGAAGCGCAGTTTAATTCGATATCGGTAGCTGGAGTGGTTTCTTTTGTCTTTGATGTCACACATTTTCACTCGGTCAACCTTGGAAGATCAAAAAAGGCTGTCTATATAAGAGTCACATGCATACTAGGCGCACTGTTTATTCGATCCAATGAGATCACACCTCATATCGCTATTTAATGTAGCAAGCCTGTCAATAGCTGCAAAAAACACCCTATCCTGGGGTATCAGTAATTAACAATGAAGAAAAGAACCGTCATATATGTGTACTAAACGTTCAAGATTGGGTGAGCCAGGATTGTAGAAGGAATGTGCTTCTACTGATCGTTTTATCATTTGGAAAGATTTATTCTTATTTATTTATTGCCTGTAATAACGCCGCCACAACCCCACTGTCTAAGAATCCACCTCCATCTTGTCGGACTCGAGAGGCACCTCCTGCACACTGACGTACCGGCCAATTTCGCTCTTCTTGATAATCTTCTCGTTCAGGACGGCCGTTGTGCCTCTGGCGAACTTGTAGCTCTGCTGCTTGGGCACCTTCTCGTTTGGCTTGATCAGGTTCCTCTTGAGCGTCGTCTTCTCGGGCGTGATGACGGCGACGTCAACGTTGGAGCCGGAGCCCAGGTCGTTCCAGATACCCGCCAGGATGGCCTGGCTGGCGAGCTCGACGGCCTCCTCCTGGGTCAGCGCGGCCTTCCACTTGGACTCGAAGACGCTCATGGCCGCCAGGCTGCCGCTGCCCATGGTGACGTAGGGGAGCTTGTCGGTGCTGCCGTGGGCGTGGACGGTGAAGAGGTGGGTGCCCGTGGGGTCGACTCCCGCGACGACGAGGTAGGCGCCGATGTGGCCCTGGTAGCGGAAGAGGTGCTGCTTGAGCATGGTCATGCAGGTGACGACGCGGGGCTTGCGTCCCGTGGACATGGCGTGTAGCTCGAGCTGGGAGGAGATGAGGGCCGTGGTGAACTCGGTGTCGGCGGCGGTGCCGGCGCCGGCGCACCAGATCTGGGGGGCGATGTAGTGAAGCTTCTCGCAGTTCTTGTCGGCGACGATGGGGCCCGACGTGGCTCTGGTGTCTGCGGCAATCTGTTCCGGGGGGTGTCTGTAAGCTTCTGAGGCGGTTGGGTGGTTGCTAGCTATACATATCATGGAGGGGGAGGTTTGATGGGATGGAGAGATAGAGGCGGAGCGGGATGGCAGAGGAACGTACAACAACACCTCCATCGAATATGCACCCTACAATCGTCGTGCCGGTGCTGGTAGCCTTAGGGAGAGGCATACCCTGTGCGTGGAGAGCCGCATTGCGGTTGTAGTTGGAGAAGTCGAAGCCAGGCATCTTGAATAATTAGGCAAATGCCGTCCGACTTGGTCTCGAGCCCGAATCCGCCTTGGAGTACAATTTAAATAGAATAGCACCGGATCCGCTTGATATTGGTGTTGGATGAGTCTGGTGAAGCTGATATCCCCAATGTCGTTGTTCAGAGTCGGAGTTGGTGGAGGGAGGTGGATGCTGGGGGGGTATCGTTGGGTCAAGATGCTAGAAGGCAGAGCTGCTGATGACGAGGCTAAAAGCTGCCTTCAGAATGAGGTCCAGGGCACCGGGGCACTGTGGTAGCGGAGGGTGGGTTTTGGTAGGCGGGCGAGCTATCCCCTGGAGCCTGGAGCTCAGTGACGCGATTGGCTGCATGCGCGCTGCACGGCCTGGAGCTGTTCTCCACGTGATGTCGTGACTAGTAGAGCTCCTGCCATCAAAAAAGTTGCTTCAAGGTCCGTGCAAGCAGGTACGGACGGATAAGAGAGGCTCAAGAGCCCATTGTATGTCGCCCTTGCGAACACAAAGACTTCGAATCCCTGGACCCCGATCGATCCCATCCCTTTTGTCCACGATCGATATTGTGAATTCCTCTGCAAACTCGACAGCATTTGGGGACCCTTCCCTGGGGTTTTAAAGATCCTGGCGCATATCATCAGGTGAAGCGCGACGGTCGTCGAAAAAGAACCAAAATACCGGATTTTTTGTTCTCCTCATCTGCAGAAACGACCTATGACATCGGATTTGTTTAATTAGGCCATCCATCAGAGACCATGGCCTTCAGTTTTGGTAATTCCGGTGGCGCCCAGGCTGGGAATGCCGGAGGTGCAGCCTCAGGGCCTGAATTAGAGACCATCGCGACCGAGGTAGGTGTGATTTTGAAATGGTACGATGTGTGTTGTGCTTATTCACTGATCGTTTCTTCTCTCTGCACAGGAACTAGGATTTCTCTCTGTTGCCGGCGAGGCCAAAGTTCGCCTGACTTCGCTATGGTCGCCTCTACCTACACCGACAGCGTCTCTGCTCGGTGTCGCGTCACGACGAGGTCTTGTTGCAGCCGCAGGACCTGACCATGTTATACTTGCGACAACCGAATCCGTCCGCAAAGCCCTCGAGAACCCCAAGGAAGGCGAGTCGGAGATTCGGTCCTTCCAGCCTCAACTTAAGATGCCGCTCCCAATGCGGGTATCCCAATTGGCATTTACGGCCGACGAAAACTATCTTATTCTGTCTGCGGAATCTGGAGGCGGTCTCGCTATCTATGAAGTTCAGAGTCTGCTGAATGGCTCCACAAGCTCCGTCTTCGAGCTTCCGACGAACGGAGAGTCGTTGCGACTACTGGCACCCAACCCGACGTCGGAAAAGGCCGAGCTTTGCGCTATTGTGACCACCAACGGGAATCTACACATGACGAATCTCAAAGAGAGGAAAATCAGCAATGTCCTAAAGAGCCAGGTGAGCTCTGTTAGCTGGAGTTCGAGGGGCAAGCAGCTATGCGCTGGCTTGGGAGACGGCACAATCCATCAGATGACCCCTGAAGGTGAAGCCAAGGCGGAAATCCCCAAAGCCCCGAATTTGGGAAATCACCATGGTAAGAAATGACTGCTCATTGTTTATGTTCCCTCTATCCGACATTATAACTAAACTTGCCAATATTGCAGTCTCTTCTTTGACATGGTTAGAAAATAATCTGTGGTTGGCTATTTACACCTCCAACGATGAATCAGCCCCTTCATCAGTATACAATATTATTACCCGCACACCTCCTTCATCCTTTTCTTTCCAGAAGCTTTCCGATCCTATTGAACCTTTCGGAGCTGAGAAAGCCCCCCATCATTCAGTCCTCAGGTTAAGGGATTTCCCTCCTGATATCCAGGACCTGCTCATCGTAGCCTCTACTACATCGACAGACATCGGACTTCTGACCAGATCTAAGAAAGCCCTTGCTACTGATAAACCAGCCGACTCTATTACCGGGGTATTCGTCACGACTGAACTACTTGATGACAGCAAACGGCCTACGCTCCCTATGACGGATTCCATGGATGATTCTACCCTTATTGGAGTTGCTCTGGACCTTTCGAGCAAGGATAAGGTCTACAAACCTATTCCATCAGATGAAGAACTCGAAGAATCACCAAGCCCTCTTCCTGGACTGTGGGTCTTGACACACGAGGGTGTCCTTTGCCCATGGTGGCTTGTTTACACCGATTCGATCAGAAAGGGAACCCCATACCCCGGTTTGGCTTCCTTAGATAACTCGGCGCCTTCACAACCACCCTCGACTCCCTTTTCGTCACACACTGGAATGTCAGGCCTAGGGTCGACCTCGACTACAACACCCACCACCACTCCTGCCCCTGCATTTGGCTCTTCAAGCCAGCTAGGAGCCAAAACTTCGCCTTGGGGAGGAGCCTCGACCACGACTCCAACCCAACCCACCGCGACCTTTGGATCTAGTACATTCGGCAGCTCTCCCGCCCCCTCGGCCCCTGCGTTTGGAAAGCCAAGCACATTTGGGCAGTCATCTCAATTAGGGACGAGTTCTTCTCCCTGGGGAGCAGGAGCCGGATCAGGCTCCACCCCAGCCTTCGGACAGTCTGGATTTTCATCCTTTGCAAACAAAAATGCATCCACGTTTGGCTCCGGTGCGCAGCCCCCGGCTCAAACGCAGGCGCCGTCATCTGGAGGGTTTGCTAGCTTCAGCAGCCAGGGTGGATTTAGTTCCGTTGCCAACAACAATTCCGGCGGCAGCATCTTTGCTAGTTCCGGAAACCAGGCATCTGGAGGTTCTACCAGCGTTTTTGGATCTGGGTCATCTGGAAATACTAGCTTCGGCGCCAAGACTGATAAACCTTCAGGTGGTCTGTTTGGTCAACCCTTCAAGCTTGAGAGCTCATTCAAGCCCGATCCGACTTCTGCTGCGGATAATGAAAGGCCTTCGACAACTTCGGGTAGTTCACTATTTGGCTCCGCATTTGGTTCAGCCCTGAACGACGCGAAGACTCAACCGGCCGAGTCAACAAAGGATGAGGATATGGATGCTGAGGATACAACCGAGCAAACACCCCAGGCAAAGCCTTCTACTTCTTTATTTGGCTCACAAACTACTGTGGAATCAACAACTCCTACAACCACACCAGCACCTCCGAAGTTTGGAATAACCTCGACGGCGCCCGGTAAATCCATTTTTGGACAGCCTAGCATTGGCCTAGGATCTGGAGGGGGGCTATTTGGGCCCAAGAATGAGCCGACCAAACCATCACCCTTTGGCGGATTGTTCGCCCAGAAGAAGCAAGTTGAACCTGAGACGCCCAAATCAAAGCCTGGAGAGCAGGAACCACTACCACCGGACACCACGAGCAAATTGGTTTATCCTCTTGGTGACTCGTCTTCATCCTCTGCTACATCCAATGCGCCCACTGCTTCGTCTCAGGTTGCAGAAGCTCCTTTACCTCCCGACCCAGTAGCTACACCCAAGCCTACCAAGGATGGTGGCCTGAAAGAAGAGTCATCATCAGAGAAGAGCGCAGGTGGAGACGCACCTCTACCTCCTGATTTCGTGAAAGTCTCAAAGCCCAAGGAAAGCTCCGTGGTCCCAGAGGCAGCTCCTTTGCCTCCTGATTTTGCCAAGCCAAGCAAGACGCCCACTCCACAGCCGCCTTCTATCTTCTCAGAAGCCAACGTGCCCAATACGTCCTTTAAGACGGGGGCCCCCACTTCATTCCCAAGCTTTAACACATCAAATGCCCCTCCTGCTCTTGATGACGATGAGGATGAGAGCGATTTCGAGGATGACAACGCTACCGAAGGAAGTGGCGTTGACGTTGCGAAGGACTTGAGTCCCAGCGCGAGCGGCCTTGGCCAGACTACAACTCCTGGCTTTACTCCCCAGAGCTCCTTTGGAGGTGTTGGCTCCAGCGTCACTAGTACAGCCATGGATCGGTCAAAGCCCCTCTTTGGAGAGCTCAGCCGTAACGCCCCCCTATTTCCACGCCCGAATGCAGGCAGCCCTCGTTCTCCAAGCCCTGTCCGAGCAATTCCTGGTCGCATGCTGCGGAACGATACCAGATCAGTGAGCGCGCCTGGAATGGCATCACAGATAGTAGGACATCAAACTCAGTCGCAGTTAAGAGGGTCAATTACCAGCCGAGAAACCAATGCGAATGCTGAAGATCATTTCTTGGCACAAAATAGAAAATTGAGGGCGCGGCAAGAGGCGGAAGAGACACAACCCCTTGTCGATGAGGAGGATGATGAGGTGCAGAAGATCCTGGCTTCGGAAGTCGATGGTACATTGGCTCTAGATGAGTTCATTGCTCATACAAACACAGGTCCTCCTGCCGGGGAGAGCATTCCTTCACAAGTTGAAGCTGTGTACCGAGATATCAATTCCATGATTGATACGGTTGGATTGAATGCACGGTCTGTCAAAGCCTTTGTCAAGGGGCATACGGAAAACAGAAAGGAGGGAGGTCGAACTAAAGAGGATCTTGAAATTCCTGATGATTGGGTGCTTTGCGAGGTTGACGAGCTGGGAAGAGTTTTGGATGATGACCTCTATGGCGAGTTGGAGAACGGGCGTGTCCGAAATCTTGAAGAAAAGATTGAAGCCTGCCAAGATTTGACGCGAGATATGCATCGACTACGAGCCAAGCAGGAGGATCTCAAGAAGATTATCGCGGCAAGACTGGACCCTGATCAGAAAGCAGCGACTCAATCTCTGCCGCTCAGTGCTGAACAAGCCACGCAGCAAAACGAACTCCGCCGCGATTTCACCAATTTCTCTAAGCTGTTGGCTGAGACCGAAGAGACCCTCACACTGCTCAAGGCTAAACTAGCATCAGTTTCAGGAACTACTGGAAGGGGCAACACCAACATGCCAACGGTTGATGCTGTCATGCGAACCATCACTAAGATGACCTCCATGGTGGAGAAGCGAAGCGGGGATATCGATGTGCTAGAGAATCAGCTTCGCAAGGTCCGCCTCAGCACTCCTATCCGTGAAGGTTCACCTGCGGCAACTCCCCAGAACCGAAGGAGCGTCCTCTTCTCCCCTGATTCTACACCAGCTCGAACACTCCGCCACAGCTATAATGCCAGTGTGGGATCAATTGGAAGCCCAGCCCGGGCAACGCCCAGGAAGAAGTTGAGTGGGTTCAGCAAAGAGGAAAAGGGAGACCTCATGGACAAACGGGCCCGCCGACAAGCAGTCTTGGACAAGTTGAAATCCAGCGTGGAGAAGAAAGGCGTTAGTGTTTGGAACATGGAAGATATCGAATAAGTAATCCGCGGGCGCCAGTGCAATGCACGATTTATTGTTAATTAGTTTTCTCCGTCTTCTTTTTTGCATGGGTTTGGAGAGATGGGAATGACAGGGAATCATATATATGTAGTTTAGATAGTAGAAATTGGAGCATCAATCGCATTGACTTTGGATCAGGCGATAGACAAGACACGCAGTCATACGCATATTGACACACACTGGCACACACCATCTTTTCTTTGGTTGTATTGCATGATGCGGGTCCCAGAGCTTCCCGAATCAGACGTGACACAGCTAGATGCTCGGTGAGGACCCAGTTTCAAACCCGGAACAGGCTAGCGCAGTTTTCACCGAGATCTCCCAGCCGGTAGCCTAGAAAGTTGGAGGGGCATCAAAAAATTTCCCAGTGTGACATCTTGGCTGCAAGCTCTCGACCATCATAATCATCCTGCAATTGCGATGGCCCCCTCAACGAAAGCGCAATGGGCGCAGCCTCCCAGCCAGGAAGAACTAGAGCGCCGGAATGTAAGCTACAGTTTTCCTTCAAAAACAACTGGCAACCATTTCAAAGACTAATTCACATTTTGTCTTCCGCAGACGGTGAACATTAACAAAGAAACGGTCACCAACACAGTATCGACCGATTTCCCCGGCCACTTCCCCGGAGAAGACCACGCCTTCTCAATTGATCGATTCCAGTCTGGCTTTGACATCACTTTCCACCAGAACGATCAATTCCACGCCTCTTTCTCCCTTGTCGGCATTGACGCCTCTCTCGCCAATGCCTTCCGTCGCATCCTGATTGCCGAGATCCCAACACTAGCGATCGAGAACGTATTCATAACAAACAACACTTCCGTCATTCAGGATGAAGTCCTTGCCCACCGACTAGGACTTATTCCCTTCAAGGGCGGTCGCGAAGGTCTGCGCAGTTTCCTGCGGTTCCACAAGAAGGGCGAGGATGCCCAGGACTACGACACAGTCCAGCTGGACCTCAATGTGACCTGCACCGTAAATACCGACGCCGCGCCAAACGAGACGGACCCGCTCAAGGCCTACCACAACGCCCATGTCTATGCCAAGGACATCACCTTCACCCCCCAGGGCCGGCAAGATCAATACTTCTCGGGCGAGGACGCAATCGTCCCCGTCAACCCCGACATCCTCATCGCCAAGATGCGCCCTCGGCAGACCATCGAGCTCTCCATGTACATGAACCTGGGTGTCGGCTCCGACCACTCCAAGTTCTCCCCCGTCGCCACCGCCTCATACCGCCTGATGCCGACGATCAAGATCACGAAACCCATCATCGGCGCTGACGCGCAGAAGTTCGCCAAGTGCTTCCCCGAAGGCGTCATCGGGCTGGAGAAGGTCTCGAAGAAGGAGGCGGGGCAGCGGGGCAGCGGCTACGAGGGCCACGCTGGAGAACTCAAGGCCGTCGTCGTCGACCCTATGAGAGACACAGTCAGCAGGGAGTGTCTGCGACACGAGGAGTTCGAGGGCAAGGTCAAGCTGGGACGAAGGAGGGACCACTTCATCTTCTCCGTCGAGAGCACGGGGCAGTGGGACAGCGACGAGCTGTTCCTAGAGGCAGTGAAGAAGCTGAAGCAGAAGTGCAAGAAGCTCGAAGACCAGGTCGACAACATGGTTCGGTAGAGAATACCGAGAGTTGTCACTTTTTTTCGAGCGCCTTCATTTTGTTCCACACACACATACACACTGTCTTTGCTGCATCGGGAGAACTTGGAAGAGCCTTCAAATTTTGATATGTATATTGGACTCAGTTCGCATCTTTTCTTTTGTCACTGTGCTGTTATTCTTAGGTGTTCGCAGGGTAGATAGACAAGAAAAAAAAGGGAATGATACCATGATACTTGAGACTCCAGCGCTTCCTATTCCCCCCTCTCTGCATGAACAATGCTTCTCCTTTTTCGTCTATTTTTTCTCATTTCTCATTTTCAGAATCAATGTTAGCCCGAAACGCCAAAAAAAAAATGATATGTTATTGATGTTGTAAGAATGCCCACAACTCCCAGCAAATGCCTTCCCCACCCTGCCCTGTGCTTGCCAAAAAAAAAAATAAGAAAAAGGAGAGACGCATATGGACTCGCTAAATGTCTACTCAAGACTTGAAAACAAGGTAGAAGGTGAACTCGAGAGGGAAGGCCGGGTCGGTGACGACAATCTCCTGCCTGTTCTCGAGGCCAAGCTCGGCCAGGGACTTGGCGAGGTTGGGCCGGGTCCTCTCCTCCAGGCTGGGGGGGAACTGCATGTAGAGGGTCTTCCCCTCGGCGCGGACCGAGGGCTTCTTAAGCTGCGCCTCGGGCCGCACGGCGAGGGAGTCCAGGAGGGCCTGGAGGGTGGTGCTTGGGTCGACCTCGAGGGGCCTGGACTGCTTGCCGCAGACGGGGCAGTCGGGCTTCTGCTCGTGCTTGAAGGTGTAGGTGTAGATGCTGTCATTGCCCGAGTACATCATGTAGTTGTTCTCGAACCCCAGGCAAGGGGCCGCGGACGTGGCGAGCTTGAAGGCCTCGTTGCAGCACGCGGCGGCGATGATGGCGTTGGTGGAGGCGATGGCGGGGATGATGTTCTTGATGGTGCCCTGGGTGAGCGAGTAGGTGACCCCCGGGATGTTGAACTCCTGAGCGCGGGCAAGGGCCTTCTCGTAGAGCCAGGTGACGTGCTCCGGGTCGTCCTTGTCGAGCTGGGGGAAGGGCTTCTCCTCGTCCCAGGCGATGACGTGGGCCCACTCGACGCAGTGCTCGGGCTGCCGCGGGATGGAGGCGATGGTGCAAAGCGGCACGGCGGCTCTGGGCGCGTGCATGTCCAGCTGGCACTCGATACATGAGGTGATGGTTGGGAGGATCACCCGGGCCTGGCCCTTGAAGCCCTCCGTGCCGCCGTCGACGAGGGGCTTGATGTTGTCCGGGTCATCGGACCCGTCCTCGGCAATCGAGACCAGCATGGCGTTTATCCATCTTCGTGCTTCTATGCTGTCAAGCCCGCAGATAACAAGCTGGAACTGCTTGTAGAAGCTCTCGTCAAAGTCCTGAATGCGATTATTGTAGGCGGTGATCTTGACGCCCTTGACCCTCTGCTCGACAAACCGTGCTGCCACTTCTGCCTTGTACTTCCCGACGTCCGACTTCCTGAACAAGAATTGGCGGTTGAGGTTAGATATATCAATTGTGTCTGAAGAAGAGTAATTGTCAGCTGGAAGTGTGTGCCAGTTTTGAGGGCCAGAGTAATGCTCACCCATGTCGATAACGTGAATGTCCCTGAAATGGGACATGGCCAAGTTCTTGAGGATTTCACATCCTAGACCACCGGCGCCTCTGCAAGCATATAGTATTTAGCTGTTATACTCTTCGTGTGGTGGTCTCGAACATGGAACGAAGGGGAGACGGGGCATCGCACATTACCCTGTTGATAGCTTGTTAGCAGCTGCAGGTTAACGTGCCGACCTTGCGTCAGCAGTAGAGAAGGGGCGGGAACGTACAAGATCTTCATCTTTTCGAAGTTCGCCAGCGATTCCTCGTCCGCGGCGCTGGGATCGGTGAACGGGCCTGGGTTCCGGCGGATCTGGTCGAGCAGTCGCCTGCGGACGGGCTCCGTTAGCGACTGTCACCAAAGAGCTACATTGGCGAGCTTGCTTACCACCTGGCTGTCTCGTTGGTTGGCTCAACATGAGCCAGATTCTGTGTGGCAGCCATTTTTTTCTAGGTGGTAGAATCTGAATTGGTGTCGACGGGTTATATATCTGTTGTACCAAAGAAGGTACTAAAGGACAGACAGGCCTCGATCTCATGCGCCTCGAGAGTTGGGAGGGGATGGATAGGCAGCCGTGCGTTCGGTGAGCAATGGTGAGGGTCGGTGAGTTCGGTGGAGGTGGGGTAGCTCCCAAGCTCTCCCACAGCCCCAGCAAGAAACAAGAAAGTACACTCTTCTTCGTCTCTCAAAGCTTTTATTTAGGTTCTCTTCTTTTCAGACTATTCGGTATGATTAAATAAGTTGGAGCTCGGCATTCTTTCGATTTTGTGTTGTTGATGGCTTTCGAGCAACAATGGACGAGCTTCTCACGCCGATCAGCACCACTTACCTGAAGCCGAAGGTGGCAGAGGCACCACTTCTCACCGAAGTTACGTCTCAGAACAAGCAAATTACTCAAGCTGCCTCGGCGGCGGATAAAATAACTTCTCCCGACGAAGCTTTAGACACGCTAAAGAACCAGCCGAGTTATGACGCTCTGCTTGCCACCCTAGAATTTCTCACCAACAGTGAGGGTTCAAAGAACAGCAATTTCAGTCTTCATATACCAAGTCCGAAGAGCGCGGCTATAGTGAAGATACTGGTGACTGAAATTGCGCACAACTATTGGCCACTGTTCTCTGCTTCCGGCGATGGCGACACAGACGGCACGCTTCGCCCTAAAGAAGCGTTTGTCAGCTGCCTCAGCAGCGTCACAGGAGTCAACGCTATCTTATCCCATATGGTAGCTTTGATAAATGAGGTGAAGAGTAGTAGCAAAGGGATCTCTCGCTCTGACTTGACACTTCATCTGGAGATTTTCCTTGACCTTCTTTCTACAATCCTTGACGGCGATCATGCAGCCCAGCAGTTATGGACGACATCTACCAAGGAACTCACAAACGACCTATTAAAGAAGGGTCAAACCCAAACATTCATCTCATTATTGACAAACGGACGCATCGTGTCAGTTGCTGCTGAAGCTCTTACTCTAGTAGGGGAGGGGCAACTCCGCAATATGCCTAGATGGACTGCTGATGGGCTGGAGTATACTCTGTGGCTTGGACGAAACGCAATCCGTTGGGCAAAGTTGGAGTCTTCAGATACAGAAATGCAAATTTGCTCTGATCTAGTGCTGAGGGGAGGCTCGCTGGGCTATGGTGGTAAGCAAGCTGCTTCTCCTTGTCCAAAACCCAGCTCAGTCGTCTTGGAACTAACATACTTGACTCTACTCTTCCCCGTCTCTAGAGAGGCTGTTCAAATTCGTCATTGACGATATATTACTTACCAAAGGAGCCGATCCGAATATCTTTGACAAACTACTATTAAACCAACTACAAGCAGCAAGGAAGGTGCTGTACATTCTCCTGGACCATTTATCAAACAGGTTCTTAGACCGTCTACAGCCTGAAGATCCATCCGCAGGTTCAATCATTTCGGCGGCTGCCGGTATTATTGATTCTGTGACCCAAGGCGATAGGGTGAGAGAATCTCATCTGATAAAGTGGTGTTCCTCCTCGTCCGGAGCAGGTCTCGGGCACGGGGTTGGGATCAGGAGGGCAGTCCTAGCGGCCCTCTCCAAAAACAAAGAAAACATCAGAACTGTCCTGGAAAAATCGGTATCTCAGTTCGGCGACGAGCTATACATTAAACACGCCGCTATCCTACAGCAAAATGGCAAGTGAGGTCGATTTCGAAACAAGTTTGCTGATGTTCTAACTTTCATTCCCTAGTTCACACCGAAATATTACTTCTCAGTGCTGGGTATGTTTCTCGATCACTGCCAATTAAACTGGCAATGTTGCTTAGGTCGGCGCCATACTTGCGAACCATCTCCAACCGCATCGCTGCAACACAGAGTCGTGCTCGATTCCTTGGCATGGTTGTCGGCGAAACCCTCTCAGGTCTACTTGATAGCAGTGATAAAAAGCTCGATTTCCACATGGATGACATGGAGTTTGCGGATATGGGAAGTCTCAAGGAACTATCCAAGATTTCGGACAGTATTGGATCTGCAGAGCCACTTCTCTCAGCTCGCCAGCAACCTCCTCCCCAGCTACAACCAACCACAACATCAAAGAAAGTGCCAAAGAAGAAGCCAAAGCCAGCTTCGCCTACTGTTCAACCTAAATCTATCATTCAAGAAATAGATTCTTCCGGGGAGGAAGATGCAGACGAAGATTTGGTTCCATACGCCAAACACTCGGATCCAGAAGATTCAGATGATGACCCAACACTCATTCAGCGAAATCGGGTGAAACCACCGGTTTACGTTCGCGATCTGATTGCCTTTTTCCGGGACTCGGAGTCCTATGATAAACAAAACTTGGCCCTACAGACAGCCCCATCGCTTATCCGACGCAAAGCCAACTATGGTGCCGAAGTCAGCTCGCACGCGGACGAGCTGGCTGGTTTACTCGTGGGTTTACAGGACAAGTTTGATATAGAAGAATTCCAAGACCTCCGGCAACAAAGCATGATTGCTTTGATTGTCTCGCAACCCAAGACGATGGCTCCTTGGTTCGCACGCACATATTTCGAGGGCGACTATTCCCTAGCTCAGCGCACTCAAATAATAGTTGCGCTAGGTCTCTCAGCGCGAGAGCTTGCCGGGTACGATATCTCGCAGTACCAATCGTCCGCATCGTTCCCCTCAAAGAAGCTCCCGGAGAAGATCGAACAGCTCTACATCAGCGAGGTAAAGGCTGAGGATCATTCACCCGCCTCTCGCCTCAAGCCATTGCCGCCTACAGCCCTCGACAACATCGCAACTTCGGTTACGTCCGCGTTCCTCGAACCCCTAGCAGCAGAGGCTGCAGACACGGCCACCGGGCCCGACGTACTGAAGCTGCAGACGTTCACTGCCAGGTACAAGTCCAAATCCGCAAAGCGGCCCCGCGTCCGAGCCATCCCGAACACCACAGCTGGCCTTCTGGCATCGTCCTTCTTCTCGCCGCTCACTGCTCATTTCAGCGTGGCTCTGCATTCCCGCAGGCCAATGATTCTAAACCCGGCTCTTCTCGGGCTCTACCTACAAACCCTCGGTATAATCGTCCATGCCGCCGGCCCATCGACTCTCTCCCTCCCACAGCTGACCTCGGAGCTGTGGTCTCTCCTCCTGGGAACCAGGCAGCACGTGGTCGGGGATCTCGGCTCGCTGAAGGGATGGTTCGTTGCCATGGCCGCCCTGATAGAGGTCAACGAGGGCGACATGCGCCGGCTCTGCCAGGAGCTGGGGAGAGAGGTGGTCGAGACGCGGGAGTGGGCCAGCGGGGTGTTCGAGAGGATGAGGGGGGAGGACGGCGGCGATGAGAACCACGTCAAGATGCTCGCAGCGGGTGTTCTCATCCGGCTGGGCGAGGCGATTGAGAAGTATCAGGCTTTATTGATGGGAGACTTGATTGGGTATACATAGATGATAGAGGCTCTTGGTTAGTTGTTGGATCACAACATTGAGAACAAGCTCCTTTTGCGAACACTCGTTTGATACCTGGCCATGCATACTCGTGTGGTAACTTGATCTCTGCTCATTCGTCACAAGTAGTCCAATACTTCCTATTGTGCATTATAAATTTATTGGCCATTCTATCATACTATTCCTCCGGATTTTACAACAAATGCTCATGATCTCCAAGGATATTTTTCATCTCAAGGAGAGAGAACAATCATGATGCTAATGAAATGCCATTACGTACGAACCAAACGGTCTCATTTCCAGCGTAGTGGTGCATGTACATGATACGGGTTCTTGCCCGACAATCGCTCTTGTATACCAATCCCAAAAAAAAACTCCTCGTCAACAACAGCAGTTATTAAATCAAACATTAGATAGGCATCCAGCCCTTCTTCACACCTTTACACTAGCAAGGTCTGTGTGGGAAATGTGTCTAGTAATTACAAACCTGCCCACTTGGGGGGTTCATTTTTTTTCAATCTCTCATGAAGGGGTTACGAGATCCCCAGGAGTCTCTGCTCTAGTCGAACTTGCGCGTCGAACCTGCAATCCCGAGAGATAGGTATCAGCGTGGCTGAGGTGGGCACCCAGAGACATGGCCATTCTGCGAAGCTCTTCCTTTACTTCTTCATGAGACGCTTGACCCTCCATGACTTGAGGCAAGGGCGCCAGTGGTAGCGGCGGTAGGAAAGAGATCCCATTCTCACGAGAAGGTGATGGATGACGAATTGCCGAGCCCGGCTCGTCATCATGATAGCCATTCTCATGCGGAGGGACAAATGGGAATTGTGCAGGATTCGCGGAAGTAGTAGGCATCGGGGTGGGGTCGTCGTCAGGGTATTCAGGGTCCATATCGGCAAAGTCACTCAAGGAGTAAGGGCGCGCAAGTTCATTAGATAGACTAGGGGAATGGCCGTTAGACTGAGCAAGATGGTTGACGCCGTTTGCCATCACATCATGCTGCATGTTTGAGAACTCAGATTCATCCGAAACATAGATGGATGGCTCACGGTACGTGGCTGGCATGGCATAAAAGGATGTGTGTTTTTCAAGCTCGAACGGGTTGGTGCTACCGAAATCAGAGCTGCCCACGGAATTTGCGTCTGAGTGAGAGGTGGATGGACGTGTATAATCCGTGGCTGTGTCGGGCATGCTCAAGTCAAGGTCAATAAGACTCCCTGTAGACGCCCGGTTATCAACCGAAGGCGTGGGGGCGAGATCGTTATAGTGTGAGGAAGGAGGTAGCGGCTCTGTAGGCCGATGAAGAAGAGGGGGGCGACTAGTAACTGGGCTGGGTGCTGGCTCTGCCTCTTCGGGCATTGCAGGAAACCGGAATGTCTGTGGATCTGGAGGAGCAGGACCCGGCGTCAGGGATGGGAACTTCCAGTCCTGTGTCCTACGGTTTCCCTTCATGTCGCCAGGATCACTCAGAGGTCCGTTATCAAAAGGCTCCGGGTCTCCCATGTCGAAGTCGACTGGGAATCTTGAATCCCCAGCCTTGAGAGTGTTCAAGTCAACAAAGTCCGAAAGCTCGCTGCCGTGCAACGAGGCATCCAGGTCAATGAGCGATTTCCTGCCTATATCCAAGTCAATGAGTGACTCCCTCACATCAGATGAAGGGAGAGAGTCATCACGAAGTGGGAGATCGGAAGCATTCGGCGCAGCAGGGGGGGCAGGAATGGGAAAGGCACGGCCATAGTATGCCCTCGAATTGTCTTCATAATTGGACATGGTGTTTGGATCAAACAATTTCTCCAAAGGAGCCTTGACGGACGGTAGATAAGGGGGAGGTCTCCGGCGGCCTTTAGGTTTCTGGGGGCGAGCTGTTTCCTCATACTTCTCTTGGACAAAGTCCACGTTGGATCCGTACACATCGTACACATCCTGTGCATCGCCATTGTTGAATACTTGCTGATCAAAGGCAGCAGTTGTGCTGAAATTCCATTCGTCATCAGCCATCACTGCTGCAGCGAGGTCTGCTGGTGCCTGCGCACCTCCCAGGTTGAACAATGACCTTCGGTCACCACCTTGTGCCTCCCAAAGTTTAAAGGCTCTCACGAGATGAGCCAATGATTCTGTTGGGTAGGCATCCTCGGTCTTGAACAAGTACCCGTGGCGCTGAATCTGAGTAATACTAGGTCTCTTGGCCGGATCGTGTTGCAGGCAGTAGCCAATGAGGTCCTTTAGGCCAGAAGAATATTTATCACCATCCAAGCGCGGTGTATTTTGCTTGACATAGGTTCCCAGTTTTGTGAAATCCATGCCGGCAGCCACATTCGGCGGTAAACCCGAAGCAATCTCAAACACCATAGCGCCAAAAGCCCAGATGTCAACCTCAGTGCCGTAGGAGGCGGAAGGATCAAAAAGCTCTGGTGCCATCCAGTGCGGCGTGCCAATGACAGTGGTTCTCTTGTCGAACTTGGTCTCGATGACACCGGCAACGCCGAAGTCGCAAAGCTGGACGTCTCCGACCTCGGTAACCAGGACGTTGGCGCACTTAAGATCACGGTGAATAATTCCTTGAGCGTGCACCCAGGAGATTGCCTCTGCTGCTTCGCGCAGGATAGGAATAATCCATTTCTCCTGGAGGCCACCTGGAGATGTTGGCTTCATGAGAGTCGCCACACTCCCCCCCGCACAGTACTCTGTGATCATCCACATGGACTGTCCAACGGGGAGAGCCTCGATAACATGGTTGATGTTTTTGGCACCCGTGTCGCTCAGCATCTGTAGGGCGTTGATCTCCTTGAGCAGGTCGCTGTAGGTATCGGCCATCCTGGGGTCCGCATTGTCGCTCTGGTCGATGTCAATAATTTTGACAGCGACCAGCTGCTTGGTGGTCAGTGAGGTGGCCTTGTAGACACGGCCAAAGCTCCCCTTGCCGATGAGCTCCGAGAGCTGGTACTTGGGGACCTCTTTTCCGGACTTGTTGCACTGCTCAATAACCCTCTTCTGCATTTTCAAGGCATCGTCGAGAGCCTTTTGTTTGGTGACGGAGACCTCCGGCCACTTCACCTGAAGAGACGCCATGGTAGGCCGCCGTTTCGACTGCTGTTAATTTCTTGAACGAGTTCTTCCACCTCTCCCAGCTGCGTGAGCGCGCGCTACTGCGTCACGGCCGCCGCCTCTAAGTTGAAGACTGTGGCGGGCCGTGCTTCATGTGAAGGCTGTGAAGACCGGGAATGGCAATGATATTGCTAGACGCTTTCTTGTTTGGACGAATGGCTCAGTGAGTAAGGCTGGGTGAGTAATCTGTCCCACATGGCGGGTGGGTTTCGTATCACGATGATTTCCTCGTCCCAGCCCTTCCGAGTAACTATGCAAATGTGCAAGTGAGAGGAGAGACAAGCCCCTTCATGGAAGCCGCATAGATACGTTTTGCAGCCTGCTGATGATATGAACTGACTCGATTCCACTATCAACAAAACCGCCATCTGGAAACGACGTTGGGCGCCAGGGGCTTTTGCGAAGTTTTACCGTTGCACCAGAAGCCTATTCGCCAATGGCTTATGTAAGCCTTTCTTATCTACGAGTACCTAGGTACCTACCTGAGATTATCTCACAAGTCCGCGTATTCCGTATTTCGTCTTCACCCACAATTGGAATTGGAAGGAGGGATGACACAGGACGGAGAAATACAGAAACAGAGCAATCGAAGAGGGCGGAGGCGGAGCGGGATTCCATGCATGCACCAGCAGCTGAATTGAAAAACAAAGACCTCGGAATCCGGTGTTGCCGTGGCGCTCTCACTATTCTTGTGGCTGGCCATTACCAAACAATACCAGCAACGCCGTAAGCTCATGCATGTGATGCTCAGCTCTCATCCCATCCATGTTTTGTTGTTGGTAATAGATTGGGCCCTTAGATGAATATTCCCCCCGCCCCATTACGATCCTACATGGCAATATATCCGTGCTACAAACAAACAAGCGAATGCGGAGAGGTCGGAGAAGGCCGAGAGTCCCCTGTCTGTTGGTCGAAAGCAAAACTTCAATTGCTCAAACAACCGGTGTACATGAATTGAACCGGACGACGATGACTGGCCAGAACACGCAACCAACACACTAGGTAGTATTCTGACAGGGGAAACTACCCGGCAGTTCGCTTCCACGTATGTCCTACCTGGGTAATCAATAGGTCGGTAATTATTATTGTTCTTGAAACGTCCGTATTGAGGAACGTCGCTCTTGTCTGCATAAACCATGTGCCAGCCACGGTCATGCGGAGCCAAGACACGCCGGTCTGGAACTTACGCGAAGACAAATAGGGAGGGAGGTCTGGAGGTGATACCTGTCCTGTCCTAGAGCGGCGCGCTCATGCACGCAAGCAAGGTAATCTGCAGATACTATTGTAATACTGCCCCGTCCTGTCTTGTCCAACGCCAAATGTCGGCCGGGCGGGCGGCGAAGACGAGAAGCGATGACCAAGAGGGGTGAGCAGGCTGCAGCCACAGTACAAAGGAGATGCTCTCCCACGTCATTCGGGACATATCTGTGCACGGCTGTATTACGTCGGCCGCGAACTAAGGCAGTCAGATGGAACAATTGCAGAAGCTATGCAGGGAGAAGGAAGACGCCACAGAACGGACGTAGAACGAATTTAGCATCATCTACACGCTAACCAGCCAGTAGACGGGCTCCTGGCAATGCTGGCGATAACAATAAGCTAACGGCGACTGGCGCAGTCTGTGCAATGGGGCCCGCCCGGCCGATCAGGGTCGAAGGAAAGGGGACGGGCAAGACTATCAAATCTTCTGGTTATGCTTCAGGAGACATGCCTACATGCGCAGCAAAGGCGTAATCTGCTGGGGTCGGACAACCTTGAAGCCTCGGGCTCGACGGACTCGTGCTCGCTTAGCGCAGCAGGGAACAAACCCCAGGTGCAGACCCAATTTCAATGGCCCAGATGGCAGGCCCCTGGCGGTCTACAGGGAGAGAGGCCGTAGTCGGGTGCGCTGAAGAGCATGTCTGAGGCACCTGCAGCCCCCATAAGCTCGGGCCACACAGCGACAGCCAATCGCATCGGGGGCCCCTCTTCCCCAAAAAAGTCCCCCTCAATGATCCCCGTCACAAGGCCACTCCCCCGGCTGCGAATCTCGTCGGGGTCCATTCCGTCCACTTGCACGCGGGCACACACACTCCGGACCAGAGCCTGAGACTCTCACGCCAACAACGGACATCATCAACGGACACACACACTCGCTCTCATAATCTCACTGGGATTTGCCTCCCTCCCCCACAATGCCCAGCTCGCCAAGTCATACGAATAGGGAATTGGGCCATGTGGCCAACAGTATGGGCCGACCAGCGGGACCGACTCCTATTCAGCTGCTCCTCCCGGCTCGCGTTGATCCCCCAGCGGTTCGTGAATCGCCTCGGCCATGTTATTAGCTATTGTTGCTCTTCAACTCTATCGATGTCGCCTCCCCAATAACACCTAGTCCGCTTTGCTGGTCCTTGTCTTGTTCCTTCGAGCCCAAGCCTCTTCTCCACCCGCCCACCCACCATCTCCGTCTTAGCAACAAAGCTGGTATGACAAAAGTTAGCTGGAGGCTCCGACTCGTCGAGGCCTCGGGGATAATAGCAAACCTTTGCTGTCCTTGTTTCATCCAGCTAGTGCTGATATGGCCAAGCCCCTTGCCCTCCATGGCTTAATCTGCCAACCTAACCTCCCCCTGCACCTCCCACGGTCTACTGTCGTATTCAATCAGATTCGCCCTGACACATCAGCCAGCCTGGTCTTGGATTATTCTGGTTCACATTCCACATGGGTCAAAGAAGGTAGGCTAAATGTGGGGGAAACTATTGCGGCGACGGGCGCACCCATGCACATGCATACACACACTTCCACACCACATGCCACACCGGCGCATACCTACATATACGTCCACACCACTAGGTCCGCCTCAGCAAGTCCATGATGAGAGGCCCGCCCTCCCAGAGTTCTCGGGGTCCCAGAGGAACAAAAAAAAAAGAACGGGCCTTCCCTGTCCGGCAAGGTATTATCGTACTTGACCCGACCGACCCATACCTGATATAAGCGTTGGTGTTCATTATATTGTACTGTCTTTTCCCTCTGGTACCTCTGACTTCGTGTCCTTGATTATACCCTCGTCCGGCAGACAGAATTCCTGCCTGGATTGATACATCTCCCATCACCTATCTAGTTCATTAGGTAGCTCTCTGGGAACGATAATGGGGAGTCGTCGGTGACGGGGCAACTCCTCATAATGAATTCTTCTTCTATGGATTTGCTTGGGACTGAACTGGTATCTCAAACTATTCGTACCACCACTCAGCTCACATATCTCGACAATAACACCGACAGCCAGTCCCTCACAAACCTCAGCAGCAGCGAACATCAGAGCCTTCGCCATGGACTGATCGCCATCTCCGTGTTGAGCGCCATATCGCTTACGCTGTCGTCCAGCCTCTTTGCCTATCTCACTTACAAGCTGATTTCATGGAAACTCAACAAGCGGGAGCGAGCCAGGATTCTAGTTTCAAACGTTCCTGATGTCCCTCCTGTACCGAATCTAGATTTCCAAGATGGGCCTTTTGTGGCTGACAGCCAAACGGCCAAGATCGCCCATGAGGAGCACATCCGTCAGATTCGCAGCGTCGAAAATGAGGCTCCGAATCAATTTCTCATCCTAATTTACAACCTGTTGCTCGCCGACATCCATCAGGCCATCGGCTTCTTCATCAGTGTCGTTTGGCTCAGCAAGGATGGCATCTACATTGACTCGCCAGCCTGTTTTGTCCAGGCCTTGTTTATCCCCAATGGCGATTTGGCTGCCAGCTGTTTCATTACCCTCATCGCAATCCACACCTACTTGTCTGTAGTGAGGCAGTACCAGCCTCCACAGCGAGTTCTCAATGGTGCCATTATCTTCATGTGGGTTTTCGTCTGGGGCATGTCGGCCATCCCCATCCTCGCAACCAACAATGGAAAGGTGGCGGGTGGCTTCTTCGTTCGGGCTGGTGCTTGGGTAAGTCATTTTCGCGTTTCTATGCAGGATCTGATGACTTCTTCCTCGGTCAACAACACAGTTGCATGTCCCCCCCTTTGTCTAACCCTTCTCTTTTCTCTCAGTGCTGGATCACCAGGTATTATGAGAATCTTCGACTTCTTACACACTATCTATTCATATTTATTGCCATCATCGTCACGTCTGGTCTCTACATTGCGACATACATCTCCCTTCGACGCCAAATGCAGCTGAAGGCCGCCATGCCCCATGTTCAGCTAAACCACAACCCAGTCTTCCTGATCTATCCTCTCATCTACGTCGTCTGTACCTTGCCTCTAGCTGTGGGTCGTGTAGCCACAATGGCATCGGCCACTGTCCCGATCGCATACTACTGCTTCGCGGGTGCGGCCATGGTTTCCAACGGCTTGCTCGACTGCATACTTTTCAGCAGCACTCGCCACTCCATCGTCTTTGGTGCCGCCGATCAGATCGGAATCAAAGACACAGGCCTGGACACCTTCTCCTTTATGCGCACGCCCGCCAGCAAGTTCGGAAATAATGTCTGGATTCAGGGAGGGTCGAGCGGGAATCGAAGCGAGGGATGGTCCGGTGTCGGGGGCTGGTGGCAGGCTCGGGTTGGGAGAGACGGGTCGAGGGGCACGCCTCCACGAAGTGTCAGCCAGGAGTCGTTACGGGCCGGCGAACTGAACGACTTGGCTATCCAGATGAACGTAGTGACGACAATGACGGTCGAAGTAGATCCTGAAAGGAGGATCAATCGCCATCAAAGCGAGAGCCTCTCGGCCGCCAGCGATGATACGACGATCAAAAGAACCGAAAGACAGTTCTAGAGAATCTCTTCATTTATATATATGTTTATTTAAATGGTGGTGGCGTTCGTCAGGTTGTTTTGGAGTTCAGTCACACACATACTTTGGCCGGATGGTATCTGGTTCCTTTTACATAGACTCATAGTGTGTGCGATGTACGAGTGGGCGGGGGATAATGCATTATAGCGAGGAGATACTACAAAGTTAACTCATATCAAGGCAGAGTCACAATTCCAGCCCAACACAACATCTTGGAAGTATACATCTTGTCACGCCTAACTACTATGAAAATCAATGACGATCCAGGAATGCATTGGTCGCTGATATAAAAACTCATATGTCTAATGCGTAAATTCTACATCTAAGCCGCCTCCTAGTCCAATGGTTCCTCCTCCAATTCGGCCACCAGTTGGTCCTCCGGTTTCTCCGCAGGATATGGGATATCAGGACCGCCGCCAAACCGAGCCAGCATCTTCTCGTGGACGCCAGGGTACCCCTCCTCACAGGAACTCTGAAGCGCGCCGGCCAGCAGATACGGGCAGCTGAGGATGACGTCCTCCACCAGCTCGAGCCCGCCCTCCTCGTCCTCCCTCTCGCGGACCTCCCAGGTGGACTCGATGCAGACGGCGAGGCTGCTGCGGATCCGCACGAACATGCCGCTCTCGATGTCGACGAACTCGTACGTGCTGGTCACGTCCGAGTCCCACAGCCCCGCGGGCAGCGTGTGCACCCGGTCGACGACCTCGAAGCACGCCGGCTCCGCCTCCTCGAGCACCGTGACCTCGCGCTCGGCGGGCACCTCGGGCGGCGGGTCTGGGAGCGCAGTTGACGAGTACGATATCATGTGGGGGTCACATTTGATGAAGAACTCGTGCTCCCGGAGGACGGAGATGGCCTTTTCGGCCGGGATGCCCTCGGGGATGGGCGTGACGTGCGTCAGCCTGACGGTCGAGTTGAACCATGCTGGCGAGAGGGAGAGAGTCCCGAGTTTAGCATACGGCGAGGGACAATAGAGGTTATGTAGTAGGGTGCTTGAGGACTTACAGGCCATTTGCGGCGGAAATTATTAGTGGGTTAGGTGAGAATGGATTGATGCTGGCCGCGGGGGAAGTGTTGGTTTGGAGGTACACACACTCTCGAGACCTGGGTAGACACCAAAACTCCGGCGCAGAAGAGATAAGGAAATGAGAAGCAAAAATGGTGAGAAGCAGACGGTAAATAAATGGTTTCTTCGGTGTTCAATTGACTGGTGGTGAGGAAAATTGTACTACGCAAAAGTGTATACTACGTGCTGTGAACCACATGGCCGATAGCGCTTGCGCCCCCAGGCATCAGGGGGGCAAATGTGAACCTAAAGAGAGAAGAAGAGTCTCATTATCCGTTGAGACACTCGCATCATCGCCCGGCTGGTTACATAATTCACGAGGAATAAGCCACTATTTAGCTTAACGGCAGTCATGAGCAGCCATCACGAGTCGGAAATGGGCCAAGGGGTCAAACCTTATTAATGACTTTGCGGTGCAATCCGTCTGGAGGAAGCCACTACAGGGTAGCCAGCAATAACCAGGTAAAGTGGATGGAGCACGCATCAGGTGACTTCGTGACTAGCTGGTGCTTAACGGGCTCACGACGCGGTTTCTGGGGCAGACGACCCTGACCCGCCTGACATGATCGGAGACATGACCCAGTAAAGATAGTGGGAGTCTCGATAGGGTTCGTTTTCGTTTTTGGAGGCCATCTGTCTTTCCTTCAGAGCTCTTCCTTTCTTGGGATCTCCCGGACTGCGGTTTGTCCCCCTTCCCATGGAATCGATATATCCATGGTAGCTTTTTACCCCCCAAAGTCCAGTCTCACGCTGTGCTAGCCCACGATGGTTGCGTCAACGAAATCCCGGTCTTCCAATACCCCGAGAAAACCGACGAATGCTGCATCTAATTTCTTCGCCAAGAAGCAAGCGAAGCCCAATGCGAGTATTCTGAGCTTTTTCAAGAAGACAGACAAACCCGAAGACTCCCTCTTCGTCGGTGGCAATCTCGGTCTCGCCGCCGCCGAAAACCAGCCCCAGGACGACGAGGAGGACTTATACAGCGCCGACCCAAAGGACCGCTTCAACGAGAACCAATCCCCGGTGAAGAAACGAAAGGTTAGCTCCACCAGTACGAGCGATGCTCCCAGCGACACAAAACCTCCTTCCAAGAATGGGAAGCCTCGGGTGCGAGGCCCCTTTGTCATGGACTCGGATAGCGAGGACGAAGTGGACGACGCACCGCCCGCCTCGCCGATCCACGCACCGGAAAAGACCCTAATCGAGCATCTACAAGACCTGGACAAGGCTCCGAAGACTGAGGTTTCAGTTCTCCATGGGGATCACACTACGGAACCTGTCAAGCCCGTCGAAACGAATACCCCGCCACGCTTGAAACATGAGGAAACTTCTGTTATGCCACCCGACGACTTCGGGGATATTGAACATGAGGATTATGGGGATCTAGATATGTTTGACGGATTTGAAGGGGAAGAACTACGTGAAATGCGGTTCATGCGAGAGCAGGCCCGCTTGGAAGCCGAGGAAGGTGATGGAGGCTTCTCCGCAGCAGACTTTCACGATGATACCACAGAAGATGGCTCAATCATCATGAATTGCCCTAGTTGCGGTGGAAACATGGCCGGCTTGTCCACAGATCTTGCCACACGGCATGTCAACTCATGCTTAGACGGGAATCCGACACCTTTACCCAAGCACGAAGAAGCCAAGCCTGTGCTGCCACAGGAGCTCTCACCAACTCGGGATGTTGGAGTGACCGACTACAGCAAACGCTTTAAAATAAACCGTGGCCCGAAACCGCCACAAGAAAACCCCCTGGAGGAGAGCCCATCTACCAAAGGCCCCAAGTCGGCCTTTTCCAAGCTCATGTCAAATAACGCCGAGGATTCGGCATGGGCGACTGCGGCGGCGGCCGAGAAATCCTCTCGTGGGCGACCAGCCTACGAAAGAACTTGCCCTTTTTACAAGATCATGCCTGGCTTCTCAATATGTGTTGATGCTTTTAGATACAACGCAATCGAAGGGTGCAAGGCTTATTTTTTAAGCCATTTTCACAGCGACCACTATATCGGACTGACGGCGAGGTGGACTCATGGACCCATTTACTGCAGCAAAGTTACTGGGAGTTTGGTTAGGAAACAGCTTGGAACAGCCGACAAATGGGTCGTCGAGCTTGAATTCGAAAGGAAGTACGATATTCCTGGGACGGATGGTGCCACGGTGACGATGATCCCGGCGAACCACTGCCCAGGGAGTTCACTCTTTCTTTTTGAGAAGAAGATGGGCAACGGTTCTGCCGGCCATGTCAAGCGGATATTGCACTGCGGAGACTTTCGGGCCTGTCCAGATCATGTCGGGCATCCCTTGCTAAAACCAGAGGTCAAGGACATTGTTTCCGGCAAAGTAAGACAGCAGAAGATTGACATCTGCTATCTTGACACCACGTACCTTAACCCTAGATATTCATTTCCTCCCCAGGAGGATGTCATCAAAGCTTGCGCAGACTTGTGTGGATCCATGTCTGCTGACCCAAACTCGCGGGACGACATTTGGGACAGGGCAAGTAAGGAGGATGGAGCGCAGGCTGTCAGCAAGTATTTCCAAAAGTCACCGGCGGGTAATGATGGTGCAAAGTCAAAGCCAGCTGAGGCTCCCCGTCACCGTCTCTTAGTTATTTGTGGCACATATTCGATAGGAAAGGAACGGATATGTGTCGCGATCGCAAAGGCACTCAACTCCAAGATCTTTGCGTCACCAGGAAAGATCAAGATCTGCAAACAGCTAGGGATCCCTGAGCTCACGGAGCGTCTCACTTCCAACCCGCTCGATGCACAGGTGCATATGCAGATGCTGATGGAGATCCGTGCCGAGACTCTACAGGAGTACTTGAACAGCTACAAGCCTCACTTCAGCCGCATTGTGGGTTTCAGGCCTAGCGGCTGGAATTTCCGTCCCGGGAATGGCAATGGGAAAGCCATTGGGGCGAACACACCTCCCAGTACTATCCCCACAGAGCAGATCCTCCACAGCAAAGGTTGGCGGACTAGATTCAACGCGAAGGACTTTACTGCTCAGAGAGGGAGTACGAAAGAGGCCATGTGTTTTGGTGTGCCATACTCTGAGCACAGTAGCTTCCGTGAACTGGCCATGTTTATCATGTCCCTGAGGATCGAAAAGATCGTGCCAACAGTCAACGTTGGGAGCGAGGGTTCCAGAGCCAGGATGAAGGCCTGGAACGATAGATGGATGGCGGAGAGGAGACGGTGCGGCCTTGTCAGACCTTTAATAGAAGGGCAGGACGATGACAAGAAAGCCGTCGAGCTCTGGGATGGGAAACCTGGGAAGGGAGGGGCTGCTTGGTGGTGATCAAGCACATAGCATTAATAAAGAATAAAACTGGATACAAAGACACTGTGGCACTGCTGTATGTGATGTGCTGCATGCTTTCTTTCTTTGCTTCATCACTTTCTATTGAGGCATTGTAGAATATAGGGGTAAGTCAAATGTGAGCCTCGGTACCGTTATTTTCACCCGCAAAGTCAGTTACCTGCCCTGCTTCCATTCCCATTTCTGGTCCCAGTTCCTGCAGGCCGCTCCTAGACAGACTAGTAAATCCCCATGCCCAAACCAATAGCGCCGTGGACATATGCGAATATCAAGGTTTTTTTAATATTAGTATTGAGCTATATCACTCCGAAGCCACTCATTTCGCCTTGGCTGACTGAGAAGCTGCCTCTGTTGATGAAAGAAAAAGTTAGCACCTGCCATTGGGGGTTTCTGGCTGAACCAAGTGTCCAAGAACAAACATATCACGAATGGACGGGAAGAGAACACGTACCTCTCCTTGTAGCATCCTCGAGCAGTTGGGTGTCTACCGAACCTGCGGGCAGGTGCACGTATCGTACGACCGAGCCTCGAATGAAGACATTCTTGACAGAGCTCTGGAGAAAATAGAATAAATTAGCTTCGGGGTTTGGGATAATGCGGGCTTGGAAAGCTTTTATTTACCATGTGGGGGTATTTGAGCTCCTCGACTACAGAGATATCATCAAGCTTGATGTTGAGATACTGGTCGACGCTTTTGAGGGTGCCCCGCAGCTGGATGTCGTTCTTGAGCTCGACGGTGACCTCGTGGTCGATGAGGGTCTTGAAGAAGCTGTAACAAGGTTAGCACGGAGAGGGCATGCAACAATTAATCGACTTCTCATGTGGTAGGTGCTACGTACCTGAAAAAGAGCATCTTTATTTGTGTTGGTGATGGATAAAATGAGGTTCCACCGGGATCAAAATAAGACAATTGATGCTACGACTGAGGCGCCTCGTGCAAATGAGGGGGTACGGTATTTTCAGTACAATGAAATAAGATCGGAATTCCGGGTGAGTCTTATTCCAACGAGGAGCTCGTGCGTCGTTTTTGATGAGGTAGATTCTCTCTGATGGTGAACATGATGTTTCCAGAACGTGAGTTAGGTGGTTGTAGGTCACGTGACTGGCCTTGATGTCCACCATGAGCACCTCGATGGCATCAAATCGCGCCGAGAATATCTTGGAATTATTGTACCTTGAATGTGAATTTCGATTTTAAATATTGACCTCTATATAGATTAATTGACTTATGCTACGTGAACAAATGTGCGCTTCTTCGCGCTCCTCTCCTCATTCTCCTCTTCCCAGTTTTCATCTACATAGTCCTTGACACTCTGCTCCCGGATCTGCATGGACACGACCTTGAGTGCTGCCAAGTTGACGCCCATTTCGGTCTTCTGCCTCCTCAAGGTGGACCTCAGGTTCGACCTGATGCTGTCCAGCATCGCCTTCATCGTGCGGCTCGCTACGATCTGCTTATGATGTGTCTTGAGCATAAAGAACAAGATGCGACATGTGAGCGGGATGTTCATGGAGCGCAGGGCGAAAATATTCAAAAATGTGAAGAGAATCGGAACGGAGGCGAAGGGAAGAACAAGGAGCGCGTCGTGGAGAGCAGAGGCTTTGATGCGCTGCAGGACGTTCATGAGGTGCACTTCGGCTGAGATGTTCCCCAGTGCAAGGAAGACGGGATTTCTCTGGGGTCTAGGAGCGCTGGGGTCCACGAGCTTGGCTTCCTCGTATTCCTTCAAGAGGTTGAGGTCTGCCATGCCCATGTCGAGAGCCTCAGCTATCCGTTCACCGGCCATAAGAGTCTCCGTAGTCTGCTTGCTGGCAGCGCCAACTTCGCCATTCTCGTCTGCAGCGTCTGGGTCCTTTTCCAGGGAGCCCGTGAGCGTGCTTTCGTACAACTCCTCGATTTCCTTCTCGCGTTCTTCTTCGAGGAAGATTTGCTCCTCTGTTTCGTCCCAGACACGGATGCTCTTGTCGTGAGCAGCGCTCACGAGGAAGTTGCCGCTATGACTGATGGCAATGGACCATACTTCGCCATGGTGGCCATCCAATCTTTGGATCTGCTCGAACTTGTCACCGTCCCAGTATCTGATTGTGCGATCCTTGCTGCTACTGAAGAAGTGGTGGCCGTTGCCATCGGAGTTGTGCGGGACAAAGGCCACCTGGAGGATACTGTCCTGGTGACCAAACAGAGCTTTGTGGCAATCGCCGAAATCCAGGCCCCATATTCTAATATTCTTATCGGCGGAACTTGTGACGATGAGCTTGCTATCGTACGAGATATCCATGCTCAGGACGGGGAGCTTATGTCCGTAGAGATTGAGATATAGCTTCAAGGAGTCAACAAAGAACACCTTGACTGTGTTGTCGAGAAGGGCGACGGCAAGCATCTTTGCGTCGGGAGAGAACTTCAGGCTAAGAATGTCATCAGACACCTTGAGTACTCTGGACTGAACAAGCTTTAACTTTGGTGTCGTCCTCTTAGTACCGAGAACCTCCTCTTGAACAATCTTGAAGTTCCAAAATTTGGCCGTCTTGTCAGCGCTGCCGGATACAACAGATCGTCCATCAGGATGCAGGCTCAAAGACCAAACAGCGCCCTCGTGAGCCTCCACGGTGTCTAGCACAGCTGCGGAAGCGATGTCGAAAAGCTGCAGCTCACCACTCTTGGTTCCTACTACAACCACTTTGTCACCTGGTAGGAAAGCACAGCTCAGTGCATATCCGCACTCAAATGTCCTGATGCAGTTTTCAGTCTTGACGTTCCAGATTTTCAGTGTTCCGTTTGATGCGGAAGCAAGCATCTTATCGTCCGAGCTCAAAGAGAGTGCTCGGATATCTGATCGGTGTCCAGGCAACTCAACAGAGAGTGTCCTGATGTAGTCGGGAATGTCACCCTTCTCTTTCCGGTCGCTCTTCTCCTTCGAGGGCACACTGTAGTATTCCAACTGGTTGTTTGTTGTCGCAACCAAGAGATGGACATCCTTCTGTGGGCCGGACAATGCCCAGTCCGCCGACCTCACCTTGCCACCTGTGCGCACAGTAACGTATAGCACGAAGACGTCACTAACATCGGCCTGCGAGACATCTTCGGCCTTCTCGTCCCCATCAGCTTCCGCCTCGCCTCCATCCGCTTGGCCATCCTTCTTCTTCTCCCTACGCCGTCTCCGCTTTCTTGCCAGACTCTTTTTGATCTCGGCTTCAGAACGTATCCGCCAGATTTCAACCGCCTTTTCTGAGCCGTGAACGGCGAAGTAGTCCCGTCGAGGGTGGAATGAGATTTCTGTAGCCCGGTCTTTGCTTTGGCGGTGCAGAGTACCCCGATCCTGCAGATAGCGGGCATTCGAAACTTCAACCTGGCGCGCGCTGTTGGCCAAGCCATTGACATCCAAAGACCAGACCTTCATCTCACCATCATTTCCAGCAGTGATACAACCACTCAAATCCGGAGACAGTCCAAGTGCCCAGCACTCCCCATTGCTTTGGGAGATGTGCGTCTCTATACAGTGCTTTGATGATAGATCCCAGATCTTGAGCAATGAATCCTTGCCTGTCGTCAAAAGGAAGCCCTCCGAGGTCTGCTCGCCGAGAGGTGTCGGTTGTGCTCCGTCATCTTCCTGCGCTTGAGCCTCAGGCTCGATGAAATAAAGACCCGTCACTTGATCTTTATGGCCGCGGAGCTTGAATTGGCCAACCTCTGCTACCAAGTCCCAGATAATGATGTCGCTGTCCTTTGATCCACTGGCAAGCCTTACACCTGACTTGTCGAACGCTAACTTGGTGACTGCCGTTTTATGCCCATTGAAGTTGACAATAACAGTGGCGATCTTGCCATCCCAAAGGCGAATGCTGCCATCCTCGTACCCGACCGCAAAGACGTCTGGGTCTGCTTTGCTCTGAGCAATTGCCGTCGCTGGCGAAGTGCCTCGCTCGTCTTTCCAACGGTTCACGACCTCGCCCTTCTTCAGATCCCAGCAGAGAATTTCTTCGTTCGCGGCGACAACTGCTTGCCCTGCGCCGGTGCCATTGCGATCCTTTCCCGTCCAGAGGATGTTCGAGGTGCTTGAGGCAACTACACCAAAGGATTTGGCATGTTCGTACTTCCTGTTTAGGAAAAATACAAGTTAGAATCATGAAGCAACTTAATTTCGGCAATTGAGAGCTTACAGGTATGACTTGACCATTTTCCCTGAGCTGTTGTCTAAGCTGGCGCACTTCTCACAGCCATGTACTTCAATCAAGATTGGCACAGAAGCGACAAACTTGACTGTGAGAGTGGGATTGGATTTTTTTCTTATCGATAAACAGCCCGGCCCCACCAGCCGGCAGCTCATGGCGGTGCCTGTGGCGGTGCCTTAGACCGCTCGAAAGCTCGGGACCTGGACACAGTCACGTGTGTCACCGGCCAGCTAAGTGACGTCCTGGTCCATCAGTTCAAGGTGAGCTCTAAAGCAGGTGCCTCGACAGGCCCCACTATCGTACAGTCGTCAGCGAGCTCCCCAACGACAACGAAGCAGACAGCAGTTGGAGATAGCAACCAGCGACCAAGATGCTCCTCCTCGACTATCAGAACGTACTGATTCAATCGGTTCTCACCGAGAGATTCTCAGGGTAGGGATAGATACGTTTCCCACACTGGCACAAGCAAGTACCTAACATGAGCGCAGTGCCCCTCCCGTCCTCATTGACCAAACGGTTTCCGATTTCGACGGCGTCATCTTCCATATCTCGACCCCCGAGAGCAAGACCCAAATTCTACTATCGATTCAAATTAGATGCTTCAAGGATCTCGTTCAGTATGGCGCCGAGCAGGTACTTCAGCGAGAGTACGGAGACTACGTGGCACCGACGGAGCCCGGCTATGATTTCTCGGTCCAAATCGACTTAGAGAACCTGCCCGAGAGCAAAGGTAAGAATCATCTATGCAACAACGGTCCTCGGATGCGTTATCTGACACAGTAATCACAGAGGAGCGAGAGGCTTTGGCTCTGAAGTTTGCCCTACTGAAGCGAAACGCCATGGCGGCCCCGTTCGAGCAGGCATACCAAGAGTACTACGAATTGAAGGAGGAGGCTTCCAAGTTCACTTCGGAGGAGGCGCCTCAAGGTGTCCAAGAAGGTGGGGTGGTCAAGGCTATCCACTACCGCGAGGAGGAGGCTATCTACGTCAAGGCCAGCCATGACCGAGTGACTGTCATCTTCAGCACCGTTTTCCGGGAGGAGACAGACCGCATCTTTGGAAAGGTGTTTATCCAGGAATTTGTCGATGCCCGCAGGCGCGCGATCCAGAATGCCCCCCAGGTCCTGTTCAGGAACGACCCTCCTTTAGAGTTGGAAGGTGTCCCGGGGGTGCGAGCTACGGGATCCGAAAAGATCGGATATGTTACTTTTGGTACGTCATGCTTCATCGAGAAAAGGAGCTCTCGTTCACTTACAATATCTCTTTAGTTCTCTTCCCCAGACACTTGACCGTCCAGCGTATGCCCGAGGTCATCTCTCACATCCAGACCTTCCGAGACTACTTCCACTACCACATCAAGGCCTCCAAGGCTTATATTCACTCTAGGATGCGAAAGAGGACAGCTGACTTCCTCCAAGGTATGCCGGATTTCTTTGTGGTCTGTTATGTTGCTAGAGCTAACAGGGAACAGTATTGCGTCGTGCCCGGCCCGAGAATGAGGAACGTGAAAGAAAGACAGCAAGCGGACGTACATTCAAGGTGCAAGGAAGCTAAGAGGCGATCGATTCACGGATACATAAGTCGGCCAAATCAATTACCTACAAAGAACAAGCAGCTTGTGGTGATTGAAACCAAGGCAGGGGAAGGAATCAAAACGTTTTCGGCCAGGTCAAAACAGTTAGATTTGAACAGAAGCGAGTGCGGCAGATGAGATGAATTTAAATACAACATTATTCTCAATTGGCCCTTGTTATATTATTAGTGCATACTAATTAACAAATCACGGATGGCAAGCACAGTAGTGAATATAACGTGGCCCTAGTGGTTGGCTTCAATGAATGGCTATGTTCATACAAGGTTGAATACATATAAATCCTATGCGATATGCGTGATGGTCAATAAAACGGAGTAGCGAGTTCGCAATCTGGGGAATTGGGGGGTTGGGGATGCACCAATGATACTTTGTGCAAGCTGCACCCCACCACCAATGAAGAAGTTTTAGACCGACCATTTCCGACAGCAACGGCGGCTTAGTCTCAGATGCAACAAGCGACCTCAAAACTCGCCGCACAGCACAACAACTCGACCTTCGGGTCAAAAGTACAATGGTATGGCCATTCGGCTCGTCAGGGTCCGGGAAGGAAAAGAGCAGCGACAATGGCTCCAACGCCAAGAGCAAGCAGCCAGTGTCCTGGTCTGATTCGCTGAGCATATCAACTCCCGACCAGTTCGCCGCAGCAAAAGAATGGGCGCCCATGGTCGTGTTCTCCCTGGTTGGCCTCGGCGCACTGCAGCTCTACTCGAACTACCTTCGTCGGATTCCAGGAGCCGCATTTGTGCGACCGTCCTTTTTCCGAAGCAGGAGCCTCTACGGTCGAGTGACAAGCGTGGGAGATGGCGACAACTTCCACATGTTCCATACGCCGGGGGGTAAAGCCGTGGGCTGGGGCTGGTTAAGGCGGATTCCCAACACGAGGAAGGACTTGAAGGATCGAACGGTAAGGGAGTCTTTCAGCTCTACGTGGACCCTGTTAAATGCCGGTCTGGCACCGACGTAAACTAATGGGATGGAATATTCATCATCTACAGATTCCAATTCGCATCGCAGGCGTCGATGCACCCGAGGGTGCTCACTTTGGGAAGCCGGCCCAGCCATTCGCTGCTGAGGCGCTCAAGTGGCTGTCAGACTACCTCCTACACCGCAATATCCGGGCATACGTCTACAAACGAGACCAGTATAATCGGATTGTGGCAACCGTCTACGTTCGGCGTTTTTTCATCCGGAGAAACGTGGGCTTGGAGATGGTAAAGCGCGGTCTTGCAACGACTTATGAAGCCAAATCGGGGGCCGAATATGGCGGGTTAAAAGACGTTTATGAGAGAGCCGAGGCCAAGGCCAAGAGGCAGCGAAAGGGCATGTGGGCTGGAAATCCAAATGAGTTTGAGAGCCCACGACAGTACAAAGAGAAGTGGGGTAAGCATGAAAAACCAAGCGGATAGGGACTGTGATGATGGCCGTTGTCCATCCTAAGTTGCCCAGCTAGGTAGTAACGCCTATAATGCAAACAGCAGAAACTGTGCAGTTATGAACTCTGCATTGGTGTGGTATCTCCTCTACTATAGAAATGGAGGTTTTGGTGGCTGTGTGAGCTTCGTTCAGTCTCAACCTTCCCTCTGGTCCGTGCTATGTGCAATGGGTTCTTATTTTTTCCCCGTATTGAGCTAGGATTCGGCATTGGTCATGTCTTGGTATATATAGGACTGATTGTTCTTCAGTAGGTGTTGAATCTAATCTGGGCTGTTTCAGATAATGTGTTGAGACTTTGAGGCAGATAAATAGGTATCTGCGACACCCAACCTCCTCTGCAGAGAATTCAATATTGCTGTCTAAGGGGTTTGCCAACTGACTAACATGCTTATTGTAGTGGAGGGGCAGGAACAAAGACATAAAGAGGTGACTAAATCTCCATGAAGACCTCTTTGTCTCTAACATACAATGGAGACCAATTGTGAGATAGAGACCTGCAAAGAGTTACACTGACATCTAGGTAATTATTACATCCATCAACTACCGGGTAGGACCGCTTGCATAACAGTACAATACACAAAGTTTGCTGCCAGTCATGCCAGTGAACTTATTCTGCTCAGACCTTTCAAGGTCTATACGAAATATTATGGGGCGGTGTGATGTGTGCTGTGGGATCCACGGATAGCCCCACACGCAGCGTCAGTGAAGGAAACTGTATCGGAGTAAGTACCCAGTACTTGCCTCTCCAACAACCACCTCAACACACAGGGAGGGTATCAGGCTACAACAGCACGGCTGGTTTTTGCAGTATCAGGTAAGTGGATAGTGGCGCTGAGTGGCAATACTTTGTTGCTGGAGCATGGGCCGGCCAGCGAGCATGAATCGCATGGGATGCTAGCACTATCGCCTACCCCGGCTGTCTTGCAAAAAGCGACAGGTACCTTCTTCAGCACGAAACTCACCCGCCCCCTTGAGTGATACCTGGCGGCTACTTGGGTGCCTCTGAACACTTACACTTTCGGGGGCTCCCAGCTCGGTGGCGTCTAACTTGACCTAGAATCCTCCCGCCCATTGTGTGGTGCAATGTGACCCAACCTCCTCTGGAAGTAAGGGACAATAAGTCGGTGGTGCAAGAAAGCGTAGGTTCCGGGGTGCATTGTGCTGTGCAGCGAACAATTCGAACAATTCTCCAATGAAATTGGAGTCATCGCACAAATTCTGACAGGGCATTGCATGCTTGGATCCGCTGTTTACGAGCGGGCAACCTGTAGCAATGCGCATTGTCCATTGCATGGGCTGGTGTAATTTACTCTCAGTGCAATTAGGACCTGGCCGCCGTTACATGGGAGATCGGATTGGCTCAAGGCGGCTAGCGTCGAGGCTGAGGGAGGCAGGTACCAGGTACCTGTGCTCGTCGTGTGAGAACAACATCCAGCTAATTTCCCTCTCTGCTAGGTCCAGGCGGTTCGGTTCGCCCAGGAAGGTGCAACTTCAAACTCCAACTCCTTTCAGCGAAGGCAGTTCCTCTTCTTTGTGGACTGTCTCTCGACAATATCGGCTGTAGCTTGGCGACGGTCGTTCGACTCATCCAAGGCCACCGAGGCCATATGCGAAACTCATCGTACCCTTGATATTCTATATTCTTACCCTCATTTCTCTGCACTTTTCTCGCCTTGTTGCACAAGGTCGCCCTGGCGTTCGCGTCACACCCACTCGCTCAGATTCCACACCTACGCCCCTCCCTCTCTTCGACCTCACCACGAATTCCTCCCGGTTGCTATGGCCAACGCATGAATCAGAAATGCTCATAGATATTCGATCATTACTTGACGCTATTCTCTTATTCACACCCACTCAACCACTCTCATAAACCCACCCACCGCAACCACATCGATCCTCCACGACTCAACGCGGTAGCAATGCGACTGCCCTGGGGCCACCGCCACACGGCAGCCCGGCCTCGACGGCCAAACGCCTTGGGCCTTTTGTCGATTTTATTATCCTCATCCCCCTTCTCAACCGCATTCAAATTCGAAGAGGCACCGTCGGCCAATCTTGATATATCCGGGCTGGGAAGGATAGCTCTTGCTGGAGATTTCAGCGGGATCTCGTTATACGAATACAAAGAGCAGACTGGGAGACCGTCCGGCACCAATGGAAGCGAATCGCTTGTCGCGGTTCTCCCCAATGGCGCCCTCGCCACCCTGGTATCGACCGATGCAACTATCCGGGCCATGTGTACATTTCAACTCAAGAATGGTGAAATGCAAGGAATCATAATTGGCGGTAATTTTACGAGCTTGGACGGTACGCAATCGACGGCGATCGCACTCTACAATCCAGACACAGGCAATGTTACTCCTCTGGACGGCTTGAAAGGTGAAGTAAATGCCCTCTATTGCGACAAAGACAGGGACACCGTATACGTTGGGGGTAATTTTAAGGGTGCCAACTCTACGAATGCAATCGCCTGGTACGGATCTGAAGGGTGGACGAATCTCCCATTTGCTGGATTCAATGGCCCAGTCGAATCGATCACCAAAGCTGCCAGTGGGCATATTATCTTTGGAGGAAGTTTTACTGGCTTAGGCAATTCCAGCTCTCCAACCGAACCTGACGGGCAGGTTGTAAACATTGCAACTGCTACGATCTCGTCACAAAATACCGCCTCCGGAAGTAACCACTCAAGCATTCTTTGCCCTAGCAGCAATTCCTCGGATTCAGCCAGCTGGCTCTTGCAGGACAAAACTGCAGGTGTTTGGGACGCACAGCTCGGCTTTGGTTTCGAACCGACTAAGCTTAGACTATGGAACACCCACAAGGATGGCCGTGGTACCAAGACGTTCCGATTCACCGCTTTCCCATTGAACGGCATCATGAACTTTACCTACGTGGACCCAGCCAGTAAAGAGAACAAGACCTGCACTAGCGAATGTCAATTGAGCGATAATTCCGACGTCGAGTACCAGGATTTCCATTTCGTCAACCGAGTTGGCATGAATAGATTCACGATTTCGATCTCTGACTGGTACGGCTCCGGCGGTGGCCTCAATGGGATTGAGATCTTCCAAGACAACATCTTCTCATATGCTATCAACGACTTCAACGACCCTTCGTGTGGCTCTATTGATTTCCCATCCAAGGCAACAGTGACTGGGCCCTGGACCGAATCCCCCTCTTTGGAGAGCAATTCCAAGTATCTCACGAGCACACTAACTAGCAACTCCAGTGCCGAGAATCTCGCAGTCAAGTTTCTCCCAAATATCAGAGAATCAGGCAACTACTCGGTTGATATGTATACGCCAGGATGCCAGCCGGATGGAACCTGCTTGTCGAGAGGCCGTGTCAACGTGACGGGCTACATGAAGTCCGGTTCTGATGAGCCTGATTTCAGCATCACACTTTATCAAACGAACAACTTCGACAAGTATGACCAAATTTACTTTGGGTACATCGAGAACAGTGCAGACAACTTCAAGCCAAGCGTTGTAATCACTCCCATTGACGGCCAATCCGTCAATGGTCAGGTAATGGTCGCACAAAGAGTAGGCTTCACGTTGATCAACTCAACCGGCGGCTTGAATGGCTTGTACGACTTCAACCCAGATTTGAGTGTGGTTAGCACAGACGATTTCCAAAAATCGGCGATTAATCGGCTTGGCGCAAGCTTCGACCATAATACGGGAGTTAAAAAGTTGCTCACATCGGGCAACGACACATTTATTGCAGGCAATTTCACATCCGACAAGCACGTCAATATTGTCGCTATTAACCGCAGTGACGATGTGCGTGCTCTCGACGGTGGATTGAACGGGCCGGTCTTGGACATGTACTTGAACGGGACACAGCTCTACGTCGGAGGCGAGTTCAACAATACCCGTACGAACGCCAACACTGGAATGAACCACGTCGCGGTATATGATATGGATAAAGATACATGGAGCGCTCTTGGAGCGGGTGTTGATGGGAGAGTTCAATATGTGGTACCGCTGCAGGCAAACATCACATCAGACACACCCGAGACTGTCATCACACTCACTGGCTCTTTCTCAAAGTGCAACAAGTTCAACGACAACGAGGCCATCAGTGTCAGCGGATTTGCAGTTTGGGTACCCTCTCAAAACAACTGGCTCCAAAATCTCGACGGCCCAGTCCCAAGTTACAGCGGTGTTCTGACTGATGCACTGCTGGACATTCCGAACACCGATGCTATTTATGCCGGCTCACTTTCTTCGGCTCAGATGGGTGCTAGCGGCGCTGCTTCTCTAGACAAGGATGGCCTCGGCAGATTTCCAGTGTCTATTGGTGGTATAGAGACTTCTTCTTCAGGGCTTTCGCGCCGTGATGTGGCGTCCGATGACAGCAACCCCGGAGTTGCCGCGGGTCATTTCTATACCGAGCAAGACCGCAACCTCACAATTTTTGCCGGACACTTCACTGTTCAACCAGAGAACGGATCCGCCATCCATAACCTTGTCATCATTGATGGAGGCAACAAAGACTCTGCTTCCGGGCTTGGCGACAGCATCGATTCCAACTCTACTTTCCTTGCCATAGAAATCGTAGATAGCGTTATCTATGCCGGAGGACGGGTCACCGGTAAAGTGGGCGATTCTAATGTTGGGGGCATCATTGCTTACGACTTGTCATCCAAATCCTTGGGGGAGCAGCCTGCCGCGCTATCTGGTGGCAATCGAACCGTGTCTGTCATCAGTGTTCGGCCCGACACTCCTTCTCAACTCTTTGTTGGTGGCTCTTTCACGGGCGCTGGATCATTAGACTGCCCGGGAATATGCATTCTTGATACCGGCACAAAGCAATGGTCCCGTGCCGGTGGTAACGTTGGTGGAGATGTCCGCTCTTTTCTCTGGAAGGATAAGAAGACCCTTCTAGTTGGTGGCAGCCTAAAGAACACCTCACTGTCCATCTACAGTCCTGAAAATCAGAGCTGGGAGGACTACCCGAGCTCTGATAAGCTCCCTGGCCCTGTTGACATTGTTGCCCCCGCTTCTAGTGACCGGAGCCAGGTGTGGGTTACCGGCCGATCCTCGACGGATTCCACTATCTTCATCATGAAATACAATGGAAAGGAGTGGTTGACAGTTCAACATTCTCTGGCCAACTCCACAGACATCCGGGGTCTCCAGGTCTTCAGTCTTACAAAGGATCACGACGAGACTAATCTACTTGAGAACAACCATGTCCTAATGTTGACTGGGTCTGTTGGCCTCCCGGACTACGGTGTCGCTGCTGCCGCTCTCTTTAACGGCACTACGTTTGTACCGTATGCCCTCACAACCAGCAGTGGAAGCGAACCTGGAGTCATCTCTGCAATCATCTCTGAGAAGGAAGACTTCTTCACATCAAGTGGTAAGTTGAATTATGGGTTCATGTTTTTGGCCAACGCTAACTCTTTCTCCAGGAAACCACCTCGCTTTAGTTTTTGTTATCCTAATTGGTCTTGCCATTTCGCTGGGACTCATACTACTCCTGGTGGTTGGAGGAATCCTGCTCGATCGACTTCGAAAACGTCGCGAGGGCTACATCCCTGCTCCGACCTCAATGTATGACCGAGGAAGTGGCATCCTGAGAATTCCTCCGAGTGAACTCCTCGAGTCACTTGGTAAAGGCAAATCTAGTGCTCCGCGCGTCTAGTTGAAAAAGAAAAGAAAAAAAAGAAGAAAACTATTAAAAAAGGATATTCGGCAGGCTAAAAACCTGGTAATGTATTTGGCGTTTGGATAGGCAAGGCGTACCGGCAATGGGTAGCGTGTCGATGGGGGCTTCAAGCAGAGATTGCAACAAGTCGCATCCTGTTCTACACCCATCCGCTTTGAACGAGAACATTCTTAACCACTGACACAACGATTATACCCAACGTCAGTTGGTCTTCTAGGTGAGGACCTTTGGCGATCTATTTACTGCGTGGAATTTCTCGATCTTTGCTTTTTTCTCTCTCTCTTTGTCTTCCACATTTAGCCCAGTGCTTTCTGACGAGGTTATGGCCACACACATTAATGTCTACCTTTGCAACTATCTCTTGCACTTCATTTTATCCTTTGTTTTAGCTCTACGTATACTGCCCATCGCAATCCTTCCTATTTCCTGTTTGGTGTTCACTCTACACTTGGCTCGGGTTTTAGATCCTACCCCGAGCTTACAAAATGTTGGACTTGTATATTAGAGTCTAGATAGTTCGCAGTACAATTTGCACGATACCTCACATGACCAGTTAGCTCTTTCATCTGTGAATGTTTGTACAATGCTCGAGGGAGCGGGGAAATGACGCATATGAGATAAAATGCAGCCACACATGCAGCCCATGATTACGACGGGGTGCAGGCAGCTCATGTTGATCTGGTAACTCGTCATTGTTCTTACTGCTATGGTTGCATCTAACCTTTCCGCTACCTGATACAGCCATTCAAATTAGATGGCATACGCCATCGCAAAGGGACAGCCCGACCTTCCTGATCCAGTGATATTTGGCAGGAACCGACATTGAAGGGGAGCGGAATGGTACAGTTACACAGCATCACGGGTGCAGGGTAGGGCCACAACTGCAAGCCACCATCCATCGCGCGCTGAACACGAAGATGATGAATCGAAGAAGTGGTATTATGTCTGACCAGACATGTTACTGGTCAAGCGCCACTGACGCAACAATTCGAATCTGACCTACGCAGGGGTAAAAAAAAGGGCGCCCAAAGCAGCAGCTACATTTTGCATGCTGCATGCCGCATCAGCGCATCCGACATTGTCCCCCCTGTGTTAGCCGCCAGGAAGAGCAAGTGCACGAGGTGGACGACGCAGCTGGCCGCCTCACCGGTCCCTTATCCTATTTTTTTTTTCTTTTCCCATCTTGCACTTTACGGATACCCTGAGGAGTGCGTCGCAGCGTCATAAAGCAGCGGCCCCCAGTTTGTGTGGTGGCCGCTGCAGGCATACCGGACGAAAGTTGAGGATTTAAGCACACACACACACACACACGCACACCCCCTCCACCACCGGAATAGCAAGCCACCTCCTGAATGTGTCAAGAAGCGCCTTGCTGGGAGGAGGGCGCTCAGATCCAAAGTAGATGGAAAAAAGAAGGGGGGTGGGTGGATTCAATTACGCAGTGGATGACGGTAGGTGCCCATTCTACGAAACCTTGCGCACCAAAGCCCGAGTGAGATGTTTTGTCTCGGCGCCATCGCGGGTGCTTTGCAGCCACCGCTGACTGGGAATACCTCAAATTTTGTATTATTTTTCCTTCTTCTTCTTCTATTTGTTTATCACCCTCCTCGTCCCTTAGCACTGTGCTCTTTGAGAAAGGTTCCCAAGACAACACGTGTCTCAAAACCGACGCCGAGAGGATTTAGGAAGGTCGACGTCAGACATCGGAGCTTTTGTCGGAGCGAGAACGGAGCCGGTTCCGTAGGGGGAGATGTTCGAGGGCGACGTTTCAGCAGGCCTTCTGGCGTTGCTTGGCCCGGACGGATAGACCGACGTGCCGGGAGGACGTAGACGCAGGTTGCTCCTCAGGGGAAAGGAGAAAGGAAAAGAGAAGAGAAGAGAAGAAGAGTAACATTAGAAACGCTGACGTGACCGCCGAGCTGTCGCAATGCATGTATTTCGTAGACAAGGCTGGAGGGAGGAGGGAAAAAAATCCGCAAAGACAAAGGCAGACAGACAGACAGCCTCTCTCCTCCCACCAAAGCATCACGGCCTCACGGGGGCCAACCCAACGTTCTTATATATATCGCTCAATCTTCAAGCCGAAGATCTATAAATCCATCGCGTTAAACCGATCTTCATATGATCTTCAGGGACTAAATTGTCCATCTCACGTGGGATTATAGTTCGGTCACGGAGTTTTCCGCCAGCCTCGTGGGTTTTGGACGCAACTGCCGGGCAAAGATTTGCATTATCCCAAGGGCGGCGAACCGGCAAAAGCGTAAACAAAACCCAAAACCCAACAACAAACAACGACCGAAACGGATCGGACGGGGGGGTATAGGCACAAAAAGTCAAAATTGAACTCTGATTCTACTAAAGTTATTCCAGCGCGGTTCTTTCGTTCCGCCCCCTTCCACTCCAAAGGACCGAGATCTGACGAAGTGGCTGAGACTTGAGACTAAAATGACGACGCAATTACGAGACTGGTGTCCAGATTCAGGGCCGCATTGTCGGTAAATAGTTTACGCCGGCTTGTCTACGTGAAGAGTTCACAATGTGTCGGTAGCAGGTTTGAGATTAGAAAACATAATCTTCCACTAGATGATTTCAGGGAGTGAGCAGGGTCGTGTCTCGGGAACGGCTCAGGTTTTTGTGTCCCGTAGAGCCACCGACGGGTCTTCATCACCTCAATTGTGTTTTGGAGTGTGTTCGATAGGGGAGAGGCAGTCCTGGTGCTCAGTGTTCAAGGAGATGGGGGGTTGGCGATGCTGGCCTGGGCTTGTCTGATATCGAATGTGCCTCGCTTAGGACACTGTGGCAAGAAGCACGAAGGAATGCCTCGAGCCAGCACAACGGCGTAGAATGCACATTGACAAAGCTACCAGTCATACAATTTCGATGCTCAGAGGAGTGGCTGAAGTAAACATGGCACACCAAATGGGTGCTCTTAGCCTGTCATAGAAGTTACGCATCTGGTTTTTGATTCACAATGACAAGTAGACAGTAACCTATGTTATTATTGTGATAGCTTCATTGATATAAAGTTGATCATCGACCGTCTTGGTCTGCTACGTTTTACCTTGCTGCTCTGTCTCCCAAAACGTCAAGTGATCACTCTGACCTGACGTCCACTTCGAGGTACTTTGGTATTGGCTGATGCGTATCTCGCAAAAGGACATGCTCCCCACAGATTTAGGCTGATTCATGGCCCCTTAGTGCGAGTAGTCCTTTTCACTGATATGGGTTTTCCTTCGAGCTAGATCTCCGTCGAGCACCGATATCCAAGTGAACAATGCCGGCTGTCACTCCTTTCCCACATGATGGGCCAACGAGATTGCCGTTCCCACAAGCGAGATGCCACTCCCCCATCCTTCTGGGAAACATTAGCGCGTCCAGGAGAGGTTGGGCTTTGAGGAGAGAGGGGTGCAGACCATCCCCGACTTGTCATAAGCTGCTGGTGATCGGCATTTGGTGGCAAGTTGGAGGTGCGGAGCGCCGGGCCAGCCCACCCTGATTGTGAAAGGGGAATCCGGGAGGGCATTCTAATGAACTGGCACGGCCGTTCTGGGAAGGGCGGGATACCCGTACAGGGACCTTATGCGAAGCAGGTATCTCTGTTGGGCAGAAGAGGGGCGGGCGTGATATCACGGAGGTTAGCAAGAAAAGCTTTCACCACCTCCCGGCCGTCCCTCAAGTTGGCGGTGTGTAATGGCTATTAGACATGTAGATGGACAGGGAATTCGCTCCAGACATGCACCGTACAGACCAGGCACCCTCTGTCTTCGTGCATCCACCCTGGAGCGAGGGCTCAACACAGTGGATAGTGGATACAAGCCAGGAGGATAGAGAGATGCAAGGTCATCGAGGATGATGTTGATCGACACCGAGGCCCCCAAATTCGTGCGAGTGCATCCGTCTTGAAGTCAGGCCGCCTCTACAGTCATCTGACTCGTTTCCTGGCGAGTTCGTTGCAAGGCACGACGAGCCCTGGCCTCTTCTGAACGGCCATCACGTCTTTCTACGTCTGCCTCATTAAAGCTGCATGTTCGAGGTTAAGACTACCGCTACCAACGCAGGCGATGGCGCTCGACTAAGGTTAAGGGCCGAATACGTTGAATTGTGTCATATCACGAGGCGTAAAGCTAAGTTATCAAACGTCCCGTGGGGGGATGCTTATTGGACAACCACGAGGTTAGTTATATGATGAACAAGTCCGAGATAATTAAAAGTGAGGAAAAAAAGGTCCCCAAGGCTCCCTGTGCTGTAGGATATCAGAGTGATTGAGCGCCCACCAGACAAGGGAACCCAGTCGTCGAGCGTTTACTAACCTATTGGCGCAACCTAATTTCTCTGCCAGTAGGGACCAGACCCATGTCGGTTAGCAGGACTGCACGATGAGATTTGCGCGAGACAACTGTTTTGGGGGGGCGTTGACAGAGAGGGACATGGCTGATCCGTACAGTGGCCATTTTCAGACCCATCAGCAATGGGCATGGTCCGAGTTGGGAAATCACGGAGGTGAGCCCTGTCCATAAGCTGGCCGAGTAAGCTTTTGACCCAGTTGCTTGGGAAAGGCATGATGATTAGTATGCCCCAGATAGGCAGCGCCCTTAGGCCAGAGAGAGTTGGTTCGCTCTTTTAGCTCGCCTTCTCTGGGAGCTTTGAGGTCAGAGGGACCTTGGGCCCGCCCTAGGCTGGGGTGCCAAAAGGCTTAGCGACCTGCTAAGGGGATCCCTTTAGTGCGCCACAGCGCTGTCACTGGACCCTCTGGCCTCAATTCGAGCACCACTGCCAGCAGCTCGCTAAGGCTGGTGCTGTGCTTAGGGCCTGAAGCGGCGGCTCAGCGGCTGCTTTAACGCCGACGAAAGTCGGGCGGCACATAGTCTTCCAAGGCTGAAGGCGTGACAGCTGGTGGAGGGCAGCGGCAGATGATGAAAGATCCATTTGGAATTTCTCCGAGTAGGCGGACAGCAGCTGGGCCACCACGGGCGTATGTGTTGTATCTGAGAGTGAACTGGTAGGCCCGCCTCAATCATATCGGTAGATTAAAGGGTGATATTCAGGGTCGCACGTCAGTCAAGTCCACTTAAAAAACTCGACCGTCAAGTATCCGGCCGACCACCAAGTGAATGGAGCTACCTCTTAGCGAGGTGATATTTTTGAAGCGTCATGAAAGCTGGATATGGATGGCTTTTGCCACCTCCAGACCAGCTCTTGTGACGGAGGGAAGCCACGATGTCGAGGCGGGGAAGTTCCTACTGGTCACTTACAAGGCAGACTGAGGCACCAAGGCAGTGGCGACTGAACATTGTCACGTACTTCTTGCCGTTCCCAGAACAGCATTCTCCCGGGCATGTGCTGCGTCGTTGCCTACCTAGGTATCTCCACGTACCGTACCTTCCCAGGAGATATACACAATTCACTACGTAGGTAGGTACCCATCTGCCAGATACCGCGATCATGTTACACATCAAATAGGAAGGTAGGTACCTCCCAACCTCAATACTACCCAGGGAAGGGAGGAGTTTCAATGTAAAGGTGCCTTAGCCTTCCTCAGCCTGTTGGATCGCCGCCAGGGCACTGGCTCCAGTCGTGTTTTATCTACGGGTGTGTGAGAGATACCCTTTTCTCACTTGCTGCCCCGACATGGCCACGCGCAGTCATCCAATTGATTCAGCCGGAGGGGCTCTGGGGAGCACGATGACGAAGGTTGCTGAGATCTAATTTCCTCTTGTGGTATTATCAACATACTGGGCCACTCAAGGGAGGTTTTTGGCCTCAGCTACGTCAGTCCAACAAGCCGAGCATCATACAATATGGGACCCTGGCACCCTGCTGATGTCAGTGTACTCAATTGTCCCCAAGGTTCACGGGGTGAATCCATTCGCTGGGCCATGCGCAGAGCAGCAGGTACGTACAATCAACCACGTTCGAATCCGAAACGCACCGCCTGGTCGCTACTGCTAGCCGCGGCGTACCTAATCTACGTTGCCTGCTCATCTCCTATTTGATCGACAATTTCCAACGGCGTGGATTGCGTTCTCTCCTCTCCCCGATACATAGATGGGGCGAATCTACATGTGCATTCATTGGGCGGCGATGATATCCAAATGACAGACCCATCACCAACAACGAGCCATGACATAAGGAGGAAGGGCCCCCTCCAAGAACCGCAAGGACGGCCCCACCTGGCGCATCTTGGTGTGCGAGCGCTATGACAAAACCGGTATCGGGCCTTATTTCTTTACGTCAGGGATGTGGAGCCCGCGCCAGGGTCAACTGGCCCAAACGCTTCAGAACACCTCCACAGGGTGTGCTTGCAGAGCTCTCGCGAAGTAGCTGTAGTAGACGTCAAGGTATGGATGGATGGAGGGATGGATGTATGTGTTGGGACACTGTGCTTGTATCTAATGCTGTGTTGTAGCGACTCTCCACTTATTCCTCTGTCATGGTAATGCCCTCGTGGGGAGATGAATGGCACTGCGCGCGCGCGCGAGACATTTCGCCGCCGTCGCTGCAAATTTTTTTCGCCCATTGTCGAGAATCGGCCACTGACACATCGCATAATCCGCATTGAAGGAGGACGGATCGGGTTCAGTTGACAGCTGCCGCCCAGCTGGAGGTGCCTATCTGATTGCCCGCTTGGCGAGCAAGCCACCTACCTAACTACTTAACCTAAGATGTCAAATCCCCCGCCTTTTGATCTTCGTTATTTCCACGCCGCAAATCATAGCGCCTTTGACAGCGTTGCGTGCTTTTCATTCGTCTACTCGCGGTTAGCAGCTCTCACTAGGGAAAAAGGGGGGCCCTACCCAGTATATAGCACACTGTATTATGACCACTGGGGAGGTGCCTGGAGCAGAGCGATGCAAAGGTGCATCTCTGCCAGTGTATCTAGTGGCCCCGTGCCCCCCTGCGGCCTGCTATGTACACACTGCCTGGGCCAGTACCTGGTCGTTGAGCTGGTCCACCGCGCTGTGCTGTGCTCCGCTGTGCTGTGCTGTGTTGGAAGTGAGAACTGGGACAAAGGAGTCGTCCAGCTTGCTCCCTCTTGTTGCTGCTGCATTGCACGCGACTCTGTGACTGGGCTGGCCTTGCCTTGGGAGTCCTCGAAATTCCCAGTCCCAGTCCCTGCATGGCTAGCTGCCTCCTCCTCCGGTGACCAGCCTTCGTGCGCCAACTGCCGGGTGATCTACCAATATTCCACCAGATGCGCACACCTGTAAACATTCTGATCTGGTACATGGGCTCTTGGTGCTACGCTGAGCAATCTCTCCAGCCTGCCTGCATCAGTGGCATTCCGCCCGCTGCTGGGGTGTAGGGGGAGGCGACGAACTGCCGGCGTACCCACGCTGGCCCTGCTCGCTCGTCCTGCGAAGACGGAGAAGGACCAGAGGGACCAGAGGAGCCAGAGGAGCCCTCGCTCGATCCGTTGCAGCTGGAGCCAGCGCGTTTAGCCTCTGCCTCGACCCAGCGCGGCCTGCCATCTCTCCTGTCTGACAGTTCTCTGGCCGTCAGTCTGTGCGGACAGCATCCCTACCGCTTGTAGCACAGGATCCACACAAAGGATCCTTGATCCCTGGGAAAGCCTCCCATCCTTATCCCCCGATCGCTGAGTCTGTCTGAGTCGCTCTCCTATCCACACCCCTACCAAGCCGAGTCCCACACCGTCCGTCCGCCCACTGTCGACATCATGCCCAGGCAACCTTTTTTCTCTGGTGCCGGAGGGCAGCTGGGGAGGTAGCTTGGCCCCCCCAACCAGGACCGAGGAGATTAGGTATGTACAAGAGATACCTCCCCAAAAGCAAGCTGCTTCTGGCAAAGATAACATCATATTACAAAGTATTTCACACTACCCGCAGCCCTGGTGTCGCCTCTTGGCCACACAGCAGCCGGAGCCTTGTACATACATGCCCAATAGACGGTGCGGTACCTCTTTGTATCTGTGGGCATGGCGGACACAGTCTTGCAAGTCCCAATTGCTCCCCCATCGCCGGTGCTCTGCTCGCCCATCTGGTACGGGCAATTGGAGGCTGCCAGTGAAAGAACAGATGGAACAAGACTAGCCTCCCCAGTACCAGAACATTGGAAGCGTTGATCGTTTCGCCTAGCTACCCACGAGCGAGTGCCGTTTGAAGAAGGGGCTGTCGCACAGCGGCTTTGTTTCTCCCTATACCGTCTAGTCTATACAGTATCAATCGCAGGTACCGTACGGTTATGGGCCCCATCCCCATTACACTACTGTAATATTCCTACTCCCGTCCGCGTTCCCTCATCGTTCCAACCCAACCCCGGTCGCTGCGGCCTTCGCGAAATGGATATCGGCATGCTGATCACTTTGACCACAGACGGCACACCTCATTTTTCGTTTTTCAAGGGACGGGGAAGACTCCACCCCACCCGCCGCCCACTCTCCTCTGGACTTGGTTGACGCACGTCAAGTTGAGGCAACCCAGCCTGGGCACACTTAAGACTTCGCTGATCCCACGTTGGTCCCTACCAGACTCTCCATTCATCTCCAGACTGACGGCCGGGAATCTTTTGTGTCTGATCTAAGTTACCGACTTGGCTTTTATTCTAGTCGGGATCCCGCAGCTGATCAACAAAGCTCTTTTCCTCGCCCACACTTGCACGCCAAGGCCGGCCCTCCAAGTGTTTTGTCTCTTGCTGCCTTTATTGCTGTATACACCACACGACAGAGATAAACAAGGCCGCTCTGCCTTTTCATTCATACACCAGGCACATACACTTGAATACCAATCTTCACATATTTCGACACACGCTGCCAGAGCCTTCCTCATCCATTCATATTCGCTATTCGTTCGCCGACCACATACGGCTGACTTCGCAACATTGGAAAGAATATGACCATGACAATGGATGCACAGCAGAGATTCGGGCCCACCATGAATCTCGAGTACCCCCATCACTCACAGGCGCCGACCTTTTCGAACCCGTGGTCATCGTCGTCGTCGACTTCACAGCCTCCACCAAGCAGTGGTCTCTTTGGTGCTAGCCAGCAGCCTCCACCTTTGAATCCTAACCTGATGGCTGGCAAGCCTCCTCCTGGACGGGCGGGTTCGTCTTTGGGTTCATACGCCACCATGCCCGTCAGCACCTCAGCAGGTAATGGGAACCCTTGAATTCTTCAATCCTTTTTTTTTTGTGCCTCAACAGACCTGGTCGCTGACTACTCGCTTTGCAGATCTTCTCGGTATGAACCGTCTGCCTACCACTGGCCCATACGCAGATGCATCCTACACAACGTCTGCTGGTCCCGTGGCTGGCCAGTTCCCGACGTCCAGCGCTCCTTATGATGCATTGGGCTACGCTCCAGCTCCAGTGCGCTCTACCCAGTTCAGCCTGGTCCCTGATGCGGATCGCAAGTACTCGAGGTGAGTGGTAACCCCGCTATGTGTCCAAATTTTGCCAAATACTAACCAAGTAAGCCGTAGCCTACAGCAGCAACACGCAGACGAGCGCAGAGGCTTCGCTGATGCGCTTGACGCCAGCCACGGAATGCTGGCTATGAGCCAAGAGACCCCCCGCAACATCTATGGAAGCCGCAACGATCGATCGTCGGTTGACTCGTACGGATTCCCATCAACGCATTCAACCAGCTCCTCGATTTCCAGCGCCAGCAACTTTAGCTCCTACTATGGCGACTCTGTCTCTGACTACTCGACCGCTGGTTCAGATGTCGAACAGGTCAACTCGAGGACGCTCCCACGTCCCCACGGGTTTCCGCACTCACAGATGCCTCCTGCACCTCAATCCATGATGAGCCAGTTCAGCTCCAAGGTCTCGTCCAGCACTCAGAAGAAGCACAAGTGCAAGGTGTGCGAGAAGCGATTCACCCGACCCAGCTCGCTGCAGACCCACATGTATAGCCACACTGGCGAAAAGCGTATGTTGTCCTACCTTCGAATTTAAGTGGCATTGAAAGTACAATCAAACTAACATGCACCCCAACAGCCTTTGCTTGCGAGGTCGAGGGCTGCGGTCGACACTTTTCCGTGGTCTCCAATCTGCGACGCCACCGCAAGGTCCACAGGGGCGACGCCCGCTCAGAGGCCGGCTCAGAGGACCACCAGTCCGATTAATTCGAACGAGCCAACCGCGTTCATCTCTTGGCATTACTCTTCATAAATCATGAAAGGAGCATGGTGCATCATTTCATAAAACCGAGCGCGAACGGGGCTGAGCCTCGGATAGGCAAGTCGACCAACGTTTGGGACCAGCCGACCGGGGCGCATTGATTTAATCGACTGTTTCAAACACATAATTAAACATCGCGCGGCCCCAGAGGACGGAACCAAATAAGGACATATCGTTACATGGCGCCAAGCTTGGGCTTTGGCCAACTACTATTATTCTCTCAACTGACAACCGACGACGACTCACGAACGCTGTGTATATTCCGGGAGTTTTTACCATTTACCTTTTTATTCCTTCGCTTACTACTATATTTGCTGGATCAAGCGTCTTTACATTTTAGCGGGTTGGCAAGAAGTCATCCAACCGTGGGTTTCAACGGAACTTTTCTCGGTCGGGTGTTACCCTGGTTTCTAAGAATACGAAAATTGGAATCGGTTCGGGCTTATACCTAGGGGGGGAGCGGTACACGGAGTTTTGGGGTTTGTTTTTCACACTTTGGTCCGGGGGCTTCTGGCGGATGAGGCTCTGGGCCGAAAATGGGAATTGACATGACACTTTTCTTGTTATTGGAAAGGCAGTTTGGTTAGGTACTTGATGGATGGTTTAGAAGGCGGAGAAGACGTGACAGGGGAATGGAATATGTCCGTCCCTGGTGGTGGTGGTGTGTCCTGTATGATTAGCTTGATGACACTATATCATGATATACCCAAATACGAAATGACGGTACAAGGCTGTCTATTTTGCACATATTACCACAGAATCAAATATGCGTGTAATCATCTCGACGTGACATGGCTTAACACAAAATCCGAGGACCTCGCATCGACGATGGCTACAGCCAATGTGCAGGACACCCGCAATGGCGCATGGGAATGGCGTTGCGCCCCCCTCGGCGGGCCACAAGATGGCATTTGCTAATTGCCATGGTCCCTCACGGGGCCCGGGCGAAGTGACGGGGAGGAAAACAAGAGGAGGGAGGGCAGACAGCAGAAAAGAGGCGCGCTACCAGACGCAGCTAGCAAGTTAGCGGGAGAGATGGATGGAGAGGGGGGGGGGGGGGCCAAGAAAGGTGCCGCGCTGCTTTCCAAAGTGGTTGTGTGTGTCCAAACAGCAACAGCACACCTTGCAGAATGACGACGTTGGGCAGGACCGGCGGGCCAATTGCCAGACCAACCCCCCCACCCCCCCCTCCTCCAACCCCCATCTAGGGCCTAACTTTTTTTTTGCCAGTCACTCGCGATATGTTTGATGTGACAAGGATGCGTAGTTGGAGTAAAGAAGGTTGGGTGGGTTTGTGGTGGCCAAATCAGAAATCCCGAAGTGAGGCTTGCAAATCCCCGCAGGGTCCCCCGGTAGATCCAAATTGATGAAAAAAAAAAGAAAAGACACTTTTGCTAGCTAGGATGGGAGGGAAAAGGGAAAGGCAAGGCAAGGCGAATGGGATTAGCGGAGGGTGTGGGATCGAGCGAGCAGGCTTTCCCCATGTCCGTGTGTTTTCTTTGGCGTGCATGTGGTCTGGTATGCAATCTCATGAAAATGGGCAAATTGGAGATGGGGGCATGGCAAAAGGCGGAGCTTGTACTATTTTCCCATCGCCTCGTTCATCATTCTGTTGTGCTTTGTCTATACGCTACCTGGATTTACAGAGAGGAACGGGGGAGGGCGGAAGGAAGGAGACGGCGGAGAGTCCGTCGCTGTGGCTAATGCGCGTGGGAAACTCAAGTGTGCACTCCCTCTCTGTTAGTGTTAGCCAGCAACGCCTGCTTGGCGGGCAAAAGAGAGAGACAAGAGGGAGGAGACGCTAATACGCACTGGTCGGCGTGAGCAAAAGGGCGACCTGGGGGATCCAGGGATGGGCAGAATGGGGAAAGGCTCGGCGTTTCAGAATGTTTCCCATCATTTCCGCACGGGGAGGAAGCGTACCCGTAAGGCGGGAGAGGTCCCAGGACCGGACAGGCTGGACAAGCTTTGTGGGGGTGGGAGAGGGTCTTCAAAAAGGGCTTGCCGGGGGTGTGTGTGTGTGTGTCTGTGTGCGTCTGTGTGTCTGGCTGCCAAAAGGTATAATTTTCTTAAAAATGTTTTGCTCCTCTTTTTTTTTCTGGCTACTAGGACTGGGACTAGGGGGGTTCAAATTGCTCAATCGGGAAGAATGGCCAAATCCAAGGGTATGGAAAAGACGTGATTGCACAATTACAGCCAACTCGGACGATTGGGGACCGCAGAGAAAGAAAGGAAAGAAAAAACGACAAGAGGTAAAACCCTTCCCAAAACTAAATGAGCCTACGTCATTCGGCGTATAAGACATGTATGTTGTGATAGCAGGGATGGAAACATCAGAGACATGATAGCACACTACTAAGGCAGGCAGGCGAGCTGCAGCCTATTCTCGTTGTTATTGTTTCTTTTTTATTACTGCCTTTTGGCTTTCCTTTTTTCACATTTCATGTTGGATGTCGTCAATGTGGGGATGGCAATAGGGGTGATGCTTGTTTGATTTCGATCCAGCAGGTGTATTAATACTTGCTACACATGGAGCCGGAGTATGGGCGGAACGAGTACCGTGACCAAGAGGCCTGGTGGATACGATACGATGTACGGGTTTGTCTGTGACACAAGTTCTATTTTGCGCATACCTGCAAGGAAAGTTGCGGTAAATGCTGTTGAATCGAGTATCTTCGTGTGCACACAGCCTCGTGCCGCTCCTGCGTGTCAACTTTGTTACGAGTATCATGTATGATGATGGTGTATGAGACGGCTGGCATGCGGGCAGGGATTGGGGTTGTGGTTGTCAGCACCATTACGTTGGTGGCAGCCCATCGCGCCTCTGGGGGGCAAAAGCAAAAGGGCTGGCTGGTCAAGGCTATGGGAGTGACGATTGGAGATACCTCCATCTCGGGTGATGCTAGCTGGTAGCCTGGCTCTATCTCATTACATTCGGTTCCCACACGTGCTACATCGCAATGTAAACACACTGCTCCACCTGTTCGTGTTCGCATCGCTGGCTGGGAGAAAAAAAAATCCATGAAGCTGTATAGAGACGATCCGGGCCACGCCAACCGCCGATAGGTTGGTGGTGAACGTTGGGCGTTTCCCCGGTTTGCACTTGTTCTGTTGATCGCCGCTGATGTCACATAAGATCAGATCTGCCACTGACGTCGCTTGGCAGTTTGAGATGGGAGAAGAGAGTCTGACTACGTTAGCGCACTTGGCAACGCCCGAGGAGCAGTGCAATGGACATGCAGACGGGCAGACGGGCTGCCGGCCAGCTGCGTGCTTCTCCTCTGGCTGGCAGCCCAGGCCGTGCCCCTCCCCTTTTCCTAGAGTTGCATCGCAGGCTGGCCCAACCCATGCGATCCAGTTAAAAGCCCGATGACGGATAGATGTGATGGAGAATGAAACAGACGTGCTGCAGTGTGTCAAACCCAGCCAACGACAGGGCTGGAGGCGTGTGTGTGGTGTAGCGTCGCGCGAAAAAAAGGGGGGGCCTGGCCTGCCAAAGTTCCTGTAGAGCACAGTCTTGCGCTGAGCACCCACACACTGAGGCACCTGGGCGGCGTGTAGGTACTTTGCCCAGCACTACTCCAAATCTGCCGGTACAAACATGGTTCACACTGTGTGGGACGAACTAGCCGGGTACGTACATCAGACCGTGCACGCACTGTCCTCTGTCAAGCGCGGACGACCTACTAGCACTTAGGCTCTTCTTAGGTTTCTTGTATATATAGAATTAGGACGGGCGCACAGCCTCAAGCGGCGAAAAAAGATACAATTGACGTCGTTGATGTGAATGCCTCGTGCGCAATGGTCATGGAGGCGCTGTATGGCTCCGTATCCCAGCCTGCTATCGCGGCTGCTTGGGGGGGTAAAACTGTCAGCGCTGGACCAGCCCGGCTTCGAGATGAGCTTAGTTAGTTAGTATGCATACTCTGGCAGACGCCAGCCTATTCTGATTTTCAGGGTCCTGCTGGTTTCGGGGCAAAGCCGGTGGGTATTTGGGCGAACTGCCGAGGTTGGCTGACATAGGCGCCGGTGCCAAGTTCTGCCATGGCTTGCCCTAGGCGAAGATCTGGGTAATTATCGAAATAGCCCGTACGGTACCGCACCGTACCGACGATATGCTGCCACGCGCGCCGCGGGCACGAGAAAAATTAAACATGTTGGCCATGCAGGCCGGTCCCATGCATCGTCTCCTTCCGTCGGGGTGATTTACATCATGCGCATACGAATCGCCAGCTGCAACGGTTCGTATCTGCTTCCCATGTGCCATCAATGCTGCTGCCCCCTCTTTCCGTTGCCATCCAGCGTGTCATTCAAGCCCGGCAATCGCATTACCCAATGCGGTCTTGTTCACGTGCTATTCCCTGTGTGGGCATTCCGTCGTCCGCGGGGGGGGACCCATTCCCTAGCTCTGTGGGTGCTGGCCACGATGAATGGAGGTTCTGCTCCAGGCGTCTTTTGCTGCGGTAGCGTGCTGTGTAGCTCGTACATGTCCCTCAGCCGTCCAAGGGGTCGATCCAAGGGCCAATCGCAGCATACATGGCTGTGTGCATGTTGCGTACCGCAGCCCCCCTGCAAAAAGTTGTATTCAAAGGTTCGCAGAGCCTGTAGCGGGCGCCTGTCTTTGCACTTTCAGGCGCGGTGAGAGGGCAGTGGGCTGGCTGGCGCTTGCTGGTGGATGGATGCCAGGGGAGTGCACCAAGGCCAGTGGCGCCTGAGTCGGCTTGAGGTTTACCCTGGCTGTGACGTCACCGGCTTCGAGGAAGGATGGAAGCGACGACGGGGGCCACCTGCTGAGGTCTCACTGGCCCGGGCTCCCCTGGAAGGTGCACCTGGCCCAAACGTCATTCCAAGCCGCGCTAAGTGACGACCCGTAAGGCAACCAGGTGTGTGGTTAGGCATGTAGGGATGAGGGGGGTGTGGCCTCCATTTGAGCTCTGGGGGTGAGCCAAGCAGGTGGAGATTTGACAAGGGAGCCAGATGCACTGTGTACTCTTTCCCTTGTCTCTTTCGAGGATGGCCACTGCGCTGCGAGTAAGGTGCTACCAGGCATCCTGACTCTTGTTGTTTGCCTTAGCCCATTATTCCCGTGTTGCATGTTCAGATGGCAGCCGGAGGCGAATGAGGTTGCGATAAGGTCCTGCCGCCTCACTCGTTCCGTTCTTCTTTTCAGAATTTGCCTCCAGCTATTCCCCTTCCACTCCTCCTCATGACTCTTGCAAAAGCCACGAATCGCTCTTTCAACCATGTGTCATGTCGTTGGTCACTTTCTCCACGGCACGAGAATGTATACATGAGTAGACTGGCACAGCTTGAGACCAACCAATGATACCTACCCAGTACCTAGTGTCAAGCTTGCCTGGAGCCTTTCGCCGTGTTCTCCGCAGCTCTGTGCTAGGCCCATTCTGTCATACACAGAAAACACGAACGCATGTGCCGGAGAGCGGTGTAGTCCATGTCATCAATGTCATCAATGCAACCAAGGAAGACTTTGGCAGGCCGCCCCCGTCCATCTGCTACAACAAGTTCTTCGGACTGGGTGGCTACTCTATCCATGGTGTTTTCGTTTGCGGGGATGAGAACCCAGTCCTGGTAGCTCAAAGTTGCAGTGGGAATTAGAGATCGGGGGAGCTCAGATCACGCTGACTCTCCCGTCAATCATCGCGGTTGTATTTGGCTAGAGGATGCTGATCACCGCCAACTGCTATTTTCGATAGAACCAGATGTTCGTGTGCCGTGTCACACAGACCAGGCAACTTGCAAACATAATGGCAATAAGGATTCGGGGTTTATTTGCGGCGCGCACACAAGCATCTGATCCCAGAGACAAGAGCATATTACTATCCGCGGCTTGAAACGAAACAAAAAGTCCGAGCCCTCCAGAGTACTACCTTGTGCTATGATTACGCTGCCGGAAGGACTTGTGTCCAACCGGCCCCTCGGATCGCCCGAGGGGTTTCCTTCTGACGTTTGTCGCCGACCTCCTCCTTGTCAGCCCGCTGGAAACAATGGCTTTGAGCTTCCTTCTAGAAGGACTGACATAGTACAAAGATCGCCACGTCAATGCTTCAAGCTTCACCAAGCAGGAAGGCAGCGAGAAAATCCAGTCAGCAGAGGCGCGGTCTGTTTCGGTCGCTCCTGTCGCACAACGTGGTGGAATCCATCCAAAAGTTCTGTGTCGACCTCACATGCTGGCCAGGAAAGGTCTACCCTGGCCAGCCATCTATCGCCGACCACGGAGGGTGGACTGTCATGTGTTACTGATGCCATTGAGCCCTCCCACCCCTTTAGCTTGGCCCGTATTCAATCAACCATGAAGCAGGCACAAGTAAACGCTCTGCGTTCCGGATACGGCGTCCTGCATTGGCGCAGTCCCGATCAAAGGCCGCCTCTCGGGTCATAACTCCGGGTGGAGGGCTGGCTTGCCTACCACCTGCTGTCGCCCTGTAAATTTTATCATCAGATTCTCTCTCTCTTGGACCCCTTTTCTACGATGCGCCTATGGTGTCGTGAATCATGTGCTGCCAGGGATCATGACACTTGCTAGATCAAGGGTAGGCTCCAGGGGTCAGCATATGAAACCCGTATGTCCATTATGTGTTTTTCTCTTTTCTATATTGGTCCCAGTAAGACTAAACTCTGACGTGAAACCAAAACGCCGCAACCGTATTGCTCCTTCCAGTTTGTCGTGTGCTACACACACATCACTGCTGCGACCTGCCAGTTACGAGGCGGTCTGGTCTTGGGCTTTTTGGCATCTCATGATGAGGCCATGCTTGCATTTGACATCGCGCGTGGGCTGAAGGCTCCGCACTGCCATTCTCTCCCTTGTCCCCTGCACTTCTCAAATGATAAGTCGCATTCCCACCGCGTGCCCGTTTAGATTGAACTGCAAGTCTGTATATCATACCTCCAACATATCGTAAAGAATCGTAAATTGCTCTGGGTCTCGTGAATGATGTTGCGGGGTTGATCCAAGTGGAGAGCCTCCAGAATCGATGCTAGGTATTTAGCCTGACTTTGTTGAGCTCTTCTCATTAAAGGAAAGAGGGGCCATTTGCGAGAGTGCCGAAGTTAGATAGCACCGAGGAGAAGAGTTATCACGAGCTACATGCTCTTCAAAGGTAGATCAATTCCGTACGCCGCAGTCCGTCACCAGTCCAATTGCCGGGCTTTAGCCTACCGAATAATTTCGGAACTCTATCTATCCGAGCAATGGGAAACGAGGCGGGGCCTGACGAAAGAGCTAAACCCACAACGATGAAAGTTGGTTTTGGGCAAGCAAATCGCCCAGGTGGTCGTGCTCCAACTGAATTCGCTCCAAGGAAGGCCGGGGTTGCATGTCGCCAAGCAGGTGAGGGAGGATAATTGCGGTGGTGGTGGGGGAGTTGGGAAATCACATTCCATGTTCGCGGTTATGGTTCTCTCAAGACATTTTTCTCGTTTTTTATTCTGTATTACCAGTAGAAACGCCTGCCCCCATGCTACCCGGCTCTATCAAACAAGTGAGAAAAGGAAATGAGAAGGAAGACATGGTGAGGAAGTAGAGGAAATGAAAAAAAAGTAATAAGTGCGTTTCGAATACTAATGACGCTGCCCGACCTTTCATTATCCCGTCTGTTCTGAATACAACAAAAGCCAGCCCCCCTCCCCCCTTTTCCTGGAAACTATATATTCGCACACGCGCAAAGACTGAAACAACGACAAATTGTAGGCGGCCTGTAGTTTATAACACAATGTGGAGTTCTGGCCTATCCATGGTATCTTCGTCCAGATTTGGATAGAATGGTACCATGGCGTCGGCTGCCTGGACGTAGGCATCGTTAAAGAGGCGCCAGTATGGCGTTCGGACCTTTCTAGCGGGGTGGAAGAGGCCTGCCCAGACGTAGTTGAGGACGACGCCCGGCCCGACGGCGACGCGGATTGCCTCGATGGCCTCGATGATGCGATCAATGACGTGGGGGCTGGTCTCGAAGAGGTTGGGGTATAGGAGGTTGAGGAGATGGACCATGGCGTCCTCGCAGCCGAGGCCGACGACGCCCAGGGCAATGTGCTTGACCACCGAGGCGGCGGTCTGACGATGCACCTGATCACGGTCGATCAGGGCATCTTCGAGCAGAGGGGTGACGGCGTAGACGTAGTCCTTTGCCATCTCTCCGATGTACTCGAACAAGAACGAGAGTGACTTGAGGACACCGTTCTGTACGTTGAGCTCTGGAACACGGTACTCGTTCATGAGCGCAGGGAGAACTGTGAAGGGGGCGCAAGTCTCGGCAACAATACCGATAGCGACGGCAGTGTTGACACGAGACTGACGCTCCTGGACTCGGAGGTTGTTCAGCAGTGTTGCCAAAACATCCTGGGGACCGATGGCCTTGGCGATGAAACCAAAAGTGTTGTTCGCCGCTCGTCGGATGCCCTTCTTGTGCGCCTTGAGCATATCAAGGAGCTCGAAGCAGATACGCATCCATTCTCTGGCGTTAACACTTTCAGGACCGCGGTCGGCAATACGGCCGACAAGATCAATGGTGTTTTCCTGCACCTTCTCGTGTCGGTTACGCAGAATGGGAGTAAGACGAGGGAGCAACTCCTTGATGGGTGGTTGCATCTGAGTAATTCCCACAACAGTGACAATGGAGCGAAGGGCACCGAGAATGGAACCAAGGACTTCTGGATACTCTTCACCCAGATATTCGTAAAGCACGATACCCAGCTTGCCCATCAAGGCGTCCTCACCGCACTGCTTCATCACCATGGCAATTCGAGAAATGAGATCAGCTGCCTGCTGACGGACTGTAGCCGATTTGTTGTTCAGTCTCCATAGAATGGTACTGACAATTTGAGGGAGATAGGGCTTGCAGCGGGTGCCTAGGGCATTCACCACGGAGCCAAAGCCGTTGAGCATAACAACATCCTCGACGCTCTGCTCCTGGAAAGCGTGTAGAATACCATCTACAAGACGTTCCTCGAGACGCTCACCAATATCAGCGGCGCCAAGACTGGCCACAATCTTCTCCACTGTTTCGACAGTCATCTTTCGGTAGGCTTCGCTTTCATCTTTGAGATTGTTGACGATGCGTTCCACTATCTCGCTCACGCCAACTTTCTGGCCGATGTCGACCGTCGTCTCGACAACTTGTCTGTAATTGCGCTTGTCTAATGCCATGCGCCTCACCCAGAAGTTCTTGAAGAACTCATCAAGCACGTGTTCTTTGAGGTATCCGGCGGTGACACCGTCAGTTCCTGCGCACTGAGACACAACCTTGAGCACAACCTTCTTCATTTCTTCGTCGGGAGATGAGAATTCTCGTAGAAGAATCTCCATAATCTGGCTGGTATAATAGTTGGCGTATTCTTCGTCCATCAGAGGAATGATGTAACCGACAGCCTTCAAGAATCCTGCCAATCCCTTTCCTCTTTGCTTTCGGGCGCCGGTCCAAAGAGGGTTGAGAATGTCATCAAAACTCTCAATACCGTATGGGTTGGATGCCTCGGCCAGCGCGGCGATAGCGAGACTGGTCACGGTTCGAACCTTGGTCTGGTCATCATTCAGGTTCTGGCCAATGCAGTCAACCAGACCCTTGAGATGCGGTAGCACAGCACATCCCATGAGGATGGGAATCTGCTGAACGATCTTCACACCAGTATGTCTAGCCTGCCATGACTTCTTGCTTCGGCACACTGCCCGCAGGAAGGGAAGAAGTGCTGGGATGCCCAGCGCCGAAGCCACAACAGCAAAGGCACGGGCAGTGGTGTTTCTGACATATTCGTCGACATGATCAATATCCGGTCTCATGGTACTGATCATGGTAGCTAGACCAGCCGCCTTACTGAGGTTGGAGATAATCTCTCGACCCTCCACTCGAGCATAGTAATCTTGGTCAATCAGAAGAGGCTCGATGACGACCAGGATCTTGTGAACGTAAGGCCGAACTAGGTCGTCGAGCTTGTAGAGAATTCTGTCGATAACCTTGACGAGCAAATGACGCTCCTGATCCTCCAGGGTCTTTTCCATCAGCAGGGGAAGAATCTGGTCGAAAAGCGGACCAGCACCAAACTGCCTCGCGTTGTCGGTGATTTGACGCAAGGCAGTCTTTCGCATTGGAGGCGTACCGTTCTTGATTTTCAGCAGAAGACGCATGATCTTGCGCTCCTTCATCTCGTCGACAGTGAGCACATTCTCATCAGAACCGTCAGTCAGCTTTCCGAAGTAGGCCATATCCTCAGGCTTGAAGAATTGCAAATCTCCGACTCCGGGGATCTCGGCTGGCATTGGCTTCCCGCCAAGGCGGACTTGATCTGGATCCTGCATCATGAATCCAGAATGCTGGGCAGGAGTTGCCATCAGCTTGTGGGCAGGTGCAGACACGGGAGCGTATCCTGGAGGTGGCTCCAAGATCTTGTATCCCTCATCCTCGCCAGGAAGCAACATGTCAAGCTCTTCATCGCTAATCGGCATGTTGCGAATCGTTATATCGGTTCCAAAGCCGGGAGGCAATACAGAGGCCTGAGCCTGCGGTGCTGGTGTAGCCAAGCCTTGGTTAACCATGGGAGTAGCTGACGGAGCTTGGTCCCAACGAGATCGCTTCTTTGGAGCCTCTGCGGTTGGTCCACCAATTGAAGGCGCCTGGTCCCATCGAGATCGTTTTGGCTGAGCGCCATCGGTAGCATCTTGGGGTGCCTCCTCAGCCGGTGCAGAAGACACATCCCATCTCTTCTTGCGCTTGCGGCCTGCAGCCGAATCCTCAGCTGCGCCGTTCTCGTTATTCGCATCGTGGAGGGTGGGCTTGGCGTCCTCGTCATGAGATTCTCCATTTTGTTTCGCAAGGATCGCGCGTCGAACCCGTTCCTCCTCTCGTTCGAGATCACGCGCTTCCATGATTTCACGGTAGCTAGAGCCATTCTCAGTGGCACCCGCTTGGCCATTTCCACTAAAAGCATCGGCGCGCGTCGGGGTGAGAGCTCTGTTGAAGCGCCGCTTCTGGTAGTCGGTCTCGCGATCGGTGATCCGATTGCTCTTTTCCCCTCGCCCCGCGAGAATATCATCCTCCTCGACGCCATTGCCTCGAGAAAACTCATCTATCATCTCGCGAGAGGCCGTGTACTGTCCCACGAGCCTCCGTGTGTTGTCGGCGCCCTCCATCTCATCATCATCATCCCCCATCGGCAACGAGGTGTTGTAGCCGGCATATTTGTCTGCGCTATCGTTACCGTAGAGAGCGGTATCCGCGCTGTCTGTGAGTCGCTGTTTGGTTGAATCGGCACGTTGCGTTGATGCGTCGAAGGTTCGCGAACCCTTTTTCGCAGCAGCGGCGGCGTTGCGCTCCTGCTGGAGCTTGATAGCCTTGTCAAAATCCGCGTCAGACATTTTGAATTATCCGTCTTCCAGCTTCATCCCGCGTCCAGGTCAGAGGTTGGCAATTCGGAATTGCAGATGCACATGGAAGAGGCTGTTGTCCCAAGGTGGCTGACAAGCTGAACACAAGAAACTTCGTGACTGAAGCTGCCGTGGCGGCGAAAAGTCTCCCGCGACAAAAACGTGGGTTTCGCCGGTCTTTAGCCGATGACGATCTCCACCACCGTAACCACCAAGAGCGTTTCGCCACGAGACAGATCATCTTCGCTTTTCATTCATTGATTTCTAATATCTTTTACATTGATAGAGTTAAATCTTCTTGATCTTGTTTACCATTATCAACTATTTTCATCCTGGTTGCCTTCATATTATGTCTATATATCAGATTTTACAGTAATAACATCCACCCTTTAGGCTCGTCCCCTGGATCGAGTCCGTCTCCGCTTAGCATCCCCTTCCCCCTCCGTAGCTAATTTGAATTCCTCGACACCCGGCTCGGGTTTGACTGTTACCGTTTTGGTCTCGACCAGCTTCCTCTTCTTTGGCGAGACGATGCCGTTAGTCTCAATTAATTCCTCCTTGATTGAAACCCCATGAGTCTCTTCTTTCACAAGTGATTTGTCTGAAAATGCTTTCAAATCTGCAGTGAAAAGCACTGAGTGTGCCCACCCGGCATATTTCCCCCACAAGTCTCTGAAGTGATCCCCCACAGCATCGTACATGGCCTTGTTGAAGGTCTTCGCCTTCTTCCCGAACTTGTAATCTCGCTGGGCAATCTGCCAGACGTGGGTGTCGACCGGGACAGACTCACCCCATCCCAAGCCCATCAGGCAAACACAATCAGCGACCTTTGGGCCAACGCCCTTCAGTGCGAGGAGCGCCTCGTGTGCTTCCTTGTATGTGGAATTCCTAGCATCGGGCTTCAGCTGCGAACCGAACCCGGGGTTGTCGGGGTTGCGCAATGTTTCCAGCCAGTTGCTCGGCTTCTCATGTGCCACGATGCGAGCTGTTTCAGCAATATACTTTGCTCGGTACCCGAAACCCAGCTCTCGTAAATTAGATTCAACTCCATTCCCTGTCAAGTCATCAGGGTTGGGAAAATCATAAAACGGTACGCCATCAATGTGGGCGATCAGAGGACCATAGTGCTTGCATAGTTTATGGACCTATTCTGGGTTATCATCACACATCCCGTTTCTCATTCTTTGGTTTGTCGTTTGGAACTTGCCATTTGTGATATCCTAGTGATGTTGTTATTGCTGCTGCAGATGAAGGCTATCAAAGCTTCCCATGCATCCTGGTTTAACATGCGGACGCCAGTAAATGTTGGCGCCTTCTTTCGGAAGTTAGGATCGACACTTGACCATTGCTCATAGAGGCTCGCTAGGTCTAGATCTAAACTGAAATAATGGTGTAACAAGGCTTGCGTGTCATCTTCAGCTTTGGGTGTGAGCTTTTGCGTTGCGGGAGACCCCTTGAGGCTCTGCTCGGGCCAAATGACTTTGTAGTGCAAGTGTGTTGAGTCCTGCTTCAGGGATAGGATGCGTCCATGAAGAGTGCAAACCCTGCGCATGTGTCAATTAGCTCAGGGTGTACAGTACCTAGAGAATTTGTGGGAATCAAGTACCACTCATCGTTGATTTTTTGCCATCGGAATGACTGACCACAGCGAAGGGTAGTGTCGATACAGAGTTCAGAGAGAGCAACAGGTAGTTTCCGCCATTCGGATATTCGCTTGAGAACCATCTTAATAGGCAGAATCGGCCAATCAGGGGACAGTGGTTCAGAAGCGGAGTGGCTGCTGGAAGAACGATCAAGTAAAGTCACAGCTATCTGAAAGACCACTGTCGAACTTGGTATCAGGGGTTGAAGGGATCGTCGCCTCTGTTCAGGGACTTCGGCATATGCGCGTGTTACCCAAACGGGTGTGCTCCTGGTATTCTAGAGCTTAGTCAGCCACCCTTGGTGAGTAGAAACTGATCCCTGGGCTCCACTTCTGCATGGCTGCTTATGCCATCTCCATTAATTAGTCTTGTTCTTGACCTCTCATCTTGAGCCGTCGGTATGCAATTGAACATATGCCTGAATCTTTTTCATGCCGCCCAGTCGTTACTAATATCATAAGCGATGTATTGTTCAACATGTGAAAAATCTCTTATATAGGAGGTAGCCAGCTAAGCGGGGACGCCCAACTCAAACTGCAAATTAATCGAGTTCATACAAAAGGCCGTTCATCGATAGGTAGTGAATCCAACTTCAACAGCATCTTAAGATACCTTTAATCGAATGAAGCGTCTAGCATAGCAAGCTTATCCTTGGTATATTCACTTGAAGTCTTTGACCTACAGGCATGAGCTACGACTGTCTTAGCTCCCAGAATCTCTGGAGAGAAGACTAATTCAAATGGACATGGTTCATTGAACTCGAGATTTGGTATACAACCTCCTCTGGACATCGCAAGATTGAAGAGCAGCTCCTTCAAGAGAACAACCTCGATATCTGGCTCAGGGGAGCCCCTAACAAGGAAGGACTATGATGGCAATGGACAAGACTATACCAGATGGTCATCGCAAGCGACGATAGCAAAAAAATCCCCCGCTCTTCGCCAGAGAAACGTCTTTCAGCTTTACTTAGCCACTCCCAACTTCAGTTTGCATTCGACTTCGCGATGAGCTATCCGGCAGGGATATGCGCACTACCTTGCCAGGCGGCTGGTGGCGACGAGCTTCATACCTACACTTTGGCTAACCATCCAAAACTTGCATTCTTGTGGAAGCACGTTATTCCAAGAGCATCCGAGTGCTACGGCACTACCTTCAAGAATGAGGAAGCAGAAATAACTGAGTTAGGATTAGCTACTAAGCCTGATGGTTATACTTTTGGAATCGTATTTGTTGATTCCAAGGAATATGAAAACCTATCAAAGCTCATTCACCACCAATAGTCCACCAATATTGTCTCACATCCCATGTTCCCGGCTTTCATCTCCAGTTTACATCTAAATTTCCGCATCGACAGGATACATCAACACATCAAGACAGAGACCCGACGTGTTGAAGCACGAACAGGTCATCACTGTTTCAACAGCCTTCAGCAGTTCCCAGCACCTGGTGACCTACGGGAGCTGTTGGCAACCATGAGCGGGTTTGCAACCAAGCTAGCAGGTACAACCCGGAAGTTTCTCCGCGAGGTTTATCGATTCATTCATACTCAGATTAATTCAAACTACGACGGTCACAAATCAGACTTGATAGAGGGAGAAGAACGTAGGAATTGCATGGATATGGGTAAACAGGTTAGGTTGATGCAGCATCGACTTGCCATGCAGCATCTTGAACACGATTTTATTCTAGCTCGGGTCGAGGTACAAATGAACGCTGTAGGTGAAGAAGGCATCCTCAGTATCCAGTCAGACCGCACTTATCACCAGTGAATATAGATGTTCCATCTCGCCGCGCAGCAGGACAGCGAAAATGGAATCCACATTGCAAATGCGACGCAGGCCACCGCAGTTGTGTTTCCCTTCAAGAATCATCATTCATGAAAATTCTCACCCTCATGGCTGTAACGTTCCTGCCCGGAAACTTTGTGGCTGCTCTCTTCTCGACCTCTCTCTTCGGCTCGGAGACTGCTACCAACGTAATAACGATTGCTAATAAACCACTGTTTGCATTGTTCTGGATTATTACTATCCCACTTACACTCTTTATCTACATCGTCGTCATTGTATGTGTGTTCATACAGAATAGGAATACACTTGAGAAAATTCGCCATGCACAGGATCAATTGACCAATAGATCACAGGAGCGAAGAACGTCTTAGATGGAAATATATGAATCATTCCTCTCTTTATTACCTTTTCTGGCTTCAAATCTCAGTGGTCTAGTTTTACGACTATTCAAAGCTAAGTTGTACCTAGTTTTGGGGAACATAGACTGGGCAACAGAGGGTTTATGGCAAACAATCACACCATTGTTCTACATGAGTTCCCTCACTTCTGGACATGTGGCCACTTGAATTCGGCCATCAACTCTGAGCCACTCACAACCGCTTCGGGGTTCTAAAGATGCAGAAAGCGTAGCTCGGGTCTACCCCATCTCCTATTGGTCATAATTACACATACGTGGTCATCAGTGAATTCTGGAAGGATTTATTCACACCATCGAGGCTACAGTGTGCCTTGTAGGCTGCAGCTTAGAGCGATGGTCCACTGAACATAATGCATGCAATTCGTGGCGTAAGAAAAGCAAAACCAGCTGTTGGATGACTGCTGACCGCGTTGCCATCTACGCATATAGTGGACAGATAGATGATTTGTTGCAAAATATGATGTCAGATTCAGTCGAGATCATTCTCGTTGGCCCCCGCAGAGTTCCTGCTAAGAGAGGAGTGGGGAGACTGCAGAAGACCACCTCAGACATTGATACCATTGTTGATCAGCATTGTGTCAGGCCTCGAGTCCAGTCGTCGCAGTAAGGCCGAGCGCAGGCGTTTCATTAGATTGCTTACAAACAAGAATATTGCACTTTGAAAGGTGTGGCGTCTCAGAAGGCGTATCCGTACTGAGCGGACATTCTAGAACCGTCAGTTGCTCACTGGATAGAGGCTCAGCCCTGATATTGGACCCTAAATACATGTATGAATAAGGCTATCTCATGAACGCCCCCCGTACGCTGGCGCGCTTGCGGCCACAGCCGAGTTCCCTTTCAGCTTGTCTAAAATAAGGATCAATCCGCCACATTTTGCATGCAGGAATAAACCATCTGACGACGGTGGCTTTTTAGGCCAGCCTTCAGTTTGACAAGTAGATCAGCCATATTCGGAGCCTTGGTGTGCCGGAAAATATATATATTGAACGTCAAGAACCTGGATTTATAGTAACTGGATGTACAGACACTCAACTTCGACCATTTAATTCAATATATTCCTTTGGCAATACTCTACAACTTATCTTTCCCATTGAATTGATTCCAAGATGCCAACCCAGAATGAGGATTCATCGAGAGCCTCATCTTCTATAGTAGATGATCGTTCGGTGAACGAACCTTGGGCGCCCATCGTTCTTTCTTTGGGTGATATATAGAAGCCTTCATATTTGCCCTCGATCAATAGCTAACCATTGTGATGTACAGATGGGGGAGGTATCAAAGGTCTCTCTGAGCTATTCATCTTGCGCAGAATAATGGAACGAATCAAGGAGAAGATTAAGGAAGACCGGAAGAGGGCCATACCTTATGCCAATCCTATTTCGCTCATCACGTCGCAAGGTCGTTCTGACCTCGCTGATCCAGAACTCTTGCCATGCTACTTTTTTGACTTTATGGTGGGAACGAGTACTGGAGGGTAATGCTCCCATCCTCCACGAATTCTCCGTGCTGCATGGCTAACAACTCATAGGCTTATTGCTGTCATGCTAGGTAGATTGAGAATGAGTGTGGACGATGCCATCAAGGCGTATTGGAACCTCGGAGCCAATATATTTCCCCCTGGTGTCATCCTACCCTCTCAGCGGAGAGAGAGACTAAAGAAGGCAATCAATAGCGTGATACAGAGCCACTGTCTCTGTCATCAAGACAGAGGACCCTGCGTTGGAGAAGAGGAGGAACTCAGGCAACACGATTACGCCGAGTTCAGCGATTACAACTACCCGAAAGACAAGAGGAATCTTACTTGCAAGGCGTAAGTAACGCTTGTCCTGCCATCCCTGCACAGTTAATATGTTCGTTCACTAACCATTCATACAACAACAGAGCTTTAGTAGCTCAGAAAAGGGGAGTGGATTCCAATGAGGTTTATCTTTTTCGAACATATAATAGCAGACAACGCGGAATCCACGATATCCCAAACCCGAAACTTTTGGACAAAACCAAGCTTGCCATCTGGAAAGCTTGTTGCGCTAGCACTGCATCTCGAAAGCACTTTGGAGTCATGGAGATTGAGCGGGCTCAGTACATCGATGGTGGGGCTGGAAACAACAACCCGAGCGGCATCGCCTTGGATGACGCACACGCGATGTCTCGCTCAAATGAGCCCAAGGTCGCTGCGATGATCAGTCTTGGCTGTGGCGAGAAGATGAAGCCTGGCTGGTTAGGCGGCAGCCCCTTCACATTAGCGGCGCTCAAGGCTCTGGCGAGACGAGTCACCGACACAGAGAAGACGCACCAAAACACCCAGAAGCTTTGCCAAAAAGCGGGAACTCCGTACTTCAGATTCAACGTCAAAACCCAGCAGGGAAATTCCGGGCTCAAGAAAATCAAGATGGACCATTGCAAGAAGAAGTCCAAACAGCCTTGGTGGATGTTTGGCGGCCAGAGGCAGATCCCTGGCGAAAATGAGATGCCAGACTGGTATAAAAACCTACAGTCTAAGGCTGGGTTGAGCAACAACGACAACCATGACAACGATGTTTCCGCTGGTTCTAAGTCAAATCAGCAGCAGAAGAGTGGGTTTGACTCCAACAAGTACTCCTACTCTACCTACAACACGATTTTCATGGAAACATTGAAATACTGCGAGGTTCGGCATGTAGGCACATATGAGCAGAAAGTGAGTGATGAGATCGATAATTGTGCTGAGGTTCTTTTGGCCTATGCTCGAGCTCGTTACCGCGATCATTCGGAGAGGTGGAAATGTTTCATTAGCCACCCCGATTCACGGCATCCGCAATACATCACATCTGGATATAGGCGTAATGGAGACGAGCCTTGACTATCGCCTACCTAGTCTTGCGAATCCCACGTCTGGGTATAGGTTAGAGACTATTCGCGGTTGGGTTTATTAGGGTTAGAGTCGATCAAGAGGTAATGGTTGAGGGTTAGACAGGTCAGATTACTAGAACTTGTAATTTTCTTTTCTCCTCCGTTTTATTGATTACTACTGGCCCATAGTTGTTCCCTCCTCGAAGATAATATTTCGTTGCAAAACGGATTGAGTTACTATGGTTTCTATTTTCCTAACAGATAGGTGATATTAAAATTGAGACACTGGGATATGGTTGGTACTTATTGTTAAGTCAATGACTATATTGTTAAACTATTTGGGGCTGATTAAATATTCTAAATAGACGGTATACTAAATATTTTATGCATAGTAGATGTTATTTTATACTAATTTATTATTCTATTTATTATAGGAAAGGTCCTGCTCATAACTACTCCCCTTTGATGATGTCTTATTTCTGTCGCCCAATTGCCTAGTACAAAAATGGGTACGTACCTGGAGCTCAATGGTCTAGTCCTAATGCAGACTAGCGTGTATTTTCTGAAAAAGCTCCAGCCTCGCGCATCCATCAGCAAGTTTATCTGGAGAAACGGCCATCATTCATCAAAAGCGCAAATGCAACCCGCCTATTGATTATCTTCCAAGAACTTTGGAAGCCCCAGGCGTGTTTGAATTTCCTTTTCATAACGTATCAACCATGAACGGTGATAGCTACTCCCGAGGTATGCTGCTTTATCACCTACGTGACCTTTTTTTTTCCTTGCTAACGATGCTCTTCTATCTAGACAGTCGACGGGGGCGTGACTACCCAGTATGTCCATCTCCATATCGAATCCCTTTCAACCATTCTAACAGTTTGTAGGGCGGACGCGAAGACCGCGACGATCGGCGAGAGCGCCACAGAGATCGCGACCGTAGACGCTCGAGGTCCCCCGACCACCGAAGCAATCGTCGGGCAGAGGGCGATGTAGATGCTTATTCTTCGAGCCGAAACCACAGAGATCGCGAGCGCGAAGATCGTTATTCCGGACGCGATCGCCGCAGAGATCGTGAATGGGACAGGGACCGTGGCAGCTCGCGACGGGATGCTCGCCGTGACGACGAGGATCGATACAACAGACGAGACCGAGACAACTTCGACGACCGTCGGCGAGGTGGCAGGGAGCGTCGCGAGGAAGCTCCCCCTAGAAATGAAAGCCGTCGTACTGCTTCACCGCCGCCAAAGAAGAGAGAGCCGACTCCTGATCTGACAGACATTGTTTCTGTCCTGGACCGCAAGCGACGCCTCACACAATGGGACATCAAGCCACCAGGCTATGATTTTGTCACAGCTGAGCAAGCCAAGCTGTCAGGCATGTTCCCTCTTCCTGGTGCTCCGCGACAACAACCCGTAGACCCCACAAAGCTCCAGGCATTCAACCAGCCTGGTGGACAAGTTTCTAGCTCTGGCCTGCTCGCCAGCAGTTCTCGACAGTCGAAGCGTCTGATCGTGTCTAACTTCCCCCCGAAGGTCACGGAGGAAGAGTTGATTGCCTTTTTCAACCTGCAACTCAACGGGTTGAACGTGATTGAAACTCCAGACCCTTGTGCTCAGTGCCAGTTCTCCGGCGACGGGTCTCTTGCCATCCTAGAGTTCAAGAATTCTCAGGATGCAACTGTAGCACTTGCATTTGATGGCGTCTCGATGCACGCGGATGATACCAATGGCTCTGGAGGCTCAGCCAATGGTCTTCAAATTCGACGACCCAAGGACTTCTCGATGCCAGCAATCACGGAAGACTTGAGGGCCGACCTCGATGTGGTGTCAAATGTCGTACCTGACTCGATCAACAAGCTTTCCATCACAAATCTACCTACTTTCCTCAACGAGGAGCAAGTCATGGAGCTCCTCGTTGCATTTGGAAAGCCTAAAGCCTTCGTCTTGGTCAAAGACAGAAGTACTGAGCAGTCTAGCGTAAGCTTATCCAACCATCTACTTGACTCCAAGTGTCACTAACTCGTTCTAGGGAATCGCTTTTGTCGAGTTCGCTGACCCTCTCACTGCCAACAATCCTGCTCTCGAAACCCTGAATGGTATGGAGATTGGAGGGAAGAAGCTCAGGGTTGTCAAAGCATGCATTGGGCCCACACAGATGGCGAACTTTGATGTTGGAATTGCTGCCATTAGCGGATTGGCATCGCAGACAAATAATGCAGCTGAGCAGAGCCGGGTACTGCAACTCCTGAACATGGTCACACCCGAAGAGCTCCTAGATAACGACGAGTACGAGGGTAAGTTGTTCTCGCTCTCTCACCACGTGGTAGCTGGAAGCATACTGATAAAAAAAACAAAGAAATTTCCGATGATGTTCGGGAAGAATGCTCGAAATTTGGCAACATTATCGCGATCAAAATCCCACGGCCTTCTGGCGGAAGCAGGCAATCGGCCGGAGTCGGAAAGATCTTCATTAAGTACGATGAACCGGACACCACAGCAAAAGCACTCAAGGCCCTGGCTGGCCGGAAGTTCGCAGACAGGACTGTGGTGGCAACATACTTTCCAGAGGTAAACTTCTCCTCCTACTTCTCCCCTTGCATGAATCAGAAGAGGCTGACGACTCTCAATTAGGAAAACTTCGATGTTGGTGCTTGGTAATGGCAGAGGTTAACTGTGCTTCTCGAGCACTGGGTTGATTAGTATATTGGTATTGTTTCATGCGGGAGATTTGGCAATTAGGCCTTGAGAGTCCATCGAATTTAAAGGAAATCAAAGTGGTCTGCAGTCAAGCATTTGTAAAACAAGTTCACATAAGGAATTTCTGGGAGGCAGAGGTCATGGGGATTATTCATTGAAAATATTTTATTGAAACTAATAGGGGAGATCATGCGCATGCATTCGCATCAATCAACTGTGACGGGTCAGCGACTTATTCTGCAATGGGCAGGCAGTCTTGAAATATGAAAAGCAACATTAAAAGAAATCAGAAGTCCAGTTCATTCATTGAGCCGCAAGGACTCTAAAATAAGAGGTACCAGAAATAAAAGTGTTTTATCATCAGGATGGGAGTTGGAGAAGGTGTTTGTGGATTGAAGACTTGTTCCAAAGAAAAAATGAGTTCACGTACCTTATTAATCAGCTACAGGAGCCGAGGGTTAGTTATCCACAGAGTTCTCACACGCAGACGAATCAGCGCGAAAGGGCAGCATTGAAAGAGGAATCATGCTGTGAGGGAAGGAAGGCGTCTGGAAATGAACCGCGCAAGAAAAACAAGCTTCTACTTTGGCGAGAGGTCAAGCGGCACGTGATGTTGACTCCACCCTTACCCACAAACCAGCCCAGTGCCTCTGCCCTAACTCGGCGAAAAAAATTACCGCCCCCCCACAAGCACTTTCTCATGCGAATTTGTTGACCACGACTTTTGCAACTTCCCACGACAAACCACCAACAACCACCAAACCGACAAGATGGGTAGACTTCACAGCAAGGGCAAGGGCATTTCTGCCTCCGCCGTCCCCTACTCCCGCACTGCTCCCGCATGGCTCAAGACCACCCCCGACCAGGTCGTCGAGCAGATCTGCAAGCTCGCCCGTAAGGGTGCCACTCCTTCGCAGATTGGTGTTGTCCTCCGTGACTCCCACGGCGTTGCCCAGGTCAAGCTTGTCACCGGTATGTCAATCAATGCTTTGCGACGTTCCTCCATTCAGCCGAAATGCTAACTTGTACCGTCTCAGGTAACCGAATCCTGCGCATTCTCAAGTCCAACGGTACGATTCCCTGAACGCGATGGAACGGATAAAATGAAGAGATGGATTATACACAATAAACTTTCGTGGAGACGACAATCTCCCGTAAAAACTATGCCTCTGTACGGTTAAGACTGACGGAGAGATTTTCACAGGCCTTGCCCCCGAGCTCCCTGAGGACCTGTACATGCTGATCAAGAAGGTGAGCATAACCTCCTTTTCTCCCGTGATTATGAAGGGTCAAAACTAACAGAATTGAAACCCACAGGCTGTCTCCGTCCGCAAGCACCTTGAGCGCAACCGCAAGGACAAGGACTCCAAGTTCCGCCTCATTCTCATCGAGTCCCGAATCCACCGTCTGGCCCGCTACTACAAGACCGTCGGTGTCCTCCCCCCTACCTGGAAGTACGAGTCTGCTACTGCCAGCACCATTGTCGCATAAAGCGGAAACGCTGTGTAAGCCGGAGGTGGTTTTAACCCTGGTCATTGGAGTTGGGGGACAAATTACGGAAAATCTTGCATTTAGAGCCATGATGCCAATGCGCCGGTCTGGAGGACCCGGAGAGAGGTAGCAACTTTTATGCTTCAAATATAAAGCATTTCAACTACCGAGAGCAAAAAAAGACAGTCAGATGAACGTAACTCATGACGGCTTTTGGGTATCGATAATTTCGTCTAGACCATTTTAGACCTTCCTGAACGCCCCGTCCCAAATCCAGAATGGACCTTGAATCCCAGTCTCCCCCGCTAGTGATGCCCTTAACCGCCTTTCCTGTTATCGAGTTCCCTCTAGCTCTTTTGATTTCTGAATAAGATACTCCCCAAGTACTCGTAATGGGTCTTCAGGCCTAGAAATAGCGTAAAGAGTCAGCTGCAAACTCAATTGGACAGTTATCCAAATTGACATACCTATCCTTGGCGACTTGTTTTACCCCTTCCAGCAAGACACCTGTGACTTTGGTATTCAGATACCGCCGTGTAGAATCCCCATGCGGTGGAGCCTCGGTAGGAATGGTCAAGCCTAGGTCTGGGTGTGCTGAAGTCGCTCGAGAGCCTTGCGTAGGTGTCCCAGTTCGGTGAGGGGCAGGGCTGGGTGCTTGCACCACAGGCAAGGGTGACTAGTACACGGATATTAGCTGAACTGAACTGGCAGGTCCATCGGACAGGTTCGTCTCATACAGCAGCAGCTTGTTGGGCGGGAGCATCTGGCATTGCGGTGTCCGTGAGTGTGTTGTCAATGGGTTGGGTTGTTGTGCCGTTGAGTAAAGCTTCTTGCGGGGGGGCTGTGGACTGGAATGCAGCCGCTGGCTCGATAGGGGTTTGCTCCTCTGCCATTTTTTGTCCTAAACTCTTCCCCTGGGAAACAAATGAGTGTGTTTGCAGAAAGGGTCGCGGGTAGGCAAACGATGGATTAGCCCAAGCTTCCTTCCTTGTGGAAGCGAGACATCTACGCTTAGCCGAGAAATTGCCGTGAAGTTCTTGCCCAGAATTCACGACCTTGATTTCTTGTGCGGAATCTTGATGCTATATTACACCTCCTCCTTGTATTTTGACTACGAGAAGAAGCTCCGTGAATTTTTGCATTGGAGAAGGGCTTCATGAAAGTTCTTGCGAGCGTATTATCCAGACTGAAGAGGGCATTGGGCGCAGCACTCCTTGCAGATGAAGAACGCGAGATCACATGATTTCGCGTCTTCGTTCTCCTGAGATTCGACGTCGCAACGCGTCCAAACTGCAACGCCAGCTTACTTTATATAGGCGCTGGGTGCCATTGGGTGTATGATGGATGCATTCGTTACGAGGAAATCCGTCACCAGTCGCGAACCAAATGGAGCCCGCCAGGGAGGTGCATCAACTGGAATTGATAAGAGACCCTCCAAACGACGGCGGACAGAAGAGATTCCTGATTCTGATGACGACGAAGTTTCATCTGTCGAGAATGAAGCTCGATCTGAAGGCGCGAGTTTCTCAAAACGCCAAGATGGAGAACCTCCCTTGGAGAAACAGCACAGGGTGACGGATGTTGAGAGCGCATTGCCTCAGACTGAGACAGGGCTAGAAGCCATTCAGGAGTATGAGAATTTCAAGCTCTCGCAAACCCAGTCCCAAGATGAAAGCAAACCCGAAGGGCAGGCGACCTGGGTCAGAGGGAGAAGCTCGATCTATGTTGACGCTTTCAACCTTGCCCTAGATACAGTGTTGGAGGAAGAGACACATCTCTTTGATGACAAAGAAATGGACATCTTCCGACAGTGGAGAGACTTAAATTATGAAGCGCAGTACCTGTAAGTTTATCCTTGAAGAGAACTCGCTCATTATTCTCCTCACACCTTGCAGTTATGTGCGTCTCTTTCTTCGTAAAACAAATACATGGCACCGCTCAAATCGGCTTGGTTACTATTCAGACATCTCGGATCCTGAAAAGGCAATTGAGACTCTTCAAATAGCACGGGGTCTACCAAATGGAGCCAAGAACGCAGATGATGTTGTATTCGGGTCGACGCACCAGGAGCCTCCGCTTGGGGATACCTTCACATTTGCTGACAGATCGGAAGAATTCATAAATACGCTTGAAGAAGCTGCCCCGCTTCTAAACATGGACGAGCTCAAGGCGTTGGCCAAGGAGGCCAAGGTTCAAGGTCGGAATAAGCCTGAATTGATCCGTTCCTTATGCCGAATGAGCCAACAACAAACCAGTCTGATGTCGCTGGGGCTAAGTCGACACAACAGCCGCGATGAGTCTAGCTCAAGTGATTGTAAAACTGAAGAGCGCAAGGCAAAGAAAAAACTCCGCCGGGAAGATTCGAACCGTGAGAAACATTTCTTTGCCAAGGTTACGGATATTCTTGGTCCATGCATCAGACTCTCGCCCGTCACATACAATCTATTCGAGCGAGTTCACCTAGTGTTCTACCGGTCCACTGAGTGGACAGAAAAATCGCTTACCACCATTATTTTAGCCAAAATCGCGAGGCGACACTTCCCTGAGTACGTTGTGTGCCGTACGTCTACTATCTTCGCCTCCCGTGCGCATCTTGTAGAGTTCGAGAACGCCATCAAGCTTGAGTCTGAAGTGGACCGCATCTTGGAGCTTGGAGAAACCCCTGGCGAGGCTGGCTTTGATAAAGTCATGCAGATCTTCGACCAGGTGTATCCTCGGTGGAAGGAGCAGATAGATGAGGAACGGGAAAAGGAGCAGCGAGTTTACGAGATGGGCGAGGGCACTTATTTGCGGAGGTTTGTGCCTGCCCACTCATATACCAGGATCATTCACAAGGCGCTCCATGTCCTGGCAAGGCGAAAAGAGCATGCCAGGGAACATGCGCTACTTACAGAACTCCTAGACCAAAGACTCTTCCACATGGCAAGAAGAGGTTCTTGGTATCAACGCAAAGCCCTCCTGGAAGAGCATTACATGGCCGAGTTGGACGCACACCCTGTGTCGGAGAGCATGGAACAACAGAAGAAGCACTGGAGGAAAATCGCAGCGACTACCTGTGCAACTGGTCTTCAAGATCCAGAGTGCCATATCATCTATCATTTCGACCTTCAAAAGCGATTGATCAAGCTTGAGAAGAAACTACGTATTCCGAAGAGGCTCCAACATGATTTCGGGCATGTTCGCCTGGCTGACCCCATCGAAATCACTGTCGAAGGCATCCAACTAAAACGCGAGCTGGCCCCCAAACCTGGCCGCCAAGCCGCATCGACAAAAACGATTTGGTTGGATGGGCAAGATCCTAGTGAGGAATGCAGTGTTGAGGAGATGTGCCTAAGCCACTTTCGAGCGAACGGCTGGAAGGGCTACCATGCCGAAGGTGGTATTGTCCGGACGATTTTTGCTTACTTGTTCTACGACATCTTGTTTCTCTATCTGCCCAACGTATTTCAAACAGCATATCAGACATGTCCTTTAGACTTGCACACGGATTCGTTTTACCCTGCGCGAGCCTCCGAAATCAATCATCGGCTGGTCGAGATTGCGAACGGCGAAGGGGAACGACTTGTTCGGGAGGTATGGGCGAGAGAGCATGAACGACAAACCAGTGTCATAGGACTCAACTGGGACTTCGACATCGAGGACATCGCCGAACTAGTCAGATTCTTCGAAGGCAGCGCCCTAGCAACGGTGTGTAAGATGATGGCCCAAGAATACAGACACCGAGGCGGAGGTATTCCAGACCTTCTTCTATGGCGGCACCCGGAAGCTACTATCAATCAAGAGGGGAAGAAAGCGAGCACGTCGTCTAAAGGCGAGGTCATGTTCGCAGAAGTGAAGAGTGCCAACGACCGCCTGAGTGACACCCAAAGGCTGTGGATTCATGTGTTAACTGGGGCGGGAATCAAGGTCGCCCTCTGCAATGCTGTTGCTATAGAAGTGAGAGAAGTTGACTAGCTTATGGCCCTACGTCTCGTTCTATTCTCAACATCTCGCTTCATTCAAAATCTACTATCGGAAGTCCGCTTGGCGCACAACCATAGTATACAAGCTGCCGTGAGACACATTTGCCAAACGCATAATCAATCGGGTGGCGTCTTCCCCATCCTCGACCAACGAGAGATTAGCTGCGCTCGGGTCATTATCGAACAAGCCTTTATCCATGCCGCTCTCACGCACATTGGACACCCGAACATCGTGTCATCCTGTGACGACAAGTGACAGGTAGCACTTGTACAACCGTGCCAAGCTACCCGATGTCTCTCTTTTCCTTCCCATAAATTTAGGTGTCGTCACACAAGGGAATCAGGCAAAAGAAACAGGTGTTTTACTCAAAATGCCTAATTGTCACTAGCTTTGCTTTTTGGGCTGTCGACTTGGAACTCATGCCACTATCACCCCATCCATCACACCAGCGCCTCATGTCTAAGACGACTGGTGGCCTCGCCCCCTAACCTTACGGTGCATCAATAAACACGCAGAAAATCTTTTCAATCAAGCAATCAAGGCTCCTCGGGGGTGTCTCCAAGAAGACAGACGAATATTGGCAGGGCATAATTGTGACAATGCAGTCACTCTCTACGCTAGTTGGGATGGTGGTGAGGGATGTCCCCAGCCTCCCATGGCGCAGTGCGTTGATTCATGCTCTCAGTCGGCGGCACTTTGCATGGCCTGCTAGCCGAGTAGTTGGTTGGTTGGTTGGTAGATCATCCAGCAGGCATAGACGTCGGGGCATATGCACAGGCTGTGTTAAGCTCACCGGCATTGGGTGGGCATAATCGAAGCTTACCATGATCTATGTGCCCCTCCCCCCACCAACTCAATAACCCGTCATCTTTCCATCACAGTCACTCTCGCACAAGAACGCACTTCAGATACATGCATCACATCACATCACATCGCATGCGGTATAATGGGACGGAGCTCAAGCATAGAAAAGAGCGGAGAACAGATTCCAGAACAGAAAGAAGACAAAGGGTAGACCGGGCCAGGCGTTTTCCAATTCATACCCCCCTTCCCATAACCGGGTTGATGTCCTATGTCAATCTCGCACCCTGCATGTACGCATGTACGAGTAGTGGGGTGAAGGGGAGAATGAATCGTCAAACCGCGCATGATCGAAATAGCAACGGCCACATGGCGAAGGAGCATGAGGGAGATCTCAGCTGGATAGATGGAGGGAGAGGCTCCGGGAGGTGGGCGACAGCTATTCTAAGAATATTCCACATGCCCAATCATATATTACCGCTACGTCTTTTTTTACCTCCCGTCACCATCCTGAAACAAGGAGCCACGCCATGAAACCCCGTCTCAGCGTCGCTTCTGGTCCATCCACAAGGTGGGTAGGTCGCAGGAGTGAAAGAGAGTTGGTGTGTGGAGGGCCAATGAGTGTTTCAGTCGGTGAAGAACTAACTAACCTGCCTGCAACGCGCTCCTTTCAAGCTTGTTTGACATGGGGTGTCGGCGGCTACAAGGACCCCGGTAAGAAGCAAAGAAACGCGGGAAAAAAAGCAACGATCCGAGGCGAGCGAGGGCAGAGTGAGCAACAAGATTAATTACCCAGGAGAGCAAGGGGCCAGCTAGTATGGCACTTAAATCCCATGTCGATTGCTAGGTGCAGTAGGGGGACTACCGATGGATAGGGTCAACGGCCGGTCCCAAAGAACGGGCGTTTCCCTCAGGTCGACTTCTTAGAGAATGGATAAGTGGACTGCGAATGACCTCTAGATGCAGCCCAAGCAAACGCTTCTGGCGCCGCTTGTCGTCCTGGTGACATTGGAAGCGGGTAGTCCAGACAATATGGCTGAGGCCGAGCTGGGCGAGAAGAGAGCCAAGAGAAGACACTCTGAGTACCGACCTATCTGGTTAGCATGGAAAGATGGGAACTTTTCACGTCACGTCACCCTCTCCCTCAGTCTATCCTATGCCTCGTGTGCATACGCAGGTCGCAGTACGTACTCGTCAACGTGGACCGGCCGTGATGGGACAAAACGTCGCAGCGACCTTTAGCCAGATCTCCCTGCCGGCCGCGGATAACAGTCCAAGACGGTCACAGGACTTGCCAGACCCTCTCGGAATCCCACTGCGACCAAGCCAGCCAGTCACTTCACTCATCACTAGCCATGGCGGATTGGGTGACTGGCGCTTCTCGAGATGCCCCGGGTGATCGAACAGGGCTGTCCGGCAGTAGCAGCGTCGCAACACATGGCACTAGTCGGTCGCAGTCAGCTTCGCCTTGTCTGGCCGCGAACCACACACACACCTGACAGGCCGAGCTACCAGCAAGGCAGAGAGAAGGTATTAATCGATAGCCCGGGCAGCACACGCACAGGCCCAAGCCAGTCAGCCGCTGGTGAGCCTGCGTCTCTGGGCGTCGTCCTCTCCACCACTCTCCATGGCAGGCGGCAGATGGATGTGCCTCCCCCCTTCAGCCTTCGACGACATGGCCCTTCGCACCCTTGCGCCCTCCTCTCCCGTCCCCACAACTGAACTGCAAATAGATGGAGTTTGCCCACAGGAGGGCGCTTATGGCCCTGCCAATCACGCCTGCAGATCCGCTTTGGTGGGTGATGGCCATCGACCCTCTGGCCAATCACCTGCCATCCCTAACTTCAACACGGCGCTTAGCAGATCCATGATCAGACAAGGGGGGTGTGGGCCCAAGCACCGGCCATTGTTCGTCAAGCCCGTCGCCGCTTTTGCCTAGACCCAGCTCTTTTTTCCACTTCGCCCCGACGACATACCTGTCAGTGAAATGGACGAAAGGCCCTGTGCCTACGCTCCTGCCATGTACAAGTAGAAGAATGCCACCGCAGTTAGGTAGGTGGAAGGGGAGGGGAGGGGAGGGGAGGGGTGTATGTGTGGTGTAGGACAATTGCGACTAAAACGAATATTCCTTCATTATCACCACGCGGTTCGGAGCAATAAAAAAATCCTAAACAGGGACGAAATAACAAAACAACACGAGGGGCAAGGGGGGATCCCCATCATATTGCCTACCTACGGCATGTGCGCAGTCCGTATTCATGTGCCGTACCGGAGAAAACTACCCACTATTTGCACAAGGATTTCGAGTTCGGGGAAACAGCATCGTCGTCACGGAGAGTTGGGGGGTCCCCATTCGTCACCATTTCGTTATGTCCTCAGCTTTTTCAGCCACCAACCTTCAATGAGTGAGGTGGGGGGCGGGTAGCCACTCTTTTCTTCGGGCTCAGCATTCCCTGTACGAAAGATCTCCGAGAAATATGACACAAGCTGTTTGTATGGTGTTTGCCTCTCCGCCACCCCGTTGCTCACTCGGCCCCTTTCATCTTATACGATTCCCCAGCGCCAATGGCTTCAACATATCGTATCTCAACAATGCTGATCTCGCTCAGCGAGTAAGTGTCCCAGTGAGAGAATTGCCCGCACCTCCATTTTAAAGCCGTGGTGGGGTTGCCTTATGGCCTACGCCGGCCAGCCAGCCCTCTTACATAGCTAGCCTGCTGTTACGCTGGGGTTCACGGCGGCCGTTTCTGCGACCCGAGGGAGGACCCGCGCTTTGCATACATGAGTCAATAAGCAAACATGGCTGTGAATGTGACTGAATCCATAGATTTCTGCTAAGCTGTGTTGCTATGCTACCTTCTCCCCAATTCCTCACCGCCCATTCCACTCTCTCCTCGCCTGCCGTTCCAGCCTTCCGCACCTTGAACGCATAGGTAGATAGTGAATAAAAGTTAAAGTCCAGTGATGACTTCAGTCCAACAACGCCATGGTACTCCGAAATATCCAATTCCCGCCTCCCAAACCTTCCAAGAAAATAAAAGAATACACCAGAATGACTCCTCCGTCCCCGTTTCCGTGTAAGCCCAGTCATTACATAAAGGCGACAAGAGGCATAGTAGCGTTGAAGAAAGAAATACTGCCTCGGTGAGTCGACGCCTTTTGGTCATATCACGTTTGCCCTGCTCTCGATCCAAAATGTGGCAAGAGCCACGCCCCTCTTTTCCCGATCATGTAGACGGTGGTAAAATTCGAACAAATGAAAAGTGAATATGTCGATTGAAGTGATGGTTAGAGAGCGTATATTGGTTGATGTAGTATGTGTGTCAAGTGGGGGCGATAAAATTGGGTATAGTTATGCCATCGTAATCATTATGAAGAAGAAAAGACAGGGTGAAGAGGCTGGTCTCTACTCGACCTTCCGCCTCTTACCCTTGGGCGCTGGGTCCATCCGTGGTGTGTGGTAGGTGACGGTTCTTGAGGCAACATCCGGTGCGTGGTACGTGACTGTTCTCGTCACGACTTCTCGAATGTGCCTCACACTGGTCCGTGATGTCTTCTTCTTTGGCACTTCTGGGAATCTTGCCTTGAGGGCACTATCCCAGTCAAAGACGGAATGATAGGATCGGGCGCTGAATGGCGATCGAGCAGGAGAGTCCAGGTTCGAAAGGGCAGGACTGGGTGGCAGCTTTAAGCTAGGGAACGTAGCTGGACCAGTTGGGGGAGCAGACATGGGTTGGGCTGAGGTTGTAAATGGGCTGGGAGGAATGATTGGGGCAGTAGCCGGAGGGGTATGTGCCTTGCCCGGCTCTTCCTTCACCGGTGGCGATGCTGATGAGGAGGCAGATGGGTGCGAGGAATGGGTCTCCTTGCAGGAGCAGTCCGATCGCTCACTGCTTGCTGTTGCCGGCGGAGAAGGAATGGAAGAGTTTGGTGAGGTCTCGCCGGAATTGAGCGTCATTGGGGAGTTGAGAGACATGGCCTTGGTCAGAAAGTCCGTATATGCTGACGGTGGGCTGATGGGAGTCTTGAGAAAGTCCGGGTCAGGCTTGATGTTGAAGTTGAAAGCCACGGCAGAGAGAGGAGTGGCCGTGGTAGCGGTGTTGGCGGACGTGATTTCCGAAGGGAAGGTGGCGGAGACGGGCGTAGCAAGCTTGCCCAGCTTTGGCTTTCTATCTGCCGGCATGATGAAGGATGGGGTTGAGGTGGTGCCTTGAGAAAGATGAACAAGAGGCAAGAGATGTAAGTGTTCAAACCAAGTTAATGGTTCAAGGTGCCTTGATGAAATTGAACTGGATAAGACTGAGCCAAAAGCCGTACGGGAAGCCGCTGACGGTGGGTAGGAGACAAGCGAGAGTGAGGAAGAGAGGCGACGGCTGCTTGTTATATCACAAAGTAGAAAGGTCTCTGAGTGTGGTGGGTGTTTGGCGCCAGGGTTCCGTGGCGGGGGGGTGGGCAGGGTGTGGTTGGTGGGAAGGGACAATGAGAGTGGTGTCTGTAGACAACCAGGCGTATCTGCGCTGTACCTATGTGGGAGAGAGCGCGTGTGTCCAAGCACACGAGTGGGTGCAAACGAGATGGGCGCGCCGACTGGCTGAGAGCTGGTGTGATGTTTCCGCTGGACTGGGGCCTGGTTGGCGGCGGCAAGGACACCGATTGACGGGTGATGGACAGGGCCTAAGAGACAGGCGGTTGGAGCGTGTTTTGGATATGCGCCGATGCAGTGGTTAGGTGTCCGGGGTTAGGCTGTTAGCCTATCTGACGGCGCCTCTTGCCCTGGTCTGCTGGATAAGAATAGTGCACCAGTGCAAGCAAGTCTGGTCTCCGCGAGAGTTGGTGTTGTTCGTTGGGGCTAGCAATGTGCTCTGTGATCAGGAGCCACACGACAGCTCATCCAACAGTGAAAGGTGCTTGAGAAGCCCAATGGCCAAAGATTTCCGCCCAAAAGATGGCGCGATGCTATTGACTCCCGTTGGTTCATCAACAAGGAAAACAGGCTGACGCGTTTGGTTGGCGCTCGCTCCTGTCGTGCGTGTGAAGAGCGACGGGAAGCGAACTCAGTCTCCAGCCTGTGACCAGGGAGGTAAAAGCGGCACGAATCTAGGTCCCGCACCAAAAACAGGCAATGACAGGGTCCGTTGCAAGAGGGGTGATTACTACTGCACACTCCCTGCAGCCCACGGCGGCAGCGTGTTCGACCTGCTGAAACCGGATAAAGTGCAATAGGTAGACACCACCTGGAAACAGGAGCGCAGTGGAAGGCGGCAGTTAATGCTAGAAACTGTAGCTTTGCAAGGAACCCAAGCGGACAGACGTCGTGGGGCGGGGAAAGACGAGATGGTGGAATAGGGAGATCGAAACAGAGAAACGCCGGTGGCGGCAGCAGATGAAGCAGAAAAAGAAAGGAAAACCTGTTTCAATGGCAAGAAACAGTAGTGGGAAATGAGATGCCGGTGCCTCCTTCCTCACGGGCGGGCTGGCTGGCTCGCTCCTGCTAACGTACGTAGGCGCTCGACGTCTGCACCTTCCGCTGGGCTTCGTTGATCTGTGATGGAAGCTGGGCGGTTTCGGGCAGTTCTCAGCGCTGATTGGCCCTGAGCGGTGCGTCTCCAGATCTCAGGGAACAGCTAGTGGCCCGTCTGATTGGACAATGTGGCGGCGGGAATGGCACAACGGCTGATTGGCTGAGGCACCAATGAGCGCGCTAAACACCAGAGCAGAAAGTTTAAGGAGCAGGCTGCCAGCGAACGGAGACACGGAGCTGGGATGGTGCGTGTGACAGGCCGCCGGATGATTGAGCGCGGACGTGCCGGACGGGTCTGATGGAGAAGATGACTGTGATGACGCACAGCTGGAAACTCTAACGAGTGTGAGGGGGCGAATGAGAGGAAAGACCGAGGAAACTGAACAAGGACAATTGCCTTCGTGTTGGTCGGCACTTGTGTGGTGGAATGTGCTAGTTCTGGGTGTCACCCGGATAGATGATAGATGATAGATGATAGAGACTGGTTGATGGTCTGCCTGTCTGTCTGTTCTCCCCTCTCTCTCACTTGACAAGGCACGATCGCTTCTTTATCTACCTTTGACGCTGTCTCTGTCCTTTCCTCAAAATCAACAAGGCTCAAGCTTCAGCTTCGCTCTTCGCTTGTTTACGCCGTCTTTCTTGCAATATCTGCCCCTGTAATCGTCTCCGTGCTTCACAGAGCGCGCGGCTCAGCTATTCTTAGACCAATACGTGCCACCACAGCAAAGGGGTGTGTCCTCCTCTGGCTGCCGTTTGGTCAATGTCCATTGAGCATTTCCCATGGGGAATTATGCCTTCCTCTGATCCATATCAAAGTCAAGCTGCAAGTCAGAGCGCGCGCCACGTGAAGCACGGGGGCAGGCGGCCTCTATGCCGCGGACCATCGCGCCCAACCTCATGCTCTGGATGCTACTCTATCTGGGGCCTCTGACTGGTTGGCAAGCTCCGTCTGAGATTGAGAAAGATCCGAAGACTTAAGATCCAAGCGATTGCCCCGGCAATGGCCGATGTGGGAGCGGCCACGGAGATGTAGCTCTCCTCGTGTTGCAAGCGCCCGTCGGCGCTTAATCTATATGGATCCCCAGCCAGTTGCCATGTCTTGAGCACCACCTCCATAGATACAACTCGTTGGATTCAGACTATCGATGGCTTCCTCTTCGTTGTGGTGTAGCCGCTGGGCGGGGTATGCAATTATCCTGCCCTTGTATGCTGACCAGATATCCCATCGGCTTCATAGTTGCATATGTTTAGCCAATGGCAAGAAACACAATAGCCCGCCGGCCGCGGCCATCCTTCCATTTCTTCTATGCCTTCCACTCCTAGCTTAGGAGCGAGAGCGGGGTGGCTGCTCCTGTATCTTGACCTTGTTACAGATGGCGCTTGTTGAAGGCAAGTAAGCCTAAGGGCCACCCTGCTTGGACCTCTACAGCCTGACACATAGGTGTGAGCCAACCTTCTAGACGCCAATATGTTACGATAAGCGAGTTGTTCCCAGCTTTTTCCCTAGTTTCAAGTGCTGGGTTATGCAAACAAGAGTGTCTCTTCGCTTCTTCTGGGTCAGCCAATGTTCTCTGCACAACAGACGCTTTTGAGCACCCTCACTCTGTACGGGGCCAGTTTCCAATCAACGAGCGTAATCAAACACCATAAGCTCACAGGGTTAGGCGGTTCCGTGTGAGGATTATTTCTAATTATATTATTACCTCTTGTGGACGAGCTCGCAGACAATTGGTGCCCCTCGCCCAATCGTTCTCTACCGCCAGCATGCCCCTCTTTGACTGAGTTGTCCACCATATGCACGAAGCCTTGTTTTGTTTTGTTTTATCAACTACCTTTCTCTCATCCTAGGCTTGGGTGGCTCCAGGATGCGTCCCAAGCTCCATCATCCAATTTTCTCTGGCCATCTGCCCTGGCCCTGGCCCCAGCTTGGGAAACAATGTCAACGGGGCCAACAGAACACTCCTCAGTCCATCGAGAGATGATAAACAATACCACACCAAATTCAGGCGGTCGGTTATATCGTCCGAGGTGCCTTGGTTCACGGTTACTCTGACGAGCTCGGTATCTTAACGAGGGCGTTCTATACGGTCACCCCCCGAATCTGTCCAAGTTTGAGACAAGTGAGGCAATACTCAGTCAACAAGTCTCTGGCTTTCGAGACACTGGATAGAATCCATTGACAGAGCATGCTAGCCTTCACGCGGGACTGCAACGAATAAGCCTTAGGTCCCAAGCGCTTACGGTCCTGGGAGGTCGATACCTCCACCTCTCGAGGATTCCACGGGAGTGTATCAACTGGCGGGAGAAAACATCGAGCTTGCGATACACCAACCTCCTCCCCTTTGCGTAGGGTGGACTAGACTCGAAGTAACTCGTACGTGCAACTGCCCCGGGGGGCTAAGCGAAAGCATCCTGTCCAACTGGTGGCCGCTTTAGCAATCGATTTGATACTTGGGAGTGCTCTCATGTAAGTTGACTGGGTAACAACACTCCAGTGCATTGCACTTCCCCAGTCAGCCCCGGCTAGCTTCATGCGTCTGCCAGCAGATATTTTCCCCTCCCTCTGAATTTTTCTCTTGATTTTCTCCGGTCATCGAAACAATCAATAGTCGCTCCGCCTGCGTCGGTGTGGTGGGTTCGCACCGCCCGGATGAGCCAGAACTAAGGGCGTTGGCTGTATGACGACTCATATTTCTGTTGGTCAGCGACACAGCCCAGCCGAGAAGAGGCCGCCATTGCTATGGCCAGAGTTGCATATTGAGGCTCTGCTTCTGGGTCCGCAGAGGCCTACGCGTCGATAACTGAGCAATTTGGGACAAGCAAGCTGCATGTTATTCTTCTTCTGGCAGCCGGATATTGCCGCCAACTCTTGGCTCGGCGTTGTGCGGACCTAACCTTGGTGTTGTGTGTTTTTCGTTGATGTGACTATCGGCGCGCGGGCATGTTAGGCTGCGAAGTATACTAGGTACGTAGGGATCCATCTGCGTGCTTCTTTGGAAAGGGATTGCTCTCTCGGGCGATAGATACTTGCTCGCCCTTTGTGCCTCGGAATAATGCAATCCTCTTGAGTTTGTGCCCGGTCGTCGGGAAGTCAGCTCCGACCTGGAGCTTACACGGGGGACTTGGACTGCCAGTGACCGACTTGAGAGTAGTTGCAGTGCGAAAGGGCTACAGAGATGCAGGTCGGTCGACCAACAGCTGTGGGGAGGTTACCAGTCTCGCAAAGATTGACCGGTTGGCTCTCTCCTGCCTTGGAAGTATATTATGCCTATCTGCATAGCCTCCGTGTGCCGTCAGCATGCCAGGACATGCACTCCTTGTGGTGCCTACTGTAGCCTGACGATATCGTATGCTTGGTCCGAGTCATTCTGTCGATCTCAGCTATGTTGATAGGGCAAGGCGAACAAATGGGAGAGACCCAGCACACGGACACCGAAATAAACATTGAATGTCTCATTTAGGTAGGAAATACGACACCAAGAAACGGCAGCTCCACCATGACTCAATAAACTCTAAGGGCCCAACAGCATCGCCCACCGATGCCTTGAGAGTAGATTTTCATCACGCAGATTCTCTGGAGCGTGCACTCTAGGGTAGCCACCCAGTGGTGCCCAAAGAAGAAGCCCTGCCGCGGCTCTCCCGAACGATGTCATTAGAAATAACCACCAAGCCTATTAGGTAATAAGGAGCCACTACGTGTTTTGCTTTCTCTTCAGAGATGGACTGCCTGCCGTCACTGATCGCGCCGGTGGAGTCTCTCTTGGTCGCGATATTTTTTCACACCGTCGGGCTGTACCCACTAACAGCAATTGCCCCGAAGCTTTCTCTACATTAGTCACTTGGTGGTAGTGGTGAGGTACCCAAACTAGGAAAATCACCACTCGGGTACTTTGAAGCTGAAGATCGGGCCAGAAGCCAATGCGGCCGACGGGAGAGTACCAGCGTTCATCCCCCTGTACACCGACTTTCCCAACCAGAACTACCTGAACATTCGATGGCCGAGTCTGGGCAACCAACCCACTCTCCTAGTTGCTGTCAAGTCAGGCCATGACGTTATGTGTAGCCATGCTGGCTCTGCTCCGCGATGCCATGTCTACTCGTCACTGTTGAATCCGACGTCGCCAGCGAGTTGCCACACTCTTGGTAAACTTGGATGATACTGACTTCGGCCGCCGAGGGGCGCGTACATTGACTCAGGGCTTGCTAGCGTGTCACCCAGCGGAGATCCGACAGGCATGCTATTTTAATGTGGTGGATAGGTCGTACAGGCATATCACAGCTATTACTTGGCATGATTTGGTAATTCTTGTGGCTAGTCGCAGGGGGAAGCATGGAGCGAATTTGCCATGACGATTTTTAGGGTCGTAGGCTTCGTCGGGCTACCGCGTTCTTGATCAAGCCTCTTCACCTTTCGTATGGCGGCGTCCGGCTTGTTGTTGGCGGTAAGGATGATTGCCACACCGCATTTGCGGTTTTCGCCGCAGCATCATTGTCTAGAGCTCCACGTGGGGTTTGCCTCACAACGCGACAGTTGACGCCGCAGTGGTGCGCAAGAGCTGGCAAAGCAGTATCATGTTCGGTAGCTGCTGGACACCGTCACGCTCCTCAAGCTATCAGCCCCGGGCCAGAGGGGGCTAATTTTAGTCTGGCTGGAGGCTGCATGTATCCATCGTCGCACCGTGTGGTATTGGGTACTCGATACTCTCTTTTCTGGACACACAGACGTAGCCAGCTCATCGGTCCATAGTCTGGCACTCACACACCCACCATCATCTCCCAAGGAGGGTCGATCGCTTCTGTGGTCAGAACAACAGACAAGTGGGCGCCTAAGGAACCGGACAAGGCTTGACTCTAGAGTGAGCCGACTCGAGCAGCTGAGAGTGAGTTGGACGTGACGAGATGCAGAGCAGTCACGTCACATCACGTTGAGCGTGCAGCCTTTATTAATATTCCATCGAGTGGAGTGTCCATGTCGAAAGTAGAAAAACGAAAAAAATTTACCAAGATTCGTTGGTTGGGCTGGGGTAGGGTGATTTGGTGTGCTGCGACTCCGGGGGTATCAAGACACTGAAGCTGGCATAGGGCTTGAAGAAATGCTGCCTGACTGCTGTGCACTCCGTACTGACCTGCCTGATCTGCCAGGCTCTTGGAATCAAGGACATTGCATCACAGCTCGTGGTTACGCATCACATCGTTTAGCAGCTGGCGCAGCACCTAGCACAGCAGCTGGGAAGGCCGAGGAAATTAGCTGCTCTGCAAATGCGGAACGAAAACGATGATCGATGTGAAATGGGCCGGAGCTGGGCATCTGGAGGGAATTTGGGGAACCTGGCCAAGGAGGAATTAATTAGGGCACCAGGAAATGGGAAGGAGCTCTCGTATTGGGTCCGTCGCTTCCTTCTTTCCTTCCCAAGTACCCGAGTACCTCGTCTCTCACCGCACTGCCCGTCCTAGGCCTGGTCCGTCCCTGTACTATAGGTACGTACCGATGTACCCAGGCAATCTCATGTCATGTGCCAGCAAATCAACATCCTGCTTTGGTACCAGCCTCCCGACGGACCCACTCCGATCAGCCAGTCACAAACGTAAAAAGACACTGGTCCCGCCCCTCAAATCATCTCCTCGCATTTCTCGTCCTCCTCTCCTCCTGCACGGCCAATCAGTCCTCTCTGCTCCTCCACTCTACGCAGGAAAAAAAATTAGGGCCTCACAAGCAATCAGATTCGCCCAAACATCTCGAAACAGCAGCTCTCCCAGGTCAGTATCGCTGGCCACTCACAGCTCCTGCCGGCATAGAATTTCTATTCGCCCAGCCGCCCGGCCAGCCCTGCATCGCGATTAACTCGTGCACCGCGCTCTGTCGTCCACTCAGAGCCTGCGATTGCCTTCGCAAGCTCTGACCACCCCTCCGCCAATCTTTTTTGATCGGGGAAGCTGGAGCTCCCACCACTGGGAGAGCTTGAACCTGCGTCAAAACGGCTGCCGGGGATTTCCAAGATCTGCCACCAGCCAAACAGCTTGCAACAGACCAGTGCGCCTTGGGTCATCAGCCAGGGACCTGACCTGCGTCGTTGTCTTGGTTGCACTCTTTCCCAGCGCACCACTGTTACTTCATCTAGCCCGGCCGTGGGCTGCTGCATTTGGCATTGCGTGCCTGTGACAAGTCCGGGTCGGCCCCCGCCTTCGGATTGCGACGTCAGCATTGCTTTGTTGTTTTGCCTTACAGTAAGTAGAGCACCCCCGAACAGCCGAACCCACGTTGGGTCTGGCTTAAGCCTTTCACTGGGCCTCATTCCCTTGCCCACCCCTCATTACCAGCGTCACCCACCAAGCCCCAACAGCAAATCAGCACGCTTTTTCTACTTTGCTGCCCTCGTCTAATCCTCACATCACCGTCCTATTCGCGACTGAGCCGGCCTATCATTCATCTCAGTTGCCATCTTGCCATCTTGATTGGATACATTACTTATCAGGTGATAGGACGCGTCTGCGGTGTCTTTCCTTTCCTAGGACGCGCGCAAATCTTCCCGAAGCCCTGGACGGCGCGTCGAGGATTCTCTCGTGCTTGGGTTTATTGTGACACAATATAGGTACGTATCAATCTACTTCATTCAATAAACCTGCTCTGGCCACCTCCATACTGTATTACACGTCTGCTGCTGGTCTTGACGGCTACCTACTTCTCCGGTCGGGTAGCCCTACACTTTATTTTGACGCGAGGTGTACAAAGCCCCCCCTCCAATGCTACAAACCTCCCGAGCCATTGAGTTGTTCGCATACTAGTTGTTGCTGCAGCTTCTTGGCGGACACGCCTGACCAATCCTTTTCTTCCCTCCAGGACACTTCTGTTGATCCGAAATCGTTCCTTTTTTCACTTTCTTCATTTCCCCGAACCTGTATTTCTAGTCCCATTTCTATCTTTAGCTGACCTGGAGGCAAGCCATATATCTTTGGTGAACCTGCAGTCCAGTTCTTACACGGTATGCATCACTTCTCTGTGCCCACCACCAAACCCACCTTAGCTGCACCCTTCTCTCCCCGAAGCCAAGTATCATCTCTTCCCTCAGGCCTCATGCACGTCAGCCTGCCTCACTCCCTCTACCACCTTTATCACACATCCCCTCCACCATTTTCGTGTCGGGCATCGATAGCTCCTATGTCGGCATTTTACCTGTCACCTCGACCTTGCGATTCTGGCCCGGTTTGCAACGTCACCTCTGCAACCTCGCTTCACATCTTCCACCCATCCCAATCATCACGAACACCGCCTCGTTTTGATGCAGGCTGAAGTACGCCAGTGGCTGGCTGCATTGTAGGGCTTTCTCGGGCTTTCTCTATACCGTACTTTGCTGCTGCTGCTACCGCCGGCCCAGTGCCTGCTCCCTACCGCTGTAAGTGCAGCGGTGCGCTCGAGTGACAGACTAGTCAGGCTTCTTGCACTAGGCCCTGGTTTGTGCATGCCCGGATATGCACGAGAATGCCAGCGCATCACGAATGCGGCCACCGGCGGCCCGCGACCTTCTTGGGATTCGGGGCCCCCGTCTATCCCTCACACCACACACCACCCAACTGTTTATTTTGATTTCCCATTTCATGCTAACGAGTCTGGTTGGGCAGATATTGTAGTCCTCTATTGAGAAATCCTGGGGAACCCGAGGTCTCTTCTTGTTGCTTCATTTGTTATCATTCGTTGTAAGCATCCCACGTTTTGGCGCTCTCACCCCACGACTGCAACTCCAGTCTGCATATTTCTGTGGGCGACCTTGAGGCTAGCACGCCTGCCACACAACCCGCGAACTTGCCAGCGCATTTTGCATACCCAATAGGGTCGGTGCCTGACCCAGTTACTCGGCGGCAGCCCAATCGAAGCAGCGTACGCCCAACGCGTAGACACATTTCAGCAAACATAAACCCCTGACCTCGCTGAGTGGTGCGAATCAGGTGTCTTCATTCGCTATTTGCTGCTTTCGCCCCTCCTCAATTATCCAGCCTGTTGCCTGTCTAGGAGCCTCATAGTGGATTCAACGAATAGCAGTCTGTTGACGTCCTCATACCCTAGAGCCTTGTCTCTGGTATGATGGAATACGCGCAGTATCCTCAACAGCAACAGAATAATCACTCGGGATTCTCAAACTCAGGCGCAGCAGCCACCACTATCACGTCTCCTACCGTCAACCAGAACCAGGTACAGACCTCACCAATTCTTGGATCTCAACAGCAAGGAGCACAAACCCAAGCAACCACCATGTATCAGCCGCAGTACAGCGTTCCCCAGCAGGGCATGCAGCAGGTCACTTATGGGATGCCTGGCATCCAGGCTGCCGCAATGGCTGCAACTGCCGCTGCATCTGGCTCAAACTACGGATACATGCACTCAGACCCTAACATGCCGCAAACGTCACCGAGACTGGGAGGAGCGAATGCGAAGAAGGACGGTCGACACTCACCGCGGTTGAATAACATGCCTAACATGTCCGATCGTCGGATGAGCCAAGTGACGAGCCCGGGAGTCGCCAATGCGCCTAATATGCTGAACCAAGCGGGCCGACCTAACGTGGCTGCACCACAGATGCCAGCAGCTTCAATGCAGCATCCCCAGTCACCAGAAATGCCGGCAGGCGCTACTGGAGCTGAGGAATCACCACTTTACGTAAACGCGAAGCAGTTTCACAGAATTCTTAAGCGACGAGTCGCGCGACAGAAATTAGAAGAACAGCTGCGCTTGACGTCGAAGGGCCGAAAGCCATACCTCCACGAATCGCGCCATAACCATGCCATGCGCCGCCCACGAGGTCCCGGCGGCCGCTTCCTTACTGCCGAAGAAGTGGCAGCTTTGGAAAAGGACGGCAAGCTTGATGACCTCGGCAAGGTCGATGATGGCGAGACCTCGGTCACCCAGAGCACCGGAAGCAAGCGAAAATCAGAAGCAGGGTCACCTGTATCCAACAAGAAGGCAAAGACCGACCACGTTAATTCTGCCGATGGCGAGGACGATGGTTGAATGCCTACATTCAAACGAATATCGACTCTGTCTAAAATAACAGCCTTGAAGTTGTGTCAACTAGGGTTTCACGACGTCACGACACCAGCGATGATTATATCTCCTCTTTCATTGTTCTTACGGGGAGTTCGTGTACGGGAAGGTGTTGGACTGGTTGGTGGTGCCCATTGTTTTGCGGATCACATGGGCCAAGCTCAAAGTATACGGCTTGAAGGGTCGTATCCCAGTGCTGCTTGACATGCTGGTGATACGACTAGCATCCCACTATTTTCCTTTTGTTTCAACCTAATGTGCATGGCATATTACACCGGGCCTTGTATAGTCCGGAAATACAGGAAGTGGGCAGAATGTATGGATGACTTGATACGACGGATACCCCTTGTTCTTTGATTTTGTTTCTACACACACCTTATCCTGTCTTCCTTTTCCTAGCTCTGATCATGTCAATTTTGCGAATGGGTTCATGACTCTTGTTGGGAAGAAAACGGGATGTTGGGTACAATGGAGTTTTCCATTTGAGAGGCATGCAACATTTGCTTTGGAGCTGGACTGGACAGGCATCATGGGAATACCTACCCCCCTCACCCCCCTTCTAAAAACGAAACCAAAAAAAGGTTGAAATACTGGAAAGAGAAAGAAAGACTCCTCCGTCGGGATTGGGCACAGCGCTCTCTGAACAAGGCAGGAAAGAGATCACAGGATCAAATATGTGTTTTATTTTTTCTATTTTTTTATTAACTTACTTCAAGCCAGTCTTATATTCTGTTTCCCTTCATCAACAATCATCATGTATTGAGCCCCTGGATAGCTAGATAAATATCAAAGTGGAAGTCCGTCGCCGGAATTGAATTGCTTTCGTCTAAATCTTGGTGGTGATTGGCAATGTACAGTTGATATCAATGGATCCTATGTGTCCCCTTGTAAAAAGCTGTATGCAGTCCTGGAACAATGCGGGGGTGGGGATGTAGATTTGGCGCTCACTGGTCGGATTTATTGATCCGCGGGGATGTTCTGCCTCATTTTTTGGCCCGACGTACGGACCGACGTCAGCATGAGCCTCGGCACGTTGGATGCGTTCCTCCTCTGACCGGGATCTCCGAGTTGATCGTCCCCCGGCAGGAAGGGTAGCACAAAATGTAGACACCTCTTCTTCGAGCTGTTTTGTCTAGCAATAGGATTCGGGATTTATAAACTACCGTTCCCCTGCCTACACACCAACTGCTTTGGTAATTGGCTCTTCACAGTCATTATCAGCAGCACTTGTTACGTGTCAATTGCGCGCGCACCTTGGGTCACACGACACGACACAGAGCTTGAGCCAGCTAAAACCATCATCTTGACCCTCGCCTTGCGCTATCCTGCCCTGGACCATGGCAGGACGAGTACGACAACCCATTGACGAGCGGGCGTTTACCGCGTTCCTCTCCAACAATGTTCCCGAGATCAAGACGCCGATTGAGCTGAAGCAGGTACGTCCAGCTCCCTTTGGCAGATATCAGCGAAGCTATATTGACCTTGACCCTGCGTGTTCTAGTTCGGTTTCGGTCAATCCAACCCGACATATCAGATCACGGCGGCCGACGGTCAGCGGTTCGTAATGCGCAAGAAGCCCCCCGGCAAGCTGCTGTCCAAGACGGCGCACAAGGTCGAGCGCGAGTACCGCATCATGCACGCGCTCGAGAAGACGGACGTCCCCGTGCCCCGCACGTACTGCCTGTGCGAGGACGAGAGCGTCATCGGCACGCCCTTCTACATCATGGAGTTCCTGGACGGGCGCATCATCGAGGACTTCACCCTCCCCGGCGTGGAGCCCGAGGTGCGCAGGGAGATGTGGCGCCAGGCGGTGCTGACCCTGGCCAAGCTGCACGCCGTCGACGTCCGCGAGGTCGGGCTGGAGAGCTTCGGCAAGGGCTCGGGCTTCTACAACAGGCAGATCAAGACGTGGATCACCATCTGCGCGAGCCAGTCCAAGGCCGTCGACGTGGAGACCAAGGAGCCCGTGGGGCAGCTCCCGCACTTTGACGAGACGGTGGACTTCTTCAAGAACGAGAAGTGGCAGCCTCGGGACCGGGCGACGCTGGTGCACGGCGACTTCAAGATTGATAATCTGGTCTTCCATAAGACGGAACCGCGGGTGATTGGTATCCTGGAGTGAGTCCGCCATTATCCTGGCATGTTTCCCCGTTGATGCTGTGACACTGACTTTGCGATTAACAGCTGGGAAATGTCGACCGTCGGCCACCCGCTCTCTGACATCTGCAACTTCCTGACCAACTTCTTCACCGCTAGGCATGCCGGCGCCACGCCGAATGACACCTCTGGCTTCCTCCCAGGCCGCACGCCCGGCCTGCCCCAGCCGGACGATATCCTGGGCTGGTACAGCGGGGAGGCTGGATGGGACCCTTCCCCGGACATGGGCTGGGGCATGGCGTTCAACATCTGGCGGCTGGCGGCGGTCTGCCAGGGCATCGCGGCGCGGTATGCAGTGAGGCAGGCCAGCAGCGAGAAGGCCAAGAATTACGTGGTGACGCAGAAGCCGCTGGCCAGGTGTGCTTGGGCCCTGGCGAAGGAGGTGAGGGACGGGAAGTCGAGCGAGCGGGCATCTAAGCTCTGAGATGGTGGCAAAGGACGGTTAAGGGTGAACGAGGATAGGAGGCATCATAGGGGTCGGTTGTATCTTGTGGCGTTATTTGTTGGCGGACAAAATCAAGAATATTCAGTTCAAAATCTGCCAGGATTTATAGGCTGTTGTAATTTTCAATCTATATATCTTACTGACTGGTAGGCAGGCTTACTTGCCAATCGATAATTAGAAAATAAATAAATCGCCAATTACACGAATATTCTACCGCAGCCACTGGCAGGATTCTGCCGATAGCTCGGCTTATTCGGCTTATACTATGTGATATCAGTCTGGTGACTCAACAAGGTTGGGCGACAGTTGATAGGCGTGAGCGTGGGCATCTACTGCAAACTGGGACATGCCTTCACATAATGTCGTGCACACCTTGGTATGTAATAGTGGCCGGAAGAATTAAGGTCACGATCACCAAGGTTAATGCCGAGGTATCATTCATGGCCTGGCATTAAGTTGTCGGGATAAGCTTCTTTGCCGCTCTCTGGCAGGTGTTTTCTTTTGCTTTGTTTTCTTGCCCAATAGCATTGGGTATTGAATCTCAGTACCTTTTCTGCTCTCACCTCCCTTTTTTGAGCTTGCAGCCTTTGGTGGTCCGAGTCAGGTGCTGGTTGTGTGAACAGAAGGTGTGTCTCCCACCGCCAGTCTGCTGATTCCATTTTACATTTGGCGCTCTAGCCTCGTCCCACCCCTAGACCTATTTTCCGTCGTTGACACTAGCTTTTCCAGCCCTCTTATTCGCAAGGGACCGTCAACTTAACTCGCGCAGCCTCGGTCATGTAGCGGTGTCCTTTTAATGCCCGTGGCCAATCAGGCGCGTGGAATTGATGCTGTGTGGTGTTGGTAGGCGCAAGAGCCAAGTTTTAAGGCTCGAGACAGCGCGGTGACATCAGCGCACAGGGGACTTCCTCCAAGTATCTTCGCTATCTCCGGGCGTGCGCAGATACCTTAGGTACCTCAGACTCCCTGCAGGCCCTCAAGCTCCAGGGACCCTGAAACCCGATCCTATGTTGCCTCCACTAATCAAGAGCCCTTTATCTCATATTAATTACCTTATCTGTCTATGCTGATCTATATCAACCATCATCTATCTGCGAATCTAACATACATCCACCTGCTGACCGCATGAACCCGGCCTGATCTCCAAACATCCCCGTCGATGATAAGGCAGGTATCCTTTTCTCCATACATAGGCTCGTGCATCAATTCACCTCTCTTCCGCCTTTGGTGCCCTCTTTCTTCTGCCCTTTGTGGCAAATATACTACCTCACTATACTCTCATCGCACCTCACCGTGACGCCCTGGCCAGGGAGACAGCTCAGGCGGCCTGCGCGGCCATGTCGACCAGACGGAGGATCCAGCTGGTCCAGCCCGATGAGCGACGTCCGCTGTTGACCAGCCGAGACTCAGATCGCATCGAGGGTGCCGAGGGGGCAAGCGATCCCCTCTACAGCTGCCGGCCTGACCCGCACTCCCATCTGCCCGTCTACACTAACATCCATCGTATCAGACGTGATATTATCAGCGTCGTCGAGGATTACCTGAGTCTGGCCCAGCTCACGGATGTGCGTATTAACGTGACCGTTGTGCGTCCACTGGTCGACAAGTTTTATGAGCTTGATGATATATCTATTGGTAAGTGATGTCCTGAGTCTGCCGCTAATTGCTTCTCTTGGCCCCCTCCCTTCGGAATGACAGCCCACTGACCGCTCATACTCCAGTTTACTGTCTGTTGGTCAACAGAGCCCAGTTCCTGGAAGAGCAGGCTAGCCTCACCAATCGGCAAAATGTCAATTGGACACGAGCCACGCTCTGCGAGCTCATCGCAACACGAATTCTTCGGCGCTTTAACGAAGACTATGAGGGAAGCGAGGGCCTCCTTCTCCTCTCTCATATCCTCGTGGCTGGTTTCGAACCTTTCCAGAATGCGCCCCCCCAGATCCGTGAAGAGGCTTCCCGGAACACGTCTTGGTCCCAGCGCACTCTGCCGTCTCTCGAGGTGGCCATCCTGACTGAGAGCAAACACTTCCTCAGCTCGACCACGTGCCAAAAGGTGGTGAGTGCCATCTATGAGGGTCGCATTATCTACACCCCTTCGACCTTTTGGGACATCATCCCCGATCATTACAAGCAGAAGCCAATCTCCCTCTACGACCCGCGTGAATCTCCGTTGCTGAACCAGTATCGTCTTATCGTTCCCCGGACGAGAAGCTTCCTCGAGTCCATCCAGTTTTCTATTCTTCTCACTCTATACGTCTGTGTCATGATAAAGAAAAGAAAGGACGAGATAGCCTTTCTTGAAGTTTGCTTTGCTGTGTACGCATTTGGCTGGGGACTGGATCAGTTTGCTACTATTCTTGCCCATGGTTGGTAAGTGTTTAGCTCTCCCCTTCTTTCAATGCCTGTCTACTTCTTGCCTTTTGACGTACTGATAGCTGTTGTCAGGAACGTATACACGCAGAACCTCTGGTCTTTTCTTGACGTCGCATTTATACTCATCTATTCGATATACATGGTGTTGCGGCTGCAGGGCCAGCGAACGGGTGATTTGGGAACAGCAGAGCAAGCGTTTGACGTCCTTGCGCTCGGCGCCCCTGTTGTGATTCCTCGGCTTGCTTTCACTCTACTGTCTGATAATCTCATCTTCTTGTCGCTTCGATCTATGATGGCCGACTTCTTTGCCCTCACCGCGCTGTCTGCTTGGTGCTTCTTTGGATTTCTACTCTCATTGCTCTGGCTTGGCGAGAACGCTCACTCCATCACGAAGATATCCTCTTGGATGATTTACATTTGGTTTGGACTTGATGGTGTTGGCATAGAAAGATCTGTAAGGCTACAGCACCCCTTACACAATGAGGTTTCCCCTTGGTCACAGACACATTTGCTAACTGCCCCCAGTCTGAATTTCATCGATTCCTTGGCCCAAGTCTGATGGTCGCATTTGCATTCCTTGGGAACACCCTATTTTTAACAATTCTTGTATCCATGTTGTCAAACACGTTCAGCACAATCTCCTCGAACGCTGTTGCTGAAATGCAGTTCCGCCGAGCTGTGTTGACTTTGGAAGGTGTCAAGGCTGACGCTGTATTCGCGTACCAGCCCCCCTTCAATATTCTCGCCGTTTTCCTCTTCCTACCACTGAAATTCGTCGTCAGCCCCCGATGGTTCCATAAGATTCATGTTGCTACCGTCAAGTTTATCAACCTACCTGTACTTCTCCTCATTGCTATTTACGAGAGGCGGTTGCTATGGCCCACCCACCGCGGGAATGCTCGGACTCAGAAGTCTTTTTGGCAAAGGTGGCATCTATCTGCCAGCACGAATCTTCGTGGAGTCTTTCAAATCCCGCCTCCTGAGGATATCTTTGAAGACATTGCCGTTGATGACGATTTGACGCGGCACCTGATCCGGCGACAGTTCATGAGACAGACAAGCTCTGCGAACGAGTCGCGGAAATCTCAGACCCCGTCGAGACGGGACTCTATGTTTCCTGGAATTAGGAAGAGGTTACGTGGTTCCTTTGCTGAGACGGAGGAGTTTGATGGGGTGTCAGCTCGTTTGGATTCCATGGAGAAGTCCATGATGAGGCTTGAAGGGCTTGTTTTTAGGCTTCTGGAGAGGGAGGGGACGGCGGTTGCAGAAAATGAAGGGATGGAAGGCTCCAGCGACGGTATGTTGACTGGCGAGAGCACCGCTGGCTTCACGGCCGAGCCCTCCTTTTACGGCGCGACGCAGTCGGAGGACGTTTCGGACTGATGGAAAAGTTGCATAGATTTTTGCTTTTATCATTTGCTCGCTCATTCTTCCTGCATGTAGCATCGGAATAGCCCCCTGGATTTTAATCATAGCCTAGCGTTTATATCTAGAATGGAAACTTGACATTGCTCACGTTCATCTCACCTTTCTTGACATTGACTCACATACATTCATCTGCACTGACTCTGCCTCAAATTTGTAAACCTCCTGAAAGCAGCATTCTTAAACCAAGTAAAGCCCCAACATCCTCATCTCAAAAGCAAGTAGTTCCTCGTTAGCCCCCATCTACGTCGAGTATGGAATAAGAGCTGAGAAATTGACCACCGTAGAAGAAGGCGACTGAAAAAACCCCCAACCGATCAACTATGTGTCTTGTCACCTACTTCCAGCACAAGCATTGCAAGCACAAGTGGGTGGTGATCAGCGAGCCCTGCGGCCCCGGGATGGGATTCGCGACGTGCGACACGTTCCGCAACTCAAACTACGTCAAGGACATGCCGGTGCTGTACACGACTGAGAGCCGGCCGTGCCCGAGATGCTGCGTGCTGGCCAGTGGTGGCTGCTACGACCTCAACTCGACGAGGATGGTGGAAAGTATGGGGTGGGGGGTTAAATGGGGGACTGGGCCGGCCAAGGATGATTTGGGCATTGAGATCAAGGTGAAGGATGGCTGTTGTGGTATTCAATAAAAGCATTGGGGAATGGTTGGATTGTTGACTATAAATCGTCTGGCGGAGGTGAGGAAGTGGGGATCTGAAGGAGAAAAGTAAAGCAGCCAGTTTTTTTTCACAACGAACCATAACAAAATCAACGAGATTTCGTCTTAGATTCCCTTTTATATCTGCCAGTACCATCCTGGTTATACCGACTCTGATCGTGGAGGTAGAGAAGCATATCGCAAATATAGAAGGAAAAGGTGCACAATTTCCTCAGGGTCGCACGCACTCCTCCATCAATCTCACTCAACCGTCTTAGTGAAGGCCAATATGCTTCCAACTCCCGACACATCGCATGTGCCGTATGAGAGGGTCTACGAGCCCGCCGAGGACTCATTCCTGCTATTGGACACCCTCTCATCCGATACCGAGAAGGAGTTCCTGCAGAATAGATTCGCCAACCGCGTGCCTCTGGTCCTCGAGATAGGCACTGGCTCAGGAGTCGTCATCTCCTTCGCGAACGCACATGCACAAACTATCTTTGGGAAGAGGAGCATTCTTACGGCCGGGGTTGACATGAATGCCTTCGCTAGTCGAGCTACGGTCCAGACGGCAAGGAAGGCAGAGCAGGACAACCCGGGCGATCACGGCATGTACTTGGGCTCATGCATGGGAGATCTCACTGCACCTTGGAGGGGCCAGGAGATTGACGTCTTAATTTTCAATCCTCCCTACGTGCCGACATCAGAGATGCCTGAAAGGCCAGAGGACTTTACGGAAGTTCCTACGCCGGACCAGAAACCCTCGTTCGACCATGATTCCTATCTACTCGCTCTGTCCTATGCCGGCGGAAAGGATGGTATGGAGACGACGGATCGATTAATCGAGTCCCTGCCTGACATCTTATCCCCCCAAGGCTGCGCATATATCCTCTTCTGCGCACAAAACCACCCGGACAAGGCGAGGCGGCGGATTGAGGCCCTGGGGCCGGAATGGAGAGCCTTAATGGCGAGATCAAGCGGAAAGACAGCTGGCCGGGAGAAGTTGCAGGTCCTGCGAATATGGCGGGAGCTTGGTAACGATGAGTGAAGCTTCTGGGTGTCGTTCGGGCGCGGGGGCGCTTTTTGCATATATTTATAGTTAAAAAGATAAATAAAGAGGTAACCGAGACGCCTCTCGCCTCTCGCCTCTCGCCTCTCGCCTCTCGCCTCATTCTCTCATCACACTCTCCCTCTTCCTCTGGTCGATGTGATTATCCCCTTCCCTTTATAGTCCCCAATGCTGCTCAAAACGAAGAACCCATACATATCACATCTTTTTGTGTCTCTTTAAATATCCGAGAACGCCAGATTCCCTGTGACAGCTTGTTTGTCGTATAAGTCTGCCCTCCTGCTTTCCAACAAAAAGGTATCTGCCGCATGGGTGATTACGCGACCTTGGTCGAGGCTGGAGGGTGTCGAATTCTTCCTCCCAGGTTGACCCTCCTCTTCTCCAAAATACCACAGGCAGACAATTAACCCCGACCACGACCACGACCACCACGGCCGCGCCCTCTGCCGCCTCCCCTGCCGCGACCACGGCCCATGCCGCCGCCGCCGCCGCCACCTCCACGCTCGGCCTCTTTGCGGGCTTTGTTCTTTGGCTTGGGTGCGTCATCGACAAGAAGGGTATCAAGAGGTAGCGAGTCGGGGAGGATGAAGTAACGGATGGTGGAGCCACGAATGTTCATTGTGTCCAGGGAGATGGGATCCTGGCCCCTGATGGTCATCTTGACGGTGCGGAGGGCGGTGTTCATCTGGGGCGAGACGGAAGCGATGGTGCCATGGACAATGGTTCCTGAAAATCAATTCTAGTTAGCTATCTTCCCCAGTCTTGCAATCCTCCAGAATTGGCATCGGAGAGTTGCGGAGATTTCTTTCAAATACCATTCTTGAGCTCAATGGTCACCGTCTCATTGGCGCATTTCATTAAAAACCTGTTTGCGGACTTGGAGTTAGCAAGGATAGCTTTGAGAGAAGCTTCATTCTCGAGGGAAGCTCGGTCTGCGCCGGCCGAAGAGACCATCTATTTCAGACAGAGCCAGAAGAGAAAAGATTAACGTACCTGACTAACTTCATGGTGGCGGTTGGGGGTCAGCGAATCCAGTCGCAGTCGTTCTGTGATATGACTGGCACTTTCGCGTGGAATGGGTCGTCCGCGCGCTTCGGTCAGCGTTCTGGCGTTCAAAACTTAGATGCTATAGAGATGATCCAGCCGTGCTGCCTGCACGTGACGATACTTTTTTGGCGTCCTTGCTGTAGGCAGGAGCGGGAGAGTGGGGCTATTCGAGTCGAAGATCGGATTAATAATTTTCAACTCCGCTGCAGTTGAAAGGGAGTGTGGGGCCGGGCGAGCTTTATCGATAGTAAATCCCTTGGCGTGCCTGGTGGCATGGGCAATCGCTCGTAAAGTAAATTGTCCATTACAGTTTCTGGATGCAACTTTGGTCTCGGGGTTTGACATTTTGAAACTTGTTACATCGACTAGCAGATATATAACTTGCATGCTTTACCCCTCATAATATTGTGCTGTGCTTATATATTATGGTAGCATGGCGGTTTATGCCTAGCCCATACCCCGAGTCCCTGTTCTCCTCACTCGCTTTGCCCCTCCATCTCGAATATTCCAAAAGCGTCGACGCTGTGGTGCGCAGCCAGACAATAACGAGCACCTCACAACACCACAACAATGATCTCAGGGCGAGGGGGTGCAGGAACGCGAGGTGGACGCATCCGACCGCCTCGCCGCATAATTCGAGTAAGTGCTTTCCTTCCCTTTCTCCAACATGTGACCGAAAGTGAATTTCGGAGCGTTCCGGTCCCTCAACCCGCCCGAATCCCTCTTTGATGATCTCTGCACCGAGCCATACGACTCTACACATGGTTTGGCAAGCCCAGCATGGGTCAGAGTAATTCGAGCGCGATCAGCGGGCTCGACCAGCTTGGCCAAGCCTCCTCCCCACCACCACTGGCATCGGTGCCATCACGTTTCTGCGCACCACCTGCTCCTCGCGAACAGCTTCTGACTAAACATACGAATTCGCAGCCCAATGGAGCCGGAGAAAGCGATTTCGATGTCTGCTGGGATCTACTTCGAGAAGCTCTTCGAGACATCCACAACAAGAACTGCAGCCGGCTGTCATTCGAGGAGCTTTACCGAGCGGCATACAAGATTGTCCTCAAAAAGAGAGGGGATGACCTATATGATAGAGTCACAAAGTTCGAGGAGGACTGGTTCTCCGAAAACATAATTCCCAAAATCCAAGAGCTGGTCACGACGAGCCTGGTCAACATTAGCTCCGATAACACGGTAGCCTCGGTAAATGAGAGGCGGCAAACGGGCGAGAAATTCCTCAAGGGCTTAAGAGATACATGGGAGGATCACAACATGTCGATGAATATGACTGCCGACATTCTTATGTATTTGGACCGGGGTTTTGCGCATAATGATCCGAGCCGGGCCTCCATTTTTTCGATGACGATCGCCCTCTTCCGAGATAATATCTTGCATTCATGCCTAGATTCAACATCCGGTAAGAGCGTCATGGAGATCCTCATCTCTGTGATGCTGGACCAGATCAACATGGAACGAGAGGGCGATGTGATAGATAGAGCGCTCATTCGAAGTTGCACTAGAATGCTTAGCTGTCTCTACAAGGATCACCATGAAAACGAAGCCGAGAAGCTATATTTGACACACTTCGAGGTTGAGTTTCTGGCCAACAGCAGGGCCTTTTATGCCAGGGAATGTGAACAGTTGTTACGAGAATCCGATGCTGGCACATGGCTGCGACATACCCAGCGCCGGCTGACTGAAGAGGACGATCGTTGTGAAACGACAATCGAGTTGGAAACGTTGTCCAAGGTATCAAAAGTTATCGAAGATGAGCTCATCCGAAAGCATTTGGGCGAGTTTCTGGCCATGGAGGGTAGTGGCCTCAAGTGGATGGTCGACAACGACAAAGTTGATGATATGTCTATTTTGTATCGCTTGGTATCACGAATTGACGATAAAATGATGGCACTTAGAGATGTGCTGCAGAAACGCGTCGTGGAACTGGGGCTTGAGATCGAAGCTACTGTCAAAAGTACAGACTTCTCAACAGCTGCCCCTGATAGGGAGGATGCGGCTGAGGGCGAGAAGACCAAGACCTTGAACCCCGCGGCCCAGCACACCGCGGCAGCGATCAAATGGGTAGACGATGTCCTAAGGCTTAAAGACAAATTCGACAATCTCTGGACGGCCTGCTTCCAGGAAGATTTGACCATCCACACAGCTCTCACAAAGAGTTTCTCTGATTTTATCAACATGTTCTCTCGCTCCTCCGAGTACGTGTCGCTCTTTATCGACGATAACTTGAAAAGGGGAATCAGGGGCAAGACCGAAGCAGAAGTCGATGCCGTTTTGGAAAAGGCCATTATCCTCATTCGCTACCTTCAAGACCGGGATATGTTCCAGACATATTATCAGCGCCACCTTGCACGAAGATTGCTCCACGCAAAGTCGGAAAGCCACGATGTCGAAAAGCAGATCATCTCGAGGATGAAACAGGAGATGGGACAACAATTTACCACCAAGTTCGAGGGCATGTTCCGAGACCTCGCCACGTCATCGGAACTGACCAGTGGCTACCGTGATCGAATGTCTCTCGCCGGCAAGACAATCGATCTTAACATGAGCGTGTTAACGACCAACTGTTGGCCGCCAGAGGTCATGGGCCGTCAGGTACAGATTGGGGAGGATTCAAGAATTACGTGCACCTACCCCAAGGAAATTGAGCGACTCCAGGCCAGCTTTGAACAGTTCTATCTATCGAACCGAAATGGTAGAAAACTCACATGGATCGGAACTACGGGTTCGGCGGATATTAAATGTACATTCCCTGCCATTCCTGGCAAACAGGGTGCTCTTTCCCGAGAGCGCCGCTACGAGATCAATGTACCAACTTTTGGCATGGTCATCATGCTCTTATTCAATGACATCCCCGACGATGAATGGCTCACCTTTGAAGAAATACAAGCTAAGACCAGTATCTCTACTCAGGACCTAATGAGGACATTGACTGCCATTGCTGTGGCCCCCAAGTCCAGAGTTTTGCTCAAGGATCCTCCGACAAAGTCAATCAAGCCAAGTGATAAATTTTCTTTCAACGCCGCATTCCAGAGTAAGACGGTTCGAATCAAGGCTCCAATCATCAACGCCGTTTCCAAGGTCGAGGATTCTCAGGAAAGAAAAGCAACCGAGGAGAAGAATGCCCAGGATAGGGCTCACGTCATCGATGCCGCTATAGTCCGAATTATGAAGTCTGTCTTTCCTCCTTTCTATCTTATTTTAATTTTACATAGGCTGACAGCATTCGCACAGGTCTCGAAAGGAGCTTGCTCACACCCAGCTTGTGACTGAAGTCATCTCTCAGCTAGTTGGGCGTTTCAAGCCGGAGGTTTCAGTCATCAAGAAGCGGATCGAGGATCTGATCGTTCGGGATTACCTTGAGCGGCCGGAAGAGGAAGAATCGCCAAACACCTACCGATACGTTGCTTAACGCACGCTCAAGGGTTCGCATTCCCCCCTCTTTTTAGCCAAGGTACATTTCCGGTTCTGCTTCTTGGCCTTCATTGACGATAGTAACGACGATGTCCGACCGCTTGGTTGGACAACTACGAACACGTAACATAGCTGGTATAGCATTTTTTAATTTGACCGCATTATGGTGGCAAGGCGTCTAGAATTCAGGGCTTTGGGGGGTTGTCTGTTAGCTTATTTGATAAACAGAGATAAGTTCCCATAAGATCCTCGTACCGTGATGAGAATGAGAATCGCTCAGGGGATTGGAAATCAAACAACCGACTATGGATTATTGTTACTGATTTCCATGACAGCAAATGAATGTGCATTTGTGTTTCTCTGGCCCACTATGTACATCATTATTTCGCAAAGCCCCTTCAGATTTAATGCAACAGGCTGTTCGGCTTGCCTAGATCACTCCCAGCTGAATGGTTTGCCGCCCTCAGACTTGGCAGCTGCTACTATAATCCCCCGATTGGTTTCTAAATCTGCAAGCCGCTTCATGCGTTCCGGTTGGGGCGGGGTAGTAAGACTGGTGGTATACGTACTACTCATGTTAGGTAGGTCATATACAATAACAAAATGCTATTCTTGTACTTCGGCCCTCAGGGATCATTAAGCTTACGCGTTTCGTACAGTGAATACATAGACGGATAGAGGAGACGCTACTGTGAAATGATGGGTTAAGCTCTTGTTTCATGAGCAAGCCTTGTTGGCTGGCTGGCCTATAAAAATGCCAGCCGTCTGCATGTCTTACACTAGGAGCAGGCGGCAACTCACCGGTCATTGTAGTGGGAGGTTGGGAGGGGTGCTTGCCACTCTTCCTAAGAGGGAAGTAATAAGCCAATGCGAGCATTATACTTAGTGATTTGAGATCCGTGAACGCTGAGGGCCGAGAAGTACTGTTGCATTTCTGCCTTATCGCAGCGCCTTCAGGCTGAGCACTCAGCCGCAGAATGCTTCTGTAGGGGATTACGCAATGGGCGGACCATTCGCCTGCCTTAGTTCCTTGCTGTGCCTCGAGCTGAGCTTGGCGAGTGTAGAAAGTAGAAATTGTGGCGTTCTGGGAGTGGTGGTGTGCACTGGAAAGATGAGGCTTCAGCCTTGTTGAAGAGGTATTTGTTCTTCTTCATCCTTCTTCAACCCTATCAGTTCTGCCAATACATGAACATGCAAGCGCGAGACCTGCATTCACCCTTATATAAGTGACTTCTCGTTTCCTTTCGTCCTCCTTTTCCCAGCAATAGCCTATGACAAGATACCGGTCATCCCTCACAGTTGCAGATACCAACAATGGCAGACTTCCAAAGTGGCCTTTGGTGGGATTACTCCCGCCCAGCTGGGCTTCAAGGGACCATTACCCTGCCGATGACTCAAGGCAATATTTTCCTCTCGTTCTTGACCATTATAGTTGCCATGTCTGGAGCCAGTCTCTGGGGAATTGCCGCCTCTCTTCTACACAGCTTCACTGTTCGAAAGAGACGCAACAAAGTTGAAATTTTCGATATCCAACAGCGAGTTACCCTGATCAACTCGAAGTCCCCAATGACAACCGTCATCGACTCGATACGAATCTATATGTCTTGGTCGAAGCACGAGATTCCTGGTTTGGGTTTCCGCACGGTTGCCATCGTTCTTCCCGCGCTTCTGTTTTGGGTTGGCATAACGGCAGCATCTATCTTCACCTCAAAAGTTGCGACCAGCGGTGATACGGGTGTCCTTGGTCTCAGGAGAAGCAATTTCTGTGGCATCTACGCATTTACCGCAGTCCGCTCATCCAAGGATAAAGAAAGTTCACGCAGAATATTGATTGAAGAGATGGTTGCAGCAAGGAATTACGCCGACAACTTCTACCTCAACAGCACTGGTTCACTTTCTAGATCCCCATATGTGACGACAACCTTACCACACACAGAATCTCGAATGTCTTGTCTGCTCGAAAGCCAAGACCGGTGCGCCTTGAACACCTCTCTGAGGTTAGAGTCTGGGCTGCTAGACTCCCATCTCATGCTTGGAATCAATGCGCCACCATCAGACCGCATTCACTTCCGAGCAGGTACGACCTGTACTGTGGTCTATAAGGCTGGACTTGATAAACTATCAAAGACAGGTAATTCCCGTCGCTACTTCCTGGGAGGGGTTCTAGGCAAAAATCACACATATAAATATAATCGAGGCTTCCGAAGTGATGATATAGGATACTTTCTCAGGTAAGGAAGCAGGTTCTCCTGTTGATCCCAACTTCACAGACATCGCTAATAGGCACACTTCAACAGCGGCTATGACTCGGAATGGGAACCACCTGTTGGATTGAGGGTCAACAACTCTGATATGAGTATTATTATCCTCTCCGGAAACAATGTGCGTTATCGCGAGAGCATTGAAGATCCTTTTTTCTGGGCCACGGACTACAATAAAAACCTGACGGCTTTCGTCTCGAACAATGACGCCAACTTCATGATATGTGCAGACCAGTACCAATTTTGCGACCCGGCGGCACACAGATGCTCGCCTTGGTCGAATCGTACGGCTTTGCGGGATTCCGTGATCACCCAGAGCTCGGAGCTGGGGTTCAACGACGCCCAGGTGGCAACTATGACACGACTCGCCTGGCATATGGACGAGCATAGAGGTCTTGAAACCGCGCTTGTTGTCAAAATTCTCAATTCCGGAGGTAAGCCGAGGAACTATTCATCCGACCGCGTGGACTTAAAGCATGTTGGCTAACAAATGACCGACAATTCCTAGCCCTGGACGCCAGCAGCAAGCTAATGTTCAACGACGTCTCCCTGGGGATTTCCACCGATGCTCAATGGATTGTTGAAGCTTCCAGGTGGTTTCAAATCCGGCTTGCTTTTTTGCAGGCGAGGGTTGCCGCCTACATGGATGTGCCCTCGGCGCGGCTGAGCCAACCCATCACAAGTCTCAATGATCGCTCGTGGTTACAGGAACACGCTGGGCTTTCCCATCGGCAGGTAGATTCTCTCAACTCGCAGTGCCACACCCAGCTAGTCAGGAGCAGCGGAGAGATACAAAACTTCAGCTTCACTGGCGTTTTGATCATTCTGCTCGTTGGCACCTGCCTCACAATCATCAGCTACAACATGACAGGCATCATGGATGCCTGTGGCCGCCTTCTTTCGGGCTCTGAAGCCACGAATGCTCGCCAAGGCGACGACAAACAACATCTGCTGAGGATGGCTCTCAGTGCCAGCGGCTACCCAGCCATTGGAGAGTGGAAAACGGGCTTCTTTCAAGTGCCCGTCACCTCGCACCGAGAGATTGTCACAGACCTCGAAGTATTTGAGAGAGGGTTGACGCTTTACCCATTGAAGGAGGCACTCACGAATCGAGATAGTACCAGCACAGACGAAGCGGTAGAACTCAGGGAGGGGATTAACCCATTCGACAAACCAATGCAAACTACCGAGATGACACCCGGACCTAGTACGACCATTAAGACTCTGCTGACGGTGTGAATCTAAAAAATATCGTCTAAGCACTACCGAAGAAGCAAATTGGTGGAATAGAACTAGACAGCACTTCTTTCTGCGCGTCTCAGTCAGGAGATGAAGATCTCATCAAGCAATCGATTCTGCACAATTTTATGAACGAAGGATGAAATAAAACAAAATATGAGAATTGACATTTCCAGCTAATTCAATTGAAAGTAAACTTTTAATCTTTGAGATGAGCATTAAATGTGTGAAGTAAATCCGGAGCCATAGATTATCCTCGGATCAGGTTCCGACTTCCGCATAGTAGCCGAGAGCAGCTTTTCCGGTCATCGGCTCTCACCTCAACCAGCAGCACACGATCCATCCATTGCCCGATAGCTCGATCTCGGTTTTATTGGGATATCGCAATTGGGGCCTCTATTAATCCCTCTAATTTTCCGCTTAACGGATCCCCTCTTGTGCTTATTTAAATATCGCAATTCCCAGCCCCGAGCTCACCATTTCACCATGTCCGTCTTCAGATACACAATGGCCAGACTGGCTCCCCAAGCGCTGGGCTCCCTCAAGCAGGCCGGCAAGGTCGTTTGCATTGGCCGCAATTATGCGTGAGTATCTCATCTTCTTGGAAACTCCTCCAGCAGGTGAGGGTTGAGCTGGTTTGATCATGTGAGCTAATAAGGGAGCGTCCAGCGACCACATTGCCGAGCTCAACAACATGAAGCCCAAGCAGCCCTTCTTCTTCCTGAAGCCCACATCCTCCATCGTGCTTCCCGGCGAGGGCCCCTGCTTACGGCCCAAGGGTGTCAACATGCACTTTGAGGTCGAGCTGGCCCTGGTCATTGGCAAGCTCGTGCGCGACCTCAAGGCGGATGACACCAAGGGTGCCATTGACGCCATTGCAGGTATGTCCCACTATAGAGAAAACCAAGGTGTTCAAAGACATCATCTAACATATAATCAGCCTACGCTGTAGCCATTGACATGACCGCGCGGAATGCGCAAGATGAGGCCAAGAAGAAGGGTCTCCCCTGGGACATCGCCAAGGGATTCGACACCTTCCTGCCCATGAGCAACATCATTCCCAAGACGGCCATCTCCAACCCCCAGGACGTCGAGCTCTTCCTCGAGGTCAACGGCGAGACCAGGCAGCAAGGGTCAACCAACCTGATGATCTACCAGATCCCCCGCATCCTGAGCGACATCTCCAAGGTCATGGCCCTGCACCCCGGCGACATCGTCCTGACCGGCACCCCGGCCGGTGTCGGGCCAGTCCAGCCGGGCGACGTGATGCGCGCCGGTGTCCGGGTCAGCGGCAAGGAGCTGGAGGAGGGCAAGATCGAGGTTCCGGTGGAGGAGTCGCCCAGCTCGTATGTCTTCAACGAGACATAGAGAGACTTGCTAGAGCTACATCTAGTTCTGTGAGCTATACGATTGTTGGTTTGTATGCTTGCAAGACGGGCAGAAGATCAGGTTTGGAGAGGTGTCACTCGTATGTGTATATATATTCATCTTGGGATAAATACGGGGAACACGAAAAGGGCAGACAGACGGAACATCAATCAACAAAATAAATCACTTGATATAATTCACTCCACTCCCGGTACTCTACAGGTACTCTACACAGTAATAATCCAGCTATTCCAGGTTGGGGTCCGTGATCGACCCCGGCTTCGGCGCAGACTCTACCAAGAGCCCGCACTTGCCACACCTCCTCTTGGCGTCGTCGCCCTTGAAGTCCTCGACGGCCTGCTTGACCTGCGTCCCCAGGTCGGTGCAGTGGAAGGCGGCCTCGTGGACGACCTCGCCGCAGTCCGGGCAGTACCAGCGCAGGCGGTCGAGGGACCCCTCGGGGCGGCGCTGCTCCAGGACGACGCCGACGGTGTTGGCGAAGCGGACGGGATTGTGGGGGGTGTTGCCCGGGAGGAGGAACATGTCGCCCTCCCTGATGATGACGTCCCGGAACTCGCCGTCGTCGATGACCTTGAGCATCATGGCCCCCTTGTACTGGTAGAACCATTCGGGGGTCTGGTTGATGTGGTAGTCTGTACGGGCATTTGGTCCGCCGACAATCTCGGGTGAAAGGTCAGTGACAGGCCTTCTCCATTTATAGCTACGCGAGACCAGAAACAGCCCGTTGGGGAGTCTGAATGGGAGAGAGAAAGGTGGGCTCAAACCATAACAGTGAAGTCTTCATTATAGACACAGTAGTTATTGATGGGAGGCTGGAGAAGATGCGAGTTCTCTTCCAGCCTGAACGGAGTGAGGATCACGGGTTAGAGAATGTGGCCGAGTGAGTCATTGATAAGGCCTGATGAACTCACCACTTGGGCAGATTGACTGGCGGTCCCAGCATGGTCTAAAGCGAGGCGCTGCTCTGCGGTGATAATTGTGTTGCGATAATCTAATCTGGAGCCTCGATGGTGTCGGCAACAAGAGATGGAACTAAGAAGAAAGAGCCGTCTAGTCTGATCCACCAAGATGATATTTCAAGGAACGATGGATTAGAAATACGGCCAGAGAATTTTAGTCATGAGCGATTAAGATCGGAATCATCGGCCACCTTCATTGACTAGACCCCGCAATGAGATATCGAAGGTTTTCGAGCACTTGATGACAGCCCCGGTTACAGTTGCAGTTACAGTTCAGCTCAGTTACACTCAGCTCAGAGGGCAGAAACTCAGGATGCGTCTTGACAACATTTGGCAATACTTTTCATAGAAGGAATACACTAAAGCCTTGGTCTTTCGTGTGTTTAACAACAGAAAACTGATATGGAATTAAGCAAGCCCAGAAAGCTTCCTTGGCGGATTTAAATGCCAACTCTTCTTAAGAAGTTGTTTTGGGACTCAGAAGGGCAGCTGCGGGGTGGCAGAGTGGGCTCAGTGGAGAGCCAGAGACCTGGAGCAGGGGCTAGGGGCCTGATTAGGGGACCGACCGCGTGCGATCCCAGTGCCCTGCTGCCTTACCAGAAGGGCCTAATCAATCGTCGGCACATCCAATGGATATGATTACGTAGGATCGCCCTGCTGTAGCCGCCAATGCAACAGCTGACCAGCAACCGTCACCTCATCCTCCCACAGCTATCCCTCCATTCGTCCTCCCTCCCGCTGCGACGCGCATATTTGAGCACTTTCTCGGCTCACACAGAGCTCTCGGTTCTTCTTAAGAACCAAACCTCCCCTTCGTCATTCTTCCGAAACTGAGACGAACTCTATCTCTCGAGATCGATACCCTCTCCTCGAAGCGAGCGATCTTGAAGCGCACGATGGACCACCACGCCCACATGAATCACGGTGATATGGATCATGGCGATATGGACCATGGAGGTCACGGAGGCATGGAAGATATGTGCAACATGAACGTACGTGCAACCCCCCGGGCATTGCACTGTCTGCCAAGCTGACAGGACGACCCCCATCCAGATGCTCTTCACCTGGGACACCACCAACCTCTGCATCGTCTTCCGCCAATGGCACGTCCGCTCTACAGCATCCCTCATCTTCTCCCTCCTCGCCGTCGTGCTCATCGGCATCGGCTACGAGGCCATCCGCGCCTTCTCCCGCCGCTACGAGCTCGCCACATCCAAGCGCGTCGAATCCCTACCGAGTAAGCACCAAACCCCCCTCCCCCTCATTCGCTTCTTTATCCCAGGGCGGTCCCAGGAGTTAGGTCGGGAATTGGAGGACTCGGCTCAGGCCCCTCGCCTTTTTCTTCCTTCTTTCCTTCTTCATCATGTCTTGGGGCCGTGCTGATGAGATTTGCTTCCCGCTCTTGAGGTGGCCTGGACTCCGTTACTGAATCAACACCCTTCCTCCCCGCAGGACAAACCCAGGCCCAGCTCTCCCAGCGGACGCACGTCATCAAGGGCGCCCTGTATGCGCTCCAGAACTTTTACGCATTCATGCTCATGTAAGGAATTGTGCCATTTCACTGTATCCCCTTGCTCCTCGTTGCTTACCTCTCACACTCCGCGCCAGGCTCCTGTTCATGACGTACAACGGTTGGGTCATGCTTGCTGTCACCCTGGGCGCGTTCTTTGGATACCTTATTTTTGGAAAGTCATCTTCTGCGACCAAGGAGAACGCTTGCCACTAACGTTACAGCCATGACGAGATTATCCTGAGATTTCTCGATTTGCCATCTATGCTATATATATGGTGTCTTGCTGCTTATTATGGCACCTACCCCTTGGCTTCCGGGAGAAGGATATTGAATCTGTCGGGGATGAAGAATAACCATATCCCTTTCTATAGATCTACATCCCCCATCGCTCTACATGACTAAAGAATAGAAAAGAAAATGAAATATACCCCTTGGAGCGGCTCTTTCCTACATCTTAGCCGGCTCCTTCCCGGGCTCCGGCCTCTGCTCCGAGACCTCCTTGAACTGCCCCTCGGCCTCGGCAATCATGATGATGTCGGCGTCCCCGAACCCCTCGTTGTGCTCCATCTCGGGCTCCTCGCCGTACGCTATCCTCGCGGCGTCCACCAGCACCCGCGCCGTCATCCCCCACACCTTGAACCGCCCCTCCCTCTCCTGCTCCTCCTCGAGCCTCTCGGCGAGGTTGCTCTGCGCGCTGCCCCGCCGCGGCCGCGACACCCGCTGGTTGTTGACGGGCACGTAGAAGTTGTGGACCCGCCACGGCACGTCCTTCCACGAGATCCACGACCCGTCGTACCAGTGTCCCTCCGGGAGGGGGGGGTTGGTCTCTCCTCCTGCCCCGGGCGTGGTGGGGGGCGGAAGGTCCTCGAGCTTGAGGAAGTTGTAGAAGGGCGCGCTGAAGAGGGCGGCGACCTCGCGGGCGTCGAGGCGCGGGATCATGGACTCGTCCACCAAGGGCGCGGGGTCCACGCCGCCGTCGGCGTGGAGGAAGGCGACGCAGGGCGTGACGACGAGGTGGGTCCGCGCGAGGGAGGGCGGGAGGCAGCAGAGCTGCTCTATCCTGAAGGGCTTGGGGAGGGCGAAGTCGTCCTCGGGGAGGCCGATCTCCTCGGAGGCTTCGCGGCGGGCAATCTGGTCTATATGGAAGCGAACGTCAGTTAGTAGCTGGTGATACTAGGCAGAACCCCCCTTTTTAGCTGGGGTTGGGCTGGGCTACTCCCAACTCTTCTGAAAAGTAATACATATGGAGAGGTAAGATGTAGGATTGGTGAACGCACATGGTGACTCATCAACACTGTCTGCCTTTCCACCAGGGAGTGCGGCGTGGCCAGAGAAGCTCCGCAGACTGGCAGCCCGCATGGTGATGACCACCCTCAGGTCTCCCCATCTGTCTGCGTAGAGCAGGATGAGGACGGCAGCCCGTTTCCGGGCAGGCAGCTGGTCCCAGAAGGGAAATGGCGGTGGCCGGTACGCTCTCAAACGAGCTATGGCAGCCTATAATAAGATTGTCAGAAAAATGTCAAACGAAGTAAAAAAGGCTGGTGTAAAATGATGGAAATGATTTGATGTATATGAAAGCAAAAGTGCTTTATGAACAGGGGGTGGCGAGTGCATCATGTTACGAACCGCTGAGAGTGCACTTAGAGGAGCCATTGTAGACGCGTCATAATACAAGGAAGCTTCGGTAGGTAGTCCGAGGTCGATCTCAGTTGCGACGATGTCCTGGATCTTCTCCCTGACGGTGTCGATGAACTCGGGGGTGGGACTGGAACCTATAATCCGCGGCGGGATATTGGTAGATGGGTCCTCGGTGCCTTGATCCAAAGTAGATGTTGGCTCGGGACTCATTATTCAATTTGCTGTTCGCCTATCCCGGAGTTCGGGTAAGTTCAGGAAAAGGGGGGGGGGCTTAACTCGGTGTGGGATCCCTTTGTCAGCGCCGAGAGCAAAGTGCCAGGGAAGAGGAACAAGGCACGTTGATTGATTAGTGCAGAAGTCAAGTTTATCAAGCTGGGTAGTCCCGTTGGCATCTACCTAATACAAGCCGAGGATCGGGCTTCACGGCGGAAACGATCATGCGGGGGTGGGGCTAATGTCGTCCCGATTACCGATAAGATAAGAGCTCCAAAAAAAAAGTCTTATCGGTCCATCTCCGAATGGCGTCGGGTTTGGGTTTATCTTACATCACTCGTCACGTCACTTGAGTCGAGTTCCGCGTGAAGAGGCGAGAAAAGCTTGGTTATTAATGACATTTCAGACGCGCAGTTAGAGGAACAGTTCAGGTTCAGAAAACATAGTAAATTGCCTTTCCGAAGGGGGGTATACCGAGTATGCTAATGCTCTATACGCTTTCAAAATCAAATAAACCAATAACCCTGGGAGCCAGCACCCAGTTTCTATAACACCGCATCGCTATGTCTAACAAATGAAAGGTAACGACAGAATCATGCTGAGGCATCTGCAACCTGAGAACATGAAAACGAGAAAATAAGAAGTAAATCCGAAATCCAAAAATGCTAAAGGGGTAATGCAATCGAATAGTAGTAAAACAGGAAAACGTAACTGTATGCAAGAAGAGAACCAAAGGGGATGTTGCCGGGGAGAGGGGATGAATTTGACAAAGGAGCAATCCCATCCCGCAGCAAGGTATTGTTGTCGTAACGTGACAATGAGTCTTTTTCGCTTGTTCCAAACTCCCAAGTAAAAGGACAGACATAGGAAAAGGAAATAGAGAGAGAGACAGGGGGGACGGAAGGAGATGTAATCATATCACCCTTCCGCCTCCGATGAATTCGATTTGCATTGGCGATTCTTTCCTAGAGCTCCGTGGGAAACCTTTGGCCTTGGCTTTGCTCACGGCGCCCCTTGCGCTCCCTATCAATTTGTCGGCGACCATGTGAGGTGCCACCGAGGACGGCACAAATGAGCCCGGAGACCGATACCGCCCCTCGAGATTCTCGTGGTAGTAGTTTCTCAGGGGCGACGCCTCGTTCGCGAGCCAGGTCTTGAACTCTCTCAGTTTGCCCGAGCTGTCGAGGTCGTCGTCGTCCGAGTCGCTGTCAAAGGCGCTGTGCGTGACCGGCATGTCCACAGCAGACCGGATCATGGGAGGTGGCGCAACCATAGGAGGGTTAATGGCATGGGGAGGTGCACGACGCCGGCTGGTGCGACCACTAAAGCCGCGGGCGTGATGAACCGCGTTCTCTTTCGCGTCGAAACCTAAAGGCAACTCGATTCGGGGAAGGTTGTCTGAGAGATGCGACTGCGCTAGCTGTTCCTTGGGTTGCGGCCTCGGGGCAGGCGGCTGGGAGTTGGTTTGAAGATTGCGAGGTTGTTCGTGGTGAGGAGGCTGCTGGGTCTGGTGGTAAGAAGGATCGGGGACTTGGTTTTGGAGAGACTTTGGGGCCTCAGGGGGAGGAAGGAAATCGTCATTGAGACTCAAACTTCCGAAGCCGCTGGTGAACTCATTCACCAACATGTGATATTCGGCAGATGCTGCCAAGTCGGCGGCAGCCTGCAGCCTCTCCTGCTTCAAACTCTCCTCAGCCCTAATCTCGAAAAGCAACTCTTCATCATCGATGGAGCTACGCGAGCTCGCTTCGCTCAGGTAGCTGGGCCCAGAAGTGCTGCTCCGATTACTATCCACAGAGATCCACGATGGTATTCGGGATGAGTCTTCTTCAGGGGCAAGTCCAGACGATTCAGAAACCTCGAAGAAGCCGCACCCTCCGTCCATATCCATCGACGGTCGCCATTGATGCATTCTAGCCAAGGGTGCAGAAGTAGGTTGTTCAGTGTACGGCATGGTGCCCGTCATGCAGTCTCGTCCTCTTTTTCGATTATTAGTAGTGTAGTCAGGGGAAGTATTATGGTTGATGTTTTTGGTGTTTTTGGCGGCTGTAGGCGTAGTAATAATAATTGGGGAAGAAAGTATGAAGAAAGGAACCAGGGGATCATCGTCAACATCAATGTTGCAGCCCGTGAGCTGTTTCACTTTTCTGGACGAATTGTGGCCAGTGGCGCACAGGCTGTTGAGGCTCGAGCGATGAGATGACTGCCGTCCTGCTGCGGGCGGAGAGTCCTGGTGAGCCTCTGGCGCTGACCCGCCCGCCCCAAGAGCGTCACTCTTGAAACCAACAGCATGTCCGCGGACGGCTCCAGGTGGCGATTGACCAGGGTCCGGAGGCAAGGGAGGCAGAGGTTTTACGCTGCGAAAATGGATGTTCGCGTGTGGTGTTGGGATGTGGTTGGACGATGCATCATCGCCAAGCCTGTACGTCAGCCCTGTGGTTTTGGATTGTGCTGGTCTTTCATCAGCTCGTTGTGGGATCCAGCGCAGCAGTGACAAAGCGTCTGGCGGGCGACGAGGCCGTGGCGGAGGGCACTGGGACATGGCGCTGTGCACGCTGTAATGCTGCCTTAGTGCCTGATCAAGGGGCCTGCTAGGGCTGGTGGCGACTGTTGCTGCACTGGGCTAGTGCCTTCCGGGCCTGTATGATCCGCCCAGGGTACGAAAGCTTGGTGTAAGTGAGCGGATAGAATTTACGTATTGTCGCCTGTAGATAGCACTGACGACGTCGATGGAATGTAGATCAAGAGGCAAATGCGATGATGATAGATAAAATTAATGATGGTGTAAAGGATAAGAAAGAGGAGAGTGATGGAGTTGGAATGAAGGGATAAATGCACACACTCTTTCTGCACCCGGCATTGCTGTACGATTCAGTTCTCAGTGTTAGCATCCGCGGGCGGTTGCCATGGTTGGGCAAGCACAACAACCTTTGTCAACTCTATTCTGGCTCATGTGCCCCCCTTCTCACTCTAGTTAACAATCAAATTCCCGAATAAACAGTCTAACCCTGCACAATGTATTGAACAAAGGGAAATGGCATCCATCCCTCAATCCTTTATCGTATGATGAAGGTGGTGTACATGAAAAGTATAACAGGACCTAGCAAACGCCGCTCTCACTTCACTCACCTCCTCGCTGTTGCGGGAGTCGGAGAGCAAGCGAACACCAACCACGGCGAGCCAGGTGTCACCGGTGTCATGCACCCTCATGTCCAGGAAGCTGAAAACAATAATGTTTACTATGCGCATACACCACGCATGCGTGTACCCGTATGCTTCACTATTCTGTAAAGCAACAAGCCTTGCTTCGACAGCTCAGTGCTAACCATCCCGGCGGAAACAAAGCACCAGCCAGCCAATAAGCGAAGAGGCAAATGGCAGGACGTTGCCATGATTCGGGCATGACACGACGCTGGCGAGGCACCTCGTGGGCGGGTGTTTTAGAATTGTGAAACACGGGTGAACCTGCAGGCTGGAAGCTGGCAGCTACCGAGACACGATGCCAGAAACGTGGCCGCAGTAGGCCGATGAGCTGACCGACGATGCTGGAAGGCGGTGGGAAGTTCCGCGGCCAACGACAGGGATGGCCAGCAATGGGTTTGTCTTCTTCGTGCACGGCTTCTCGCAGAGCAGCGTTGTGATTCCACGGACCGAACGTGTGCGGCGATTGCTGGTGGATGCCCCAAAATAGACAAGGCAAGCACCCAATTAGGTTGCTAAGTTTTTCCACTTCAGATCGTTCGCTTCAACTTGCATCAGTCTGCCTTGACTTCACGTGAAGACAAGCATGCAGCAGCGCGTATTGTCCGTATTCAAGCAAACGAGATGGCAGATTGCAGCCTGATTGCCCGATAGCTGCCAACACGATGCATCCACCCCAAGTCTGCTCGCCATCGCCGGATGGATAATCCGTCCAGCAGACGCAGTCCATCCATCCCATCCCACTAGCGCAATCTATGGAAGTTTCTAAATATTCCGCCAGATTACCGACAGCAAGGTCTGGAACGCAGTGGTTATTTCGAGCCCGGGAATTCCTGCACTCTCCTCAAAACGACAGGTGCAAGCTCTGACCTTTACAGGACCAGTTGGCAAATGGCCGGGAGACAGGGCATCCGCATCTGACATCCCAGCAGCGTCGCCTCGAGTCGAGCTGTCACCATGTGGCAATTTGAGGCTGAATTCCAGCTGCTCACCTGGGCGCTAAAATAAGCTCCGGGTCTCCCCACTTGCCTACATCCAACGGCGGGACGGAGATGATCCTCAGCAGCGATTATTTCATTACAAGTGCACCTAAAATTATGACATGTTGCGGCCTTGCCTTATTATTACCTTACCCGGTCACTCCCTCGGAGGACTGTCCAGTCACTTGGCCCTGCACTGCCCAGGGCCTCGGGAAGCGCGTATTAATACCACATTACCGCGTCTTCCCCTTTCGGGAGTCATTGATCAAATACATGTGAAAGCCCGTCGGCGCTGGGCATGTCATAGCGTGCATCCATAGCACTGAAAAGGCCTCCGCGTCTTCATACCGTGTTTGACTTGGTTCGCCATGCCCAAAATCTGACCCACAAGCTATATGCCGTCCGTTTCGGGGAACTTTCGAATGCCGTCATCCTTCTCATCTAACGCGGACGAGGAGTAGCTGGCTTCGTGTTTCTGTTTTTACTCATGTTGCCGTCACCTGGAGTCTAGACTCTGCACATGCAAGTGGGTGACATGAGAAATGAGACCCCAAATGGAAGAGTGGTTAAAAAGAATCTCTCTTCTAATTTGAATCAAGAAATACAGTAGTATAAAATGAAATATAGTAATAATATATGCCGTATTATCTCTGAAGTTTGTATTATTAGGACTCAATAATCTGATAATACCGGCCACAGACTCGAGAATAAGCAGCTTAATGTTCGAGTGTCTCATTTCTCATGTCACCCACTTGACATGTTCGTCCAAACCATTGGGTCGTGCAAATGCCGTGCGTGCATATTTATTTATTATCCACGTGCATGTCAAGGTATCTCAGTGTCCTGCCATAGGAAGCAAATGCATAATTCGTACAAGAATAGAGTAAATACAAGAGAGAGAAAGGGGAAAGATATCTCCCTAATAAAAAAAATCTATGCCAAAGCTCCGTCACTCTATATACCGAGAGAATATACTTTTATAGTCCCCAACACCAGATAGCCTGTAAATCGACCATCGCATTGCCTAAGGTAGATGCTTTCCTGGAATGTCTAGACCTCGTCATCTTCATCGTCATCGTTGTCATGGTAGTTTCCGAGGAGGATGTCATCAGCCCCGAGACCCGCAGGCGTCTGTCGGATCGACTCTGTCTCAACACGGAAAAAGATCCAGACCCACCGGCGGAACACCTCGAGAACTTCAATCAGGAAGATGCCGCTCTCGAAATCAGTAAATTTATCCAGATGCGGGCTCAGCTTCATTGACCACGTGCAACGGAGCATCAGGTCCATGACGATGACAACGTAGTACAAGCTGATAGGCCTCATGATCAGCCGGTCCCGTAGACCAAAAGGGTGAGTGTGTGCCGTCCGCTCCTTCTTCGAGAGAAACAGAGTCAAGTCCCAATCCTTGGTGACATCCCAGTAAAAGGAGTAGAGCGAGTTTGCCAACACCGCAACCAGCCAGGCTTTGTTAAGAGCCGCCTTTGCGGCAGGATCGCTCGAGTTCCTCTGCAGCGTGCTGAAAATGATGACGGGGAATGCAGACGAGTACTTGAGCGCATTGGCGAGATGCTGGCCGCCCCAACCAGTTGATTCCTTGTAGGGCGCCCGGCGGACACGCAGGTATTCAATCAAGCACTGCCTGAAGCGAATCAAGCTCGGGATGGCCATCAGGAGTGGCACGATGACCAGTCCTCCACAGTTGCGATCCGGGCGCTTCGTCGATGACCCCTCTGGCTTGAGGAACATGCAGAGGGTGACAAATAGATCTCCAAAGACCTTAGCGTAGGAGGTCAACACATCAGCCAGAAGAATGTCCCCAAACTTTCCATCTGCGGCCTCTGCAATACCACCAATGCTCACACGTCGGAGGGTCGCCAAAAATCGCCGCCTCCCATGGCTCGGCAGGTCCTGGATGGGGACGATGAAGACTGCAACGAGAGCCACGAGATAGGTCAGAGGTAACCAGTCGTAGGCGATGACTCGAGCCGGGATCCGCCATGTGAAGAGCCAGAACAGGACGATGGACACTCCGAATAGACTCGATAGGACGGTGGCGAGACGGTAGGTCGAGAAATGATGCGGCGCATGGTGTACTGACGATCGCGCAGGATATCGTATCAGACTAGGCACGTCGATCTTGAGGTTGTATAGGTGGTGCAGGTTGATACCCCAACCCCAGACAGCTACAACGTCCTCCAAGGTCAGCGAGAGGAATCGAATGGAAACGTCATGCAGGCGGTTGAATACTAACCAAGTGTAATAATGAACCCTACTCGATACGGCAGAGGAAAGGTCAAGCTGAAGGAGTCGAGCTCCGACTCCACCGCTGGGTCACCGTCCATTGCGCCAAGTCATCAGTTGGGGGCCCGGATGCAGCTGTGATTTCGCGGGATGCTCGAGCGGGTTGATATGGCAAAGAAGTTTGGCGAAGGAAATATTGTGAGGTTAAATGAGCGACATTGGGCTGTTGCAAGCGGCAGTTTGCGACTGCAGGATGCCAACGGTTGAAAGCTTAAAGAAAGGGATGATGCACGAAAGTTGTCCATCTATCTACTTCCGCTAAACCCACCGGATTGGTGGGGGCCGCGCTTTCGGGGGCTCAGGGGGGTGCTTATCTCGATTGTCACTGGTCATTGGATCTGCAGAGTTGCTTTCAAATAGATCTCATTGCTCCCGAACTATTTGATCTTTAAGATCGGACTTGAAAATTAATTGCGCAAGGCACAGTCGCGTCTCTAGCTCGGTTCGATAATTTACCAAAGCTTGACTCTATGATTTCCAGGTGCTGTTCCAAAGCAACCCGGTTTACTGAAGAGATCGTAATCAGCATTACAGGTCGAAGACGTACAGAAGATTTGACACTCAAAACCGTGCAACACCATTGTCACACATCATTACCAATTAATTATGTAGGCACACCTATATATATTCAGAGACAAGAAAAACCATACGTATGTAAATTGATTTGACAACATATCCTGACCAAACAATTGGTAGAATAAGAGCGATATAGGGTAGGCAACGTGCGAGTGGAGGGATCAATTAAAGATGGAAGACCCCAGCAGATACATTGTGGATTACACATGATATCCCGAGGCTCAACAGCCGCCTACCGAGCCCAGAACCACAACCACAGAGCTTCCAACTCCCAACCCATCACCAAAATACCGATCGGAATCAAAGTCCAACCCCAGAACCAAGAAAGTATTGGACTGGGCATCTCATATACCACGCGCATTAAAGTGCGCGACAGCCATTGACCATGTCCACAACCGAGACCGAGACCTTATCCACGCCAGCGACGACCTCCTCGATCTCCCTCTCCTCGCCATTCCCCTTCGCCACAGCCCCGGACATCATCCGCTCGCACCAAAAAGATGCCTACTTCACCGGCCACCTTACAAACACCCTCACAGACCTCCACCGCCGCCTCCTAGGCGCGCGCGCGACCCACGCCGTCGCCCCGGAGCTGCGCACCTCCGCCTCCCTCCTCTACTTCGCCCTCACCACCCTCGCCGGCAACCGCACCCTCGGCGAGGAGTACTGCGACCTCGTCCAGCTCGAGGGCGACACGGGCAAGCTCCCCTCCCTCGAGCGCCGCGCCTCCTACATCGCGGGGAGCATCCTCCTCCCCTACGCCGCCTCGCGCATCCTCCCCCCGATCCGCGCCCGCCTCCGCGCCCTCCTCGACCGCCGCGTCGACTCCCTCCGCAAGAGCGGCAAGGCCGCCTCCCACGAAGTCCGCCTCTGGTCCTACCTCTCAAGCAACCTAACCTCCGTCACCTCCTCCACCCCCGTGCAGGCCCTCACCCTCGCCGCCTTCTACTTCAGCGGCACCTACTACCAGCTCTCCAAGCGCCTCCTCTCCCTCCGCTACGTCTTCACCCGCAACGTCCCCGACACCCCCGACCGCGCGGGGTACGAGGTCCTCGGCGTCCTCCTCGTCGTCCAGCTCGCCGTCCAGGGCTACCTCCACGTCCGCTCCACCCTCCAGCAGGAGAAGGCCGCCCGCGAGAGGGCCCTCGTGCCCGCCGCCGACGTCGACGTCTCCCTCAGCCACGACAACTCCTACTACAACAACAACGACCTGCTCCTTAACAGCGACCTCGGCGGCGCGCAGGCGCAGGCCACCAGGATCGACATCGCCTCCACCACGCACACCCCCGTGGGGTCCACGCCCAGGTACGTCCTCGGGGACGACAAGGTCATGGGCTTCATCAAGGGCCAGCAGCAGCGGAAATGCACGCTCTGTTTGGAGGAGCTCAGGGACCCGTCCGCTACACAGTGCGGTCATGTGTTCTGCTGGGAGTGCATTGGTGATTGGGTGAGAGAGAAGCCCGAGTGTCCATTGTGTAGGAGAGAGGCCTTGGTTCAGCACATACTCCCATTACGAATAGCATAGCACAGCGCGGTACATATTATATTAACTTGTAAAATTGAACTTATGCATAACTAAGACTAGGTCATAGAAATCAAAAAGTAATTCGACATAGAAGAGACCCTGTTGTACATCCAAAGTTTTGGAATCAACAAAATTGCTGTACAAACAAAAATAGACATGGCAGAAGACCTCTCAACATGAAATTAGTCGCCGCTCCAAAAAAGCTCTCCCAGGCCTTGCCAAGTGGTATCGTTGTCCTCCCATCCCATCCATTACTCCGTCACCCTCCCAAGGGTCTCCGACCTTCCGCAGTCATAGTTCGTCAAATCCCAAAAATCCGGTTGTTCCCCTCGTAGTATATCCTGTCGTGATAGTAGTGACCAAATAAGCTTCAGCAAGCCTTGTGCTAGTGCTATATACGGAGCTTCAAGACCAGCTCGGAGCCTTTCTGTCCATCCGTATGGGAAGCATATGTGAGAAAGGAAAAAGAAAAATAAAGGTGACAAACGAACGACAAAGAAGAAGATAAAAATATAAAGAAGTATAAAAGCTCCCAAGAATCGTCTATGCCAACCTCGACCCGAGGAAGTCCCAGTACAGAGTGATGGGGTGTCCATCACTGAAGATTCTTCAGGAATATCTGAGAAGAAGAAAGAAAAAAAATCAGGGGAAAATGTCGCTCGAACTCCAGTAACACCCAAGTCATGCTCCAGCATTAATATATATTGCAGGATAAAATCCGTTGGAACAATTCCATTGGTTAAGACTCAATTGAAAACAAGACAATTTCGCCTTGCTCATTACGTCGCAGTCGAATGGAGCGCCATAGTTCTTTTTCCTCCATGTGCTTGGTCATATCGGTGCCGGCGGCCTTGCGTTCCCGGTGGAATCGCTTGAGAGCCTTGTTCATGCTGCAACCACGCTCGCTCTCCGGGCCCTTGTCGACGAAATCGAAGAACAGGTCGGCACGAGGCCTGAACACAACCATTTGATTGGAATCTTCACCCTTCTCGCCTTTGGGCTGGTACCCAATTAGTTTGGGGCTTTTGGGGCTCTTCTCTTTGGAGTGTTTAGAAGACGAGTGCTTCTTGGAGGAGGAGGATGAGGTCTTGCGCTTCTTCGTCTTGGTTTTGGAAGAACTGGACTTGGAACTGGACTTGGTGGCAGCAGAGAGCATGCCAAATAGGCTGTTGCTGACCTGGCCGTGCTTGTGATTCTTCGAGTGCTTGGTCTTTTTGAGAGGGCTGGTCGGCAACGGTTCCGACCCGTCGTCGCCAGAGTAGTCTGGCGGTGGGGGAAGGTGCGCTTTCATCATCCCCTTGAGCCCACCGGTGAGGCCAGAATGGTGGAGAACGGGGGGAGCATCGGTCATGTCTTGGTCTGATGGAATGTCGACGTGCAATCGCTTTCTCTTCTTATCGCCCTTGACGCCATCCTTGTGCTTCTTTCGCTCGCTTCTGGAGGGAGCAGGTGTCTCGAAGGAGCTATCGCCGTACTGCGGTAGACCTTCATCATCATCCATGAAGGATGTTGGGTCAAGGAGGTCATCAGGCTTCCCTTCGTAGCGAACCAGGGAGGTGCTCTCGGTGGGCATCAGTACCTTCGGCTCTTGGGGTAGTTCCAGGTTGGAGGCATTTGGCGTCTGGGAGGCGACGAGGAACTCGAATACATCGACTTTGTCGTCGCTGATGGCAGCTGGCGGTGTGGGCGCTTCGGGGAGAAGCTCTGCTGGAGATTTCTCATCATCTGTCTGGCCAAAATCTTGGTAGTTGGCCCACGACTCTTCAGCATCCTCGACATAGGCGTGCTGGGCCATCATGTTGTTGTCGTTGTTTCGTTGTTGGTTGGCGCCGTTCTGAGTCTTCGGTTTCTTGTTCTTATCCTTGTAGAGGGCGCCCTGGTATTTTTGCTCTTCGGTCATGCAGCTCTGTGGAAGACTTGTCAATGCTATTCTATCGGAGGGTAATGGCCTTGATACAGACGTACTGTGTGAGAACGGTAGTCGGTTCCGAAGAAGTGTACCATGCAGTCAATGCAGGTGAATGTGGCGCCGTGGCAACGATTTCGATGAGGGTCGAGTTTCTTCTTTGTTAGAATATCGCCGCAGGACTGTAGTTCGTATGGGTTAGAAATCAAGTCTTCTTGCTGAAGTGGTGTGAGGTGTTTCGAGATTAGAGGAGCTGCCGTCGTTGACTGCAGTGGGGGGTGGCCTTGCGCGCGCGAGGGACCAAGATATATATAAATGGGTTGCAGAATGGGAAGGGGGGCAGTAGGCAGGGGATGGTTCAAGGAACGCGCGATCAGCGAAACAAGCAAACAATAATCAAACTAGTATTGTATGGAGCCATGGGAGAGGAAGGGGCGCGTGTTTTGGGGGTGAAGGTGGGCAGTGTAGGGCGGGTGTGTATTGGGGAGTGATGTCAGGGCTTCGATGGGTCTGGGGATGGTGGGATGAGTGCGAATGGGACTTGGATGCGTCTGGTCCGGTCTAGGATGGAAGCAAGGGTCCGATCATAGTAAGGAAACCTGGCGGCTGTCTCAATGTAGGTACCGGACAGACGAGGTAGGGGAGACGAAGAAGAGGGGGGAGGGGTGAAGGGGCAGGGGGGCGGGTGATGAAAATGGCCATTATCCATCTGGGCTGGATAAAGAAGGAGTAATCAACAAGCTATTACACACCTCGCACGAGAAGGAGACCATGATGTCGGGTGGTAAAACCGGGTCTCTGTTTGCTGTCCGTTGTTCTTAGTTGGGCCGGGACTCGATTTGACTGGCCCACGGTATTTAACGGAAGTGCAGTAGAGCAAGCACTGGTCGAGTCTTTGGGCGACTATGCAGATGTGCTCGATTGTGACTGGCTGGTCGCGGGTCCTTCGTGAAAGATGCCAGTCTATTCGATAGAGGCCAGAGTTACCGATGCGAAGGAAGGTAGTAAGATCAGTGCCTGAATCCTAAAAATTTTCACGCGCTCTGGCTCTCGTCCGTCTTGTGAGCTGGAGATCTTGGAGACGGATGGTGAGAGAGGAAGGCTTTCTATGGGGAGCAGGCTTTGAGAAAGGGTGATCCTGCGACTGTCGGTGGAGAGCAAGTATGAGAGGGAACCCTAGTCAAGGTGCCAGGCAAGTATTCCGGGATATCTCGAGTGGAGGGAGAGAGGACGACGGGGCGCACAAGGGCTATAAAGCTTCGATAATTATGCGAATTTGTGGGAGGAAGAGGAAAAAAAAGGAAGAACAGATTGATAGATATGGGGGGGACCTGGAGGGGCGGGAGATGGCTTCACAGATTCTTGGGGGCCTGCGGCTGCGATTGCGCTAGCAGGATTGAGCAAGCTGTGAAACCCTGGTGCACCACAGGCAATGGTAGATCTGATGCAGTGCAGAAGTTGATTCGTGAGCAACGACTAGATTGCGCGTTGTAGCAGAGAACCTGTAGTGAGGGGTGTCCAGTCTTGGTTGGGCGTGGTGCAAGGGCGCTCGCTGTACCATGCGTTTTGACGGTGTTGCGGGTAGTGAGGTGATGCGATCGCAAAATCACGGGTTCCTGGCAATGGCGACAAGTTCTAGACGGGTCCAACGGGCTTTTCTTATGCGGAGTCCTCGTGCAAAATAACCAAGCAAAGACGCAGGGGAAATCTATGAGTTGTTAATGCAGTGCTCGGACGAAGCAGATAATGTTGATATGAAGAGCCTGAAGAAAAAAAAAGATAGAGAAAAAAAAACCGGCCCCTCCAAGGTGCAGTGATAGACTCACCACACTCTTATTTTGCGAACCCCCTCCAGCACCTTTAGCGCCTCCACAGTAACCACGCGCCAGCTGCCAAAGGCTGGCTTTGACCCCGCGCTGATTGGCTGCCTCCAGCCCCAAAGGGGGAGGCTCATTTAAAGCAGGGTCACATGGAGAGCACCCAACACCCCCAGGGTGGTGTGAGTAGAATGTGGGATTGCGATGGCAGCTACCGTTTACTGTTTGGAGTTCAGTGCAAGCAGGTATCGCAAGGAGCGCTGGCTTCGAACTGTGAATTAGGATAGGTACATGCGTGTGTGATGCGGTACCCATGGGGATTATCGATGCTGACATTGCTTGCGCATCGACGGAAAACAACTGAGGCGCTGGACTTGTTCTTACTTGGCCTGGTCGTTATCATGCATAAACGTCGTTACGTAGGTGCCTTCCTCCTTCGTTCCTGCCCACCCGTAGGTATTATTAGTAGGCAGGTACGACTGGGGGTCACTCAGCTTGGCAGATAGCGCTTGTACCCAGGTACTTGCATTGCGCGCTTCGCCTCCCGCTGGAAACCTAAAGGTGTTTTTTTTCCTTTGCGACGCATGATTTTGGCCTCTCAACAAGCAAATGTTGATTGACAATCAACTAACGCCGATTGCATTGCTACAATCATGCTCCTTGACGAGCACCTGATACACCCCTGACGAATTCTGCTGTTAGCAGCTGTGCCGGCCCTCTCGGCAGTCGCATCACGATTAAGAACGGATTTATTTTTACATGATACTATATCTAGAAGTACCTCGACTAATACGGTCTCGGACTTCCAGCCGCGACAAGGCCCATCCGTGGGTAAGAGTAAGTCGGTACCTTTCTGTAAGCTGCAAGGGAGCGTCAATGTGTGGCCGCTCCTCTAACCATCGAAGACATTGGCATGAGGATGGACCGCACTATTGCACTCCTATTACGCACTACAAGAATATTGGCAAATAGAAGCACTTGCATCGGTTGAGGAGTCGCTGACTGGAATGCATATTCTCTCCCCTTGCTTTAACTTGTACGCGCCTTACATGTGCGCGGCCAAACACCCTGGTCAGGTCTTGGACGCTGGCTGTATTAGCTGTCAACGCCTCACTCGCCCACCTACACCATGCGAATGTACCCATTTTGCCGGATTGCGCCAATTTCGTTGTTCAGTATCTCAGGAGCGTGGAGCACCCATCGTCCGATGGACTGGCGAAAAAAGGCAATTTAATCAGGATATCACAGCCCATCATCTGATCTCGAAATGATCTCCCGTATCAATACCCGCGCCCCTCTTAACCCATATTGACGCATATGAACTCTGAGCAGCATTGCTGTCTGTGGGCACAATGATGGTGGTTAAGGATATGTACATTCTCGTCACTTACGTCGATGGCCAACTTGGGTAATCCTCGTCGATGATGGATGCCAGATCAAGTGCGGTTAGCGATGTCTCATCCGCGACTGATCTGCTTCCCACCCATTGCACATCCGACACAGAATCTGGCGAGCTAGGCCCGATGCGTTGTGAATGACCTCCTGTGATGCCGCAGATCGAGAACGCACGGCAGGGGCTACAGGGATAGGACAGCCGTACGTTGTATGCATATACGTACATATGTACGCACAGAATACACAGCAACCGCAGCTCTCTGGGCTGAGACGGCAGCATGTTTCAGGGGACATCCCTGGACTGGAGGGGATGTGGTACGAACGTAGGAATGGGGTCATGCGCCAAAGGTGACCTCCACCAACCCACCAACCCACCAGCCAATTAATTCTACTGCGCCGTTCCATGTTCCATTCCCACCTGTTCAAGTCGGTTTGAGAAGTTCCCTATCTAGTCGCATTCAGGGAGGGACAGCCAAGGAAAGCTGGGACGAGGGTGGTGGGAATTCCTGATCGGGACATGACTTCCAAAACAGTGGGTAAGGGTTTTTGGCCGTCTCTCAACAACCAATCCATTTCCACCAGAGTGCTACTAACGAGCTGGGGAGGAGGCATAACCAAGCATTGATCAGAAGCGTGGTTATCATGCACCTACAGTGCGTACCGCGCAAGGTACTGCAAGATATAATAAGAGCATCTAATCTCTTCAGAGTTCTCAAGATATCACGCGACCATTTCAGGTAAACGCAAAAAACGAAGAAAGGGAGAAAGTTCAGGGTCAGTCAAAACTAGTCAAGAGCATTGCCATCTATTTCCATCGAATCTGGGCACTTTTTGCGCACTACGGGGAAACATTGCATCTAATTACGCACCTTGCTAGACGCCCTTGACGAGCCAATATTGCAGTTTCATGTGTTTGGCGTTGCTGCTTAAGCTGCCGCGGGCGTGTTGCATGTGGGAGCAACGAGTTGTTTCATCCCTGATAACACCGGGCTGATTCCGATGCAAGGTGCCCCGGATCTGTTTACCCAAAAAATAATAATAGTTAAAGTTAATCTAATAGTAGTCCCTTTGCGCTGGGGAGTGTAAAGGTAACACCATTGACAATATTATACCCATAGTCAGAGACAGGTTCGCTGACTCTCATTTAGCCGTGCCTACTCTTACATACGCACACCTTCAGGCAGCTCAGCTGATCGCTGTTGGAAAGCGAGCAGCCGCTTGTGTACAGGATCTCATGCTCGACCTCCACGGTATCGAGAAAGTCCGTAACGAACTAAACTTTCGCGATGCTCAAAGGACGACTGGATGCAGGCTAGCTTGCTCTCCATCTTTGCTGATGATGTTTCTTGAACGACTTCTAATGTCAGAAGTTTGGTTTCCAGCCTGCTATCTTGACTGATTTCCACTTATCTATTTCTGACTGTCATAGATGCGTTTTGAGAAAGTCTGCGGCCTAGCCCGTGAGCTGCCATCTAAGCCGGCCACGTTTGCGAACACTCATGCAGATCAATGTGTAAGTGGTATAATACTCATGGATCAGTGCTTCATAATTAACCTATTCATTAGTGTGAGCGAACTCTAGATGGTAGTATTATTCGAAGTAAGTTCTAGTGGTCTGAATATGGCTTTTGTGAGTTGTGCAAAGTCTAACAATGAACAAGGTTCGATGATGAGATGATGCTTCTTGCATATGTTATTTGCGTTGGGCTTGTGAAGTGAACATCTATAAATTGCCCTGAATTGTACTAATCTCCTTCCTTCTGACTAGGATAATCTATCCAACGATTCTCCAAATATATTTCAGCCCATGTTCAAGCAGAGGCAATGGCTCCTTGTTCTGAGTACATCAAGAGCTACAACACAGCGGATTGGATGATAAGAAATGGGTAAGCGCCCAGGTAGCACACCAATCTGAATGGTGCAGCTAGCGCCAGCATTATGCTCCCGACCCCAACCAGCTAAGAACCGGTTTCAAGTACATACATGACGTCTACTTCTGGTTGACTTGGACGTGTTCTGCGATGTCGATCCCGACCGTTATCTCCATGAGACATCAAGTTTGCCCATCGTAGGAAACAATTGCACGGCTTGATCGCGTTCCATGCTGACCAGTTCGGCAAGTAGCATCGAAGCTGTTCCATTTCCCTACATGGGTCCTGCTAACCAACTTGCCTGAAAGGGGAGATGGAGGGGGAAGATGTATTCTTAGTATCAGGCACGGCTCCATGCATCTGTCAGATATCTGGATAGAGCTGCAGGAGGAGTAAGAGCCCTGCCCGACTGGATTAGGCATTGAACACTCATCTGGGGGTTGCCATATTATGCCCAATGCGATCGACATCCATCTCTGCTCGGATCTTGAGACACAATGATACCCGTTTGGGCAAGCTGGCACTGATGTCCTTGTGCTCAACAGATATTTACTCAGATGAGCCACACTAATTACTGCTAGCACCTCATCCTCTCGTAACCGACGCTTAGCATCCTTAGTACGTCCTTGGACTTCTGATGGTCTGTGGACTTCTGATGGTCTGATGGTCGGACGTCTTGTCCCGCGCAGCCCACTGGGAGGCAGGTCCCAAGTACTGCTGGACCAATCGGGCGGTAAATTGCATCTCTCTGGCTTCAGATGGAGCCAACATGCGGCCTCCGCCTACCGAGGCGACCAACAATGTCCGTGATAAGTGGCTATGCTACCAAGCAATGGGCCATCGTGATGCTCTGTTCTCGCATTTGCGTAGATGCCTAGTTGGATTGACCTCAATGCGTTTTGTTATCTTCCTAGACATTGGTGTTCCTGGTGACGCCGAGGCAGATTTCCCCGGGGATGCGACTTTGTAGATTGCTGCGGAAATGTACCTCAAACTAGCAGCACCAAAGCAGGTTTCGGGCGCAGATTGCAGGTACCGTCGACCGCAGGATAAAGCACTCTTCAACTAATCGGTTGCGAGTCAAACAGCCTGCATCTGCGGATCAACTGCTTCTCTGGCAGCTCGCACAGCGGCCTTTGCCCCCTTGGTGAAATGACTGTTTCTGCTAGCAACCTGCTGGCGGGCGGGTATTTGTGGCTCCTGGTGGCAGAAGTCCCCTGATGGAGGCTGTAATTACAGCCACGGGCAGAGGTAATTAGTTGGTCTGACTAACTGAAGCCCACTGAATTGTGCTGCCTGGGGCGCCTGCCGGACAGCTAAAGAGCTAAAGAGGCCCCAAATCCACCTCCCTACAGGGACATTTTCCATTTGCCTTCCAGATCACAACAACCTTGAAGCCCTTCCACCTCCTCAACCTCAATTCGGCGGTATCGCAGGCCAGCTCGAGCTCCCTCGCCTTCGCACGGGCTCTGACACCCTCCCTCGCAATAGCCTGGCCAGCGTTGCCGTTCTCTTCAAATGCCTGTCTGCCCTCGATGCCCGAGCGTCCCTCCACTTCCAAATCCGATTCTTCTCCGCCTTCTACGATGAGTGTCTACCTGCAACAGACCGCCGACGTCTTCAGCTCGGTGGGAAGCTACCTGCGTCTGCCAGCACTTGCATCAACCGTACGCCAGACCCCCCACCGGTTGGAATGCAGGAGAGGGAGAAACTCATGGGATACTGACGTTTTACCAATCACAGGGCATTGCTGCAGTCCTCACAGCACTCCTTTACTTCAAGCAGAAGTAAGTCCAGCAGCTCCTCTTGACACATCCGCCCCACGCCAGACCAACGCACCCACCGGGGAGTCCTGACCTCCTGTCACACTAAATAAAGCAAGGGAGAAAAAGGAAACCTTCCACTAACGAGCGCTTTTTTCTTGTCTTGCTTGTAGGGCTCTCATCTACCCTTCGCATATCCCCCCCAATTCTCGAACCGATGTCCCCCAACCATCACAGTTCGGACTCAAAGACTATGAAGAGCTCGTGATCCCCACCGAGGATGGCGAGAAGCTCTCCGCCTTTTATATTCGCGGGCCATTCAGCTCCCGCAATTCAGATGTCACCGTCTTGATGTTCCACGGCAATGCCGGTAACATCGGCCACCGCCTCCCGATTGCACGGACACTCACGAACCTCATCGGTTGCAATGTTTTCATGCTCGAGTACCGAGGTTACGGCACCTCCACCGGAGAGCCTGACGAGACCGGTCTCAACATCGACGCCCAGACTGCCTTGAGCTATTTACGGAGGAGGGCAGAGACTAGAGATCACCGGTTTATTGTATACGGACAGAGTTTGGGCGGTGCCGTGAGCATCAAGCTTGTTTCCAAGAACCAGGACAAGGGCGATATCGTCGGTCTGGTCCTAGAAAACACCTTCCTCTCCATGCGGAAGCTCATTCCCTCCGTAATACCTCCCGCCAAGTACATGACACTCCTCTGCCACCAAGTCTGGCCTAGCGAATCAACGCTGCCCAACATCACAAAGGTGCCAGTCCTGTTCCTGAGCGGCCTTCAGGATGAAATCGTCCCGTAAGTTCTCAACACTTTTGCTTTTTCTTTCCCAAAAGTATACCCCACAAAAAAAAAAAGGCCTTATGATGATCAAATTTGCATCACCCACAAAATCTGAACCCTCGTGGTCAGGATTAGAAACCTAGAATGTCTTCTGATTGCCTTAACTTAACCCAACATGTTATACACTACTGTTCTCCATGGGGTACACCTATTAACCTATCACGCTTGCAGGCCGAGTCACATGCGCCAGCTATACAACGTCTGCGCCGCGCCAACCAAGAAGTGGCGGCCGTTCCCCGGTGGCGATCACAACTCGAGCGTTCTAGAGGAGGGTTACTTCGAGGCTATTGCCGACTTTATCGCAGAGGTCACGGATGCGACAGTAGCCCGGTCCAAGGAAAAGCAGTGAAATCCACACGAGGTACATAACTAGGAAGGGCGGGCATATCAGTGGATCGGATGGTGTAGAACACCACCCAGCATGGTAGATTTTGGATTCAGTCTCTGACCCGCTCGACCTATCTTACGTATGTTACGAATGATACCCCCCCAATACCACCTTCGGTGCAAGATGCGCAGGCGATAACGCCATCGTGAGGGACACTCGAGCCACACCAGTCGGGGTCAGGCTTCGGTGTGGCACATTAAGATGGGAACTGCTGTGAGACATACATGCATTAAAGCCATTTCAATGTAGATAAGTAGCGCCGATAGCAGGGTGGGTTGTAATGAATGTCGATGTACGCAAAAGGATGGGACCTATTTCGCTCCATGTGACGGGTGACTGGCATGGCGCCGATTCGACTGCGAACCGGTTGCCGCGTGACTCGGCTGCCACATAACGAGCCACTTCTCTCGATGGGACCCCAACGTGGAAACCCAAACTGGAACCATTCACTGTCGCTCACCGCTCCTCTTCTGAACCAGGGTAACCCTATCACATTCCATTCTACGGCAGAGAGGTGGGAAGCACAGAGGGTGTAGATACGAGGATGAGACATGGAGCAAGAGACAAGGTCAAGAAAGACGACGAAAAACAAGGTCAGCAGGGCAGGCTCGGAAAGGAAGGACGCAATGGGGATCGCTATCGCTCTACTAGTTTTCTTTGTATTATGTCCGTCCTCTCTAAGGTTTTATCTAACCAACCTTCTAAGCTAGCACTCGACGTCGCCGCCCAGAGCGTTCCACGGCCTCTCGGGAGTTTTGCTGTCTGCCTTCTTCTTCCGCAGGCCCAGCATGAGCCGCTTCCCGGTGCCCTTGGCGGCGGCAGGCTCGTCCGCAGTAGGCCGTGGCGACGACTCCTTAGCCCTGCCGGCCACGGCGCTCCATCCGGAGGCGTCGTGGTTCCTCCTTCCCGGGCCCTCGCGCCGCGTGATGTCGTTCCTGCCGTCTACGTGGCAAAGGAGGACGTTGCCGGCGAGCTTGCTGCGCTGGATGGTCTCGGAGAGGCCGGCCTTGACGGCGCGCAGGGTGCCCTCGATGGCGGTCGGGGAGAGGAAGGCCGAGTACTGGGCGGTGGCGCGGATGAGGACCTCCTCGGAGGGGAGGAAGTCGATGCTGAAGTGGAAGCCCGGGTGGCTGGCCAGGTCGGCGGAGAGGGCCTCGCGGAGGTCCTCGATGGTGAGCCCGAAGCAGGGGGAGGTGAGGACGAGGGCGTTGAGGGGATCGGCGGGTGGTGTAGGCGTCGCGATGGCCTTTGCCGCCGCGGCGGTGGCTGCGGCCTCAGCGGCCTCCTTGTCCTTTATCTTGACGCACTGAGCGATGGTCTTGGAGGGCGCGGAGACGAACCTGGGGCCCTTGAAGACGACGACGTGGCGGTGGGAGCCCGTGTCCTCACTCTGGTGCTCGAGGCCAAAGTCCTCGGCCAGGAGGTGGAGGAACTGCCGTTGACGCTGGGGTGATGGCTTGTATCGTATACGGACCTCGTCTGCGCTCTGGGAGAAGACGCGGAACTCTCGTTCCTGCGCCTCTGCCCAGCTGCCCAGCTCCTTGTAGAGCACGAGTGTCTCATCCTGGTACGGGATGTGATTGGTAAGTGGTGTAGTGGGATCAATGTTCAGCGCCGCTGCGAGACGCCTATTTCGCTCTTGACGTAGACACTCATCATCGCACTTGATCTCAGGGCGCTCGGGTGTTGGGTTGGAACTGCTCGTGAGACACTTCACCTGCTGCGTATGTTGACCGCACGGGCAGCTGAGTGTTACTTTGCTTGCGCAAGGTGACGATTCGTTACAAGCTGTTTGGTATCGGTCAGCTTCGGTGCCAAGATGTGTTCCTTTCGTAGGGTACTCACGAGTCTGCCCATGGCAGTTATGCTGGCAAGGGTGATCGCAGAAAAGCTTCGGCTTGGCACATTGCTGATCACAGTACTGACCTGGAGCCCCTTCTTTTTCACACTCGCCCTCCTTGTGGCAGCGTTTTCGGCAAAAATGAACACTACATAAACGAGGTTAGATATACAATAGTAATCAGGATAATAAAGGGGTACTCACCCGCACTTGAGCTTCTTCCCACAGACATTGCCACAATGAACTTCCTGCAAGTGACAGGGAGTATTGGACACCTCCTCTGATCCACAAGCACACAGCTTGAAGGTCAGGTACGGACACTTGGGGCACTCGGTGTCGTTCGGGTGGCATGAATGGGCCACGGGCGGATGTCCGCATTGCGTCTCACGTCGGCATGGGAATCTACACTCAGGAGGCCGTGTTCCACAGGGCTGCGGCGGCTGGAGAACAGTCCTGCCACATGCGCAGCTGATATCTTCAAAGATGGCTTCTGGACAGCTTGCACAGGCACCCCTATGGCACAGTTGTTGGCAGTCGTGGCTACCGCATTTGAGGGCGCGTCCACAGATCCTGGTGCAGAGGTGCTCGGCTTCGACGTGAGCCGGCCCGGCGAATCTCTGCTTGCGCTTCGCTGCCTGCCTCTCGGTGGCCTTCTTCTCGCCTGGGCAGCAGTGCTCTCCACATCTGTGGCGGCCACAGCTGAGAATTGCCTGGCAAGTCTTGAGGCACAGCGGGCTCTCTACCTCTCCCTGGTGGCAGAGAGAGGTAGTTGTGGTTCGCCCACATCTGCAAGTCACATCAATATCCTGGATGCAAGTTGGGCAATCTCCAAGATGGCATTTGGCATTGCAGAAATGGCCACATTTCAACAACTTCTCACAGGGCTTATCGCAATGTGGGACAGGATCCTCGCAAGAGGATCTTGGTTGATCAATGAGCTCCTCCAACGGCGTCTTTCCACACGGGCAGTGGGAAACAACGTCGGTTGAGAAGGGGCAATGGGGTAGAAGTTCGTCCAGCGGCCGGCACGGGTCGGAGCTCTTGTGTTTACCACAATCGTAGCTTCTTTCAAACTGTTGGTCACAGCTAAATGTGCCCTCGAACCATGTCCCCTCTGCGGCGCTGTATGACTGCTGTGGTTCATCAAGCTTGTAACAAGCCAGCGGTTTCTCAACCGAGCCACAGTAGCACCTGGCATCAACCAGCACATTGCAATCTCCGCATAGGCCGGGATGGCAGGGCTTCGAGCACATGTGCTCACCGCACGGCAGCAAGTCGCCGCACTCCTCCTGGCAGGTCCAACCATTCTGATAGTCAGTCTCCCGGCAAAGTTTCCGGGAAGCGTTCTTTCCGCAGAAACAAGACTGCTCGGGGCCCATGGCATCGCAAGGCGGACAAGGGCCGGCATGGCAGGCCAAAGGGCATGGGTGAGGGCATGTGCCCCTGGGCTTGGTGCAGGTCTGTCCACATGAGTGAGGGGCAAGCGCGCTGCTGGTGGGAGGAGGATTGACTTCCTTCCCACACCAGCAGTGATACGAGCGAGGCTCCTCTGATGAAGCACATCGATAGGCGGGGCATCTCCAGGTGTATGGTTGGGTCTGAGGTGCCTCGAGTGCTCGGGCCTCGGCCTTCTTCTTCTCGTTTTGTAGCCAGGTCTTAGCACATTTAAGGTGGAAGACTGTCCAGCAGCTGGAGCAGGTCCAGATCTTGGAGTCTCGGAGGATCTCATCAGTACAAATAACACATTCGTAGTTGTAGTTTGCAATGTCTTCATGAATTCTAACGCCAATGTCAGGGTGTGTTGACTTTGGCACATCAGGCCTCTGTTGCTTTACTGGCTTGGGCTTGTTTCTCCTATCAATTGTGTTAGTAATTGGTTCATCTCGCTATCAGTAAGGGTGTTGTATACAAACCTTTTCCTTTCCGTCGGTTGACCAGGGACAAATTCAGGAGCATCACCGCTCAAAGAAGGAGCTGGAGTGGCGTCCTCTCCATCCTCAGGATCTCGGGTCAAGTGGCCCCCAAATGTCCTGTTTCCATTGCTTGGGCGAGGTGCCTGTGAAGCGCCTCCTCTTCCTCTTGAGTTCTGACCCCCTCCTCGTCTTTGTCTCCTGTTACGCTGTGATGAGGGGGCTGACGAAGGAGCAGTCGGATTAGATGATGAAGCAGCTGCTGCTTCTCCACCATTCGGTTGTGAGCCTGTGTTTGCAGTGGCTTTTGGTGCTGATGATGCGGGATCTGTTGCCCTCTGGTTGTTTTGGTTCTGGCTTTGGTTCTGGCCCTGACCTTGGCTCTGGTTCTGATTCTGATTCTGATTTCTGCCTCGGCCTCGGCCACCACGGCCCCTTCTGGGGCCTCTTCCACTCCCACGGTTTGAGCCTGGAGCCGGAGCAGGCGTCTGACTGTCGTCACCAGACATGGTCGTGCTCTCTATAGCGGCGGAGTCTAGAAAAGATTGCTGAAAAATTATGCCGGTTTTCAAGTAAATACTATATATGCGCTTTTTGAAATACAGCGTCTTCGAAATGAGCCAGATAAACGTTGAATTGAAATGAAGTGAAAGAACCGTGCAACAGCTGAAAACACACAACGGCTGAGCTTGAGCTTTTCACTGCAGGTTTCGCTCGCTCAGTGTGGCAATGCGGTTGGACCTCTCACAATGACTCATTATAGGCAGAGGCAGCCCGGCCAATCAGGGCCTAGCAAATGCGGCTCAGGTAAGATTCCAAATGACGAAGATTCTACCTGCGCCTGGATGGATTGCATAAGCATACGTGTAGGTAGTATTTCACCACTGAGCCAATTCAGAACATCATTTTAGAGGCTGGTATTCTGACTCATTGAGCCTTGTGCTTCATTTGGGGCCTTTGGTGTCAAGGTACAAAGGTACTCGGACAATCCAGAAAAAGCTTTAACATCTGTTTCTAGCATACCCTATACCCCTGGACCAACGAAGGTGTTCATCGTGTTTACTTTCCTACTTCGTCATCGGGTCGTGTGGCGCCAAGTAATTCACACCCAGAAAGCGATTGTTTTGGAATCTTGCCTTTTTGGTGTAAGATTATGTCATATACTCGAAACTCTGTTCCTGATTAAGGCAGCCCTTAGGAGAACCAACGATCTCATTTTACAACTCCGGATTCAATTCGTGTTTGGGGAATGCAAGGTACTGAGTGACCGAGTCATCCCGGTTTCTACATACTAATCTTACCCTGGGCCGACAACCTTGATGAAAAGTACTGGGAAGAGAAATTCCAAGATAGGTATTTTCTACCCGCTGCCGAGCGTCTTTCTGCACCCACGGGAATTCAATACGAGACCGGGTAATGTTTTCAGGCGCCGTCCTTGTATTCCATGCTAGCCACGAGTGTCATTTACCAAAGGAACCCTGCACAAACCCTGTGGCAGGAAAGGGTTCATAGATAAGCGAGAGCCTCTGAATGCCGGATAGCCTGGATGGAATTTTAAACGCGGCCAAAGCCTAACGAACTAGATAGGGTGAATGACCTTCGTAAGTGTGCCTTATAAGAGAATATTGTTGAGTTATTCCAATGGCGATAACATATTAGTATCGTTGATATCAATTTTGCGTCGTCACCTCTAGCTTTTCGCAAAAGCCTTGATTTGAACAGTTCTTTGAGGACCAACGCCGTAGCTGTAAGCAGGTACTCAAGATGCCTTGCACGAAGGGAGCAATTGATTTTTTTTCTCGACCTTCTGGCTTCAAACCAAAATTAAAAGCTCAAACACGAAGAAAACAGAGGATGCAAATTCTCCTTTGATATTTCAAGCCCGAGATTCACCATCTTCTTTCCCTCGTTGAAGGATTGGGAACTGTCCAGTGGAGATCCCAGATATGATGCTGACCTCCGATGATGGGAGCATATCACGTGACCCGCCTTTTTTTCTCAGAGATACTCCGAATTTCGCTCTCGGAACCTGCGATGACCGAAGGAGTCCAGTATCCCCAACAAAGACAACCTCCGGTCCCCAATCGTCTTCGAGCATCGCCAATTCGATACCACGGTACACATTCAAGATGGCTGCATTCATCAAGGCTGCGAACGCTAAGATTCGCTCGAATCCGGTGCTCGACTACGTCTGCTCAACGCGTATGTGATCCCCCTCAACACCAAATATAGTCTACGGTTAGGGCAAATGGGAAAAAGCTTTGGGATCCCAGGTCGCTATGTACTTTCATCCTGTGGGAGAGGTGTATGGTATGGTTTTATCGGGAAGGGGAGTTGTTGAAGCTCACTGTTCCGTCTGGTCCGGAATGTAGGATAGTGGAAGCTTCCGAGCGATATAGGATGTGCAAGATGATATAGTCGGGGGGAAGAGAACGAACCGGCCATGCAAAACTTTTACAAAATGTTGCGAAAACTAACGTCCTCTTTTTATAGATTTCTGGGGACCCGTCTCGAACTTCGGTATTCCTGTCGCCGCCGTCATGGACACGCAGAAGAGCCCAGAGATGTAAGGAACCCGGCCAGCCACCCAAACGGGATCGTACATGATAAGGATTGGACCTGGCTAATTGCGTCAACTTTCTGCAGGATCTCCGGGACCATGACCGGTGCCCTGTGCGTGTACTCGGCAACCTTTGCGCGCTATGCCCTCGCCGTCACACCCCGCAACTTCCTCCTGTTCGGATGCCATGCCGTGAACGAGGGCGCACAGCTGACGCAGCTCTATCGATGGTACAACTACAACTACCAGGGTGGGAAGGAGAAGCTGGCTCTGGAGAAGGGCGTAGAGTCCGCCAAGGCCGTCGCCGAGAAGGCGGAAGAGAAGGTGAAGGCGGTTGTCAGCAAATAGAGTGTGGAATGGGTGTTACGGGAAAACTGCCTTAGACATAAAGGGGGGCAGGCAGGCGGGCAGGCAGGTCTCCATTGTATCGGGTCCAGAACCGGTTTCTTTTTTCTCCTTGCCTTCACCTTCTTTTTGCTTCTTCTCTCTCTGTTCGATTCTTTGCTTGTGAACGCGCACGCCCCCGCCTCGGCTATTACCCGTGGTTGCTCTCTGGTCTCGTGCTTAATGCCTTTTTTCTCCGGACTGGAGGGGTGTGTATCGACCAAAACAGCTGTAACTGTCTTAGTGATTTTAAGCAACCATGTATCTGGGATACTCCCTTTAGTAGATCTGGAGAAAAGAGCCCAATAAGATCTAGGGAAAGTTGGGGAACTCGAAAATAAAAAAATTATGGGTATACCCGGAACTCCAGAGCTTAACCTCTCCGCACGAAAGGGGAAGTGTTCCCCCCTGCCCTCTCCCATCTGAGATGAAACGTGACGGCCTAGATGGAACTAAATCTTTGCCCCGAGGCTCCTGAGATCCCAGATTCGGGTCCGTTAGGGATGACGAAGAGTCCCCGGAGAATGGATGGAGTGAGGCGGGCAGGCAGATCCCGGAGGAGAACCGAGATACGGCTACGGAGAGAACCGCTCCCGGCTAAGGTAGCCGGGGTAGATGGGCGGCGGGCGGCTAAGCTAATCGTATGGCGAGGTTGATGATCGTAACCAGAGCCTTGTGTAAGTGCGGTTGATCGTGATCATCCCGAGCTTCTCCTGAGTCTTAAGCGAGGTACGAGGCCGGCATGAGGAACAAGGCGCCATTGCAGGTGGTTATCACCAAACAGAACAAAGCAATTGGCACGTTACCGGCTTTGAAAAAAGTGCTATGTAAGAGGAAAGAATGAACAGAGAGGGTAGGGCTGGGGGAAAGCTGTGTGGAATGTGGGGTGGCGTTGATTGCGATTGGAGCGGGTTGAGGAAGCTATCCTCACGGATGCCACTGAGACCGTGATACTAAGCGTGAGCCGCATTATCAATGGCAACCGCGGGTTGTCTGGCACATGACCTGGCACATGGAACCTGCGGCAGTATCTGACTACAGGATCCCATATGCGGGCGGGGTTTTGTACAACTGAAGCCAATCTAGATATGTAGATGGAAACACACACGCCCCCCTTCCCCTGGTCTGGGGGATGGGGCTATCCTGTATCATGCACAAATGGTCTGCTCATCATTCCGTGGGCACCGGCCGGGGGGCGGACTACTGCAGACAGTCGTGGTCACGCCCGACGAGCCACGGCAGCGCGCGGTTGAGGAGAATCACGACTGGAACTGGAAGTTGATGCGAAACACCGTGGTTGCTACAACTGATTCACACACGTGCGCCGGGACTGAGGGTGGCGGCAACCACCCAGAGCACATCTACCACCAGGACGGCTAGATTGCATGTGCGGCGTGGAGGGATATTGTCCGTGTCCAGGTGGGATTGGTCGGCCGAGTGAGAGATTGGCGTAAGCTGCGTGGGATGTCTCTGCGTCCGGGAAGGATCCTGTGTCGACGGACAAAAGAGATTGGTGGTTGAGCGTAGCTACTGCTTGCACGTAGTGTCTATGGTATGTGGTATGATCGACAAGGTGTGCCATCCAGATACGGCCTAGGAAATCATTGGCATCTCAGTTATGCTGCAGAGATAGTGGGGAAGGATCTGGTCGAGCACCCAAGTACGAGGTAGTATCAGGGTGAGCAGCTGGCGGGCGAGGGGAGAGGGCTCGGTGGACCGTGCAACGAGATGCATACATCTTGCATCGTGCAGGAGCCATAGAAAGCGCCAGGGATTGGCTGGAGGGGCTGGAGGGACTGCCGTGGCCAAATCCGAAACGATGAGCAAATCCTCTCCCCACGTTGGTAGAGGTTGAGGGTGCCTCGGGGGGGAGTCGGCGTTGGCCGAGGCATGGGGTGGGAGAAGGGGGGTGGGATGGTTGTCGGTTACAGACGGTGAAGACAGCCGAGGACTGGTACGTGGTCATAGTTCGGCAATATGGAAGCACACGATGGGAAGTGGTGAGAGCAGTGATAGAGCTAAGGGGGTGTGGGGGAACAGACTCCATCCGTGCGTAACAGGAACTACACGCAATGGCTTGCCTCGCCGAGACGTTGGACCGAGTTAATTCAGATAACATTATTAATTTGGTGGCCCTTGATGAGCTTGTCTAGAGCCCACCCCAGGAAAAAAATGACGGTCATGTGGAGGCAGGCAATATGAAGACTTGCCAAAGAAACCGAACCCCGAGCCAAACGCCTACTACCTCCAGATAACCTTACCGTACGAGGCTGTACGCGGCTGCATGGCTCACGGAAGAGGTGTGCTGGCTAGCGGCGTCGGGAAGACTTGCTGCCGGGCATTGCAACCAAGCAAAAAAGATTTCCGTCCCCACCAGAGGTACTACTCTTGCGCAATAGATCCAGACTGGCACGCTCGTCTGATTGTGAGTTGAATTACGAAGAGGGGGGCTTCGTCGATGGAGGAATCTATTTGTCACTGAGACCTTGAGATAGTTGTGGTTGGGAGGAGAGAGTGAGAGGAGGAGACAACACAGAACATATTTACGCATTGAGTGTCGAGATAGCCAATCAGTAAGTCATTCGTATAAATAATTGATTCATAGGAGTTGTGCTCAGATGGGTTGGCAAGACGTAAGGGGTTTTACTATCAGGGGACGCTGATTGGCTGGAGTGAGAGCGAGGTCTCGCTACAACTCTTTGGGGGAAGTTGGGAGGAGCTGCGAGGAGCTGGGCCGAGTGCGGGAGGAAAGGCGAGCTGTTTTCCCATCGCCGTGGGAGGGTGACGGTCTTGCGGATTGGCTCGGCACTAGAGTCGAGATGCTGGATTAGCCAGCAGCTTGGTCGTCGCTAGCTCAACGCCAGGAACTACCCCACGACGGCATGGAGTTACCTCGCGAGGTTCACAGACCAGGTACATTGGCGAGGTACCGCGGCTGGGGATTGCAACCGCAGCTACCACCTTACGCAAGTGCCTTTGATGGAGCTACTTAGTCGATGCTGCACCGTCTTACACTCTAACCGCTAAGGGCAGTGCGTCTCAGACAAGTCGAGTCACAGCAGCAGCCACCTGGGGGAAGAACCGACGTTGCGTAGGCAAGACGTGAGACATAAGCAGAGGTCGGGGATCGAGACCCAAGACACAGCCATACTCAATCTCATGCACCCTGGCGGTCGGTATGCAACGCCGGCAGATTGCCGGTCAGGATAGGCTATCGAGCGCGTGCGTGAGGTCGGCAACAATCAGACGTGTCGCGAGCCTCCTGCCAATGATGGAGGTGCAGACGCCGAGGGAAGGGTAGAGCGGTACTGCTGCTCTGTAGGGCCATCTCAAGGATTATGGCACGGCAGCCAGGCCCCGCTTGCAGGGGACCGAAACCCAAACCACCGATTTGTCGATCATAGTATCATACCTACAGACGGACCTGTGAAAGCTGCTACGTACCTTGCCTGGCTTTGCCTAGGCTGCGCCCGTCGTCATTCGAAGCGAGAGCCCGGCATGCTGGAAGATTGGTAAGGCTATAGTTTACCGCCGCTGATTTTGCCGCCGCTGCTCGTGGTCCTGGGGGGAGCAGGCCGATGGCTTTGTGGTGACTCAGGTCCGGCCCGGACAGCGTATTTCCCGTTTGGTCTGCCACCTCCATCTCGGACGAATTAAGTCTCCAAACAGGGAAGGGGCAGTGGAAAAAAAAATATTCGACCAGCCTGGTGACCATGATGATGGTAATAGTCCGGGGGTGTGCAAGTCCGCTCTAGGGATCGGTACCGTACCGTTTGGATATTAGTCCATTTGCTGTTATTCACGCGGGCTTTAGCAGAGGGCCAGGATGCTGGACATGCCACCCAATGCAGCCTCCATTGAAGGCTTTCCCCGAGCAGCTACGAGGAAGGAGCAGTCGACGCCGGCGTTGCGGTACCTGCCCCCGAGGACATTCGGCATGCTCGACCGTGCCATCTGGCTCGCTCCTTCCCTCGATAAACAAAACCTGAGTCCTGTCTTCGTTGCTCGGCCAGGCCTCGACGCTCCTCAAATCTTCTAGTATCAATTGATGTCCTCCTCCTTGCCCGCTTGACCACCCCTCCCCCCAGTCCTAAAAAAAATACATTCATCAGCCATCCCATCCTCCCATCCCTGCGTGTGAGTGGTGGCGCATTGTCCCAGCATGCAGCTGATAGAGCAACCCCACCACCGTCCAACCAACCGACAGCTCGAAACTAGGACCCCGCCATCACCAAATCCGGCTCCGCAGCTCTCCTCCATCTAAATAGCTGGAGCTTGCCCTCGACCCAGCTTCGGTTTTTCTTCTCTTCTCTTCAGCCAGGCTCAATTGTCCTCGCCAACCCTTGTCTAGTCATTTGCCTGTCTTCCCTCTCCTTATACAATCCCCAGCCCAGAGACCAGAGCTAGCTGCTCCTTACCGCAACCATGGCCGGTGCACCCCAGCAGCCGTTGACCTTCAACGATGTTTTCGAGGAGGAGGAGCACATGGAGCCCAAGGAGGCCCATACCATTCACCACATTCGTGCTAATTCCAGCATTATGCACCTCGACAAGATTTTAGGTGAGCTTCCGACGGTGTTGGGTGGCTTGCCCGCGCGGGAGGGAACCCGACTGCCAGTGCTATCACAAGATGCCCGGCGCAGCTACTAGTAGTGACTTTGGCTAACATTCGAACCTCCACACTCTAGTCGCCAACCGTGGTGAAATCCGTGAGTCCATTCCGTCCCCCCAGCGCAATTCAATTGAGATCGCTGCATGCTAATATATTGGGAACAGCTATCCGAGTACGCTCTGCCTTCTGACCGCGTCGTCCGCTTCTTCCTTACTCCTGTTCTTGCTGCTAACATAGGCATTGCGCAATAGATCTTCAGAACCGTGAGAACCCCTCCTCCATGCATTGGCTTGACTGCGGGTGACGGGATTGCTGACTCGTTCTGATAGGCCCACGAACTCTCACTACACACCATCGCCGTCTACAGGTACTTGGCTGTCCGCCCGCAAGGGCAACGAATAAATTCACATGTGAAGCGCCAGAGACTGATTATTGGCTTGCAGTTATGAGGACCGTCTCAGCATGCATCGGCAAAGTAAGTCACGCTACCCACTCGTCCGCTGGCGATGTATTATCGTTCCTCCAGGAGAGAGATGGATCGACCATTATTCTAACGCGCGACAACACAGAGGCCGACGAAGCTTACGTCATTGGCAAGCGAGGCCAGTACACCCCCGTTGGAGCCTACCTTGCGGGCGATGAAATTATCAAGATTGCCCTTGAGCACGGCGCACAGATGATTCACCCAGGTGGGTCCCACTATTAAGCTTATGCACGAGAGACTCGCCCTTTATTGACCCGAGCCACCTGTAGGTTATGGTTTCTTGTCTGAGAACGCCGAATTCGCTCGCAATGTCGAGAAGGCCGGCCTGATTGTGAGACATCCATTCCAGAGGCGCACGTGCTCATCCCCCCTTTTCTAACAAGCTTCATTTTAGTTTGTCGGCCCGTCTCCTCAGGTCATCGACTCCCTCGGTGACAAGGTCTCTGCCCGTAAGCTTGCCATTGCTGCCGGAGTGCCCGTCGTGCCGGGAACAGAGGGCGCTGTTGCCGCATTCGAGGAGGTCAAGACCTTCACCGATACCTATGGCTTCCCCATCATCATCAAGGCTGCCTACGGTGGTGGTGGCCGTGGCATGAGAGTTGTGCGAGACGCCGACTCCCTGCAGGAGCACTTCGAAAGAGCCACATCCGAGGCCAAGTCGGCCTTCGGTAACGGTACCGTCTTTGTTGAGCGATTCCTTGACAAGCCCAAGCACATTGAAGTCCAGCTTCTTGGTGACAATGAAGGCAACGTCGTGCACCTGTACGAGCGTGACTGCTCCGTCCAGCGTCGCCACCAGAAGGTCGTCGAGATTGCTCCTGCCAAGGATCTCCCCGCTGCCACCCGTGATGCTATCTTGGCTGATGCTGTTAAGTTGGCCAAGTCAGTTAACTATCGCAACGCCGGTACCGCAGAGTTCCTGGTCGACCAGCAGAACCGCTACTACTTCATCGAGATCAACCCTCGTATCCAGGTCGAGCATACCATCACTGAGGAAATCACTGGCATCGACATCGTCGCTGCTCAAATCCAGATCGCTGCCGGTGCCAGCTTGGCTCAGCTTGGTCTGACCCAGGACCGCATCTCCACCCGAGGCTTTGCGATTCAGTGCCGTATCACCACCGAGGACCCTGCCAAGAACTTCTCACCCGATACCGGTAAGATCGAGGTCTACCGATCTGCCGGTGGTAATGGTGTCCGTCTTGACGGTGGTAACGGATTTGCCGGTGCCGTCATCACCCCTTTCTACGACTCCATGTTGGTCAAGTGTACTTGCAATGGTTCCACATACGAAATCGCCCGCAGAAAGGTTCTCCGTGCTCTCATCGAGTTCCGTGTCCGCGGCGTCAAGACCAACATTCCTTTCCTTGCCCGACTTTTGACTCACCCTACATTTATTGACGGAAACTGCTGGACAACCTTTATTGATGATACCCCTCAATTGTTTGATTTGCTTGGCAGCCAGAACCGTGCTCAGAAGCTGCTGTCCTACCTCGGTGACGTTGCCGTCAACGGCAGCAGCATCAAGGGCCAGATTGGCGAGCCCAAGTTCAAGGGCGAGATAATCGTTCCTGAGATTGTCAACTCGGCCGGCGAGAAGGTCGATGTCTCCCAGCCATGCACTGTCGGATGGCGCAACATCCTCGTGGAGCAGGGCCCCAAGGCCTTTGCTAAGGCTGTTCGCGAATACAAGGGATGCCTTTTGATGGATACCACCTGGAGAGATGCTCACCAGTCTCTGCTTGCCACCCGTGTCCGAACAGTCGATCTGCTCAACATTGCCAAGGAGACCAGCCACGCCTTGTCCAACCTTTACAGTCTCGAGTGCTGGGGTGGCGCCACCTTTGACGTAGCAATGCGTTTCCTCTACGAGGATCCTTGGGAACGTCTTCGCCGCATGCGCAAGCTCATCCCCAACATCCCCTTCCAGATGCTTCTCCGTGGTGCCAACGGTGTCGCTTATTCTTCGCTTCCTGACAATGCCATTGATCACTTTGTCGACCAAGCTAAGAAGAACGGTGTTGATATCTTCCGTGTCTTCGACGCCCTCAACGACATTGATCAGCTCGAAGTCGGTATTAAAGCAGTCCACAAGGCCGGCGGTGTTGTTGAAGGGACAGTGTGCTACTCGGGGGATAGTGAGTTTCTTTCCTTCTTTACTGTTCTACGTTGAGCGCTTTTGGCTAACCATCTACTCTAGTGCTAGTAAGTTGATTATCCCGTTAATTCCTCATCTGACTTGGGAAACTCAATATTTTGCTTGTATTGTTTTGGGGAAATCAACATTGTCCCTGTATTGTTTTGGAACTAAACTGACCAGACTTTTCAATAGAACCCCACTAAGAAGTACAATCTTGAGTACTACTTGGCTCTCGTGGACAAGCTTGTTGCTCTTGACATCCATGTCCTTGGTATCAAGGATATGGCCGGTGTGCTCAAGCCCCACGCTGCCACCCTCCTGATTGGCAGCATCCGCAAGAAGTACCCCGACTTGCCTATTCACGTCCACACTCACGACTCTGCTGGAACTGGTGTTGCATCCATGGTTGCCTGTGCCCAGGCCGGAGCTGATGCTGTTGATGCCGCTACTGACAGTCTGTCTGGTATGACTTCTCAGCCCAGCATCAATGCCATCCTTGCCTCCCTTGAGGGAAGCGAGTACAGCCCCGGCCTTGACCCCAGACAAGTCCGTGCTCTGGATACCTACTGGTCGCAGCTCCGTCTTCTATACTCTCCCTTCGAGGCTCACCTTGCCGGTCCTGACCCCGAGGTGTACGAGCACGAGATTCCTGGTGGTCAGTTGACCAACATGATGTTCCAGGCCTCTCAGCTTGGTCTTGGTTCTCAGTGGCTCGAGACCAAGAAGGCTTACGAGCATGCCAACGATCTCCTTGGTGACATTGTCAAGGTTACTCCTACTTCCAAGGTCGTTGGTGACCTTGCCCAATTCATGGTCTCCAACAAGCTCTCTGAGGAAGATGTCCGTGCTCGTGCCTCGGAACTCGACTTCCCTGGATCCGTTCTCGAGTTCTTTGAAGGTCTCATGGGTCAGCCATTTGGAGGCTTCCCCGAGCCTCTACGTAGCGACGCGCTTCGTGGTCGTCGCAAGCTCGACAAGCGACCTGGACTGTTCCTTGAGCCTGTTGACTTTGTCAAAGTCAAGCGTGAGCTGGGCAAGAAGCTCGGCGCTCCAGTGACTGAGTGCGACATTGCCTCGTACGTCATGTACCCTAAGGTCTTTGAGGACTACAAGAAGTTCGTTCAGCAGTACGGCGATTTGTCCGTTCTTCCAACCAGGTACTTCCTCTCCAGGCCCGAGATTGGCGAGGAGTTCCACGTTGAGCTTGAGAAGGGCAAGGTCCTCATCCTGAAGCTCCTCGCTGTTGGTCCTCTGAGCGAGAACACTGGTCAGCGTGAGGTCTTCTTCGAGATGAACGGAGAGGTTCGACAGGTCACTGTCGTTGACAAGAAGGCTGCCGTTGAGAACGTCAGCCGACCCAAGGCCGACCCCACTGACTCTAGCCAAGTCGGTGCACCCATGTCTGGTGTCTTGGTCGAGCTCAGAGTCCACGAGGGTCACGATGTCAAGAAGGGCGACCCTCTTGCTGTCCTCTCTGCCATGAAAATGGTAAGCCCCAGCCCCCATCTACCTACTAAACTGACAGCAAGGAATAAAACCGCTAACAATACACTAGGAAATGGTCATCTCCGCCCCTCACAGCGGAAAGGTGGCAGGATTGCAAGTCAAGGAAGGAGACTCTGTTGATGGATCCGACCTGGTCTGCAGAATTACTAAGTCTTAAGCAAGGGGAAAAAATAACGGGGTTACGGCGCGATTAAACGAGAATGGTTTGGCTCAAGAGTTCCTAGTTAGGCTCCTAAATGAATACTCAATGTTATTATGAATGTACATCACGAACCGAGCATCAAATAAGTGACATGAACGAATAGACACTTCACTTAAACGAGGGAAAAGACGAAGAGAAATGATGGCCAAGGAAGAAACTATACCTAAAACCAGCAGTCGGCGTATCGTTATAACCCTATAACATTTAGATTGTGTGTCCAATCTGAATACCCTCAAGATCCGACTTCAATCTAGCCCTTGAGCATTCCTGAATACATAACGGACGTAAATCATCAATCCTGCATGTTAAAGCTGTGTCAATTGAATATTGTCCCATTTGGCAGACCAACTACTCATTCCTCTCCTTAAGAGGAGTGGCCCGTACTCAGAGCTGCGCCTCCAAGTCCTGAAAAGACAGCCCGACTGTGTTAGTCGTGAGAAGATTCTAAACTGTTTCTGTCTAGCGTTTCCTAAGTAGCTGTTATTCATCTGTAGGCAGCTGCATAGAGCGCCATCGAACTCATACTAAAGAAGCACAAGAGAAAGTAGCCAAGAATGTTCATGTGCATAAAGCAATACCTAATTCGTATGTAACACAAGATTCCCTTTCTCAAACTACAACAATAGCGCAGTATCTTCTGCCGGCTCTTTCATTTGCTCCAAACAGCACCTCGCTTGAATCTGGATACTCTCGATCTCAGACTTCTGTAGTTCCTCCAGCCGCTGGATCCAGAAACTCCAACGCTCACGGCTATAACCCAAGGTGGAAGAAGGGTCAATACCAGCCTTGAGAGCAAGCTCGCCAAGACTTGACAGTTGAGGAAAGTCGGTATAGTCAACTTTATCAGTCGTTGCCCTGTTGCTGACCAACATGACAAGACTGGTTCTTGCAAGAAGAATCGTTTCTCTCAGTGTATACAAACGATCTTGAAATGTTGGGATCCTTTTAGCAGCTGAAGCCTCGATTTGCTCTGCGTCCTCGTCTGTTTCTGACAGTGGGTGGGAGACCTCCAACGCTTGTCGGAACAGAGAGAGAACACAAATAGCAGGGCCATCGAAAATGCCGACGGATAGAAGCCTGCCAACAAAGGTAGCCAGATTGAAGCAATACCCGGCACCGTAATCAGGTTGGTGGAAACGATGAGTAAACTCATCAATCAAACTGACGGCAAACAGAGGTAGATCAGACCAGAATTCGCGGTTATCAGAGAAGGTGACGGTTTCGTTTGCGTCGCCAGAGTCAGGAAGCCTTTGCGAAGGGCGCAGAAGAGGTCCCGATACCTTGAGACTCGCAAGAGCGACCACGAGCGTATCGGGCTCTGCTGTAGAACCCCAGATATGCCTGCCTGCCTGGATACATGCATACCAAATGTCATGTAAATGGACCTCAATATCACTCAGGGGATAAGATCTAGCGGCGTATTCTCGGGTTACAAAATGGATGTGTTGGGAGATGATCGGTATGATACGACAGAAGTTACTCTCATGATTATCGGTGAATTGAGCTTCGTCGTCGATGCTGTTCCTGAATGTTCCGGACCACATGGACCAATTTTTCTCTTTGCCGGGGGAAAATGACATGATTGATATAAACTGAGGTGAGCCGAACAAAAAGACTCCAAGTAGTGCAGATTAGAGATTCTCGAATCAGGTTGAGATGGCGCTAGGATAACACTGAAAGATGATGAGGCTCCCGGCCCGGGGGGGCTTATAACTTCAATATGACTTCCTTGGGCGAAAATAGGTACTGCTATGTTGATGGTATGATTGCTGCGCCACTGAACATAATGCACGTTGGTTCTGTTCGTATGACTAGGGGTAGGCATTTATGCGTATATGGTCTGATTAAGTGGTAATTGCTACTTGGTAGGCTGAAATTATATTCTGTTGGTTGCTCATACTTGGTCGATTGCATTAGTTCGAAGAGGATCCTTCCTCAAGTGCAGTATGCTGTTTTCGATGACTAGAGTTTTATTCGCGCAGTTCGCTCAATAAACGCTTGCGTAGCCCTTTGAAACTAAAAATCATGAACATTGAGTGTCGAACTATGTTGTTTATCAGAATACATAGAAAGAGATCCAAGCTGGCCACAAGTAGCCAAATTTCGATTTCCAGTTACGTAGGACAAGAAATGAGCGGCTGGAGAACAAACAAGCAGTAAGCCTGGCCCGGAATCTCTTTGCTATTGGGTGAAAACCTTCACACAGCTGACTTACGGCAACGGAGGTGTATTGGGAAAGGTGATGGGTGACAGTCTCGAGGCTGGACAGATGTCCCACTTGTTATGTTGTGGAGAATATGTACACGATTTCGTGGTTAGGTTATCGAGGTAAAGGTAACTGAAATCTTCAAACATATGTCGACACCTTTCAGTTGCGATGCTTTCAAGCCAGTAATTACACTTCATGTCTTGCAAGCAAGAGCAATATTGCAGCTCTACAGCTACGGCTACGGCTATCGCTCATCTTGACGAGCGATAAGCTAGTCAGTTTCGCAGCAACCGCCCATCTTAACACATCTTAACAACAGACTGGTTAGCTTCACCACTATCGCTTTTCGATTATAATCAAGTACGGATCGTTTGATTGGCTGTGACGGGTGGCTGAAATTTTAGGGCTTTGGTAACAGATCTCTACATGTAAGCAATCGAGTGAGGTAGGGGGCTGGGGGGTGGCGTTGAAAACGGGCACACCATAGCATCCGCTGTTATTGCCATCACAATGATTCTCAATAATACAGAAGATCTCGTATTGAGTCTAGAAGAAGCAGCAATGCTGCATGTTGTTCCCGATTTTGCCACTAATGTTTTGCTGACGGAGAGATCTCCCGCCAATGGCTCACATCTTCCCCTCATCAGGTTGGTGGGCTAGAAATGCAACTGGTGCCTGGGGGATGTGAATATCCTTTTCCAAAAAGACAACGACAGCAGGGTTTCCCACGCTGCTTCAGGGATGGGCGGAAGATATCGGCATCGCCCAGCACACCACCATTGCAACCAAGATGGAGTTGATCAGATGCATTGTCGCCGTCTCATATTATAAATCACATGAGCCCAGTCGGTGAGGCGAGGGCAGGTTGGACGCCTCAACAACTGACGGGCAGGCCGCAGGGTTCTGGAACCCCTCTCATGCACCCCGGGTTGGAGTGCATGGTGGGAGCGGTCGACCGGTAGCAGGCCGCCCAATGGCGAGGGCTAGGCTTTGCATCTTGCAACTCGGTCCGGTCTGATTGCGGCCTCGTGTAGTGTGGGGGGCGGAGGCACTTGGTTATTCTTGGCTGACCACCGGCACCCACGGCTGCAGCTACCGGTGTGGCCTCCTGTCAATAGCTACGGCTTCTGGAAGAGGGGGGGCAGGGAGGGGCAGTCTGTGGGATTTCATCCGCCTGGCACACGACCACACCAAGACGAACTTGATGCGGTGAGATTCAGAAGGTGGGAGGCGGCGGTGAGACGTGTGTTCATTGTGTCCGATACTGACAGCATTGTGTTACGTGCTGGGTTTCCGTGATTCTCCGTTGACGTAGTTATGATTGCGAAGAGGCTGAATGTTGTACGAGTGCGTCAGCGGGATCTATCAGATGGCAAGGAGGTACCCATCGCAAGTATGAATGCGGCAAGATGAACCCTGGGCAAGCGAGTCTCCGAGTTTCCGAGATCGGGATTCAGTGCATCAATAGTGACTAGGGTTTACATAGCTTTGGAATCGTGCATCGAAATACGGACAGCTCATTACGCGTGGATCAAGCATTATTCCTGCGCATCCAGCCTCATGGGTAGGTTGGTAGGTCATGCGAGGAAAGCCTTGCTAGGGATGCACCGTATAGATGCACTGATCGGAATCACCCAGGTCCGACAAAAACAATCAGGCTGCATCTTAGGATCAGGAAGGCAACGGTGAAAGCTCCGATGCTACATATGGGCGGAGGAAAATGTCCCTGCATCGCTGGACAGTCGCGGATCTGCGGCGAGCTCATTTGCCTTCAAAAGGGTAAGGGATACAACCCACAAGAAACGAGTCGAGCAAGGGACTAAATTTGATAATTGAGACAGCTGTCATTTGCGCAGGGACGACACCATGACAATCCGGGAGCTGGTAGGGCCGCTTGCAGCCTGCCTTACCTAGAATGAATGGGTGCGGTCGCTGTTGTCGTGGAGGTTGGGCGCTACCTTTTGTATGGAGGGCACACTCCACAGCGAGCGCCACCACTGGGTCTCCCCCGAAGGCCCCCCAAGACCCCCCCACCACCCGACCCTGTGTTCCCCTCTGCTCTCCACCTTGGCACCACAACCTAAAAGCGAGCTCGAAACCTACCAAAAACCCGTCAGCTCCCGACAGATTACACTCTGCCAAAACTTCTCGCCACTAAGATCTTAGGATCCCAGACTTTGCTCATCGTCTTATGAATTTGCTAGAAAGATCAATCCTCACATTCGATACCAAATTTACCCGAGCCATACTCTCTATCTCATAGGAAATGGAGAGTCTCCAGCTGTCCCAAGTCCTCGCTGATCTCAGCAACATCAACGCTGCTGTACGACCGCATCCCCAGCTGCTTCATTCCAACATAGACATTTTTTTCGCTGACCTCTTTTCCCATCTAGGAGGCTGAAACTGCCACTGCCATCGTCAACGCAAACACCGCCCTTCACCGCCCCGAGCCTCCTCGCACTTCCACAGCTTCCGCCCCTCCTGAAGACCTTCGACCTTCTGTTCTCAGGCGTGCCTTGTCCGCTGAAGGCCCCGTTGATAGATTTGGACGCCGAATTATTCCAGGTTCCACCGGATCGCGCTCCGGCTCTGCAACGAACTCGGTCCCAGGTACCCCACGACGTGGAGATGTCGATGTACGATTCCCTACCTACCTCCCTACAGCCCGCCCCATCTCCATCGCCATTTATACAAATATACTGACTATGAATTAGCAGCTTGACGATGACCTAGAAAGAGCGTCCACTCTGATGGCACTCTACGATATCCGCGCCAAGCTGAAGCAGCAGGATAACAGCAGTCTTCTCAAGGCCAGGGAGAAGATCAATGCACTTGCCGCTAAGCAGCAAGCGCAGCAGGCGCAGCAGAACAACGAGCGAAACCTAAAGACGAGCGATCAACTCCGACGAAATCGATACTCATTCCCTAAGCCTGGGCTTTAAATTTATCGAGCTCTGGAGAATTGCCTGCCCGGTGTTTCTTTTGGGAGCAAAGAAAACCTTTCCATCTTCGACATCCAGTCAAATTCCGACCAGACTTTTCTACTCATGTCGGCGTATATCCTTTCAGGTGTTGGAGTGCACAAAACAAAAGCGGACGCAATTGCGAATTCTTCTCCTTCCCCCCTTCCCTGAACCTCACTCGGCCATTTTCCTAGCTCATGCCACGGGGTGTTTCTTTCCTTTGGACTTGGTAAATCGGATGGGCTGTTTTCGAGCGTCGGCGCAGTTAAGCACTTTTCCCCCTTTCTCTTTTCGCAGTCATGTCTATGCGCCTCGGGTTATTCTTTTTTTCGTGGGATGTGTCTTGCCCTTACTTTCTCTTAGCGGGTCTGATTTTCTCTGGGTTCTTTTTCCTTCTACAATGTATGCGTGGCGTCCAAAGGGTTATTCCAACTACAAAAGCCTTGAAAATGGTTCACGGAAGCAACGGGTGTGGCTGCCAGATGCGGTTTCGCCTGCGGGGAGGAGAAGTAATAGGCGTGGGGGTGAGATAGTCATTGATGGGGAAACGATATCCGTGCTGGAACTCAAATAACAATGTGTTCGAGCGATACATTTTCTAGCACACCATAGCAAGGCTATGACTTGTATGATATGAATGACTACTACCTATACAAAGCGTGCACCTTCCTGTCGCGATAGTAAAGAAGACTTAAGTAATTCGAGAACCAAGGGAACGACCTAAAGATCGTGACCTATCGCCTATTCAGGAACTCAGGGCCCCAGTCTGTGGGGAAACGATCGCACCCTGCAAGACATTTCCGAAGTCTTGGATGATGGAAGTAAGCAATATCACTTTTATGGAGATTATACGATCTACGATGACGAGGCGCAGTGTGCAGGCGACATGACCAACAGATGTGATATCTCACCCTCCTCCCATCCGATACTGCCTTGTTCGTATAAGAGTACTATGAGGTATATGAAGCCAAACAAACTCGTAAGCCTAGAAAATCGTCCGCCTGGTACGATGTGGGCTTCTGGTGGAGAAGTCACTTTTAACCTAGCGGTCCAGTTCAAGAAAATCTACGATGCCAGAGGGCGGCACCGACTGGACAGCTTACCGCCATAATGCTGTCAGATGGCAGGAAGGTTATGGCGAGGACGAGGCGAAAACAACCCGGTGACAGTTTAAACCGGGAGGCGTCATCGGAGGAATGTCAACGACACAATACGCCACTGACTTGAGGTCAGGCTCCAGCGATACCTTGCGCTTTTAGCCGTGTGGTGACTTTTAGTGGTGTGGAAGCACTGCCCCAGTTCGCGGTGATGTGATGCCCCGCATCGCGTATGGCTGGACCCTTGCGAGCCGGCAGGTGGCCGCGCATTAGCAGCTGGATCCCTGCCTCCAGTGTTCAGTCGCATATGGATGGATGCTTGTCCAGATTGAAAGGCTGTGGTTCCAACGGTACTATGAGGTTTCTGTCAACCAATGCGGACGCCATTTGGTTCTAGCACGAAGTATTCGACGATAATTAAAGTTTAAGCGGGTCTGCATGCCTGCCAAGTTCTCGCCCAAGATGGCAGCATGGTTTCATGTCTGTGCCCTGTGCCGTGTGCCGCCAGTGTAGTAATCCTGCCAGGACAGGAGAAGGGATGCCAATCAGTCAGGAAACCACTTGCGAAAGACACGTATGTGCACCAGTTTCTCAGTCTGGCCCAAACCGGGAAACACGCCGCCCAAAGCGACATCGGGTCAGTTGGCAAATGCGAGGCCTTGACTTATTAGAGTTTGAGCACATGATTATCCACTAAAAACCCGGCTTCGAGGCTGCCATAGGCGAGCCAAGCCAATACGCTCCAACTAACAACAGAGTCCACGTCATCACTGCAAAGCCTCTTGCTCAGTGCGGTCGAGTCTTAATAATCTTCTTTCGCAGTCTCTCTCCCAGGGCGGCCGATCAGCCATTTCATTTTCTGCTAGAGGGCAAACCAACAAAAACACTGCCCTCCTTGGCAATCAAATCACGTTCGGCAGAGGCCAAGGGAGAAAACAAAACTCCCCAAACCACCCACCCATCTTGCATTTCTCGACACCTCCTTCATTTCCAACAAGCAACTTTTAGCGAATATCCAGTTCCGGCTGTCGCGCCCACCCAATAAGCCGTCGCCGAGCTAAAGTAGTATCGCTTCCATCGCTAGTCGTCGCCTTGCAGCCAGAGAACTCTCCTACTGCTGCACCATTGGACGCCGATCATCTTTTCTTTTTCCTCTGTCCTACATACAACCTTGCACAGCACACGCACATCATGACAGCTTCCGCGACGACGCCGTCCGACGGCACCGGCTTTGCCAGCATCCTCAAGCGCGATTACTGCTATGATTACCCTGGTAGTGTACGGTGTAGTAGTTGGTATTACTGGGGCCGATGGGTGCTGGCCGGTCTCGCTCTGCTCCTCTTCTTCCTCTTCATCATGTCTCTCCTGTGAGTACAACGCATCAGTTCTCCCTTATTTCTCGGGTCGTATTTGTGTTCTAACCCATCGAAAACTATAGGAGCCTCGCTCGCCGCCGCCGCGCAAGAGGTGCCCAGCCCTACTATGGTACTGGGTGGATGGCCCCGGTGGGCAAGTATGGAGGCCCCGATGGCCAGAACAACAGCTATCCGATGCACGACTACCAGAACCACCAGAACGGCTACTACAGCAACGGGCCGGTTCACAACCCGCCCCCGGCCTACGGCGCGCAGGCGCCGCAGTACACGGGCACGACCTTCAACCCCAACGATGGGTACTACGGGAACCAGCAGTACAATAACAACGTCCAACAGCCGCAGAATACCTACCACCCGGATCACACGTACCCGGCGCCTCCGCCAGTTCCGCAGAATAAGTAAAGCATCTATCATTGTGCCGTTACTTGATGTCCAGCAAGGGAGCTGGAAGTGGTGGTGGGCGTTGTAATTGGTTCTGCGCCGAAGGAAGGGCAGTTGTGAGAGAGTATTTTCCATTGAGTTTCATCATGACATGAACGGCCTCGGACTTTGGGACGGATTAGCCGCAAAGAGGCGATTGAACTACCATCAAACGAATAATCAAACGTGGGATGGGGATCCCCAAACCTATAAATAAAATACCCATCTCGTCTCTTCCTTCTTTTCCTCTTTTGAGTAACAATGTGGGACTTGGGAGGAGCGCAATGCGGGACAGGGAAACCGCTGTCACGGATTCCAAATGAGATTGCAACAATCGATCTTTGCTGAGAATGCTCTAATCGTATGAGGTCTGACGTCTGTAGTTTGTATCATCCAGACATGGGTATTAGCAGAATTGCCATTATGGCTACGATTGCCCATGGCAAGCGTCACGAACGGTCTCCCCCGTGGGGCATTTCCTAATGGCGATCGGCAGCTGTCAGTTCTCAGGGTCAGCAGAGTTCGACAACCAAGTCCCGGTCAAGTGGCTACGATGATGCAAGCGGGTGAGCTCCTCGCCCAATGGATGGCAGGGTAAGCTCCGCGGTTCGGAGCCGTAGAACCTTTGCGTCTTAGCAGGCTCCTGCAGATCGTGCCCCTGAGTTGGAAAAAAACGCCAAAGGGTCCCAGGCGCATTTGGGAATTGGGCATAAGGCAGCACTCTGTGCAGATGAGTGGATGGCTTGCTACCTATTTGTGCAAATAGTTGGTGATTGGCGAGACGCCTGTACCTCATGGCAACCACTCTTCGTGCAGATTACCGACAAAATTCCCTTAATTGGCAAGATTCATAGCCTGCCACGAGCAACTACACCAACCTCTCAGCAGACGGCTTCGTCAGCGAGAGTGTCCAGGTCCCCGGCAGCGTGGCTGGTTCTAATGCTTGATCTATTCAAGTGGAAGAGAAGCTACATTAGATGGTCATAGAAGGAGGTTGGGCTGGCATTGTCAGAGCCAACTTGATCTCGAGTAGCTTCCAAAGCCCGAGCTACTGGAAGCCAAAGAGTTTAGCGATAAGAACATGGGGTAATTGAATTTTCTCCAATTTACCATAAATCAGGCACAAGAAGAAGACAAAGTCAGTCCCTGGCAAGAGCGGCGAGTGCGCTAATCCCAAAGAATCAATTTTGAAGAGCTGCCGTTCATCATCATTAAATATAACAGTGGAGCCCAGCCTAGAGGATCATCATTCAATGGAGACAAGCCCAATCACATCATTGGACGGACAATGGGGCCGTGGGCTTGTACCTTGCATATCCCTCGATTACGTGACTTTGCCTCTTTGCCATCCCCTATGTAGACGGGCAAGACAAGGGTCCAGATGTAAAACGCACCGTCGCATCTGGCCGACTTGCCCATTTTCTCGTTCACCACCAGCGTGTGCTCTCCTTGGCCTGCTTTTCCTGTCGCCTGCTCTTCTTGCTGCGTGCGCCTTCATTCCTTTGGCGACCATCCCAGCTCTCTCTGCTGTCCGAAGACAGACAAGGTGGCGACGTCCAGTCACTCCTTACTGCTGATTCCACCCCGCCCGCAGACCTCCACATATTGTCTCATTGTTTTAGCATTACGCGGTACTTCTAGCTGACCAGCTAGTGCAAGCCATCCGACAGCGCCATCTTGTTTCAAGCTGTGCAGGATACACCCAACCATTGCCATTCTTTTGGAGACCAGCCTGCGATTTGACTTTTGTTTCGTCCAGTCTGTTGCGTTTTTGTTGTTGTTCAGGGCGCCTTTGCTGCGTTGTTTCCGCGCACCACGGGCCATCTTACTGTGCTGGGTTTCTTTTTTTGTCTGTGGCTGGCTCGAAGGATTCATTTGTTGGCTCCTCCCAAGGAACTTTCACGAGAGAAGCAGTTGACGCGCACGGCCGCCAGAACTGAACACCTTCCATTGCCCTCGGTCAGATCCAGCACTCACTCGACACGGGAGCGGTTTCCGACCCAGTGCTAAGAGAGTCGGCCAGCACTACTCCGCCAGCGAGAGACATCAGACGAAGCCGGAGCCCCCTGAACTCGTTACGGCTTCGCCCACGGTCTCACCCAACTTCCGTCCTCGAGCAGCAAGCGACGCATCCAGATCTTGTCTCACCTCGTTCTCGATTTTCGTTTCATATTAATCGACCAGCGACCCGATAATTTTGGAAACTCTATACAATTTATTGATTTTTCAACATCCATTCATTTCCAACATGCCTTCGATCGACCTCGCAATGGCGCGAAGCCTTGAACCCAGCGCCTGGGAGAAAGTGTCACACAGCTTGGCTCGTTCGGTCGTCTCTCAGATGGAGAGCAGAAACATTATCGACTCTGTCAGTAACAAAGTCACGGATATTAGGACGGCCCTCTCGAGCTGGGACAACTGCATGAACGCCAACTTCTGCAAGTAAGAGCTTATGTGCATGGTGTCTGCATCTCGTTCATGCATGCTGATTATTTCTAGATATCCCGTCATTGCCATCATCGCTGTGGGTGGTTTGATCGTTCTCAGTATCCTCTACTGCTGTGCTCGTTGCTTGTGTCTTGGAAAGGCCTGCTGCTGCAGCTGCTGCAACTGCATGAAGTGCTGCGGTAACTGTTGTGGATGCTGTGACCCCCCGGATAGTCGCAAGAACAAATACCTCGACGAACAGTTCGCTCCACAGGACCAAGGTTACCGGACACAGCCTCCAATGCAACCGTTCGCACCTGTGGTGGGAACTACTGCACCACCACAGTATGCCGAATTTGACGTATCGAAGCATAACGATGATTCACTTCCTCAAATGCCCAGCTGGGAGAACTCCCAGTCATCCAAGGTGGCAAACAAGGAGCAGGAATCATTGGAGATGAGTAATTTGAACGCGACATCAATGGCCGGCGGTGCCTCCTCTGTGTCAGGCCGTTCCGGACAGGACACGGACAACTACGGACCCAACTACTCGAAGCCTCAAAACCCATACGATTCCCGAGATGCATACGACATGGATCATTCCTATGACATGCCTCCTCCAGCCATCGGTGGTGTTGGAGGAAGAAACTCGCCCGGGCCAGCTGCTTATCGCAACCAGAACTCCAACTCTCCCTACCACGAGATGCCGACAGAATCCTACGGTCCTCCAAGCTCCTATGGCCCCCTCGACAACTCATATGGCCAGCAGAACTCATACCGTGGAGTTCCTTCCCCGGCCCCTATGCGCCAAAACACATATAACAGCGTAAGAACTGCCAGTCCCGGTCCAAACTATGGCGGCTATGGCAGCCACGCACAAACAAGCAGTCCCGCCCCGTACGGCGGAAGCCCTCATATGAGGAACTCTCCTGGGCCCCAACAATCCGGGGTCATGCCCGCGGGAAACTTCGATAACCATCAGGCCTACAGCCCAACCAGGGATAACTTTGGACAGGATAGTTATGGGCAAGATAACTACGGGCAAATCCACGCCCCAACCCCCCGACAATACACCCAGTCTCCCCGGCCAATCCCTACCCAGGAGCCCTTCCACCAGCGCCAGCCCTCGTCACCCATTGTTAACAACAGCGGGTTCGACTTCAACTCTGGCTACACCCGCCCACCAAGCGTGGACCAGCAGGGTGCCGGCGGCTACCCCGGATACAAGCCGTACAGAGCTTAAACGGCTCCAAAAACAGCGAAAAATGATTCACGGTCGACATATTGTTATGCATTCGCGGTAGTTAATGTCAAATATCTCGAATAACGGAGGGGTGGGGTGTTCAAAAACGGCGTTTTCCACGGTTATCTTTTCCAACATCGTCTCATGGTGGAACCAGGCACGGCTTCTTCGATTCTTGACCTTCCTTCTCTCTCATCTCCCCCGCGTGCGTGCCGCGCCTCGGTCATGAGCTGGTTTTTTTTTTCTTTCCAACTTCATTCAGGCCTGCTGGCCATTTTTGGATCTTCTTCTCGTCTAAAGATTTTTCTTCCATTTTTACGTTTCCATATTTTCAAGATCTCAATGCCCATGTATTCATAACGAAAGCATGTGTTGTTGTTTTTTATTCGATCGTTCTTTGTTCTGCCGTTGCAATCATCAAAGACCTGGTTCTTGCACGAATGGAGTTGGGTAGTGATTTTTGCATACCTATAAAGATAAACCGCTGAATTTATGATCTACTTCTATTCATGGTCGTAAAATTTCATACGTGCGTGAAATGTGCCTCGCTATCAAGTGTCTAGGTTCCAGACATTGACGAGAGCTTTTGTGGCAAACACTTAGTAGGTAGTTGGTCAAATTTAGGATGCACGTAGTGTCTAACAAACGCCCCAGAACACGACAAAGGTAAGAGATAGGCATGAGGAGTGAATCAGCATATGCATTCTCTCTAATGTTGATAATAAATACAACCGATGAAGAACACGCGATATATCGAGGTGCTCCAGGACCAATAAAACCAACTGTGTACACAATAGACCAACGCTGTGTAAACCGAACCAACCGCAAAGCCAAACAACAAAAAGACGCCCGTAGCCAATGCTCTATTTAATCAAAACGGAGAGAATGTTAATCGTCCGCTTTTCGCGGGGTAACAGATTGTTGATTGGCGGCCTTGCCGGATCCATAGGCCTGATGAGACCTGCTGCTGCCCACGATAGTTTGGCTCTCGCCATCTCTGTGTGGGTCATACTCCTCCTGCGACTTCCGCTTGGCAATTGGTTTCGTGGGAGCTTCATCTTCGCTTTCGGTGTCGAACCCAGTCATAAGCTCGGCTTCGAAATCTTCGTCCTCAGAAAACGGGTTACGTGAGTGTCCGGAGTCATCTGTGGGTAAACTGTCGTGGTCCACCTTCCTCTTGATGAAGGAATCGATGATATAGTACTGCATAGCGTTCATGATGAGAGGGAATATCATCATCACAAAAGCAATCTGCACCTTTTCGTTGCCCGCAGTCCATCCCAGGGCCCAGTCGCCAACCTTGGAGATCCAAGGGAGAACGAGGAAGATGACGAGAACGCAGAGCTTCATGCCCATGAGGCCAAAGAAGTAGAGAATGGACTGCTTGAGCCACCAAATCGCGTTCGGAGGATTACCGTAGTAGCCCGACAGTATAGACTCGGGAGGCTGTCCATACGACGTGTATGAAGCCAGGCCGTGGATGATCTTGAGCAGAAGTAGGAGAATAGGAATTCCGATCGTCGTCTAGTCATGGTCAGTAGGAATACACATTGCACAGCGAATACATGAGTTGATCACTCACATCAATGGCCAAATTGAGAAGGTAGAAAGAGCAGGGGTTAGGAACATAGTCCTCGGCTCTCGCCAGCAACGCGTTCACCACGACAGTCTTAGGCTTCATGTTAAACCGCCCGCTGGTCAACATGGACATGAAGACATTGGCAATATGGACCAGCACAGAACCAAACACTTGTTTCGAGGCGTCAAAGAACCAGATCTTGATCGGACGCTGTGGCCGCTCCCGCCATCGTTTATATACGAGCGACAGTAACGCCAGACCTCCGAGTGCGGCCTGGACCACGAGAGCAAACGACCCCATGAGTCTACACTCGCCATTTGAGCCGCCATTAGGGGGCGGGGGGGTATCGTGCGTGGGTTTTGCCGTGGCAGCGAGTGTTGTGGTCGCCGTGGTGGCGATGGCGTCGAGGATAGTTGTAGTAGGCATGTTGGCTCGCAAGGCTATCGCAGTTGCATCATGGGTCTATCGCGAAATCGAACAGTGGCTTTGTAGAAGGTGACCTTCGGGGCAAGGAGTGTAGATGGCTGTGAGAGAAAGAAACTGGCTGGTTTCTCAGTCGTGCTGTCGGGTGAGGAGATGTTTCCAATCGCCAAACGCCGGGATTGCGAGGATCGTAGGAGCGAAGGGGAGGCTTAGTTCCGTGGCTTATCCACAGAGGAAAGCGTAAGCAAAAATTAACGGGCAAGAGAAGCAGAGAGTATTAGATAGGAATGGCCCGGGAAGAGAATAAGTGTATAGTATATATGCAAGAAGCAAGAACAAGAGAGAGCTGCAAGAAGCCAGTCAGGACGGCTGTGGGGACGTCATGGAAGGAACGAGGTCGTTGCGATCAAAGTGGTGACGGACGGGACTTGTAGCCTGGGTTGCCGCCTGCCTGCCAGTAAGGAGCCAGGCGAGTCGCAGGTGTCGCTAGAGAGCTCCCTTACTAACTCGTTGTGGGAAGGTCGAGTTCCAGCGTGTCAGCCGGTTGAGCACCTAGAAATAGACACCAGAGCCATCCGCTAATGTTGCCGGCGCTGGCCACACGTTCCAGTTCGATCGGCCGGCTTAACGTATCGCCGGCCACTCTCTTTCGCCTTACATCCCAGGCACCCCACTCATCGCAAAAAGTTCGTGAGAGAGCTTCTGGTGAGAGTGATACAACGGTCGAGGAAAGGGAAGCTCCAGACTCCCATCCACACACACAGCCAGCCATGCTTCGCCCACGTTTAAGGGTACCGCGCGTCAGCGCATCCATCGGCCTGCAGGCAGCCGCCAATGCCCGGAGGAGCTTCCACCAGGTGCCCAGATTGAGGCACGACTACACCGAGTCTGGCGTGCCTAACCTCATGAGCCCGGCGGGCTTCTCAATTGCCTGGTCAGACTATATGAGCCTCGCCGTCGAGAAGCTCAATGCTCTGACTGTAGGTATGCTTTCACCCAAAGCCCCTCCCCCGGCCCCAATTCCAGCCTCGGAGCCCAAGTTGCTAACAGAACCCGACACAAAACAGGCACCGAGCTCGAGGACCTGGACACCAAGACTATCGCCCTCATGACCGCTCGTGAACCCAACCAGGCCCCCATCTTCAACTGGGCGTCCATGGCCCACAACAACCACTTCTTCTTTGACGGCCTGACCCCGGACCCCACCCCCATCCCCGAAGTCCTCAAGAGGGAGCTCGAGGCATCCTTCTCCTCCATGGAGACCCTCCGCCGCGAGTTCGTCATCACCGCCTCCTCCATGTTCGGCCCCGGCTTCATCTGGCTCGTCCGCGCCGGCCCGGCAGATTACCGCATCCTGCCCACCTACCTCGCCGGCTCGCCCTACCCTGGCGCCCACTGGCGCGCCCAGGCGACCGACATGAACACCACGGGAAACGAGGGCTCCGCCAGGTCCTTCTTCTACGACCACCTCACGGGACAGCGCAAGCGGGTGGGCGACCTGCCCCCTGGCGGCATCGAGCTGCAGCCGCTCCTGTGCCTCAACACCTGGGAGCACTCCTGGCTGCTGGACTGGGGCGTCGGCAAGGGGGGTGCCGGCGGCAAGGTAGCCTTTGCCGAGGCGTGGTGGGATCTGATTGACTGGGAGCTGGTCGCGAAGAAGTCGGGCGTCCTGAGACCGGACTTCAAGTCTGGCGCCGAGTAAGACGGCGAGGTCACTCGTTCGTTGGGCTATGAGGAGATGATACCATGGATGGTGAATGTTCTATTGTTCATCAGAAAACCCGGCCAGGCAAACTCTCATGTCAAGAGACCTGGTGGTTTTGTAAAAATAGTGTAATCTCGAGGATAGAGGTGTTGAATATACATGTACAATTCCGTCCATGCTTCTGACCTACCCTATGTCTAGTTATCATGATCCCGCCTGCTACAACCAACGTTCTCTCGGATAGCTCCCTTATTCACTTTGCTACTGTAGTGTGTGGTTGGGTATTGATGGTGGTCTGATTACTGTAGCACGAACCTCGTGCCTGTCACATGGTTCAGTCCAACGACCTCAGCCATGGGAGCGGATGGCCCTCGAACACACAAACAGTCCTCCGTGCCGACAATCTGTTTGACGAGGACTGCTCCCCGATACGCTACACAGTGAAACCTAGAACCCACAATCGTCCAAAGCGAACGAGACACATGTTCGCGGTATGATTTCGGCAAGAACTAGGCCTTCTATCTTATAGTTGCTCCAAGACCAGTGAAAGATGAAAAACTTGGGATCGATAAATTAGTAGCTTAGTGACGGGGAATATATTACAATACAATATGCCCCTCTACCAGGTGTACTGGACAGCTATGGATGGATATTATCGGACACACATTCAAAGACTTCTCGAGGTGATCGCAAGCAGGGGTGGTAAGAATAAATCACAAGCGTATTCAATTTACTATTCAAGCTGAGAGCTACCTATTCATGCAATTGGTATCATGAGCCCAGATCCAGCTGTCTGTAATTTTGACAAAACTCCAAAAATGAGAATTATTCCGAATGAGCAACCCATGATGCATGGCCATAAATCAAACCCAAGAAAGGAAGAACATAAGCATGAGGAAATGAGAATGCAGTAGCATCATAAAGTTCAAACTGGTATATCATCAAAGCGCATAATTGTTGAGATAGCAGTGCATAAGACAGGAAAGTTGCCACGACCTTGGCGTAGTGCGATGCTCACAGAGAGTCTGCCCCTTCTTGATGAGGGGCGTGTGAAAGGAGACGAAGTAAATGGAAGAGAAAGATCAAGGACAGAAAAAATAAAGGAAAAAGATAAAGAGAGAAACATCGTCAAAGAGTGTTTAAATGTTTTAGATCATGTCAGCGCCATTGACCTTGACCTCGAAACCCTCTTGCTTTTGCTTTCGGGTCTTGGCCAGCATCAGCTCCCTCATCCAGTCAATGCGGTCATCACGGCTGGTCACAGCAAAGTGATGTGTCTTGCCAGTGCCATTGACACCTTCGGCAGCGGCACCTTTGGCGGAGACAGCGCTCTCGCGCTTGCGGAGTTTGGCGCTGGTCTTCTCCTTCTCCATGGGAATAAGCTGGAACTGGAACGCACCCACGGGGTTGCTCTTGTTCCGGTTGTGGGAGATGCTGACGGCCTTGAATGCAGCAGACAGCTTCGATGTGGAGGCCAGACTGGAGCAAGCAATGGCATAGTCATCGATGTCAACATATTCCAAGGTGCGATCGAGCTGCTCAGCATCCTTATGCATATTGAGACGGGTGCCTTTGACGGTGAAGTAACCATCGTGCCACTCGTGTCGCAAGAACTTTGTCTTGCGCTTCTTCATTGGGCCTTGGTGTGAAATGCCATGGGAGGAGCCCGAATCCGATGACGGCCCATCAGTAGCGTCAAAGGTAGATGACGGAGGGAGGACCTGCTCAAAGCTGCGTCGCTCCACAGGTGACCAAGGGTAGTTGGTACGTGGCGGAGCGTGAAGTGGCTGGGGCTGTGACTGTGTCTGTGCCTGTCGGCGGGGAGCTACCTTGGGAGGTGAGGGAGCCTGTGGCGATGTAGTCTGAGACGTTGTCCGGACTGGCTTGTTCTCGTCGAGGGCAGGGAGGACAGGGAAAGATGGGCGACGAGAGGTACGTGATTGGGCTCTTGGGGGATTGGCATGGCCATGACGATAGCTCATGTCTGGTGGCACAGACTGGGAGGTATCCCGTGCGACTGGGCCTAGTGGCACAGCAGTAACGGGAACGTCCATCTCCGAAAATGGAGTGCCAAAGCGATAGGGATTGTGTCGGGTTTCCAGATCGGGAGACCGAGGATCGGCCTTCTCCATCTGGTACGGCACAAACTCTTGCGGAGAGGTGCATTCCTCTTGGTACTGTTCGCCACGCTGCTCCGCATATAGCTGCATCCGTGGGGAAACAGTTGCAGCTCTTGGTGGCTGAGGCCGAGGAGGCTGAGGAGCACTGGGGATAGAAAGCCTAGGCAATCTTCGGAGGCCCTGATGGGGAGTTTGTGGTGCAACCTCGTAGGGAGGAGTGGGAGGGACATCATTGGGGTTGCTCTGCTGGAACCGAAGGAATTGGCGGACATTATCTTGCGTGTCCATCCTGTCGATGTTCCTGAGAGAAGCCTCACGAAGAGAAACCTCCTGGAGATACTGCAGAGGCGGCGTCCCGTCCGTACCGAGAACATCAGATGATGCCACAACTGAGGGCACGGCATCAGAGTAAGGACGCCAGTTCTCATTGGGATCGAGAGCCCTGGCGGTATCGGGATTACCAGCGTCACCAACAATCATCACCTTGCCTCCCGCATTGGCGTTGATATCGATAGTAGGGTTCAGCTTCATGAACCTCTCAATAAGGCGCTGCTGCTTTCTCCACTTGGAGCAGTTCTCACCTTTGGAACAGACGTGCGGCTTTGGCACCACTTGTTCAATGCCGATGATGGACACAGAATCACCTGGCATAATGGTATCAGACGCGGAGGACTTCTTCCTCTGAGATGCAGAGGTGCTTGGGCGGCGTTTAGGCTTCGCGTCATCATGCTTCCCTGTCTCCTTGCGTGCCTCCCGGCTGGGTTCATCCTCGATCGGTGTGGGTGGTCGTGGGGATACTGGAGCTCGATCCCTCAGTGCTTGGATTTGGTGCCACACCGTTGTACGGATGCCAAAGGACTGGATATCTAGCTCCTTCAGATCCTCAAACTTGAGCGTGATAAGAATTGCACCAGTGATATCGTTCTCAATGAAACGGTCTGCGACGGGTTGCTCGATGCCAGCATTGAGCATGGACTGGGCGACCATCTCCGGCGTCCATTGTGGGAGCGTGCCCTTTTGAAGCTCGGCACTTGTGTATTTGAAGGGGCTGTTGCGTCGAGGCGGCGGGAGTGACCGATGGAACGGGACGGGTACGCCTCGAGGCACCTTTGGGGTGATAGGCGACAGGCTCAGAATGATATCGTCCTCTACCGTAGGGGGGTATTCGACGGAGCTGCGGAATAGATGTGGGCCGTGAGGGCCTTCAATAGGTTTGGCCAAGGTCGAAAAGTTGAAGCCGTCTCTGCTCGTCCGGGGCGTCGAAACCTCGTCGTACGATGACACGGTCGTGAAACTGGGCTGTCCTGATTGAAGACTTACACGAGGCGAATTGTTGTTCTCTTCGGTATCGCTGTAGTCATCCTCCTCTTCCCAGTCTGTGTCAACGAACTCTGTGGCTACTGAGATTGGCCGCATGCCGTATGTTTTGTGATTAAATGTAAAGAATGCATCTCGGGTGGGTTTTTGGGACATCTCTTGTGAAGAAGCCCCACGGTGTGACTGATAATATACTTGCTCCTGCATTGGTATCGCTTCTGTTAGATGCCGTTCCGTCCTTTGATTGCTCTATGCAGTAGAGCCCTATGCGGATCGGGTATTTCTTCAATCAACATACCATTGTAGGAGGCGTTATGTGCGCAAGGTAGGGTGCCTGTCCCCAACCTGCTTACCACGATGTGAGTTTTGTATGGTTTGGTGTCTGTATTCCCCTCCACCAAAGCAGATACGAGAGTATCAAAGGTGGTGAATGATGGCCGTTGCCGGCGGTGGTCTAGAGGGTATATATGTGTGTAATTTTGGGGAGTGTCGAGATCACTCCGACTCCTTCTTTTGCCGTGAGACTAGGAAATATAGGAGAGGCGCATGTATATCAAGGAAACAAACGTAACAAGGGAACCCGCGATAGCGAGCGAATGGTTACAAGATCGGAAATGGGAAAATAAAGAGCTCGAGAGTAGGTGAGTGGGAGGGCGGCTGGGCGGCTACCGATATGTTATGTAGAGTGCTTGCATCTGCAACACCCCCCAGGACGATGGAGCAGCTATGCTCCCAGGTCGGATGTGATGTGACCAGCAGAAGCGACTGTGCGGTTGCGGGGGCTGCTTGGTTCTCGTGCATGAATGGGCCCAATGTCACAACCATTCTAGGGCATCACACAGGACTCAGTTGGTGACTGGTCTCCTGCGTTGCCTCGCCTCCCTGGCCATTGTACCAAAAACAGAGCGCTGAGGCGGCGGGAGGAGGAATCAGTCCACCGACTAGTCTCCATTTTTAGCACCGCGGCATCAAGTCTGAATATCTCGGGCTGTGATAGGCTCGCGCAGCGGAGGTGCAGTGCAACGGTCGTGGCTCAGGGCCGTTCTGGGCTGTGATTCGCGAGATATTGTTGAGCTAGGCCGGCAACTAGACAAGAATAGATTGAACGACGTTGAGCGGCGCTCTCTAAGCGCCGTGATGTTGGATGCTGGCCACGGATTGGAGGAGGTGAGGTTGCGTGGACTTGGCCGCTGCCCAACGAGCGACGAGGCGGTGGATACCTGAGGTGTCGCGCCCCTCCACCCACTCTGAAAGCTCTGTCCGCGCAGGAAGCAAGCACCGGGGTGCGACACCCAGCAACCGACGACGTCCAGTGCGCTGTTGGGCCTCATTCGAGCGCTCCTCCAGGGCTCCAGGGCTCGTCCAGGGGGCCCACCACCACTAACCCCCCGCACTTACGGCTCTTAACCTGCTAACCTAGGCCCTAATAGTGCGCCTAAGGTTTGGCAGTAGCCCGCCTAGGCAGGGACCTACCCTCCCTCCCATCCCCCATGATGCCCATCCATCGTTGCGCTACCGTGCTAACAGGCAGGTCCCCTCTGCCTCCAGCCCGTGCGCCCA